TCCGCGGGCTTCGCTCGCCGTTTGTGGGGGGGGGGGGGGTTCCGTCGTCGACTCGTCATTGCCTCTGTAGAAGAACACACCTCTCGAGTCTCAAGCACCAGTGAGATGAGGTTCCATTCGGGAAACCCCTGGGATAGGGCAATACACACGAGGGAAACAGATGCTAATCGTTCATGATCCCGGCCTCCGTGTGGGCTTGGTTGATCCGTTCTCCGTGCCATTGCCACCATTTGTATCCGTACATGGGACACTGTTCCTTCACCGCCGCTCCCCGCGATTCTAACATTGCGATGTTCATGAGTCCGAGTGTGATGGCGTACTTGCCGTGTGATCGCGAGAGACCCCGTCAAAAAGACCCTGTCTTGTCATTTCATCGTCGTCGGGATGTCGCGACTCTTTCTCGCGCGCTTTGACCGGGTGGAACTCGACCCTCTTCTCATGGGGAATTTGGCGATGATCCGTCTTGATCTACAAAGTGCACGAATACTTTTTGACTCGGATTTCAGAGTTGAAGAGGACCCAAGGAAGATCCAAATCCCGAGTCAAGAACAAATCACGAACGTCGATTAGGAGGGTAAGTCATGTCGTTCGACATTCCCCCCCCCTTCTCAGCACTGGGCAACCCAGAGTCAGTGAGCCCGCCTGCGAGTGTTGTGCATCTCTAGCGGCGATTGTGTTTGTACGCGCATGTGTGCCCCTTGCGTCTTGTCTGTGGGCGAATGTGAGGGTGAGAGTTTTGTTCGTGTCTGGGCGAGTGAGAGAAAAGTTTTCGGTGAGGCTCAGCCAACGGGCTTACACCGATTGCCACGAACCCTGTGGCCAGCCATCAACCCAGCATCGAGAACGGCCCGACATGAGCGGTCTGCACTGCATTCTGCAAGGCGTCAACGTATCCCAATTCCGACGCGTTTCCCTGTGGCATTTCTCCCCGTCCCATCCAGCGTACATCCCTCCCATGTGGTTGTTCATTGGGGGAAAATCCTCCCCCAAAGGAACCCAAAGGGAAAAAAATCAACCTGCCCCTGTCGTGCCCCCCGATATCCTCGCCATTTCTTTTTCCATCAGCCGTCAAAACGTCGTTACCGCAGATACATGAGCCCCCCTATCCTTGCGCCCGTGTGGGGAGGAAGAACAGGAGAGAGAGAGAGGAAGAGAGAGGAACCACACAGTGAAGAAGGCTAAGAGGGCCAAGGGAAGGATGACCTCGGGCGGACGACCCCAGGCGTGACAGGGGACCAGGGGGAGGGAGAAGACCCATGAGATCCCCATACAGTGTCTCTCGCTTCGTGTCGCTCACCGACTTGCAGATCTACGATTTCTTCCGTGTTCCGGTCTTGCAAAGGATGACAGACTGAGAGTGGCTACAGGTGATGGTGCTTGGCGGTGTGCTCCCTGGTGTGTCTGCTCATTTCGCTTTGCTCTCGGGAGAGAGAGCTAAGAGGACTGGGGTTCTCTCGTCGCAGGTTGAGAAGTCCACATGGGATGGGGAGGAATTACAATGTAAGGTATACCTTACCTGCATTGCTTGTGGGGTCCAAAGTCAGGTCAGCCGCCTGGGCGAACCCCTGGATTCTTCTCTTCCGTTCGTCTCTTGTTCTTCCACTCCCGCGCCGTCTCCATCTTACGCCCCCGCAACACGAACAGTGGCCGGGAAGACCGTGGGTGGGAGGTGGCATGGATATATCAACGTCTAATCAGTCAGCCAGCGGATGACACACTGGTGCACAGGTGTGTGTAAATCGCCAAGCTACGAATACAATGTATCCGTACAGACGACAGCATCGCAACCGCACTTGGCCGAGCCTGTATCCGTACCTGCAGAACGCGCCATGCACGCTGCAGCTGCCCTCCACTCATTTAGACTCTCCCACCCCCCCCAGTCGACGTCTGTTTCATCTTCATCTTTTCGTCGTTTGACTCTAACTATCGCGATGGCTCAAAAGAGTAAAATCGACGGTGGACCGTCAACGGTGATGGAGAACCCGAGCAGCGAGCTCCATACCATCTGCACGACATTGTAGGAACAAGGAAATTTTATCCCGTCGAACCCCGACAAAATGACACGACTTTGTTGCTCGCTTTGGGTGATGATGCCCACACTGTCTGCTGTCTTGCTCATGTTTCATTTCATTTGGGTTTCCTTCGCTCTCGGAAGCTCCATAATACGAACTCGGCCGAGGTCCTTTTGCTGAGTACTCCAAGGGGTCGCCGTGCAGCTCTTTCGTGGAGAAGGTGTTGAATGTAACCGAACTCAATCGAGTCGCTGGGGACAAGGCGGCAATGTCCCTGAAAGAATCGAAAGATGCGGGATAGCATCAGCCAATGTCGACGTCTGCCTCACATAAACTCGCCCCCCCCCCCCCCCCCCCCCCCCGGGGGGCCCCCCCACCTCTCCCCCCCCCACCGCCCGCCGCCGCCCCCCCCCCCCCCCCCCACCCCCCCCCCCCCCCCCCCCCCCCCCCCCCCCCCCCCCCCCCCCCCCCGGGGGGAGCCACCAATCATTTCCCAACAAGCAGGGGCCGCAGAGCCCTTTGGCTGCCTGCTCACTCTCACATCACATCTCATTGCCGTTGCCCTCGTCGTCTTATCATCTCAGCCTTGCATTGCATCGCATCCGCGCATCCACCAAAGTACCGGACCATGTCATTGTCAGGTCAGGTCGTGGGAGGGAAAGACTCCAAGAAGCCTCCCCAAGCCCTTGAGCCTTATGTCTTGGCCCCCTTTGCCCCCCTTCCGGCGCGTCGGCCTCTCTATCCCCATCCGGACCTGCATCTCCTTCGACTCCCCTGCAAACGGTCAAAAGTAATGCCCACGCCTCCACAACCAAAAGAGGCGAGATGCCAATGTCGGAAAGGGGAAAAAAGAAAAAATAAGGGATGCAAAGTCACGCAGACGTTAAAAAAGGGGTTATGCATTCAGTAGCGAGCCAACAGCCGTGTTTCTCCCACCCGTTCCCCAAACCAGACTTATTAATGCGTCTCCGTTAAGATCGTCTCCTGCCCCGGCGCAGAGTCGCACCGGCCAACGGGATAGGTCAGTCTGACCTTTCCCCCTCGTGCTCCTCCGCCCCCCCCGGCTCGTCCTATCAGCGTCCGCACCGACTGCCCCCCCCTTCCCTTCCGCACCTCACGTACCGGCCTCGCCCCTCGCAACCGCCGAACCAGGCAGAAATAGTGGGTCCCCGGTCCCGTCTCCGGTCTCTCATCATCTCCTTCCACTGCCCCTTTTCCCACCTCACACTTACTATCGCGCGCGCACTCTCCAACGGCCGCGCATCACGCACCCGCGCTACTCTCCCTTAGCCTCATTGCGACCGCCAGCCAACAAGCCCTCATCAGCCCATGGGAAAGGGGTACATGCCCTTGAGTGTGTGTACTGTGCGCCTAGTATGCCCTCTGTACACCCCTTTAGACGGGAGACTAAAGCCCGCTAACCTCGCGCCCGTCACCAGTTGCGACCCTGGCGCATCAGGAAAGCGTGGCCGAGAAGAGAGAGAGAGAGAAAGCCACCAGCCGCCACCAAAAAAAAGTAGTCTGCGACGCAAGCGTCCAGAGCTCATCCTCAGCGGCCAACACGCCCCCAGGTGGGAAAGGCGGCGGCCAGACAAGGCAGCCAAATAGCTTAAAGCTTTGCCGTTCATCCTTGTGCTGCTCGCCCGTTGCTCCTATCCGGCAGCTCGGATAGCTCTAAACTGCTGGTTGCGGGGCAGGCAAGCAAGCGAAACCCCCAAACCCAAGCCTCTGGTCTTGGTCTCCCAGCCAGCCCTCTCGTCCCAGTGGAAAGTGTGGCATTCTAGCTGAAGCCTTCTTTTCCTTCCACGCGTCGAATCCGTTGGACTCATTTGGGTCGGGCCAGTCGTCGGGTCAGAATCCTGTAGGAGTCACGATTCTGTCTTTTCGTTTCTTTGCACCACATGTCGTGGCTGGGTGATGCCGGGCGGTTGTTGTGTAACCTGATGGCTGGGATCAGAACGACCTGGTGCCTTTGATGTTCGTGCGAGACATGGCAGTTTTTTTTGCCTCTCCCTTTCTCCCAATATACCGAAGCCTGGGAAAGGGGGGGTTGAGAAACGAGGCAGAGAGCGCGCCTGACTCGAAACGGGCTTCTCTGAGTCCATCATTTCTCATAGCTGCACAGGCGTTGGGCAGATTACGGCGGAGATGACAAGAAGCGCGCCGTGGAAATGAGGACGATGGGAGGAGCCATTGAGCCGGGTCAAGACCTACTTCTGATTGTCAGAGGCCGTCCCCGTCACCAGCCACGCCTCCGGGTCCGAGCCAAAGTGCAAGTCCGGCCTACTTTCATTACCACGCCACCCCCCTCCTTTTACGGCCGAGCACCACCAACCACCACCGTGTTTAATCAAAGTTGGGATGGCACCTCTCAAGGCTGCCAGATTGCCATGCCCACAAGGCGGCGTGTTAGCGCGCGCAAAGACGCCGCGCCACGAGAAATGGGAAAGAGAGACTACCACCGTGGCGCGCGTGGATAGGGGAGCTTTCTAGTGAAAACCCCCCGAGATTGTCGGTCCCGAAAGAGAGCGAGAGAAAGAGAGAGAAATCGGCTTGAGGTTGAATTTCTCTGCAACCCGCCAATGCGCGGAAGAGGATGAACGTCGGATCCGGGGTATAGTCAGGTTAGCGGGCGCCGACCGACCGACGGATGCAAGTGATCTTTTGGAACGCCCGCGGAACCAGGAGGGGGGTTAAAGATTGCGGGTTGTCTGGTGGAGATCGGAAGCGAGTTTCACGAAAATCTCCATGGCGTCTGCCGATGTGGCTTTTCCCGTCCGAGAGCGAGGGGTGTGTTTTGGGTTACTGGTACGTCAGGCCTCGAGATGAAGAAACATTCGCATCGCGATGGCCTCGTTGTATCGTGGGAAAGGCGTTCGCCCCCGACAAGGGTTGCTCGTGGCTTTTTCTTCCGATCAGTGGAGGCGATCTCGAACAAGGCAAGGCCCCGATAGGTCGGGTCCTTGAACTCGATTTCGAAACATCCAGGTTTGCCTGGACGAGATGGATGGCCAAGCACTCGTCGAAGATGATCAGTGGGGTTTCCAGACACGGGTTCAGCTTTGCGATATCATGAGCGTTTAAGATGGACATGGCCCAGTACCCGATACCGTGGCTTTCAGAGGGACCGATTGCTGACTCTTGGGCACTTGTAGAGAGGCTCTTTTCAAACCCCGATGTCGTCCATCATCAGCCTCATGACGATCTAGCTTCGGAAGCCGCCCGCCCATCTCTTTCCTCTCCATATGACAGAGCCGCTATGGCGCCAGACTGCATCACAGAGACTTGGAGTCCAGAACTTGAACATATCTAGCAAGTAGCGACTTCAGGCCAACATCTTCCCGCCAGGAACCACCGTCCGTCCCCAACGCCCGCGATGAGTCCCAGACGCACACACTGTAGGAGGAGGCAATATTCTGTCATACTAAGCGTTCATTAGCTCGCCCGCCTAGTCGGGAGATGAGCAGCGCAATGATCACGGCGCTCACGGCCGCTCTTGTCATCACGACTCACCGGCACTGACGCCCTTCACTCATCCGCCGGCGTTCGGCCGGGGGGGTCCGAGTTCCCCCTCTCCTTTTACACCAAGGCGGCGGGCCAGACGCCCCGGGAAACATTGACCTCATGCAATGTCAACTTTTGTTGCGTTGTCATTTGCGGGCTCTCGGACTGGCGAAGGCTGCACTGACTTCTTTTCGCGTGCGTGGTTTTCTTTCCTTCTTGTCATTTCCTGCTAGTGAGATTGCGGGCATAACGTGACTTGCGGTGGTAATGTGAGGTTTTTGCTGGTCAATGAAAGCACGGGCGAAGCCAACCTCACGGGAAGGGAACGTGCGAACCAACTATTCACTCGGGACTCGATTGGCGCGACAAGCCACTTGGCTAGTCAACTCTTGTGTTATATGAGCCCTCTCGATCACCGTCTCCCAATGGCGTACGTAGTAAACATTTCCTCAGCAGAAATGTTGCATTGGTTAGGATCAATGTCGTTGCGAAACCGGAACTCGGACCTGCGCGGCGACGGGCCGGAGATTGTGATGACGTTTGCCATCGCCGCTTTCCTTCGGACACGGGGATTCTTCACCGTCTCTCCCCAATGGGATGGTCACGTTCAGACTGGATTCGAGCTTCCAGACGATAACGAGGTTGGTCCACTATGCGAGTCAATATGGACGGCGTGATAGAGACGCTCAACATGTGAAGAACATGTAAATGCCACGAGCCGTTGAGTACCTCATTGTTGTCGCGATACTATCGGACTGGACGGTAATAATTTGAGGCTACAACCGAGTCCTGCTCCGGTGCTCATACCCGGCATTTTGGTGGCACTTGTTCCATCGTTCGAGTGTTTCCAGTCAATAATGAGGACCAGGCCGTGTGGACTATCACAGGCCCAAATTCCCTGCAAGGCATGGCGAGTAAGTCAACCACTGTGGCTTGCTTCGGAGTGAAGTGAATTGACCGAGAGGAAGGTTGCGTGAAAGCATCACTGCGGTCACGGCCACGTCGATGATAACTCCTTGGTGGTCCGCTCTTGGTGAAAATTGATGAAGCATCTTCCAAGGACGTTTCCATGCGCAGATTGCCGTAGTCCGAGTCGCGTTTACTCATCTGCAAGAGTGTGTATGAGTCTGGCCATTCTAGTTTGTGGTGCCCTTGTCGCATCCAAATCACGATACGTTTTCTCAAATCATCTCCTACCATGGTACGCACCTGTCATTTCAACCATACAAATAAGACATGATGGAACAAACACCCAGACTATCTGGCCGTTCAAATTTACCTCATTACAACGGAAGTATGGTCCGGACAGCCCAGTGAGCCTACATGTCCTTCATTTCCCGTGTGAACGGTATTACGTATCAAACCACCTGAGCTTTGGTGGCCACGTCAAGTAGAGATGTACGTAGCATATGGCAGAAGAAGTGCCTCGTATTGCGACATCATATGTAGGCTATGTAAAAGCTGCACAGAGGGACGAGAAAGATGAAGTGAAAACGGGATGGACGAGCAGCCTGTCGTTGGCCAATGTCGGAAAAATTTGCAACATGGATCCAACCTCATCCAGGTCGCTGCCCCCAGTTCCATATGAAATCAAACCCAGTTCGGGAACCCTTTCCCTCTACATCGCACCTTAAATCCCTCTCAATACGACTGACGTCCTCCATCGTCTTGACCGTATCCTCCCCGCCGTCTTCGACGATAGACATCAACGATGGTCTTATCAGGCGCAGGATACCCGCGGTGGCTTCATCTTGAACTGACTCATCCGCCGCCCACGAGTTCCAAATCTTTTGCTCGCAGTTCTGGAAGCCCAACTTTTGGAACTTTTTGAGCAGGCCCATTGGAATCCTAGCACAGGTGTGAGCAATGAGACCTTTTGTCCCTTTTGGTTGCTGGCTATGCGAAAAGGAGGGAGGGGCAACGCCACAGCAGCGGGAACTACTCACAGTCTATCCCTCCCGACCTTCGCATCATGCTGCATAGTCACCCACCAGAACTCCTCGTACGCCCTGCTCAGCGGATAGAACCTGATGAACAGGTCACTTATGTCCTCCCAGAAAAGCCACCCGCCCGGCGCCAGCAACGCGCGCAGGTGCCCCACGGCGACGTCCCAGTCGTCCTTCTTCAGCCCCAGCGCGAGCAGCCGGACGTGCACGAGGTCGAACGTACCCCTGAACTCTGCGGGAAACGGCTGGAGGACGTCGTGCTTCCGGAACTCAAGTGTCGGCTGCTGCTGCTGCGGCGGCGGCATCGGCGGCGTCGGCATTTTGAGCTGGTCAAAGTCGAAGCCGTAGAGCTCCGACCTCGGCGGGACGATCTCAGAGACGGACGTCAGCCAGACGCCGCTTCCCGTCGCCACATCTGCGATCCGCGGGGGCCGTCCTTCTTGGGCTCGGAGGGCTGAGAGGATGTGTGGCGGGAGGAGGTCGCCGGTGAGGGGCAGCCAGACGTGGAAGTGGTTGTAGGCCAGGCGCTCGCGCTCGTCGTCGATGCTGCCGCGGTTGAGGTTGTAGATTGTGTCGGTCCAGGAGGCGTTTGCGGGTGCTTGAGGTTCTGCCATGTTTGATGGCTCCTTTGACGGTGATTTGCGTGTGAGGTCACGTTCACTTCTCAGATTACTTCATCGTCAACGTGCCCCTTGGGATGGGAATTGGATAGATGTGTACTTTCGTTGGAGCTGGCATCTTACATCTGTCGCAGTTAATGTACAGCAGGTCACTTGTCCCGCAGCCTCCGAGTCCATCAGCCCCCTCTCATCCTGCGTGTAATTGGCTTCGGCATCTTGATAGGTGGATAGAAGCTGAGCATCCTGGGCCGTGGTGTGATGCTCTGAGCTTCATCCTCGAGCTCCGGCATTCGCTTTACCCCTCATTGACAGATGACAACTCTAATCTCCAAATCTACGCCATGTGGTGTCACTCGTGGAACTTCGGAGAGGAGGTGAACGATGCGGGGAAGAAATTCCGGAGCATGTTACCCGGTCTGAGCTTGAGGTGTTGTAGTCGAAAAGTTGTGCTCATCTCTCATGTCGAGCATCATTCTATCCAACATCAGACTTCCTCTACCAAACAATCCCTCTTTATTCTGTAACTCTATCTGACCATGGGACTTTGATAGCTCCACAAGCTTGGCAAGCCACTCCTCCGACTATCCTGGACTGCACATCATATCCCAATCACGCCCGTCGATGAGCTTCTCATCACCTCCCACCGCTTGCTCTTGCCTCTCATACAGCCACAGGAAACAAAGACTCCCGTTCTCGCCGTGCTCAAGATCGAGAAGCCGGCTAGCCGTGATGGTGTAGTTTGGCAGGAAGACGACGTTGGTCTGCAAGTCAATCATACTGCTCCGAGGCTTGCCACAACTGTCAGAAACTTTGTCACGGGAATCGGGGAGAGGTTGTCGGCTGAGACTGTCAAAGGATCGACGAATGTTGCCTGTTTGTTTCGATCCGCACGCCACGGGAAAACCCATCTCTTCAAAGGTTGAAGGATTGCGTTTGAGGGCTGACGGGGTTGGAGAAGGGGGGGGAGAAGATTGTGATGAGGAAGAAAAGGAGATAGAAGCACACGGAGATTGATCACGTATCTCACCTTGGGCGGGCTGAACGGTAGCGAGCTGTGCGTTTGGTGGCGTTGCAGGTACACATCGAATAGTTGGTAGGGTGCCTCCAGCAGTATCCCGGCTTTGCGCTTCTCGGCCCTGGGGGTTGGATTCGAGCTGGTCGACTTGCCGACTTGGAAGCGAGGCATCTCTCAGGTTCTCGCTAGGCCTCTCATCTCCAGTTGATGGCTGGTATGCTCTGTGTTGTTTCGTAATGGTCAAAGGGGCGGGCTGGTCTGAGTTAGGTCACGATAGGCTCTCGGGACATTCAGATGTCTTATTCACCTTCAAAGATGCTCGGGTAGCAGAGTCCAAGCTCGTCGACCTGACCGAAGCAGACCCGGGCTCCGGTTCAACATCTCGATCATAGGGCTCCGGACGACTGCAATCTGCCCGCGAACGGCCTCGATCAACGGTCGCCTCGGCAGCGTCTGCGGGACAGCGACCCCTCGCAGGCCTCTCGCGGTTCAATGAACCCCTCGATAGCTGTCTAGTTTGGTAAAGCCGCGGACTGCTCAAGCTCTGGCTGCGATGTCTCCGGGACTTCGTGCCGGAAAAGGACCTCTGAAGGCTGGACCCGCGCTCAGGGAGTACGGGTTGTCTTGCCGTCATAATCCTGGGTCCCATCGGTTGCTGTCTTTGCTTCACTGGGTCGGGAACCGAGGTGGTGGTGGCCTGGTTTCCGGGTACGCTCGGCCGTTTCTGCCATACGTTTTCTAGAAGCTGTGGCATTTCGCGCACTTGTTGTATCGGAGGTTGTGATTGTCCCTGCTGCTGTTCTATTTGTTGTTGTGGCTCTTGCTGGCCATGTTCTACCCGTGACCCTTCTTGCTCTAGTCCAGGGGGCGACGCAGGATAAGGGGGCCCTTTAACCGCTGGTTCTAGTTGTGTTTGCCTTCGCTGGCACTCATGCTGCTGCTGCTGCTCCGATGTCACCGGTACCTCTTCTTCTCGTCGCTGCCGTGGCTGTTCTTCTTGCCTCGGTGGCAACGTCTGCTGACGAGACTGTATCTGCGGTTGTGAATAAGTGTAAGCTTGTGGGGGATAGCCTTGCTGCTGTGCTTGCTCTTGATACTGAAGGCGTTGAGGGAGCTGGAGACGCTGAAACTGCTGCTGCGGCTGAAGAACCGTCGGAGGCACCGCGACACCAGCAGTGGCCGCGGGAGGAACCTGCGGAACGGAGGGGATAGCCATCGTCGTAGCCCCAACCCCGGTTGCGATACCTGTGAGGGCCAGAGGCGGAGGCGACACCGCCTGCGCGCCCCTGCAGTATATGACCAAGTGGCCCATCAGCCAGGGTCCAGAGACCCCAAAGACGATGCCAGCGAAGGCAACGGCGGCGTTCTCGGGAACGGCTGCCCTTTCACCGATGCTGTACACCAGGACGACGACGGTGAAGATGATGAGAATGAGGATCATGGCCGTGGGGAGGATCTTTGCGGTGTAGTCGTGGATGACCCTGTCTGTCGTTGGGCGAGGCATGTTGAAGAGGCAGAGGGTGACTTCTTCTTGTTCGAGCTGGTATCAATTCTACTGTTTTGAGACGTTCAAGGTGACCGAAGCAGTGCTCGTTGACTCCAGGTAATGTGGTCGAGCTTTACGACTTGTGCTGAACCTGGGATATGTAGGGACTTTTGGGACCACTCTCTTGATGAAAATGACTATTTAACTAGCTGGTTGAAAGACGCGAGAAAGCTTTGGTCCACACTGGTAGGCAGACGAACTCATGATATCATTCTAGATTTCCCCCCATGCTTCGTAGCAGTGTACAGGAACGTGTCTCATATCTCTCATAGAAGGCGTTTGCTTGACAGACGCATGCTTAAAACACAAAGAATGACGGTAAAACAATTTTTGTCTATTGAAAAGAAAAAGCCGAGCCAACCCCCCCTTTCAAAAAGAAGAGGCTTCCAAAGAAAAACATCACCAGTCATCAAGGACGCCGGTAGGGTTCATAGTGAGACCGCGGTCTCGTCGCCTCCCCTTCCTCCCGAACGAGCCATTGGCTAAAAGAAACCGGCGTGGCAGGCAACTCGACAGGGACGGAGACGCTGCCGTCGCGGCCGACGGAATCCGGACTGTAGTGTTTCCACGTGAACTGCTTCGTCAACGGCGGCTTCATCTTCACGGCGTACGCCGGCGGCGGCGAGGTGTACCGCGGCAGCGAGACGTCTTGTTCAGAGTTATGTTCACGGAGCTGTTGCCAGGGGCGGGTGAGGAACTCTGCGGGCCCGACGACGCTTTCGGATATGGACCGTCTCTTGAACCAGACGAGGCACGTCAAACCGGCGACCGAAGCAATGGCTGCGATGGTGGTGCCTGCAATGATGCCGCCACGGGTCTCGGTTTCTGAGGGCGATGTTGCTGCCGACGGGGTCGGGGACTCGTGGCCCAGGGTGGCAGATGGTGTTGACGACGCAGCTGGAATAGTCTCGACGGTTGTAGCTGTCGCTTCCTGGGTGAGCGTCGGCATTGCACTTGTCGCAATTGTCTTTGTAGATGAGACTGACGTGCTGGTGGTCTGAGGCCCCTCCGGGTCGACATCCCAGAAGCAGACAGAATCGGCCCGGCAGGTGTACCCAAACGGACAACAACTACTTCCGCATTGTGGTAGGGATTGCTTGAGTCTCGTGGTATGGATCGGGCTCGTCGGGTTCCTGACCACGTCTTGCAGACTGACATCGCAGGTGATGGGCGCGAGAATGTCGCATGAACTCCCCTTTGGACAGCACAAGACGGTGGTCCTCTCTGCCAGGATCATGCAGGTCGTGTCGATGGGACAGCAAAAGTAGTCTGCCATGCCGTTACCACAGGTCGTGTATCCTTCGACGGGGCAGCTGGCGTCGGCGAGTGATGTGGCTCTGGGTGTAAGTTGGTGGCTGACATTATGAAGTTGGGAGGCTGACGGCGAGCGAGGTATGATCTTCAGCGCGGAGACGAGGTGTCGGTTGCAGAGTAGCCAGCCACATATGCATAGCCTCTTCCAACTTCCTGTTGAGGCCATGTTGTTAATAAAGATTAGAAAACAATTTCCGAATTGATACGGCTGCAAGAAGTAAGTAGAGATGGAGGGAGTATAACATTCAAAGGAAACCCAACCAAGAGAAAGGCCAGCAACTCGAGAAAATGCCATGGGCAGGATCGTGTACGCAGAGGAAGTCATGGTATATCAATATCTCGTCTCCCCCAGGACACCATACCCAGTAACGGCCCTGTTGGTTCTAGTCGACGAGCGGACCAACCGATGGACATGACCTGCCGCGATGATGGGGCTTGATGTTCGGCGCAGACCCGCTGCCCTCGTCGTCGCCAAGCGCGGCCAATCAGATGAGCCGTCTACGCGCGAACACTTACAACCCAACGCCGCTCCAACAGCAGACGCCAACCTGCAGCAGGACGAGGCAGCAGAGAACGAGGGCAGCAGTGCTAATTTACCGTTGCGTCGGTGCCGTCTAGGTCATGCGAGTGGGCAGACACGAGGGTCAGATGCAAGTGTACCTTGCAACGTCTCAGAAGGAAGGCCAAAAACGGGAAAGCGGGTTGGCGTGAAGCCCAATTGTGGCATTCTGGCGCTTGTTTTCCTTGTCCCTCTCGCGGGCCTGGGTACAGGACCCGGATGGCACGATACCAGGTTGTCGATAAGGCAGGCGAGACAATCTCGGTCCCGGGAGAACGGTCACGGCGGCTATGATGTTTGCGCCCGGGACCCAAATTTCACCTGTCCGGTCTTTGTAGAGCATGCAAGGCGGGTCTCAAAGAACGGTCTGGGAGAAGGTCGATCAAACGCGGTGGGCGAAGCGAGGCATACACTCCCGCGACGCGGCAGGATTTTCTGAGCTGTTGAAGCTGGGAGGTTGAATGTCGGAAAGACCAAGGAGTGCCGTCGAGTAAGGGGTCCAAAATGTTGGATTACCACGTTGACTACTTGACGTGTGTTGTGGCGGGACGAAAGACACCGTCACGGCCAAAAAGCCAGACGTGTATCGGCGCGGCCTTCTCGGAACGAATTGCCGGGTTCGGGCGACGTCGGCGTGGGATTCTCGGGGTATATGGGGCCGGAACCCGGAGCCGGGTTTGGTGCTGCCGGGTCGCACACGGAACCGCATTGTGCTCCCGAGCGTATGCCGCCTCTTTTTGCAATGCGCATTACAATGGATTGTCGTGGAGCACTTCAGCCGCCTCGACCATGATAATTGCGAATTGAACGCCACAAGAACTGCATCGTCACCTTTGGGTGCGCCAAGCGCCAATCCAGACTAAAGCAACAAATGAGTCTACATGACGCAGCCTTCCCTCAAATGTGAGGGATGGCGTGCAATCGCGCACCTCGACACGCGGGAGAGAGCACTGGCCCACCAAGCGAATACAAGACGTCATGAGACATGTCCTATGCTCCGGCCATGACTCTTCCTCGCGTCCTTTGGCCTAATCCATCCACGGCTTGATTAATTGCGAGCCTAGAACCGTCATGCTTTGACAATGGAACTTAGACCGAGGCAAAATCCCTACTCGGAGCGGGTATTGAAGGCCAACAAAGGAGCGACAGGGGTATGGAGGGGTGTCAGCTGATGTCAGTGCCAAAACCACAGCATCTCCAGCGGTCCCTCCACCGCATCTTGAGGGAGACGAGGCGACTACAGGTGCTTATGGTGGGGTTCCATTACCTTAGTAAATCCCGCCTGTTCTCGGCTTCTTTCCCCAGACGAAAGCCCCTCCCGATCCCCCGAGATCCCGTCGCATTTCTCAAACGACCACCTACCAAAATATCCCAGTTTCCGAAATTCCCATCCCTCCCTCCCTCCATCACTCAGAGTTCGAACACTTTCTCCAACTCTCCCACCTCTTCGGTCCGTTATCAGAGTTCCATCCTACAGGAAACCCCCCCCCCCCCCCCCCCCCCCCACCCCCCCCCCCACCCCCACACCCCCCCCCCCCCCCCCCCCCCCCCCGAGTTACCCTTTCCCCCACTCCCCCCCCCTCCCCCATTACCAAGTCCCCCCCCCCACCCCCCCCCCCCCCCCCCCATCCAATATTCGGCATCCAATTGGAAACAAAAACCGCTCTTCCAGCCTTCCACGTCCCCCTTCAGTTCGTCTCTTGCTGCAACATGCTCAGGACCATCGCCCCCCGAGCCGCGAGGTATGCATCATACACCGCAGTCAAAGTGACATGTGAAGGTCTCACACCCCAATCTCTCCGGTTTAGGCGCGCCGCTGTATTCGCAGTAGCACCCCGCATCACCACATGTGGCACCTTCGGATCCGCGAGCAGATCTCTCTCTGTCTCTGCAACCGCCGCCGCCGCCCAGTCTCAGCTCAATGCCAAAGTCGTAGAAGACGGCGTGCAAATCAACGGGCTGACGGGAGTATCTGCCCGTAGATCGACGCTGTAAGTCGGGCCCAGCCCACCCACACCGGGCTGCTTTGCCGTCACCCCCCTCTCTCAACCCCCCGTGTCGTCGGCCCCCCAACGGCTTCGGCTCCGGCTCCGGTCGACCGGTCCATCACCACGCGACATCTTACAGGCCTCAACTAACTCCAACTCTCCAATCTAGCCCGCATTTCTGGCTTAGGTATGTTGTAAACCGTGAATTGCAGGATCCTCCTCGTCTGATTAACACACCACCGCCAGAGACAACTGTCGTTGCAGCAAGTGTGTGAACCAAGACACCACACAACGAAACTTTGATACATACGCCGTAAGCCTGCCACCTGATCATCGTGACTTCGACTGCAACCCTCAGCAACCTTCCAAAAAATATCGTCCCGACTAATAATGCAACGGGGGCATAAACTGTAGATCAGCCAAGACATCCGGCCCTCCAACATAAAATCGGAAGAACAGGGCATCAAGGTGACATGTGAGTGTGCAACTCATAAAAGTCCTCGTATGCGTTTGAGGCATTAGATTGACAGTGATGCGACCACAGGGGAGCAGGATGGTCACCAGAGCTTCTATCCCTGGCAGTTCATCAAGCACTATCTGCAGAATGATCACCGCAGTCCGGAGCAGGTCAAGTGAGGCATCTCACCACACCCTTAAAACACTGACCTGTCACTGACTTTACCCAAGCTATCACTTCTGGGGTTCCGACGTTGGCAACAGGCGCCCCGTCGTTGAGTACGACCACCTCATGTCCAAGAAAGACGAGTCGGGCGTCGCAAAGTTGACAAACCTCATCGTAAGCAAGGCATCGTCTACTTTGGCGCGACAGTAGACTGACACGGCGCAGCGCCAGTACGGCTTCGCCTTCGTTGACGGCACACCCTACGACACACCCGACCCGACGCAGCGCGTCCTGGAGAGGGTCGCCTTCATCCGTGAGACGCACTACGGCGGCTTCTATGACTTCGTCCCGGACCTCGCTATGGCCGACACCGCCTACACCAACATCGCCCTCCCGGCGCACACGGACACGACCTACTTTACGGACCCCGCCGGCCTGCAGGCCTTCCACATGCTCTCCCACGAGGCCCCGCCGGGACAGCAGCTCCCCGAGGACGGCAAGCTGGGAGGAGAATCGCTCCTCGTGGACGCCTTCTACGCGGCCCAAATCCTGCAAAAGGAGGACCCCGCAGCGTACGACATCCTCTCCAAAGTGCGCCTGCCCTGGCACGCGAGCGGGAACGAGGGCATCACGATATCCCCCGACAAGAGGTACCCCGTGCTCGAGATCGACCAGGAGACGGGTAAACTGCATCGGGTGCGGTGGAACAACGACGACCGCGGCGTCGTGCCCTTCACCGAGGACGTTTCGCCGACGGAGTGGTACGCGGCGGCCCGGAAGTGGGATGCCATTCTTCGGAGATCCGACGTCGAGTTTTGGTGGCAACTAAAGCCCGGTCAGGTTTTGAGTGAGTGCCATGTTGGTGTCTTGCGTGAAACGACGCAATGCTGATCAGATTCGTGTCCAGTCTTTGACAACTGGCGTGTGATGCACGGCAGAAGTGCGTTTGAGGGACGAAGACGCATCGCCGGTGCCTACAGTGAGTTTCTCGAGATTGCAAACCTGCGTGTGTAAAACGATTATAACACCGTCATAGTTAACCGAGACGACTTTGTCTCCCGTTGGAGAAACACCAACTTCCCCCACGAACACGTCCTGAACCAGGTTGTTGGCTAAAGAGAAGGCATGACAAGGTGTCAAAGTTTGGGTAGAGTTGCATTGGCATGTGAAGGCGAAATGGTTCGCGAACAAAGGCGCAAAGAGGAAACCGTTGATATCATCTCATCCGTTCATCTTCATCGCTGCGTTGGCCCGACCCGGCCGGTTTCGTTTCTGGCAGGTCTCGTGTGGCCGGCGGGTCCCCTGTAACTAAAGCGGCTGTAGTTTACACGTGTAGAAGCGCGCCAGTCGAGTCAAGGCGGGGGATGTGCGTTTTAGCCCCGATGGCCCCGCGATTCAGGACCTTGCCATTGAGCAAATCCGCCGTGTAATTGACATTTGCATCTTGACACGGCCCAGTTCAGGAGCAATGCGACCCGAAGAGCCCCGAAGGCCAGGAACCCATGGCGCCAGGTTCCCCCCACAAGAACCTGGAACCCACCCTGGCGATGGCCGAGGATGAAGAACACATGAGACATGCAGCAGAAGGCAATGGCCATGCGGAGGCATCTCCCCAGTACCGGCTTCAGGGTCAATGACGGCTTTGAGACGCGCACTGGCTGCTGCCGCTACCATGGACCCCTCCATCCGTTTTAGCGTCGAGCGGCACAGCAGACAGCTCCCTCGAGCCCCACAGCATCACCTCGCTGTCGATTGTTCCGGCGCATGAGCCAGGGACTCATTGCCGCGGCGCGCTGGCCATACTAAGGTAGTATTAGTATTAGCTCCTCCCTCAAGGGCCGCTTCGTGGAATCGTCGAGTGGAATCCTCAGTATCTTGGAGTGTGGTGAAGCTTTCTCCCTAGAACCTTGTTGAGTTAATTAGCAAAAAAGAGACCCTCTTGCGGCAATATCCTCCCCGCCGACGCTTGTTAAAATGTTCCGCCACACCCTTCGCGCTGCGGTCTCGCGGCCTCGAAACCTTTGTGTCCCTCGTGCCGCAACCGCCAGCAATCTCGCGAGATTACAGCCCTTTTCCACGACAATCGCAAGAATGGCCGACATGAAGGACGGTGCTTTCAAGCACGATGCCACCGTGGCACCACAAAGCACTCGTGTGCTGCCTCTGTTCTCTCTCAAGGGCAAGACGGCTATTGTCTCTGGAGCCGGTGCTGGTATTGGCTTGCAAATCGCCCATGCCTATGCCGAGGCGGGTGCCAACGTTGCAATCTGGTACAACAGCAACAAAAAGGCCCTGGACCGTGCTGCCGAGATCGAGAAGGAGTACGGCGTCAAGTGTACGTGAAGGCGCCATAGGAAGACGTCTAAGTTGTGTTGCTAATCCTTCCGCAGGCAAGGCGTATCCGGTGAACGTCACGTCCCACCAAGCCATTCAGGAGTCGATCCAGCAGATCGTGTCTGAATTCAACGGCCGCCTCGACGTCTTCGTTGCCAACTCGGGCATCGCGTGGGAGGAAGGCCCTTTGATCGACGGACCGATGGACGTTGCGGACAGGGTCATGGCCGTCAACGTCAATGGCACCGTCTACTGCGCCCAGGTTGCCGGGGAGCACTTCCGCAGGCAAAAGAAGGAGGGTACGACGCTCGACGGTAAGAAGCTCGAGGGCTTCACCACCGGCAGCTTCATCGCCACCGCCAGCATGAGCGCTCATGTTGTCAACATCCCGCAGGCGCAAGCGGTGTACAACGCGTCCAAGGCAGCTGTCGTCCACCTCTGTGAGTGCTGCAGTCCTGGCGTGAAGCAAACGGGGCTGACAAATGAACAGGCAAGAGCTTGGCCGTTGAATGGGTCGATTTTGCCCGCGTGAACACCGTCTCGCCCGGATACATCAAGACTGAGATCACTGCTTTTGTCGATGCAGAGTCCAAGAAGCAGTGGAGGAACAAGACTCCGATGGGGTGAGTTGATGAGATGCAGAACGCGTGAATTCATGGGCTGACATGGCAAACAGACGCGAGGGAGAACCCAGCGAGCTCAAGGGCGCTTATTTGTACCTGGCATCGGACGCCGCCTCATACACTACCGGCTCTGATCTGGTCGTCGACGGAGGGTACTGCTTGCCATAAAGAGCGAAGGACGATGATACCCATGAGGATGCCGTAAATATGGAAGATGAAAGGGCACCGTGGCGGACCCGGAGGATACATTGGCCGGCTAGCAAGGGGTTCGGAGGCTACTTGATGAGTCGATAAACCGACTGGAGCTTGCTCGCGAGGCGTATCGAGGTCATTGGCTCGAATGCGGCAGCGACGACAGACTGTTCAGCATCTTTAGGTCCCAGGGATACCATGCCTATGGATAGAATTGCAGCCGATAGACTGGATAGAGGTAGAAGAAAGCTGGCGCGGATGACTGAATGATGACATTTGAACATACTTGGCCGCCGAGGATCATCTCTCACCGGATTCTGGCTCGCGTGTGGTGCGAAAACGTGGAGGAGGGGCTGGCGAGCGGGTTGTGTCCAATGCGCGTCGTGATATTCCATTCTTGGCTGGTCAAGTCCGAGGTGAACCGTGCTGCATGCAATTGGAGGTGAAGCGAAGTGGAAAAAGCGCTGTACGGATACTGTTCGGTGGATGAGGGGGAGGGGAAAGGGTCCAATCCATGCAGCGTCAAGGTAAGGTACGTACTGCTCTTTTCCTGGCGGAAGTGGGGGGAACAGCAAAGGCAACTGGGTGCCTGTGGCTGCCTCTCTTGTGAGTACGTGAGCCATGGTGAGAGGGGTGTCACGTCAAGGTACTTCACTCGGTACACAATTTTGCGGCGGGTTGGATGTATACCAAGCCTCAGCGTCCCGCCGTCCGCGGGCATTTGGCGTCTGCCACCTGCCAATTCATCTGAGGTGAGGTGTGCGTGTTCACAGCTCCCAGCTTACTTGAGCGACAGCACCAGCACCCTGACGTGCCCTGAATTGGCGATGTGGATCGCTGACAGTAGAGTCTCTATTCGTACTTTAGTGGTCGGGTAGGTGTCGCCAGGAGTGAGGGCGCCTCCCGTACTCAGGTACCACCAAAGGTAAGGTAGCGTTAAGTGGCCACGCCCGCGTAGCGAGCCTAGAAACTGGAGACTGACGACTGGACCTTCACTGCCAGACTGGACCTGGCCAAGTGCATCCCATCCCATCCCAATTCCCTTCACCCAACTCCCCCTTCTCAGCCCTATCTTTCTCACCTCAATTTTTACCCCTCGCCTCGCATTGCAAAGCCTGGTCTCGTCTCGTCTCGTCTCGTGCCCAACGACCTCGCCCCAACCCACCTCGCCTCTTTGCAGGCCCCCATCGCGACTTGATCCAGAGCTGGTTCTCGCCTAGCCGTCCCTCACCGCTCTGTTCTCTGCCACCCGAGTACCTTCGTATCCATCATAGATACCCCTTTCGCTTTCGCCGCGTCACATCACCAGCCATCATGGACCCCGAGGGAGCCAGCACGCCTGGCGACGGCCACCGCACCCAGCAGCAGGTCGACAATGCCATCCGCGCCATTCGCGAGAAGAAGCCCCTGCCCGAGATCGACTTCACCATTCATACCATGGAAGATGGCACTCAGGTGAACACCATGGAGCGAGTCTGCAAAGGTACGCTTGATACCCCATCCACGCTACGCTACCCGCCAGCCTCGCCGTCATCGCGAGTCTTGAGCGCTGCGAATCCCCTCGTTTCTCTGCAATCCAGGTTCAACAGGCCTTTGCTGGCGCTAACCTCATTTCCTTGTCACAGATGTCCAGGCCCCCGCCATGTTCACGCCCTCTGACGAGCAATTCTTCGAGGACGAAACCCACACAAAGCCCAACATCAACTTCCTCAAGCAGCACTTTTACCGCGAGGGTCGCTTGACCGAGGAGCAGGCTCTATGGATCATCAAAACGTGCACCGAGGTCCTCCGCGCCGAGCCCAACCTGCTCGAGATGGATGCGCCCATCACCGTCTGCGGTGACGTCCACGGCCAATACTACGACCTCATGAAGCTGTTCGAAGTTGGAGGCGACCCCTCTGAGACGCGCTATCTTTTCCTCGGTGACTACGTCGACAGAGGTTACTTCTCCATCGAGTGCGTCCTGTATCTGTGGTGCTTGAAGATTCACTACCCAAAGACCCTTTGGCTGCTTCGCGGCAACCACGAGTGCCGCCACTTGACCGACTACTTCACCTTCAAGCTGGAGTGCAAGCACAAATACTCCGAGGCCATTTACGAAGCCTGCATGGAGTCTTTCTGCTGCCTGCCCCTGGCTGCTGTCATGAACAAACAGTTCCTGTGCATTCACGGCGGTCTGAGCCCGGAGCTTCACACACTCGACGACTTGCGCAGCGTAAGTATCCCTCTCGCCTCAGCACGCGCATTGCAACTAACAAGATGCCCTCGCAGATTGACCGTTTCCGCGAGCCGCCCACTCAGGGTCTCATGTGCGACATCCTCTGGGCCGACCCTCTCGAGGACTTTGGACAAGAAAAGACCAGTGACTACTTCCTGCACAACCACGTCCGCGGATGCTCCTACTTCTTTTCATACCCGGCCGCATGCGCATTCCTCGAGAAGAATAACCTTCTTTCCGTCATTCGTGCCCACGAGGCGCAAGACGCAGGCTACCGCATGTACCGCAAGACTCGCACCACGGGTTTCCCCAGTGTCATGACCATCTTCTCCGCGCCGAATTACCTCGACGTCTACAACAACAAGGCCGCCGTGTTGAAGTACGAGAACAATGTCATGAACATTAGGCAGTTCAACTGCACGCCCCACCCGTACTGGCTGCCCAACTTCATGGACGTCTTCACTTGGTCTCTGCCCTTCGTCGGTGAAAAGATTACCGATATGCTCATCGCCATCCTCAGCACGTGCTCGGAGGAGGAGCTGAAGGAGGACGCCACTCCGTCGTCCACATCGCCCGGCCCCATGTCGCCACCCCTCTCCGGCGCCTCGCAAGATCCCGAGTCGATCGAGTACAAGAGACGGGCGATCAAGAACAAGATTCTGGCCATTGGTCGTCTTTCGCGTGTATTCCAGGTGTTGCGCGAAGAGTCTGAGCGTGTCACTGAGCTGAAGACCGTCTCCGGTGGCAGACTTCCTGCTGGTACGCTGATGCTGGGTGCCGAGGGTATCAAGAACGCCATCAACACATTCGAGGATGCTCGCAAGGTCGATTTGCAGAACGAAAGGCTTCCCCCCAGCCACGAGGAGGTTGTGAAGCAGCAAGATGAGGACAGGAAGCAGGCACTGGAGAAGGCGGCCGTGGATGCGGCCAACGACAAGAAGCTCCAGCAATTGTCTAGGAGATTGAGCACGTGAGTTACTGTGCAACGCCCCTTTGAATGCCTATGACTAACATATCGATAGCGACCGCAAGAGTCACAAGGGATGAGACGGCAACCCTGGGGTAGAGGTGTTGGTGATAGAAGGCCCGTGGCGGATGATAGCACACTAGGGCGTCAAGGCTTGGTTTGTTTCAACAGATTAGCTCAGCTAGGAAAGCTGGCATACGAATACAATTTCAAAGCATTTCAACTTCAAGTCTTGTTCTTTTGGGTTTGGGTTGATGATCATGTGCCAAAGTTCGTCGTTGCCCAACATAGGTAATATAGCAGAGCAGATGGGGTGAGAGAGCGTAACCCTCCATACATGAGTTTTTCCGGGTGGCTACATCATCCTGATGATTTGATCGCAGGCACCCTCGACAATCTTGTTTTGTTTCTTTCAAGCTGACAGTCAATGTTACACCTCCACCTTGTTCAAAATTGATAGCGTTTTACATTCGCTCACAGCAGGCAGCTTTGTATACCGAAGAACGCGAACGGACCAACAGACTTTAAAAGATTGCCAGAATGTTGGGAGGGCTTCACGCCGTGTTAGCCAATACCAGAAAAAGTCTCCCATCGGAGGGAAAGAAACTCACCTCGCAACCCCGCCGGGGACGTTACACGGCTCGCTCGCGACGAAGAAGCTCCACCGGCCCTCGCGCTTGCACTGGGCGGCGAGGGCCTCGAGGTCGAAGAGCTCGCCGATGGGCATGCCCCAGCCGGCGAGCAGCACCTCGTGCATCCAGTGGCGCGGGTCGCGGTGCGGCCAGCACTCAAAGGAGGGCTGGTCGCCCGCCACGGCGGAGAAGTTGTCCCAGACCCAGCGGAGGGTCTCTTCGGACTGGGCTACGCCGCTAAAAGTTTGCGGGACGGCGGCGCGGAGGGTTTCGAGGTCCGCAGGGGATTTTGCGGCGTGGTGTGCCATGAAGCCTGCGGATGGTTTTTGACTGTCAAGATTTGAAAGTCTGCGTGATGTTGTGTGCGTGATGAGAGAAGTATGGAGTGGGAAAGGGTGCGGGAGGGAGGTTACCTGTGCGGGTTATGAGGATGTCGCCGAACTTGACCTCGGTGCCCTGCGCCTTGAGGCAGGCCTGGAGGTCTGAGATGGGGATGGAGTCGCGGGCGAAGGGGTCGTAGGGGATGTTCTGCTCGAGGCGCCAGGTGTGGTAGTCTACGAGGATGCCTCTGCCGACGATGCCGTGCTTTTGCCACGCTTTCTCGACTGTCAGCTCACGCGTTGATAGTCCTCAAAGCATCAAACCCAGGCTCAATCTTCGAGGACACGAGGTTACTTTATAGAGAAAGAGACAGAAGGGGACACGGATGGACTTTACCTTGGATGCCGTTGACAGTCGACCGTCTGCCGTCGTCGCTCACGGCGTGGACCTCGTCCATGGAGACGCCGTTATAGAACTTCTCCTCCTTTTGGTAGCCAAAGTGGCGGAGTCCGTCCCACTGCGACGAGGACTGCGAGTTGAAAGTCCACTCGTCGTCGTTGACGAAGCGCGGGTGTTTGCGGTAGAGGTCGTGGTGGAAGGCGCGGCGGGCGAAGAAAGGGGCTGGTTGGGCTGTCAGGGACCAGTTGAGAGAGACTCTGTGTCCATCGCCAGTTTGCAATGTTATTGTTCAGGCAAGCTTTGAGTTATGGTATTGAGGCTGTGACGTGGCGGGATGATGATGATGGATGTGCCCCGACTGAGACTGAAGTGAGATTGGTGTTGTTTACCTTGCGCCCGTCTTGATCTCATCCCTCGCAGCGGCGGCGACGCGCTCGTCGGTTAACCTGTTTAGGGATCCCAGCTCGTCCTTGTCGCCGTAGAGGCCCCAGGCGGAGAACCTGGGGTCGTCTTTACCAAGGGGGAGCGATTCGAACGGCGGGATGCCGTTCTCGTTGAGGGAGAACTTTGAGGAGGCGGGCGCCATGGTCTCGTCGGATTTGGGGGAGGAGGTCTGTGTGAGCTGGTTGCCGAGCTGATGTAAACGCTTCATTGCCATGACTCTAGCCTGAGATATTTTGGTTCCTATTGTGGGGTTTGTGTGATTCAACAGTGCTCAAGGTGCGTATGGCTGTGTCTGATTCATGAGAGGCTCACTTGTTCGACGGAGTAGGTGATGTTGTCTTGGGCCTGAGCCCGTCATGCAGGCGCTTCTCCGCACTTTGTGAGGAAAACCGATGTCATTGACGAGTGACATAACCGCCATCCGGTCTCTTATTCCCGGGCAGGACAACATCGTCCGGGAGAGGGGTGCCGTCGTGCAGGACGCATGAAAGTTTGCCGCGCAATTGGCTAGCGGCGGTGATGCGAGGAATTTGATGTTCATGAGAATGAAGACCACGACAATACCGATGGAGACGTTCACGATGGTTATACGATGGTTGATCGGGAGCAACATGCGAACTGACAGCACTCTCATATATGCGTTTCATTCATGTCCAGCGCGAAGAATAAGACCTGAGGTGCTGGAACCTGCACAGGGAGTCGACTTTTGCGTCGTTCATGCTTGAATAATGTTTGAATCAAATTCTGATGCTGAGGGGGAACACATCAGTTCCACTTCCCCTCTATCCTGTCTATTCTAATTCCCCTTCAACTTATCCCAAAATGAGCTCGGGGCCTTTTCGGCTGGTGAGGGTGACAGGACTATCGTATTCCAAACGATTTCGCCGTCGATGTACAGGTTGTACTTGAGGGAGCTCTGCTCACCCTCGGCGAGGTTCTCGATCGTGAGAGAGCCGAACTTGGAATTTCCCGAATGGATATACCTAGAAAAATGTTAATCATTGGCCAATAGGGACCTTGCAATCTGCACTTACTTGAGAGATACATCCTCATCGTCAGTCTGCCTGTAGCTCGGCAAAGGCGACGCGAACTGGTTCAGAGGGCTGCATGAGAACTCGTACGCAGCGGCGCTCTCCGGCCATCTTCCGCCAGCGGGAGGGGGGAACTTGGTAGCCGCAAACTCGTGACGATCGCCAGAGACGACAACAACACCAACGCCCCCTGCGCCGGCATCCCACATGGCTTCGAGAATCCTGCGCCGCTCCACCAGGAAACCTCCCCATGTATCTTTGCGGTTGATGGGCCAGTTTTTGGTGAGGGGAATCGACGAGGCAACAATTTTCCACTTCACTCCCTTGGGCTCGGGCCGGCTCAGCCAGGCGAGGAAGTCTTCCAACTGCTCAGCACCCAGCATCGTCTTCTCCGGGCTGTCGGAAGGAACGTCATTGTCGGACCGGTACGAGCGCGTGTCGAGCATGAAGAAGCTCGCGGGGCCCTGGACGAACTCAAAGTAGGTAGCGCCTCGTCTCCGAAGGTTCGTGGTCCCGGCAACACGGGCAGGAGGTGGGTTGGCCAGCTCCTGGTAGTGGTGCCAAGGTTCAATTGCGGCCCGGTATACACCAGTGGTGTTTGAAGACCAGTCATTGCTAATCTCATGGTCGTCGAGAACGTGGATCCAGCTGAGGTTCTGTGCCACAGGTGCCCAGTCCGGAGAGGCATAGACATGGCGGTACTTCTGGCGATAGTCCTCCTCGTGCTTGCCCTGGCGTTTGGGTACGTCGATGTAAATGAAGTCGCCTAGGAAGAGCATGAACTGAGCCTGCAAGTTGGGCAGAACTCTCGCCAGATGCCGCATGCCCGGAATGGCCAGGGGATGCTCAAAGGGGTCGTATGGGAAGCGCGGGAGGATGCACGAGGTGGACAAGAAAGTAAACTTATTGTCGGCAAAGGCCGACATCTGGCCAGCTCTAGGGGGGGCCACGAACTCGCCGCTGTGGTTGTTTGAAGTTCGCCATTCGTAGACTCTCTGCTGACTGTGCTTGAGGGGGACGGTCAAGGTAGTCGCAAAGTCGGTCGTGTTGTCGGTGAACCTCAATCCACCGCCGAGCTGCCACGTGGGGTTGTCAAAGGGCGGCTGAGGGTCCTTGATATGAATCTCGAGGGTGACGGGCATCTTGTCTTGATCGGGTTCGCGAATGACAAACTTCGCCTCCGTCGGAGAAACGTATCCAAGACGCACAAAGGAGAGGTCATCGACTGGGTGATACTGTCGAACGCGGAATAAGAAGTCGGCCGTCATTGCGACCAGCGCCAGGTTAATTAGGAAGGTCAGGGTGGAAAGAATTGGGCTGGTTGAGCTGGGAGTTCCGGCCAGAAGGGTCTTCAACGGGCTCGACTTGTCCTTGACTATGATGGTCTCTTCGATCTGAATCTCCTCAGCGACGACATGGCCGTTGGTGGCTTCGTCTTCGCCAATTTCCTCTGCAATAGGCTCTTTGATAGTCACATCAACGTCGTCCTCCACCACGTCGTACTTTGGCTCATTGATATAGCCAGACACAAAGGAAGGAACGAATACTGCGAAGAGTGCAAATATGCTCATGGGCACGGCAGCCTACACCATAATCAGCACGACGCGCCGAGACTGTACAGTCAAACGCTGGCGAACAAGTGGAACTTACTGGGCCAGGAAACTAGAGTTGCATCCAATGATTAGCGACTAATTGCCAAAATGGAAATTTGAAGCACGAACCCATCGTAGAAAGAGGTATGATACCACTCTCAACGCGATCGAGGAGGTGGTTGCAATGCGCGTCTGAACCGCCATGACGCCGAGAGGTCCGTTGGAGTGGGTAGGTGTGAAGTGGAAATCAGTCGATCATGTAGGGTAGATGGTGAATTGAGAAGTAGAAGCAAGTAGCTTGCAGGGGTTCGTCGATAAAGAAAAAGAGGTAAGAGCTGCTCCCCTTTCAGCTGGGTATCGGAGAGAAAGGACGAAAGAGCGGAAGAAGCTTGGATAGAAGGAGGCAGTCCGTGAACCTGCCCTTTCAGAGATGGTAGCTCAGCCAGACGTGACGTGACAGCTTAGCTGACCTCTGGAGAGATGAGGTCACTGATTAATGGAATGCCCCATACTCCGTAGGTACCTAAGGTACGCGCTGAAACACTGATGGACGATAACAAGCCACCCTTCCCCGTCTCTGCCATGTGAGCGTGTGGCTGGTGAGATGGAGCTCCCAGCTGGGGACTGGAGGTGCGAAGGTGCCACCTTGCTCTCCGCAGGAGGTCGCTGCCGCTTGGCCCGTGCGTGCTATCAAGGGGCAACCTTACCTGTAGCGGGCGCCAATTTTCCGCGCGCCGAACTTTCAATCGTGGCCCGTTCTAAGTGACCCTTTTGGCGACAGCTTGTCCACAATTCTCTGCTGTCAGAGTCGACGAGAGATACCCTCACGCGCGCACCCAAGACTCCCCACGCAACAGCACATCATGAGGGTATCCGCCATTGCCTGCGGGCTTTTCGCCTGCTTTGTTTCCCAGGTCGCTGCTACTGCATTGACCTACAAGCTCCACGCCAACGAGAAGGCCTGCTTCTACGCCAAGACCCAGAAGGAGAACGAAAAGATTGCCTTTTACTTTGCCGTGCGTCGACACACGCGACTCCACCTCGAACCGCTGCAATAGGCTGACACGATGCGTACAGGTCCAATCTGGTGGCTCTTTTGATATCGACTACACCGTGACGGGACCGGGCAACAAGATCATTCTGGATGGGGCTAAGGAGCGCCAGGGCGACTTTGTCTTCACGGCCCAACAGATGGGCGATTACGAGTTCTGCTTCAACAATGATATGAGTACATTCGCTGAGAAGTTTGTTGACTTTGAGATTGCCGTACGTCGTGGTCCAAGTCCCTACCCCAGAGCAAGCAACAATGCTGATCCCTTGTCAACCTAGGTCGAGAACGAGGTTCGCGCTCAGCTCCCCGCTAAGCCGGGTGCCTCTCCCGAACAGCACACCACCCTCGAGGAGACCATTTTCAAGCTCTCCGGCCAGCTCTCGACCATCTCGAGAGGTCAAAAGTACTTCCGCACCAGAGAGAACCGCAACTTCAGCACCGTCCGCAGCACCGAAGGCCGCATCATTAACTTCAGCATGATCCAGTGCGCCCTCATTGTGCTGATGGGAGCTTTGCAGGTGTTCATCGTTCGCTTCTTCTTCCAGGGCGCACGCAAGGGCTACGTATGAACGGGCAACGACCAAAAGTTATTCTGGATTTCATGCGGCGCGGGGTAAAAGGGGTCACCAGGGACTCGTGTACATCACAAGTAAAAAGAGACATGATGTGGCTCACGGTATGAGATATCTACGACGATCAACATTCAGCGCTGTTGTCATGAAGGTGGGGGAGTCTACGGGTCAACTGGAGCATTCTCTCTTGGAGCACATGTAGCACTGGTACTACGAGTGGACTTGATGAAAGATTTAATGAGTGTCTCCTGAAGCCAAGTGACGCTCTCTGTGATGAGGTAGTGACCGACAGTCAATGATCTTTCGGCACACCGATGGCGCCAGGCTAATGACTTCAATTGCTATCAAACAAACGGTGACCAATTGGTAAGGAACCTCATGTCATCCCCACCAATTTTACCTTACTTAGGCTTCGCACATTCTAGAAGGAGTGATTTGCTGCGTTCTTTCCTCGCATACGTTACCTACATACCTTGGATATCTTTACGCCTTCAGCTCTGCAATTGTATCAGGTGGTAAACATCTGCAATCCACTCCTCCTCCCACCTTTCCCTGAGTGAGAACCGTGGTGAGCAGTCGGCGACGTCTGATTGGCTGTGCATATTGGCTCGTGCACCAGCCACGGCAGGCTGCATGTGGATTGGATCCGCCGTGGTCTGTCCATCTTCGGGCGGCTTAAGCTTCATGAGCTGCGATAGCAACCGTAGCCTTGTCTGCGACCCGGGTAGGTCCTCCAGCGACTCACTCAAACAATTCACAATCTGACACGCAGTTCGCGAAGCAGCAATAATCACATGGACACGAAATTGTACACCAAAGTCCCAGCCGCCGCGACAACGAGCACCACCAAAACAACACACCACCTCCATTGGGGTGGATCGCGACTTGTCAATGCCGAGGGACTCTCGCCGCAGCTCCAAACACCCAAAGAACCACAAACAGCCAAAGGAGGAATGGTTCACGATTAAGGACATCCTACAAGAACGTCGACGCAACTCTAATATTGAATATCTGGTCGATTGGGAAGACAACCCGGAAACCGGCGAGCGATATAGTCCCACGTGGGTAAGTCTATTAGTGGCCCTCCATGTCCATCTGAGCGGCTGCTGACTCGATATAGGCCCCCAGCAAGGACGTGACTTCGAAAGCGATATTCGATTGGAGAAGGAAGCTCGACCTCGTCTATCAGGAGGATCACCCCACGCCCTCAAGACAATCTGTATCGCAAGACGTCGAAGCTGCGGCACAAGAGGGCCCATTGGCGCGTACTTTGTCCACCAGCTCGATTGAGAGTAGTCAGCCCGTGCAGATAGGGAACAAACGCAGGAGACCTCAGTCTAAGCAGCAGTCGGAAGACCCTCAGGATCCAGATTCGGAATCCGACCTGAACCCACCCCAGCAGAAGCGATACCCTAGTGAGGTTCCTTCGTTGCTATCGTCGGCGTCAGAGGGTGACACAGATGCCGCTTCGGATGTTCTAATCAACACCACGGCTAGATTTTTCGTGGCCATTCCGTCCAAGGCAGATCGCGACTATTCAGAGTATATCAGCATATCGGGCTCGCAGGGCTCGACCTCGCTTGGTTCTCAACCCATATCGGCTCTCGAAGACGAGGACAGTCAAGTGGTGATTCCAGAGAATCTCAGTCAAAGGACTATCCCCGACTCTCAGGAATACTCAGCATTCAGTACCCAGGACTCGCCATTTCCCAGCAAACAAGTAGCCTTGACTAACAACAACAACAAAGCGGGCGCCAATACTGAGCGTGAAATCTCGGATTCGCAAAAGCAGTCTAGCCTCAGGACTTCCCTGAGTAAGTCTACGGATTCCCAGGCCCGACTTCTCAGTGCACCGGATCACCATTCACACTTCTTTTTCCGCCGGACGCCCTTACAGTCCCCTCATCCGGCATCTTCTCAGGATCGCCCACCGGAGCCAGTGTCATCGGGCTACATCCCTTTAACGCAGAACAGCCCTGAACCAAGTCAGGGTCCAAGCTGTGGCCTTTACCCAGCTTCACCTTTGCGTCCTCACTCCATTGCAGGGTCTACAGCATCGCAGCCACCTCGACACGCCTCACGTGAACACGACTCTCTGCCTTCTGTCTCTGATAGGTCAATTCCATCTCATCAGGTTGACGAGCTACGGACAGTCGATCAGGCTGAACACTCCACAAATCGTTTGGCTAGTGGTGGCTATCCTCGGGAATCACAGTCAGCCAGGACGCCTATTTTCCTGACCCAGCCTGCCTTTGATTTTGACACCTCAACCTCCCAGGCGTCTTCGTCGGCTAAGAGCACCTCGAGCAACTCCGAGCGACGGACACAAAACCAGAAGTGGGCGACCGAACGAATCATTGCCTGCTCTGATACACACAGTCGTCCCAGCCAGAGCGCGCAAGCTGCCCAAGTTGTTCAGCCTCTCCCAGATATTTCGGCAAACAAGAGCAGCTCCGAAGAGCCTGTGGTCCCCGACACCGTTCGCCGAAGACCTTCACGCACGCTACGCTTTGGTGTCACACTTGCTAGCTCAGAGTCTCCTCAACTCGCTTCTTCCGAGGCTATCGCCACTGCGTCATCACACCGCGGCGAGGACGAGAATACCGAGGCCGGAACTTTCCAGACTACCTTTGAAAGACGGTCACTCCCCCCTGATCTCTCATCACCCAAAAAATCTCAGGAGGCCGGGATCTCTGATCGGCCGATCAATCTACCACCGGCCATGGATACCTCGGGCGACGAACCACTCTCGGCGATAGAGGAGCTGATGAGAATCCAAGAAGCTGCGTTGCAAGGCACATTGGCCGAGGCAGGATTGACGAGTCCTACGACTCAATCAGCTCTGATTCGCGAGGATGGCCCTTCGATGGGTGACGCCGCCGACCTCGCTTTCTCGGCGCCTGTAGCCCACCCATCCATCCAAATCAACTCGCAGCCACCTCTCACAGGAGACTGGAATATGGGGGAGCCAGTCACGTCGTCTACAGATATGCCTGGACTATCCGGTGCACCTGTAGGGCCAACAATGGGGCCTCTGTTCGCCGAAGAGCATCAAACAGCGAGCATGGGAGACATCTTTCCCGGAAATCTCATGCCGCCCGAATCAGCTGAGCAGCTGCCAATCACCATATCTCCTTCAGACATCAGCAGATCAGTCGAGCCCGAAGAGGCCTCAAACACACTGCCTCAGCACGATGAGCAGCCTATGGACATGCTGCCGGAGGACCAGACCACCGCAGGCGACCAGAGCACTGCAACTTCGCCGGATGTTGAAGAGCCATTTCCTTCGGGCCCCCCAACGGCGGTGGATCAAAGTGAATACTTGGTCACGCTCTCGTTCCCAGCCAACATTCGTCCCTTGTATCGGAGCACCATCAAGGGTTACCGCCACGTCATTGAGCAGTTCACCACGTACATGCAGTCCGAGGACGATGAGCCCGATCAGAAGACGGTGGGGGCCATTGAAAGAATGCTCAATGAGCTTCGCGACATTTGCGACATGCCTGCGCCTCTCGACGGTACTTCGATCGATGCCTTGTCCGCAGAAGACCTCAAGAAGCATGCCATGGGTACCAACAGCAAGTTCTTCTTCGTGGGCAGATTCCTCGAGCGACTGCAGACAAGCCACAAGAGGATCCTCATTATCGCGCGTGACATCAACATCATTGGGTACCTCGAAGCTATCGTCGGAACCGGGGAGATGGCATACTCCCTGAAGGGTCTGCATGAGCTGGAAAGCCAGGACGAGCATTCTCTGCTCGTTGTTATCGTGCACTCCGAACAGCCTCTCGTTGACGACCTGAGCGACTTTGACGTTGTCATTGGATTCGACAACGGGGTCATGCAAACAAACCTTTTGAACCAATGGGCGAAGTTGAGCGGCAAGAAGCCAATGCTGCTGAGGCTCACCACAACGTGCTCTATTGAACATCTGGAATTGCTATTGCCGGCGGATTTTAAGGGTTTGGTGCGACAAAATGCGCTATGTATCTCCGTTTGTCAGTCAAGGAAGACCGCGTATATGGACGAAGGAGATACCCAGGGGGTGATGATTGATCACTATGCTGCTTCGTTTGCCAACCAAGCAATCTTTCCTGATCCCAGCTTCGACTGGGACCCTGAGCTTGTGCCCTCTTCCGTTCTTGATTTGTACTCCAGCAGCCAACCTGAGAGTCAGGTGGAGGAGCTGACGACCCGCAAGCGCAAAACTGTGAGTTGCCTTTCTGTCTTGCAGTGTTGCCTTTCTGTCTTGCAGTATCAGTACTAACCGGGTTCAAATCTAGGATGGCGGTTCGCAGCAACTTGTCAAGCGCCTTCGAGTGAGCCCTCTCCCAGGACAAGACGCAGGGGACATTGACGCGGTAGTTCAAAGCCAACTGAACCCTGACCCGTCACGCCTGCATATCCAAACGACGCAAGGGTACCTGGACACTCTGACGAACAAGGTGCGGAGCGTTGATTCGATCCAACGTGAAAAGTGAGCTGACGAAAGAATAGGTATCTGAACTCGAGCATCATCTAGAGGAGAAGATTGTTTTGGAATCCAACCTCCGAAAGCAGATTATCAGCCTTTCGAAGAGGGTCAAGAGCCACGATGAGACCACCAATATTATCCAGGAGGCACACATGGCCGCGCTTCGGGAACGAGCCAAGTTCGAGGCCGAGCGCGACGAGGCGCAGAGAAAGGAAGCACAGGCCTGGGAGAAGAGCCGCCAGTGGCAAGACAAAGCACAAGCTTTGGAAGAGGAGCTCAAGGTGAAGAGTGCCACTCTTGACAAAGCCCTCGTCAATGCCGGCACCGTCGCGACGGAGACCTTTGAGCAGAAGACGACTGAGCTTGAAAAGGCTTTGGCCAAGGTGGCGGAGCTGGAGAAGAAGCTCGAGAGTCGTGACGGCGAGCTCGGATACGCAAGAGACGCATACCAGACGGCCAACCATTCCAACAGCGAGCTCTCCCGAGAGAACCGTGAGCTCAAGGAACAGGTTGCTGCGATACAAGAGTCGGTCCCAGGTAACCTCGCGCAAGTTCTGAACGTCAATGCCAATGCCGGAGAGCAGGTCAAGGAGATGCAGAGGCAGATCGCGGAGACGAAGGCCATCACCAAGGATCGGGAGAAGGAGCTCGCGCGTGTGGAGAAGGAGCTTAGAGCGCTGAAGAACGGACGCAGAGAGACGAGGCAGCAAAGCGTACCCCGAAGCCCGAGATTGAGCGTGATGAGTCCGAGAACGGGACGCGCCGCGGGTGGTTCGGCCAGCAGAGGAGCTTCGCCCACGCAGCACGAGTCTGCCGGTGGTACGCCCGCTGGCCTGCAGTTCTTCAACACTCCGGCCAACAACAGATGGCCCCATTTGCGAGACTGAGTTTGGCGAGGGCCTAACTTTCATATGAGAAGGGGTCGTGTTTTGATTAAACTGTTATTGAGGGCCGGTCATGATCCCTACCTAGAGAAGATACCATTGAGAGGTCGCTGTGTTTTGATGCTTGGCTCTGAGGATTTCGATCGAGCTGGACACGTTGATAGATAGCCAAACGCTGCGGCAAGACCCTCTTGATATCCTGGTGATGAGTCAACGCTTTGTTTGAGAAAATGTCGCTTGGCAACATATGACTATAGGCATCAAGACGTTGCATTCCCGTAACGTCGGAATGCAGGTCCCCGTATTCCCCACTGAATTGACTCAATTGCTTGCTCAGCATCATGACCCTCTGTCCTGGATTATGACAGCGGCGCGGCAAAGCCCGACGGAAGTGCAAGTCAGGTTGAACAAGTCAGATTGAGCAGAGGCCTAAGATGGTACATGGGACTTGATTGAAATCACACTACCAGAAAACTCCCCCGTTCTATCAGCTTCACAGACTCACACACACGCGGCAAGCAGACTTTGTTGGGTTTGCTTTCCCGTTCCTCTTTCCATTCCCCCTGTAGAATATACAAGTTGGTTTAGTTAATGTTTGGCCCTGGCGTCGGTTCAATGGTTCGATGGCCCTCCTTGCGTTTCCCCCTTTCATATGCTGGATTAGGGAAAACTTAGTTCTTCTCCTCGGGGTAGATGTCCTCCTTCAGAGGAACGCCGAGCTCTTCCCTCAGGGGCTTGAGCTCCTCGAGGTACTGCTCGTACTGGCCCTTGTTCTCGACCTTGGCCTTGACGCCTGTGTATGTGAGAGGCAAACGTCAGTCAAAATTCCAGTCGTTTAATTTGTGCACGGTTGCAGAAGTAACAAAACAGTAACCCGGTGCCCGGGCCTGAGGGAGATGGAAAATCGGTGCACATTGCATGGGTGCAACGACTAGATGGATTGGGGAGAGGAATGCGTACCCTCGAAAATGCGGACGGCGGTAGCGAAGTCGTTGACGCGACGGGCGGCCTTCAGGGCGGCGGCGACGACGGAGGGAGAGGGGACCAAGTCGTAGGCGAAGGCGTTGTTGAGGTTGCGCTGTTGGTGCGGAAAAGAGAGAGTCAGCCTCGCCCCATCAGACCACTTTGCCGGGGGGACTAGGTTCAGATCCCGAGGGTATTGTCAGAGGCCGTGTTCTAGCGTACCTGAAGCTCGAAAACGTCCTGGACGCCATCGAATTCCTTTTCGAATCTGGGTCCAAAAGTTAGCGGTGCCAATTGAGAAGGGCAATCGAGGGTCGAGGGGGATCAATGGCTTTGTCGGGCGCGGAGGGCGGGGGAGATGGAGATGGAGATGGTGGCATGATGGAGGCCCAATCCTTCCAACATCCCTATCTTCCCTCTCGCCCGAAGTTCCCTCCAACCGCAAGGTCCTCCTCCTTAACCCCCCCCCCCCCCCAATTCAAAGATCCAAGTATCTGCTCACCTTGCGCTGAACTCTTCAAAGGTCTCCTCGGCGTGTTCGCCGGAGCGCAGGCGGGCGCTGGTGCTGAAGTTGCTGGCGGCCGGGACACCCGCAACGATGGGCAGGAGCATGCCGGAACGGGCGACGAGCGGCTGGCGGATGGGGTTCGCGCGGAAGAAGCTGGTCGAGCCGCGGGCGGCGACGCGGAGGATGGAGGCAGACATTTTCGGCGGTTGTGGTGATTAGAGAGGAGAGCGGGTCGACCGAAGGAGAGGAAGGAGATCCGGTGCGGCGGTGTTGGCGTCTGTGACGTTGGAGGACTATTTTTTTTCGCGAGCAAGCTACGGGCGTTTCGTTCGGGATTGAATCGGATGATGTGGTGTTGGCGTTGGTAGGCACGAAAAAGGATTGGATTCTGCGAGATTTTGATTGGATGACTAAGCGGTAGCTGTTGCTTGGGAGCCAGTAGCTGGAGCTCCAGGCCGTGCGAATTGGTTTGACTTAGGCTGCATCGTATGTAGCTTCACGTGGATAAACACAGTAAAGCTCTACTTCGCACGGCTGTCCATTATCAGGCCACTGTGGACGAGTCTCCCCCGAATCTGGAAATGGTCATACTCATCCTCCAACCTCTCACTGGTCCCCCAGGTGCACACCAGAAACAGAGATCCTTGGTAGATCTATGGTTTCTTCACCTCTCCCCTGGGGAAGTGACAGTCCATTGGGAACGCCCATTGGTAACGCGCGACTACGGGGGTTTTGTTCGGGTCTCCTCAGGCCCCGGGGTTCCCGCAATGGCACAGAGTACAATTCCCCGGGCCGGAGTTGGGAGCAAACTCGAGGCTCCGTTGCACCGACCGTCCCATCCTCCCGCCTGCTCGTTGTCACGTTCACACGCTGCACGGCTCTTCCTAAAGGGGGAAGTGCTGATTGGGACGGTAGGAGGAGAAGCCACGGGGCCGGAGCTGGCCGGACCAAGAAGCCGGAGATTGTGACGGCATCCAGCACGTCCCATCGATGATCGTGGGAGCAGCTGATTAGTCTCTAGAGGTCAATTGGGCCGGGGCCGAGGCACAATTTTTTTATTGACCCTCTTTCTCTTGCATAGGTATCCGTACAGATACAGACGAAACTGACTCTCGCCCGCGTCGCCCGCGACCTCTGCGCTGGGCAGCTGGCCGTCGACTTGCAATTGGCAACGTAGCCTAAACTTCCGAGATTGCAATGCGCATTACGAGCAGTCCAGGTACTCGGTACATGCGGCCGTGACGCTTGTTTTGGGGCTAGGTTGAGTTGGCAGTGGGTTAGCCCGACAGGTAACTGTACCTTGTCCAGCGTAACCCAAGATTCTCCAACAACCTGCTGGAAGTTCAACGGCCCGCCCGGCATTGTCTGGCAGGTCAGGCAGGTGACAGCATTGCTATGCTATACTCGCCCTCTGCAGGACATCTTATGATGGTACCAAGGTAAGAACAGGCATTGGGGCACCGCAGTATCCGAACAGTGGAAGCACAGCCGGAGCATCTATCCAGTCAATCAAGAGGATGACTAAAGAACGACGTACGGCCTTCTACGGCATCTCGTTTCCCGTCCGTCTACTTTTCCCCAGGCTCCCGCTGTTACAACGAGTTGACCGGTGACATAGTAGGGTCACGTGCTGACCTATTCGCTCCTTGGAAACCTCAACTGGACCCGATGGAGGACCAGGAACCCAAATGAGCATAAGCCCAGGCACGGCCCATGATTGGCTGCGCTAAGGTCCGACAGCGAATCACATGCTGCACGATCAAATGAGGGCCGCGAAAAAGGCTGCGCGACAAGTACAGGGTACCTTGACCTTCTCGATCGGAATTTTCCCCTTTTGACCATTTCAACAACTTTTTGCATCGCTGCTGCTGCTCGTGTCCTCCCCGTCCTCCTTTCCCTCCTCATAAACCATCTCGTGCCCGTGGCGTTGCCGTTGTCTGACTACCTCTCTTCCGATCCCCCGCCCTCAATTCTCCAGACTTTCATCGGGTGTCCTGCGGCGGGTAGAGAGAGCGTTTTGCCATTGTCTCTTCCGTTCTTCTGTTTTTCTCGTCACTCCTTAGGCTCTGCCTTTTTTCTGGATCGTGTCGATCGAACGCTCTGCCGCCGCGCCGCGTGCTGCATTGCTGAGTAGAACAACCTCTCCTCCCTCCACCACCTCCATCCCATCAATCCGCGTCTTCCGTGTCGAGTCCACAGAGCAATCGCCATCGAAAGACCCACGGTAACCGAAAGACCTTGTCGCAAATCTTCGCAAGTAGATAATCGCGCCACAACACCAACTTTCATCGTTCTCGTCTCCTCCTCTCCCCCCGAGCTCGACGGAAAAACGCCAATCTTCAAGATGGCCACTCAAGCACCCTCCTCGTTCTACGAGCAATTGCCTCTTCCCACGCTCGACCGCCCCTTTGGCATTCATCTATGGCCTCTTCTCGACAAGGTCTGGACTCCCATCGTGGGCTACCCCGTGAGCGAGTTCAGATTCCAGCCGGGCATCACGCCCATGTCGACCATCAAGTCGGCCGGCATCTTCGTCATCATCTACTACACCATCATCTTTGGAGGTCGCGAGTGGATGCGCAACCGTGAGCCGTACAAGCTCAAGGGTCTTTTCCTCGCCCACAACTTGATCCTCACCCTCATCAGCGCCGGTCTCCTCGCTCTCTACATTGAGGAGCTCCTGCCCACTGTTGTTCGCGGGGGTATCTTCCACGCCATCTGCCACACCGAGGGCGGCTGGACCCAGCCTCTCGTTGTCCTTTACTACGTAAGTACCATCGACTCGCGCATTGTTGACGGCAGCTGACAAGCCTAGATGACCTACCTCACCAAGTACATGGAGTTGCTGGACACTGTGTTCTTGTTTCTCAAGAAGAAGCCTCTGAGTATGCCCACGACCGAGATCCCCAGCCTTGTGTAACGCTCAACACTAACACTATGCAGCGTTCCTCCACTGCTATCACCACGGCGCGACTGCTCTCCTCTGCTACACCCAGCTGATTGGCTCGACTGCCGTCTCATGGGTTCCCATCACCCTCAACCTCGGCGTCCACGTTGTCATGTACTGGTACTACTTCCAGAGTGCTCGCGGCGTCCGCATCTGGTGGAAGGAGTGGGTCACTCGCTTCCAGATCATCCAGTTCATCATCGATCTCGGTAGGCTACACGTTCACGTCCCACGCATCCTAGGGACGCATTGCTAACCGTCGCAGGCTTCGTGTACTTCGCCTCGTACACCTACTTCACCTCGACCTACTTCCCCTGGATGCCCAATGCCGGCGAGTGTGCCGGTGAGGAGTTTGCCGCCTTTGCTGGTATCGGTATCCTCAGCTCCTACCTCGTCCTCTTCATCTCCTTCTACCTCGCAACCTACAAGAAGGGCGGCAAGTCCCAGACCCGCAAGTCTCTTCGCCGCATGAGCCAGGCTCCCCTCCCCGATCCCCACGCCGTTGCCTCGGCTGTCGCCGGCCACTCCAACGGCAGCGCCAAGGCCAGCGGAGCCAAGGCCAACGGCTCTACTCCTCGATCCCGCAAGGCGTAAAACACTTGGCATTCTTGCTGCTGTCCCCCTCTGTGGAGTGTATATACACGGGTGACCGTACAGGCATTTGAGGGTCTTTATGCCGATATGTAAACGGCTTACACGTTTGGATGTGAGAGGACAACATTCTTGGCTTGACGGCATGCCGGGCCGCGCGACCACGACTTTTTTGAGGCGCGGCCTCTTTTTACAACTGTGTATTACTGCATTGTTCCCACGCTACTGGCGAGGAACACTTTGAAAACGAAAAAGAGCCTGCTGTGGCGAGCAGTGGGCTTACAGTCGGACGTGTATGACGACCTGGGAGGCTGACGACGTTTGTATGTTTGTGCCTTTGGCGAACTGGGGGTTGGCTTTGGTGGGCATCATTGCAGAAAAGACGAAACGATCTCTGGGCGAGCAGCAAAAAGGCCACGCTCTCTCGCCCGGGAGGAACAAACTTAGAACATTTGTAATTTTCCTTGTGTTTCTTTGTGTCATAGATGGAGCGGCTGTCGCCTCAGCTTTGTGGGACGCCGCTCAATGATACTAATACTCATTCACCACAATGCAGACCTGTCTCTGGCTGGTGTGAAATGAGCAGTTGGCATCTTGCAGGCTCCCCTTGGTAGGACTCGGCGGTGTGGTCACGCCTGGCCAAAGGGTCCGTCCTCATGGTACGTTTTATCATTTTTCTTTCTCTTCCCTCCCCCTCAAAATGATGAGTCCTACACGTTACCCAGCTCACTCAGACGCACCAATGTGCGGTTGCTGAGAAAACGTTTGATCACGTCTGATTTCTTGGACACCTTTTGTTTCTTTCCAGGACTTTTATGCTCGACCATGAAGCTGACTGTCGTTCAGGGGTATCCGCCGAGCTGCACAATGAGACTCAGTTTTTGATGAATGGGCTGTAATCAGTAGAAGAATACGATAAGATTTACTAGATATTCGGTGACGGTGATGCTGACTGGCTTGTTGATACTTTTGAAGAGACTCTGGGCTTCCGTTGCACTAGATAATGTGGGTTAGATGAGACGGCCCATGAGTAAAGAGACGGTTGATAGATGTGTTGCCTTGGACGGCCATGTTTCCATCCCAGGCCTAGGGTCGCCAGAGCCCTGGGCCTGGTCCCATTCCACTCCTGCAGTCGAGGAGCGTCACTCGACACGAAGCTGCTCAGAGATGCTTACGGTGCCTATCCCACCTCCGTGGTATTCAGTGACCATCTTGCCGCCTATTTTCCTTCTGGTGTATGGTGTGTAGTTCAATCGAGACATGGAGCATCTCACGACCTGTCATTTGGACCGGGTCTTGACAGAATGCTTTTGGGAAAGTTGTTGGTTTCATCAGCACCACATAGTTACCTCTGGGTACAAGGTAAGCTCATTTGCATTACTCAATGCTTCACTGCTCTTCCTTTATACGTGTAGCGGTGATGATGTGTTCAGGGAGGTGTAGTATCTTGAAGGGCATCTCTTCCTCACATTGTCGGTGGCGACGAGCCCCTTTGTTCGCAGAACGGTGTCGTCTCCCTGTGTCACACCGAGGCTATCGCTACGAGCTGCACCTTCCGTCCCATTCCCTAGAAAAGCATGATACTTGGAGACCAAAAACGCATCTAGTCCTCAACCACAAGTTCAGCAATGATGCAGGCCTCTTTGGTCTAGTTGATAAAACAAGCGATGCAGTAGTCGTATGTATAGGGCCATAAATACTACTACTGACTACCGGGTTCGAGTCCTATATTTGCCTTGTGGTGCGGCAAGCTCGGGTAGCGCGGGCTCTCTCCTGAACAGGAGAGATTGAGCGTCGAAAAGAAATCTTCTTTTTTGACACTTTTTTGGTCATGGTTTCATTATCTTTGATATTGCTTTCTGCGAAAATTTGAACTGGACCATACGGTGAGGTGGACAGGGTGGTGCTGACTTTTGGGTCGTGGTGGGACGAAAGATTGCGACTTGCTCCCTTTTCCTGGCCGCGCGCCTCAAGTTGAGTACATACTGATGATGTTTGACCCCCAGGTGGAGATTGTAGACCTGTAGAGCAATTCAAAGTTGATTTCCGATTCCATCGGTCACCATCATGATGCACACGCAATCCAACCCCTTCCCTCAGGCCTCACGAAAACCGTCAGGAAGTGAAGCAAGTACAAGGCTTTCGTCTTGTCGAAGCTATTGGGTCCTCAAAAAGGCAGCGTCGCTCGGGCTCATGGATCAGTCACCAACTCCGGATCATGATAGAATTTCGTCTCGGATGCCCGCAACGTAAGAACGGCACTTTGTAGAGCAGACCGAGGGGCGTTACATTCTGCTCCCCTCTGAAATAGAAAAGACAGTTCCCATACGAACGAACCTCCCCATTTCCGATGGCTTGGTTTCCAAACGGCAAGCAAGGGGGCCCAGTCAAGCAGGCTTTACTCGTCGGTCAGGGGTTCATGTGAGCGGACGGCCAGCAGCACTTGGGGTCGGTCGGTCAGCCCATGTCAGTCGAGGTCTTCGGCGGCAGTTCTTCAGGATCATCTCGTCAAAAGCCTATCCTCAACTGCCCAGGTTAGTCGCCACCGGCTGAGAATATTCACGACATTAGCTCAAGGCCTGCGCCCGTTCCTGAATACCCATCTCGACATTCACAGCACAGGGAAGCCCTCCCCCCTGTCCAGCTCGGTATCCCTTGGGCTCTCTGTCCCCCCCCCCCCCCCCCCCCCCCCCCCCCCCCCCCCCCCCCCCCCCCCACCCCCCCCCCCACCCCCGCCTCCCCCCCCCCCCCCCCCCCCCCCCCCCCCCCCCCCCGGCTACAGGAACCTCTCAGCTCTCCTGCACCGATTCCTGGGATCCGGTGTACGCAGGGCTATCCACGCGCTGCTCGGATTCCGCAGACAGCGCTGATAGCCCCAAGGGATGTGACGGCAGGCAAGGGACTGCAAAGGCTTTGGAGAAACATCCCGCGCCTTGTGAGGACCGCCAACAACCCCGTCCTCGAAGCTCTACACTGTGGTTGACAAGTCATCCAAAAGTCCGTCGAAACCCAGCGCCTTGACCGTCTGTCATGTCTGAACAGGCGCCAGTCGCCTGGATTTGCCAGGATGATCGGACCGGTACTCATCCGTCTCGAAGTCAACGAACATGACGTAGTCGGCGCAACCTTTCTCGGGAAAAACAACATCTCCAACACGTCCAGCCCGAGGTGTATACCTGGTCAACCTGAAGAGAGAACATCAATGGGACCTATTGCTCAAAGTTGCGCTGTCAGGGTCAACTGAATCCCTTGAATAATGTTCCCCGGGCTTTTGTGAATCTGGGCTTCCGTGAAAAGCAATGATTCCAGTCAAAGATCTTGGGTAACCCTCAGCGTCAGGAGACATCATCACAAGTTTTTCATCCCGCACACTACTCCAGGCCTCCACACGGTAGCCAATACAGACTCATCCTAGGCCAAGGACTAATTGCAGAAGCTCAAGTCGACCAGGATAAAGTAGAAATATTACGGGTAGAACCGCTCATCGGAAAATGAGTCTTCACCCAGGAAATCCCTATTTGAGCAGCCCGGCATTGGGGGTGAGCGTCAGCACTTTTTGTCATGGCACATTGTCGAAAGGAAGAACCCGCAAATATCTCTCAAACGGCCTCTGGAATTCATTCCATGGCCCCGCCTCGCCGGCGAAAGCCCTTCACAATATTCATTACATGGTCTGTCCCCCTCCTCCATCTCGCCCCCTGTTGAAATGCCGCCTTGCCTAGTCTGCCCCACGAGGGAACAGGTCCCTGTGGGAGGAAGAAAAAAAAGGCTCTCAAAGTAAAAAGCACGCATGGGTGGAATTACTTGTTACATGGTTGCCTCTTTCTTTCTTGTATCAGGTGTGTCCCTCTGTCCATTCGCAGAGACCATCCCAGATAAAAAACAACAACTGTGTGAGGTTGGTTGGTAGTGGTTTAGTAGTGTCAAGGTTCGAATTCGACAAAAAAAAAAAAAGGTTGTGTAGAAAAAGCAAGTTTTGCTGCTCAAGATTTCTCTCCGGAACAGTTTCGCAGCGGCCGTTACGCCTCGAAACAAGACAGTGGCCCTGCTATGTCTCATCATTCAATCTCTTTTCGTGGTAAGACGATCGATTGAGTGAGCAGGACCCCCGCCGGACCGTAGTCCTAAAATGCATCTCATCCCGCCTCCAGCCAACCAGCCGTTTCCCTACCAATCTTGAGAAGAAGAGGTTCAAGAGATGTGCAACGCCTATTGCAATCAGAGTGAGGAATGTGTTTGTTTGCGTGAGATGTGTGCGCCATTAACCAGACTGGTACACGAAAAGCGCTGTGATCGGGCCATGGAGGCCATGTTGGTGACAAAAGAAAGAAGCGAGTCGGTTTGATTTAAGGGGTAGGATTGTGCCAGGGAGAGCTGTGTGGGGTGCTCCATGCAATTGATAGTCACTCGGAGGTTGGCGTCGGCCACTGTTTGCCGTCTGATGCCGGAGAGGACTTTAGGAGTAGCTCGACTGATGGATACCTGCGTAGATATCGAAGGTCGTAAGTACGTAATGGGTCATGATCCATTAGTTAAGGTATGGACACGACAGCCGAGATGATTGTAGTTTGCGCGAGGCCATGCGATGCTTGGCGTACACTGCATCAGGCCGCTGACTGAGACGGACCCGCGGGTGGGAATCAGCAGGACTGATATAGGAGAAGCGGCTCTCCGACATTTTCGATCTCGGGAATGGTGCACTTGAGGTCAAAGGCCTTGGACAGCACAATCTTGAAGATCTGCAGGTGGTCAGTCGGACTCCAAGTCCACCACTAAAGAAAGGCTCACCTTTTGCACATTGATACTATGGCTCGTGCTCGAGAATATCAACGCGGCGCGCATTGCCTTGGCAAACCGGCGAGCCTGTTCCTGTTAGCCGCCGAAATGAACGGTGGATTATCTGGCGACGTACCTGGTTCGAGATCTCTTCTTGGTCTTCTCGCGGAAAGTTGACAAAGTGGTCGTACTTGGTACCCACCAAAATCGGGATGGCCGTCTTGTTGAAGCCCCTGCCTTGCCTGTACCACTCCTTGATGCTGTTGAGCGTGCTCTTCCGTGTCAGGTCGAACATGAAGAGGATCGCGACGGCGTCATTGCAGACCAACGGGAGCATGTTGACGAACTCGCGCTGGCCGCCCAAATCCCAAATGGAAAAAGTGATTTCCGTATTCCGGATCGAAATCGTCTTTTCCATGAAGTTTACGCCTAGCGTCTGAATGTAATCCTCGTCCCAGCTTCCTTCCACGTACTTCACCATCAGACTCGTCTTGCCGATTTGCGCATCTCCTACCATGCCGACCTTGATGACAACGTGGTTGCGACCGTTGCTGGCAGCGGCCTCCGCACCGGCGCTGCTGCGCGACGCATGGTCGGCGTAGCCTTGTTGTGCGCCGCCACCAGACAGTCCAGAGGCAGGTCTTGAGATGGAAGGGGCGTTCATGGGAAGCGGTGGTGTGTTGTACCGATCCGAGTGCTGCTCTTCGGGTCGCGGGGAGTGTGGGAGGCCTTGGTCGAGAGACTGACTTGACTGGTGACGCTGCAGCTCTGGTTGATCGTAGCCATTGTTCTGGGCTACCTGGGGAGAGGCATCGAAGGCACCGATGGTGTCGTCGGGGTGAGGAGGGACGGCAACGTGGTCGTGCTCCATGGTGTCGACTGCGTCGTGGAACTGGGCCGGTGACCCCGCGGATAATGTTGATGAATCCAGCGTGGAGATTCGAGGGTGTGGGACGGGAGGCTCTGTCTCGAGCAAGGGGTCGAGAAGTGGACAATATTGGAGGTTGCCGGCTTGCAGATGGGTGAGGACAACTGGCAGTCGGCTCCGAGTCCCAAGAAAAGGTCGAGGAGAAGGCCGGGGGAGTGGGCGGCAGGTTTCAGTTCAGGCCCGACGATGGCTTCATGGAGCACTTGCCAGGGGCGGCGGCGCGGCGATCGATCGGATAGCGGAAAGCTGACTCGAAATCCGGCTATTCAAGATGGGATCTGTCACTGGTTAGGATTGGCGACGTCGACGCAACTCGTGGAGGTGAATAGGTGAAGTGGGAGAGAGGGAATGGATGTTCAGGCAAAGATGTCTCACCTAGCCTCTCCACATACGGAGGCAGAGGAGGAGAGGATGGCCAGGACCGTGGTATGGACGGTACGGGGCCTGGAGACGGTGCAGTGCGGGAACAAGAGAGGGGATTGGATGATGAGTTGAAGCAGGGGTTGCCCACCTCGAGCTGGAGTCGAGCCGAGCGATGGGAATAAGGGCCTTGTATTGGACCAGACAAACGTACCGGCAATGAGCAGCAGCAGCAGGCAACTGGTGACCGAGTTGCGGCAGCCGTGCTGAAGCTTGAAGACAACTCGTTTGGAGGGCTAGGTCCAGGGCAGAAGGTGACGAAGATGAAAGAAGCCAGGTTGCGTTGGACGGTGAGGCAAGACAAGGCGAGAGGAGGGTCAGGTATCGACGACGGGATGGCGATGAGATGCGGCGGTGCGGTACTCGATGTCAGGAGGACCTGGAGGTGACGGTCATGGAATGCACCGAAACGGGTCAGGGTATGGGGATGGATTAGCGGAGATCCAGCCAAGCACCCGTGGATGTCAGTGTCAAGCGCCAGGGAAGTTGTGCGCGTTGGATAAACGGGATGCTTGTGCGACTTTGTTGTGCTGTGCTGCCCCGTCGTCGTGTTTTGGTGCAAGAGAGGGGGGGGATGCCAGTGCAACATAACATTGGCTCCATAAGGTAGGTACTTGGGTACCTTGGAGTCTTGGACAGGCATAACCAGTCAACGGAAGCAAGCGACTCCTTGGCTTAGACGACCTAGCGGAGCATTAGTGAGGGACGCCAGCGCAAGAAAGCCCAGGGAAACGGCAAGTCAGGGCATCCCCAGGCCGTGGCGCTTATGGCAGATCGAGGGAGGGAGGTGCGACAGGGGAGAGGGGAAAGCAAACAGCCAGTCAGATGGAGAGGATGGACGCCGGGGGTGGGCACTCGGGGCCTGGCGATGACGCCAAACTTTCACAATTAGGCCACGGCTGTGTGGAGAAGACGCGAGACGGACGCGTTTTATGTATTACCATGTCTAATCCTCGGCTGCGTGTACATGCACATAATACGCAGTAATAAGCACTGGCAGCGTTTAGTTCTGTTCCTCAGCTGCCCCACGCACCAAGGGCGTCTCTCCCTTCATTGCACTAACACCTCTAGCACCTTGTGACGGAGATTTGGTGCTGTTGCTTCGAGGATTATGGATGATGCATCATGGGCCAGGCGGCATTTATGGAATCGACACTCACCCATGTAGGCAATCATTCCTAGGTTGTCCGTACTGTCTTTCGTTCTTGCCAATTTTTTCTTCTACTTTGCAGCACCACGTGCGATCCACTGACTTCAGGCGAAGCTGAAAGAAGCCCAAGAGCCCACCAGTCAGTGGATCGACGGTGGACGGGTACACCGTACGGCCACTAAGACAAAACGTTCAAAGGGACCAGCCGAGCCTCACCAAACAAGGCACAACTTTCGAGGGCGGTGAGCCTCATGTCGTCAGTCGTCAGTCTGACTTCTCACACGCCTGCAGAGATAGGGACAGCACCAATCCTGTCGGCAATGTTGACAACCCCAAGCGTTGTTGTTTGCGACGTGACATTGGCCGTTTAATTCGTGCAGCTGCAGCTCGTTGTCCGGTAAAGTACAGCGCCCAATGTCAATAGAAAACTTGCCCAAAGTCAACAACCCCATCACGCCCGGTTCTCATTACTTAAGCCTGCCCACGCGACATGGGACGATGCACGGAGACCCGGGACCCGGGCTCAGGCCCAGCAAACAGGCCTCAGACCGCAATTCTAGAACGATGTTATCGTTGACTCTCTGGAAGAACCCCCAACCTCAATTGCGTATAGCGCTCGAAGGCTTCATAAAATCTACAGCAAAAGGGCTAGAGCGAAAGATGCTGAGAAGGGGAAGAAGAAAAAAAAAAAAAAAAAAAGGCAGACGAGAGTGAAAAGGTCGATGGTGATGGAGACTAAATCCCGCCATGCAATTTCGCTGGCACCAAATGGGCAATTCATGCAAACGGCATGAAGCCGTTTACTACCTAGCCCACACGTCCGTCGTCCACCCGCCCAAAATTCGCAGACCAAGAGACGGGACACTCCCGGGTGGCCTCGCAACGGACTCCTGGCCCGCTCCGTCCGAGCCCTTGGGTTCATGCCCGGGTCTCTCCTCTCTACCTTAGACTGTCGCTTCCTGACCGCGGGGCTTCCTTGTGACTGACACAGTGACACACCTCCAACTTGCCCAGAGTGAGTGACAGAGGGCGCTCCTCGGCTTGCCCTCCTATCGCTCTCCCTCCAAACCAGCGCGGTCTCTTATCGCCCTATCCCGGGCCGATGGCAGTCCGTCCAGACACCATGACTAAGGTGAGAGCGTTTCGAGAAGCCTGTCCCCTGATTGGCTCGAAAGCCGTGTTTGATCGAGGTTCCCGGTCTCGATAAGGTACGTACCGATAACCTATCAACCCAGGCCAAATTCCCCAGAAGCTCTAAAGTCGGCCGTTCTGACCTCATTATCAAACACTCCCAAACTCCCCCCAAAAACCTACCACCTCTCTCTACAACGTCCAGTCCTCTCGCGAAATCTCAACAATGGCCTCAATTGCACGCAGCATGAGGGCAGTCCGCCCCTCCGCCCTCTCCCAACTCACAAAGGCCGCCCCCCGCGCCTTTTTCCCCCGTCCCGCGCAGCGCAGCTTCTCCACGACCCCCAGCAGTGAGCTTTCCCTGAAAGCTTCGGCTCCCCACCCGAAGTATAAAGACTGACCCTTCGGACCTTCTTCCGAACCAACTCAACAGGCTTAATACGCAAGTACACAAAGGATCACGAGTGGATTGACCTCAACGCCGACAAGAAGACGGGCGTCGTCGGCATCTCCGAGTACGCCGCCGAGCAGCTGGGCGACGTCGTCTACGTCGAGCTGCCCGAGGAAGGCACCGAGGTCGCCCAGGGCGACGCCATCGGCGCCGTCGAGTCCGTCAAGAGCGCCGCCGACATCAACGCCCCCATCAGCTGCAAGGTCACCCAGGTCAACCTCGGCCTCGAGGAGAAGCCCGGCACCATCAACAAGGTGCCCGAGGACGACTCCCACGGCGGCGGCTGGATCGCAAAGGTCGAGGTCGACGAGGCCGGCGTCCAGGAGCTCGAGGCCCTCATGAGCGAGGAGGAGTACAAAGCCTTCACCGCTTCCGAGGACCACTAGACGACGGGGGCGAGAGAGAGAGGGGGAGGGGAGGGGGGAGCAGCTTAGTAGAAACAGGTTGCCGGCAGTTCAACCGGGCAGTGGTCTGTACTATACACCGATGCCAAGCGGGTATTCACTTTCGGGTTTGCGGTTCAACAACGAGATAGCCACCAACATAGAGCAATGAGAGATGATGGTCATCAAGGTTCCATTCAGGGAACAGTCTATTTTGCGATTGTCATGAACTTCATTACGCAGTGGGGTTGGCCGCCGCAGCCACAGTCTCTGCCGTCGCAATCTGGTCACCCGGCCGCGCCTGGTTGATGTCGTCGAGGATCTTTTGTGCACCCCCGTCCACCAAGTCCTGTGCCACGAGCTTGCCAAAGTCGTCGGCCTCCTCCCGCGTCGCAATCTTCTCAGTCCTCTCCGCGTCCACCCCCTGCGTACCGTCGACGTGCACCACCGTCGCCTTGAGGCGCAGCAGCTTCTGGCCGCCGTCCTCGACCCAGCTCGTCTCCACCCCGATCGGCACGCTGCATCCCCCCTCGAGCGTGCGCATAACGCTCCGCTCCGCGACACAGGCCAGCATTGTCGGCTTGTCCTCGAGCTCCCTGAGCACCCTCAGCACTCTCTCGTCGCCCAACCTGGCCTCAATGCCCAGCGCGCCCTGTCCGACGGCGTGCAGGGTGCCGCCGTTCTCCGAGTCGAGGTACTGCGAGATGCGGGCGCCGTAGTCCATGCGCAGCAGGCCCGCGGCGGCGAGGATGATGGCGGAGAAGGGGCCCTCCGGCTCGTCGCATTTCCTGAGGCGGGTCTCGATGTTGCCGCGCACGTCGGCAAACTTGAGGCCCGGGTGGCGGCGCTTCAGCTGGGCGATGCGGCGGATGCTGCTGGTGCCGATGACGCTGCCGTCGGGTAGGTCGCTCAGGCTCTTCCAGCCGTGCTTCTCGGCGAGACCGGCCTTGAAGACGACGACGTCGCGCGGGTCCTCGCGCTTGGTGACGCAGCCGAGGGTGCAACCGTCGGGCAAGGTGGTGGGCATGTCCTTGAGAGAGTGGACAATGATGTCGAGCTCCTTGGCCACGAGCTTGGCCTCGAGCTCGTTGGTCCACAGGCCCTTGCCGCCAAAGTTGTACAGCGCCGTGATCTGGTCCTTGTCGCCGAGGGTCTGCATGCTGTGGATCTCAAAGGAAGCGTCCGGGCGGGCTTTCGAGAGGCCCTCGACGACAATCTCCGTCTGCTTCATCGCCAACGCCGACCTGCGCGTGCCGACGTGGATGGGGGTGCCGTTACCGGCGGCGGCGGCGGCGGGCGGTGCGGCGGCGGGCGGTGCGGCGGCCATTATGAGGGGTGGCGGAGTGTGCTTGGGATGAAAATTCGTCTCAGCGCATCCGACGGTCGATTGTTGGGGGTATCCTGCCGTGTTGAATGAGGTCAATCGCAAATTGTTGGGCAGAGATGCGGTGTGTCGAACGACGGGATCGAATTTTGGCTCGGATTTTGAAGTTGGAGTACTTGGCAGGGGGGTAGGAGCGATGGCGGGGATGGAGGGGTAGCACAAGAGCAACCACGTCCAGTTCGGTACTGTGACGGGACTGTATCCGACACTGTGTGCCTGCAGGGACTCAGGGGCCCCCGGGGTCCACTCCCTCCGCCAGCATCTCCGAGCCTCCGACTGCATCCCGTCAAATTCAAGCCGAATTTTCTGTGCCCTCTCGAATCAGACGTGGAACATCATCAATTATGGGTCATCGTCGAGTAAGCGTCTTACCGACAAGTTCGGCTTCGGCGCCCTTCAGAATCGGCTTCGGCTGCATCTTGAGCCTCCCCGAACTTGATAGCCCAATTCATCCGACGTACCTTTTCAGGCCCTTTTCTCACTCAATCACACGGAGCTCTGGGTGTGCGTGGGAGCATCCGCCATCGTGCAGAGCAAACAACTCTGACGTGGCGAGGCACAGAGCACGATACGACACGATATTCATGATTTTTGAATTGCTCCTATTTTCCTATTCTCCTTGAGACAACAAGCACGACCTACGGCAGTCCCCTGGTCCAAGAGGCGGCATGCTCAGGGGAGGAGTTTCTCACTGATACCTGACACGACCAAGTTTGAGTGGGGATCGAGGACACGAAAGACACCGTGTTCGTGTTCTGGACGATCTCAACCTGTGATGGCAGTCCGTTGCTCTGGGTCCTGACGTGGTCAGCATGCTCTCCTCCTCGTCGAGTCCGGTTGCACCCGCGCCGTGGACGAGTTACTTTGTGCTTCTCGAGATCGGCTCGCGGCAAATGTCGAGGTACGATGATGCGGAAGGACGCAGCTGTCAGGACCGTATGAGTCTAGCATCGTCTCGCCGTCTCTGGAGTTGACGTCTGCGGTCGTTGTAGAATGCTGCGTATTGTTTAGCGAGACATAGCGTAGCTTTAGGAGCAACCAGCCAGACCAAGTTCAATCTTGTCCAAATCGAATCCGAGAAGGACTTGGCTCTAGGTCCAAAACTCGTGCAGTCCCACCTCGCGACGGGTGCAACAAACAACGTATAAGCTACACCAGCCGAATCTACGAGAACATCAGACTGTCTCCATGTCCTAGGAACCCTTCTTCCTCACCATACAACAGCTCATGGCCCAAACTTTTGACGTCGACAATGTATAAAATCAGTCACTGCAACCGGCAATCGATCACGCAATATCATCTTTCCCCCATCTCCCGCACCCAGATTAGCGGCAAAGACCTCGTTTTGCCAAATCACGATACAACCCTCCGGCTCTCACACCACGCAGACATGAAGTTGAACATCGTAACACTGACCGCCCTCCTCGCCTGGGCATCTGCCGCGCCACAGGACCCTCAAGTGCCATCAGTCTCAACCTCCATCACGACAATAACGGTCAACGGCCAGCCCGCGCCCACCGAGCCTATCCCAAACAACCCCAATCCGGTCTCCACCCCCGCTCCTGCTCCCGCTCCCGCGCCGGCTCCCTCCGATCCATCGCAGCCGAAGCCCGCTCCCGGCGGTGCCCACTGCGTCTGTGGCGCAACCTACTGCGGCAAGGTCCTCGTCGGCTTCCAAGGTAACGTCCTCGCCTCCCCGCCAGTTTCCTCGCCTTCGTATCATGACAGACCCTGACAGACCCAAACTCTAACTCCCATGGGGGGCCACAGGCTACACCACCGAACAAGTCGGCCAGGGCTACTGCGCAACCCCGGGCACAAACTGCGCCTCCGCCGCGCCCGCCGTCGAGTCCCTCGAGAACACCCTCTTCGTCTGCATCTGCCCGCCCGGCCAGAAGCAAGGGTCCGCCATCGAGCTCATCTGCCCCTGCCAGGGCCGCTGCAAGAACGACGAGCCCGACTTTATCGGCCGCTGCGAGACGCCCTGCAACCTCGGCTGCGCTCCCGCTGCGCCGAGCTCGAGCGCCTCCGCTATTCCTGCGCCCGTCCCGGTCCCCGTGCCCGTTAACCCGTTGCCTGCTCCGGTTCCGGCTCCAGCTCCTCCCCCTGCTGCTAGGAGACGGTCGTAGGAGACGGTCGCGGTGCCCACTGGTCGGGCCTCATTCTTTTTTCGTCGTCTTGGGAATGTGGGGGTGGTATCTCTTCTTCTCCCTTTTATATTTTCTGTGTGTCATGTTGCGGGTCAACGACGACTGGGACGGGCATTCATAACTCAGCACCCCATGAAGGGGCTGAGTCCTACGCTCTCTTTAGCTTGATCGGAAAAAGGGGGTTTATCTCGGCAAATAGGCATGCTGCCTTTTGGGGGGTCACTCTCTCCAGTTTTAGGTACCAACATTCATTCAAAGTTGATTCGCAGCATCGCCACCCCTTTTTGTTGAGTACAGACGTCCATGGTATGACTTCAAATCCATCTGGACGTCTTCACGTTCACCGAGCCTTTTAAAACTGAGTACCGATGAGGTGAGCTCCGAAATAACGGCTCGCTAGAAGCGATATGCAACGGAGAGCCTCTGATCACAAGCACACTGTCAATATGTGTTATATACTGCAATTCGTACTTTCCTAACAGAACCAAAAGCCGCATTCTTCCATCACAGTGTATACAACACGCAAGTCAACTTAGTGAATTGGAAACGAAAAGGAGGGAGAAAGAAAGCCAAGATGTATGTTCATGATGGAGAGCTCCTTGAAGATGCAGCGCCTCTAGGGGAAAGACCAGATGCTCCCGAATCAAAAACATGTGGTTGCCAACGGAAGATTTTGCTGCGCAATACCAGATCTCTCTAGAATCTATGTTGCTCGGGTCTCGACGGCTGCTTTGATCGCTGTGAAAAGGCGTTGTCAGTTGGCCATGTCTGGTGGACGTGGAAAAGGGGGAGGACCACAAACCGTCGCAAGTCACTTTGGCGTCTCCAAACAACATGCGCGTTCCGGGCATGTAGAACATGGGATTCGGTACGTCGGCTACACCGTGTCAGTTCGTCACCCTAGAGATGTCTCTCTCTCTCCACAAAACTCACCATAGCCGCTGGCCATGCCCCTCTTCATCACAATGACCTGCTTGCTCTTCCACGCCTGGAGCACGGGCATACCGGCAATCGGGCTCCCAGGCTCGAGAGCAATGGGATTGACGGTATCATTGGCGCCAATGACGAGCGTGACGTCCGTCTCGCCAAAGTCGTCGTTGATCTCGTCCATTTCGAGAACAATGTCGTACGGCACGCTCGCCTCGGCCAGGAGCACATTGCACTGGCCCGGCATGCGGCCGGCCACGGGGTGGATGGCGAAGCGGACGTTGATGCCCTTGGACCGGAGCATGCCCGTGATCTCGCTGATGGCGTACTGCGCTTTCGCGACGGCCATGCCGTACCCCACGACGATGATGACGTTCTCCGCGTTGACGAGCGCCTCGGCCGTGTCCTCGACGTTTGTCTGCGTCACGACGCCTTCCATCTTGTAGTCTGTTTGTGCCGTCGGGGTGGATATGCCGCCAAAGAGAACGTTGGTCAGAGACCTGTTCATGGCCACGCACATGATGTACGAGAGAATGGAGCCCGAGACGCCAATGAGCGCGCCGACAGTCGTGAGGAGCGGGTTGTCGAGCATGAAGCCCTCGGCCACGAGCGCGAAGCCCGAGTAGGCGTTGAGGACGGTAATGACAACGGGCATGTCCGCGCCGCCAATGGCCGCCGTGGTGGTGTACCCCTTTGCAAAGGAGAGTATGGTGTTGGCCGAGAGGGCCATGGCAGCGATCATGGGCGAGCCGGGCGCGAGGGTCACAAAGGCGCCCATGGTGCCAATGTTGGCGGCGAGCATGCTCGAGTTGAGGATGTGTTTTCCAGGGAGGACGAGGGGCTTGGAGGACATTTTGCCCGCGAGTTTGAGGAAGGCGACGATGGAGCCCGTGAAGGTGATGCCGCCAATCAGCACGCCGAGGTAGCCCGTGACGAGGTGCAGCGTGGAAATGTCGTCAATGTGCGCCATGACGCTGCCGATGGAGGTCAGCACGGCGGCGAGGCCAACGACGGAGTGGAGTGCGGCAACGGTCTGCGGGAGGTCCGTAGGCGTGATGCGCTTGCCGATGAGGATGCCCGCGACGCTTCCCAGGGCCGCGAGACCGGCGAACTGGGTCAGAACCTCAGGGGAGAAGCCGACGGCAAGTAAGGAAGCCAACACGCCGGAGCCGACGCCGAGCATGCCGAGCATGTTGCCCATGCGGGCCGTTGCCTGCGAGGCCAGGCTGGAGAGGGAGCTGATGCAGAGGACGGAACTGACGGCGTAACCGGCCTGCACAAGGCCTGCGGCGCCGGTGGCGGCCGCGGCGATGTATCCGCCGCCGAAGAGGGCCGCGGGTACGGCGTACAGCCAGGGGTATTCGGGCGGGTCGGTCGGTCGCTTGAACATGTCGAGCATCCGCTTTGTGAGGACAAAGCCGCCAGAGACATTTACGAAGGCGAGGAGGACTGATGCCGCGCCCAGGGCTTGTGGGATCGTCTGGGGGAGGTAGCCTCCGCCTAGGATGAAGAGACCACCGATTCCGACCATGCCTAGAAGACTGTCAGTCTGGATCGCATGTTTCCCTTTGTCGCTGCTCATACTAACCCGAGATGGCGTTGGTGACGCTCATGAGGGGCGAGTGAAGGGCGGGCGTGACTCCCCAGACGACGCGGTAGCCGATCAAGGAGGCCAGGGCAAAGGTAAAGGCGTTGCCCATGAACAGGGGACCAGTCATCTTGCCCAGAGCCAGCGCGGTTCCCATTCCGGCCGTGACGGTGGCGACCTCGCGGGACGTCTTCTGGAAGGGGGTGAGAGCCACGGCCTCGGCTTCCGGCATAACGGTCGGCGGTGGCGGCGGCGCTGGGGGAGGGGCTTTTCGGGGCGGCGGCGGGAGAACGTCGCCCTTTAGCGTAACGACGGCGCCTCGCACGACCTCGTCAGTGAGATCGATGCCGAATTCCTTGTCCTTTGGCGCCATGGAGAGAAGGAATTTGGTCACGTTGTTCGAGTACAATGTCGAGGACTGTGTCGGCAGCCTGGAGGGGAGATCGGTGTAGCCTGGATTTGTAAGTCCCTCTCTGTCTTTTGACAATACACTGATTCAAACTCACCAATGATCTTGACGTCCTTGTACACGTAAAGCTCGCCAGGTTTGGTTTTTTCGCAGTTGCCGCCAGCCTCGGCCGCTAGATCAACGACGACGGAACCGGGCTTCATGGCCTCGAGCATCGACTTGGTAATGAGCTTCGGCGCGGGTTTGCCCGGGATCAACGCCGTGGTGACAATGATATCGACCTCACACGCCTGTTCGTAAAAGAGCTTCATCTCGGCCTCGATGAACTCCTTGGACATCTCCTTGGCGTACCCGCCGGCGCCTGAACCGTCCTCCTTGACGTCCACCTCGATGAACTCGGCGCCGAGCGACTGCACCTGCTCACGGGCTGCGGGTCGCGTGTCGAAGCCTCTGACAATGGCCCCGAGCCTCCGTGCGGTCGCAATGGCACTGAGACCCGCGACGCCAGCGCCGATGACGAGAACTTTGCAGGGTGGGATCTTGCCGGCGGCCGTGACCTGACCGGTCAGGAAGCGACCAAAGTTGTTAGAGGCCTCGAGGACGGCCTTGTAGCCGGCAATGTTGGCCATGGAGCTGAGCGCGTCGAAAACCTGGGCGCGGGAGATGCGCGGGATGAGGTCCATGGCGAAGGAGGTGGCCTTTTGCGCCGCGAGCTTTTCGACGAGCGGCTTATTTTGCGCGGGCTGCAGGAACGAGATGACGGTCTGGTGCTCCTTCATGAGGTCGATCTCGGACGGGATCGGGCTTCGGACTTTGAGCACGACATCGGCGCCGGACCAAACCTGCTCGGGCCTGTCGACAAGTGTCGCGCCGGCGCGGTCGTAGGCCTCGTCGGGGAAGTCGGCCTCGGCGCCGGCACCGCGCTCCACGAGGACCTTGGCGAAGCCCTTTTTGAGCAGGAGGGCTGCGTTTTGCGGGGTCAGCGCGACACGTCGCTCATTGAGGTAGATTTCCTTTGGTACGCCGACGGTGAGCTGCGCGTATGGGACGGACTGCGGTTCTGCGACTGTGGAGTAGGTCGCCGCCGGCGTGGTCAACGGGCCCAAGACGGAGCCGGAGCTGGAGCCCGCCGAGGCGACCGACGCATGGCGGATGAGCTGTAGGGGGCGGGGGCCAACGGCCGGGACGAGAGCTTTCGTCTGGCGGCAGGCTCGCGCGTGGCTGGATTGCCACTTGCGCGGTGCCCCAATGGCGACGAGAGAAGCCTGTGCTACATCTGAATGCAGGGGAACGGGTGTATTACATTAGCAATCGCAAGCGCCGGGATTTTGAAGTATTTGGGAGCTACTTCTCCTTCTGCTTGAGGACCGGGAACTTCATGGCTTACCTGCTAGACCATTCCGCCACGCGCGGGGGACGGCGAGCCGACCGGAAGCGCGGGAAGAGCACAGGTTGTAGGCCAGAGCTGGCCGTAGGACGGAGAGGTTCGCCATTGTGGCGGCGCTTCGAGCATCCAGGCTAACGAGGCCGGGGCGACGAGGACGGTTGGCAGGGCCCTGTCATCTGCTGGTGACCACTGCCTGAGTCGACAAGGTTGTGGCAGGGAAAGAATCCGCGTCGATTGTGAGAAAAGAAAGCTGCGGCATATAATGGGAAGATTGAGCTGAGAGGAGGGAGGAAGAGGAGAAGAAGTGAAAGAAGGAAAATGGATAAAGTCTGGATTGACTTTTGCGGCCAAGAGAAGGACAACGAGACAACGGGCTTGTGCTGTGTCACGTTTGTTCGGCCGTTATTCTTGTTCCATCATCGTTCGTTCTCGTCCTCGTACTTGTCCTCGTCACTACTTTGAGCTGTCCCTCACCTCGCCCGTCACCCGCGCATCCGGATCCCTGTTCTCTCCCACCCACCCCCCAAGTTCGTTGCATCCCAAGACGGGAAGTGCAGAATCGGTTCAGGCGTGTCGCAGATGTTGCAGCGCGAGCTCCAAGCTCCTCCAATCATTACCCGACCTGGATTGTTTGGAGTAGTCTGCGTGTCTGCCGAGTGGCTTTTACCCCCGCCAACCGCCCCGTCCAAGGTTCCCCTCATGGGCATGTGCGGTACGAAGTACGGTACTTCTGCGAGAACAGCTGGGGGAAAGCCAGTGTCGCAGACTTGAGTGCCTAAAGTAGGTAGGTACCTTGGATGGATGTGGTGTGAGATGTTGGTGGAAGTGGTCTGGTGCATGCTTCCGTGCAGGGAAAGAGCTGCAGGTTGGCCCCATCCCCCGTGCGGCCATGCGGCCCATGCCCCCCGTTTTCCCTCTTTCCCCAGTGTTCCAGTGCGGGGTGTGGGGCCGCAAGCACTAAACATGGCGCTAAAACACGGGCGCGGTCTTATCCCCCGCCATTTCAAGCCCGCGATAAGTTGATAAGGCCCGATAACTCTTCGACGTCGGGTTCATAATATGTTCTCCCAGTACCTCAACATTTTACCTATCTCTTTCCCCCCCTTCCATCCGATGAGTTGGATAAAGCAACCAAATGTTTTGCGAATTTGGTACGGAAACACTGATTGAAGCCCGCCCAGACTGTAGCCGAGCACCAAATGCCTGTCCCTGGCATCCCGAGTTAGTTGCCCGCGTCTCAGCGCCAATGGAAACCTGCAGCCGTGTTTGTGAATACCCGTCTCTTCCGGGTGTCGATGCAGACGGAGACACATCGCTATCACACGTCCTCATTGGGAAGGGGGGCTTTATAGTCGTATTACCCTGGCATCATGGCAACTTATCCATCGTGATGCATAGTTCAAGTTATGTGCAGATAGATCGAGCGCGATGACTTCTCGTCAGCACTTAATCGCATATCAAAATTATCCAAACTCAAGACGAACGTGTCACATGCACGAAGCACGAGAACATATTCGCGACAGCATGCATATGCGCACAGAAGAGGGCAGACGTGCATCGGCTGCTTCGGAGCGATGAAGCACAGCCAGCGCAGATTCGACGTGCAGATTCGGCATGCAGGCAACCAATGAGACCCGCCTTTTTCACAGTGCTCATTTCCTCCGCAGCTTTCTGACCTGAACCTTCTCTTCTTGCGCCCAGGATGCCCATCACAAGCCCAGCGTCTATCGCCCAAACCACTCAAAAAATCATCATCGTCCTCGACGAGTCCCATCATCTGCTGGATACTATAGGATCGATCCTCCAGTTGCGCCGCGTTACCATCCAAATCATCTGGTTAAACACGCCCGATCCGGCGCCGGTGTTCATCCCGTCCTCCCAGCTGGCAGCGTCCAGTGACGCTAAGTGCTCCGACGATGACCCGGCCGGCCCCACTTCTGACGCCTACTGCTGCTGTCCGGAAGCTGGCGGGAACCCGAGCGCCGTGAGGTGCTTGTCCATCGTGGTTGGCAGGTGCAGAGGTAGATTAGCGAGGGCGGTCTGGAGGTCACCGCGGTAGAGGGTACCCATCTTGGAACACTTCTCCCTTAGCTGCTCTATCACGGTCTTGGACTGCATTTTATCGGCGTAGAGGCTCTCCATGCCGGCATTGACGATGATGAACTCGGCCTCGTTGAACTCTGTAGGCGCAAAGTAGACTTGAGGACCAGGTCCATGAAGTGGTCCGGGTGGAGGAACGTCGTCACCCATTCCAGGCCCAGGGTCTTTTAGCTAAGGGTACACAAGAATTGGCGATGTTTCGTGAGTTGGATATAGTGACTGCGAACACCTTTCGCATCGCGGATGATGTTGACGGCGGACCGTACGGAGGGGCATCTCGCAGTCGCCGAAAGCCGGCCTGGCCATGGGTTTCGCTTGCAGATACGTCAGTTCGTGCGACGCAGGCTGCTGCTTCAGCGTCTCCCGCATCTTCAGCACGGAGGAGCCGTCGCCGACGGTTTTGCGGAGGAAGTCGTGGGCGAATATTGATTGAGCCGTCAACAACGACTCGCACTCGACCAGGTGGTCGGTCGTCTGCGCGGAATTGGCATGGCTGGCGGATGTCAAGATGGACGACGATGCTACCGTTTTGAGCTGTGTGACAGCCGGCGGGCCCCCGGGTGTGGCGGTGGACGATGCTGGTAGGAGGGAGAACTGCAGCTCCAGGTCCTCGAGAAGGCGGACGACCGCGTGAAGGCAATGATCTATGAGATCAATCACGGGGTCGCAGCGAATCTACGAGGGGGGCCACACCCGTCAGCCCTACGTCCAATGGGTGGTGCCGAGTGACATGGGCGGTAGGAGCCATTGAAGGGTGAGACAGCATACTTTGCGGGCACGACAAGCATCAGAGCGCGGCCCAGGGTCAACTAGGAGGGACGGGGGCGGTGCGCTCGGGTTCCGGCTCCGACGTATATATGGACCAGGTCCTGTGGCTGTCCTCGCGTGGCAAATGTCCGCTGATAAGGCTGGAGGGCTCATATATGATGCGAACACAAGGTGGACGAGAGAAGGAAGGAATTTCGACCCATATGAATGTGGAATGACAGGCCGTTGCAGAGAGTTTTGCAGATCGCCCTTGCTAATTATGTTGCGATGGACCCTTCAGGGGCTCGTAGTGTGGCATAGTTAGCGATTCAGGGCTTATCCAGGCTAAGACGAGGTGCCTTGGCTGTGCATGCCGCTGAAGAGACGCAGTTGAACTGGGGTCCCGGGCTTAGGAGGCGACTAAGGTAGCTAGGGGACGTCAGGGCCATGATTCGCCGGTAAGAACTCTGTAGATCCCGAATCTCAGTATTCTAGCACCGTAACGTAGGTAGTGGTAGTCAATTCAAACAAATCCCACCGGCAAAGCCAGGGCCATATTACCAGAATGAATTTAGCTATTCGAGTGCCCGTGATAGGTGCCTTAGGGGCAAGGATCAGCTCTGTGACGGTAGCTGTAAGTAAACCAATCGGTAGTCTTCCCGACTGGCCATTCCCGATTGGCCATTCTTCAAGCGCTAACGTTTATGTGAGACCTTGCGGGATAGCAAGCCACAGCGACGTGATGTCCTCGTGGTGACAGCCACAATCTCTGACCTTGGGGGGTCGAGGTCTTTCACATATCGTCGGGGCGGAGCTGTTGCGTCTCAGATTCCACCGCAAGCCGCAAAGGGCGGCGGAAGAATGATTTTCAGCACGGTGTGATAGGATTCGGTTCAATTAATACACCCTGCTGACATCTGTTGGACAGCAACGGGGCCCTTGGGGCCTTTAATGACGAACATCGCGCCCCGAGAGCACCGCACCCCGTCCAACGATGCACGGTGAGCGCCCGAGCGAAACTCTCCCGCGGCCCCCGCCATGAGCCTGCCAAGCTGCGCACCGGCCAATCACCTTTTCCTGTTCATTGCGACGCACCGAAGCGGGTCCACTCTATCGGTTCCTTGAGGTTCAATGACGGAGTCTGCGACGCTGATGACCCGCCATTTCGTGCGATTTGGTCGCAAACGCGTGCAATTTCCGCCCCAACGTACCTGCAAATATGAGTACCTTGAAAAGTTGGACGACATCTTTTACCTTCATCTTGAGGCTCTTTGCATGATATAACCTGCTCGTCTGGTTACCCATCCCGCATGAGGTCTGGTACACAATACGCAGAAGCCCGGCTCCATTTCCAGAGGAAGTTGAATTACACACAAGACGCATGACTAGCTCAGATTTAGAGAAACCCACCAAACCTTGTCAACTGCGGCTCTCATCAACAACCACCAGCCATCAATATGGGGGCGGAAGTCAAAAAGATGGAGCATCCTCCGGCCGAGGACACTATCGCCACCATTGCTTCGCCGGCCGAAGCTGTGAAAGATGAGGGTGGCGCATTCAAGGCCTACTTGGTACAACATCATAGCCCCTTTTGATGTTCGCCTCATGGACGAAAATATGCTAACATGCCCAAGAGAATCTTCTCGTTCGGAGGAGCCTTTGAAAAGCTCCTGCAAGCTGTCGCCATAGCTTGCGCCGTGGGCGCAGGCGCAGGTGTGGCCCTTCAAAACTTGATCTTTGGCAGTTTCGTCACCACCATTCAAGACTTCACCACCGGCCAATCTACCCCTCAACACTTTCGAAATGAAGTCTCGAAGCTCGCGTAGGGCCCCCTTTCACCCTCCAGAGATCACGCCAAAGCTAACCCCCTCCAGCTTATACTTTGTCTACCTCGGCATCGCGAGATTCGTCCTAGCCTACGGGTACATCTCCCTCACGACCTTTTCGGCCTACCGCATCACGAGAAACATCCGACACAGGTACCTCCACGCAGCACTCCGACAGGAAGTCGCCTTTTACGACATCGGCTCCGGGGGCTCCATCGCGACCCAGGCCATCTCCAACGGTCGCCTGATCCAGGTGGGGATCGCCGAGAAGCTCGCCCTGACGTTCCAGGGTCTGGCTGTCTTCGTCACCGCCTTCATCATTGCCTTTGTCACGCAATGGAAGCTCACCCTCATCGTCTGCTGCATCGCACCCGTCATCCTCGTTGTCATGGGCGTCGTGTCAACCATCGAGGCCGGCCTTGAGACCGAGATCCTCGACATTTACGCCCAAGCCGGGTCCTTCTCCGAGGGCATCCTCTCGAGCGCTCGTACTGTCCACGCCTTTGAGATCAGGTCGAGGTTGGTGCAAAAGTTTGACAAGTTCCTCGGGGATGCTCACCGCATCGGGAACAAAAAGTCTGCCCTCTTCGGCGTGCTCTTCTCCTTTGAGTATTTCGTCATCTACGCGGGCTTCGCCCTGGCTTTCTGGCAGGGCATCCACATGCTGAACCGGGGAGAGATTACCCAGTCTGGAGACATTTTTACGTGAGTTTGCTGGTACATCATTTCCTAAGCGCTGGCTGACCTTTTCTCAGCGTCCTCCTGTCTGTGGTAATTGGCGCAACGAGCTTGACCATGCTGGCGCCGTACGTTATCGAATTCACCCGCGCCGCCTCGGCCGCCGCCCAGCTCTTCAAGCTCATCGACCGAGTCTCCGAGATTGACCCTTTCGACAAGTCCGGCCACCAGCCAACAGAGACAGTGGGCGTCGTCGACCTGGAGAACATCACCTTTGAGTACCCGACTCGCCCCGGCGTGACGGTGCTGGACAATTACTCACTCCATGTGCCCGCGGGCAAGGTGACTGCGCTTGTGGGATCGAGCGGCTCCGGAAAAAGCACCATCATTGGTCTGATTGAGCGCTGGTATAATCCCAAGTCGGGTACCATCAAGCTGGATGGCCAGCCGATCGACGCGCTGAACTTGAACTGGCTCAGGAAGAACGTCCGACTCGTGCAGCAGGTGAGACGAGAGACGCCTACTTTTCGGGGACCAGCGCTAACTCTGTGATAGGAACCCGTTCTTTTCCAGGGAACCGTCTTTGACAACATTGCCAACGGACTCGTCGGCACCCCGTGGGAGAGCTCGCCCCACGAGGAGCAGCTGCGCCGCGTCCAGGAAGCCGCCAAGATCGCCTTCGCCCACGACTTTGTCTCGCAGCTCCCCGAGGGCTACGACACCATGATTGGCGAGCGCGGTGGTCTCCTTTCGGGCGGCCAGAAGCAGCGCGTCGCCATCGCGCGGAGCATCATCTCGGAACCAAAAGTGCTCCTCCTAGACGAGGCCACCAGCGCCCTGGACCCCCACGCCGAGGGCGTGGTGCAGCAGGCCCTGGACAAGGCCTCCGAGGGCCGCACGACCATTGTCATCGCCCACAAGCTCGCCACTATTCGCAAGGCGGACAACATCGTGGTCATGAACAAGGGCGTCATTGTCGAGCAGGGGACGCATGAGGGCTTGCTGAAGCGGGGTGGTGCTTATACCCGTCTCGTGAGAGCGCAGAACTTGAACGTCGTCGAGGAAGGGTCCATCACCGAGACGGAGGAGGATGGGGAGGAAGAGCCGGCGGCCCCGAAGGAGGATATTGAAGTCACAAAGACTATGAGCCGCTACCGGACGACGGACCAGACGCGTATGGAGACCCAAAAGGAGCGTGACAACTACAATCACCACAAGCCCATTGGTCTCATCAGCGTCGTCATCCGCATGGTGCGCGAGACCCCTGAGCTGAAGTGGGCATACCTTTCGACGTTGGTGGCCGTAGTAGTTGCCGGTAAGTCCCCTGGCCCCTGATGAGATTATTCGACTGCTAATTTGATTCTCAGCCGGCGCCTTTCCTGGCCAGTCCCTCATCATTGCAAACCTGGTCGACGTCTTCAACATGACGGGCTCGGAGATGATCTCCAAAGGCAACTTCTACTCTCTCATGTTCTTCGTCCTCGCCCTCGGCGTGCTCTGCTGCTACTTCACCATGGGCTGGTCGACAAACATCATTGCTCAAGGCCTCAACCACAAGCTCCGCCGGCAGTCCCTCAACGACTTCCTTCGGCAAGACCTCCAATTCTTTGACCGCGTAGAAAACAACACGGGCGCGCTGGCGAGCCGGCTCGAGTCCAACCCGCAGGCCATCCTCGAGCTCATGGGCTTCAACATTGGCCTGATCCTCATCTCGTCTCTGAATGTGATTGCGTGCAGCATCCTGGCCATCGTCACCACCTGGAAGCTCGGCCTCGTCGTCGTCCTCGCGGGCATGCCCCCGCTCGTGAGCTCGGGCTACATCAAAATCAGGCTCGACGCCCGGCTCGACACCAAGACGTCGCAGCGGTACTCGGCCAGCGCTGCCATCGCGTCGGAGTCCGTGACGGCCATCAGAACTGTCTCGTCCCTGGCCATTGAGGAGTCCGTCTTGAAGAGGTACACTGACGAGCTCGACAACGCTGTGCGGGCTTCGACGGGCCCCCTTTTCGTCATGACCATTGCCTTTGGGCTGACCCAGGCCATTGAGTACTTCTTCATGGCTCTTGGGTTCTGGTAAGTTTGGGGTGATGAACTTTCCAACCTCGGAGGCTAACGCAAAAAACTAGGTACGGCTGCCGCCTGCTTTCGTTCAACGAGATCTCAATGTATCAGTTCTTCGTCGCCTTCATGGGCACATTCTTCTCCGGACAGGCCGCTTCGCAGTTGTTCCAGTACTCGAGCAGTACGTCAATCCTCTCTGCTTGTCATGTCCCATCTCTAACCCTTCCCTAGGCATGACCAAAGGCATCAACGCCGCAAACTACCTCTTCTGGCTGCACGATCTGCAACCGTCCATCCGGGAGACGCCCCAGAACCGCGACGCCGCGCCCAGGGCCGGGGCCGCCGTCGGCTTCGAACAGCTCCGTTTCTCGTACCCGCTGCGACCCGAAGCGCATGTCCTCCGCGCAGTCGATCTCGAGGTGAGTCTCCCCTCCTACCATGGGTTGAGTAGAACCGTCTAACACACCTCCAGATCAAAAAGGGCCAGTTCGTCGCCCTCGTAGGCGCTTCGGGCTGCGGTAAATCCACAATGATCGCCATGCTCGAACGCTTCTACGACCCGACGACCGGCACCATCCGCATCGACGGCGACGCCGCCCTCTCGGACCTCAACCCCCGCCTGTACCGCCACATCGTCGCCCTCGTCCAGCAGGAGCCGACGCTGTTCCAGGGCAGCATCCGCGAGAACATTTCCTTGGGCATCGACGCCGAGTCCCTCGACAAAGTGGTCCCGGACTCCCAAATCGAGGCAGCCTGCCGTGCGGCCAACGCGTGGGACTTTGTCTCGTCCCTCCCTGAGGGTCTCGCGACCCCCTGCGGCAGCAGCGGTATGCAGCTCTCTGGAGGCCAGAGGCAGCGCATCGCGATCGCGCGGGCGCTCATCCGCGACCCGCGTATCCTGCTGCTCGACGAGGCGACGAGCGCGCTCGATACCGAGTCGGAAAAGGTTGTGCAGCGTGCTCTCGAAGAGGCAGCGCGGGACGGGGAAAGGATCACCGTCGCCGTGGCGCATCGGCTGTCCACGGTCAAGGACGCCGACGTGATTTGCGTGTTTTACGGGGGCCGGATCGTGGAGAGGGGGACACATGCGCAGCTTGTTGCTAGGGGTGGCATGTATAAGCAAATGTGCGAGGCGCAGAATCTCGAGTAAGGATTTCGAAGCGATTTCAATGCATTTGGGCTTGGGAGTTTGAGCGTCTTGACTTCTCCTCGGCATAGAGCATGGCGTTGGGAGAGCGGGTTTTTGTACAAAATCTAACACGCACTGCGCGATTCCGTCGTTCACACTTCACTCAAGAACTTGTAGATTGTAATGTTTAGACCCAAAGAAGAGATGCTCTCACGCTCAATGGATGTGATGCCATGCCCTACGAGTTGCCTCCTCCTGAGATGCGCCAGGTTCACCTCGAGGTCGGAGTTCCTCGGCCGGCCTTCTCACAGCAACGGCAATCCTTCAGCTTCGCTCCCTGGTTCTCAGCCACAGGGTCTGGTTCAAGTCTCCCTCAATGCTGGGTCAATCCGCGCGGTCTGGCGCGTCAGTCTATCCGGCTCACCGACGTCAGTGATTTGACACGGGTCCGTTGGAACTTTTGACTGCATTTCTAGACTGCCCAAGACACCGGGCTGGGCCACCATCTCGTCGACGTGACACCGATTGGGCACTCAGCTCATGCCGAAATCGCTTCTTCGATGTGACCGTCCGATGGGCCCCATGTCTCCCCCCCTCGTGGCGAGCGACAAGCCGTAGCAATCAAGAGGAACCATGAACCACTTTGTTGAGTGTTCGTTGCGCAAACTTTCTGGCGAAGCAACGTGCTGTCCAACGTCACCGGAGCAAGCAAAGGAGCCAAGGAAGCTTCTGCAAAAATAATGGTGGCAAAGTTTCCTTTCTCGGATTCCTATCGGAGGTTGTGCCGGTCGGGTCCTTGGCGTTTACGCTGCCGAATGTTGGGAAACGACGGATAACGTCACGAACGAACACCGGGAACACGATCCTTAGGCATGCCCTTCTTCAAGGATCATCTTGGATCATGCAGATGCCCTTCCGGCGATTGCGATTCCACCAAAGTCTGTAAAATGAGGTAGTAAGCTTAAGACACCACCCCCACCCCCGCCTTCAACTCTGTTGCCCGGATTATACGGGGCGGGCAGCCAATCAGAAGCCTCAATTCACCCACGGGGTTCGACCCAGCGGCCATGGTCAACTCTCCCGGGTACACAACCTCACGGCTCCTACGGTACGCCCATCACTCGATATCCCCAGGAACCGACTACAATGTAGAACCGAGCCAGGTCGACGAATCACAGTGGGGTCCTCCATCAGGCTCAGAAGCTTGGAAGCCTAGGAAGCTGATATTCTTCTCGACCTGCAGCGCCAAGCCAACGCCACCTTACGCCGTTCATCTCATTCTGCGGCCTGCCCTCTCACTCACCCCACGCGTCGGAGGCTTCATCCCCAATCCGCAGACCGAACACACCAGCTCCTGCCTTTACTGACTTTCCTTTTGCTGTTCCCTGGCATCGTCTCCGCTCGCCGTCAACAACAAGAGCCTTGGCGTTGGAAGCCCGAGATGCCCCCTTTCAAAGTCGCGCAAACACGTGCCTCTGTTGCTCAAAACGAGCCGTAAAGTTACATTCAGTTCCAGCGCACCGTCGCCGACGCCATCATGATATCAGTCTACCCGTCTGAGTCTCCCCTGCGCGGGCCAATCGTACGTCAAGACGGGCACTCGGTGCGACGGAATCCCACCCAACACGTTCACCTAGAGACTAGAGTTCTGTCCAGCCCGGGATCGTGCACCGCTTCCGCGATGTTGACCCGCGAATGCGAGGATCCTCGAACCGACAGAATGGGTTTCATGCAGCAGGCAAGGCTTCGGGACGGACTTTTTCTTGGCGGAGATACGCCCTCTCAAGACATGGGACGACTTTTCCCCCCATCTGATGGTTATGGTATATAAGCTCCCGAGCTGCAGGAAGCTTGCCCTCGAAAATCTCGACCAAGCTCTGCCTCTCTTACCGTCTCTCTCCATTGTGTCTTTGACTTCCCTTTGTAGTCAATTCACTGTAAGTCGGGCAAGATGGTCAAGCTCACCCCCCTCGCTGTTCTGGCTGCGGCTTCGCTGTCGTCCCTTGCGTCAGCGCAGACATACCAGCGCCTTGGGACATGTGCGGACCTCGGCTGCATGCTGCCGCCCGACCAGTCCGAACATTTGCCCGGCCAGGCCTTTGACATTCGTGTCGAGGTCCACGCGCCCGTCAACGGCTCCGAGGCCTTCAACAACGGCGTCCCCGACGAAGCCTTCACGGCCACCATCGCCAAGGAGGGCGGCGCCGCCAAGAGCCTGACCGAATTCTTTGGCGTCGAGGAGCCCAAGCTCGAGAAGTGGACGTTTGGTTGGTACGAGGACCTCTTCGCCGAGGACGCGAAGAAGAAGAGCGTCGTGAACGTGGCCTCCAAGATTTGGCGCCACCTCGCTCTGTACGAACCCGGCAAATACGTCGTCACGCTCACGTATTATGACGGCAAGAAGACCGTCGCCAACTGGGTCGTGCGACCTCTGGCGACGGAGAAGAAGGCCAAGAACGTCATCTTCTTCATTGGTATGTCTTGAGGTGGTGGTTGTGTTCATGCTCGCGCTAATTCGAACGCAGGCGACGGAATGACGACCAACATGGTATTTACGCACGCTTACGGTCGTTGAGGCCGCGCTGACTTTCAACACAGGTCACTGCCGCCCGTCTTCTCGGTCACAAGAGCATCAATGGAAAGTACCAGACCAGCTTGGCTCTGGACAAGTTCCCGGTCATTGGTCACCAGATGACTCATTCCATTGACAGCTACATCACCGACTCTGCCAACTCTGCGTCTGCGCTGTACTCTGGTCACAAGAGCACTGTGAACGCCATGGGGTACGTGGCACAGGAGAACCGCCGGGATGTTTGCGCTGACAGGCGATAGTGTCTATGTCGACTCTTCCCCTGACGCTTTTGACGACCCCAAGGTCGAGACCATTGTCGAGCTGCTCCACCGTATCTGGGTATGTCAGAGAGCTTTCTTGAAACCCCCCGGACCATCCTAACAGACTCAGGGCTCCGCCTGGGGTGCCGTCTCCACGGCCTTCATCGCCGATGCCACCCCCATCGCCCTGACCGCTCACACCCGCGCCCGATCCCTGTACGGACCCCTGATCGACCAGGCCCTGAACGGCGTCACAAACTACACCTGGACCAAGATGAACGGTCCCGACGTCTACCTCGGCGGCGGCGCCGAGCAGTTCTACCCGGGCAAAGGCTCCTACCTGGGCAAGGACTATTACGCCGAGTTCGCCAACAAGGGCTACAACGTCGTCCTGAACAAGACCTCACTCGAGGCTGCCGACCCCAACGAGAGGATCCTCGGCATCTTCACCCAGGGCAACCTCCCCGTCTGGCTCGACCGCAACGTCCTCACCGAGAACCTGGCCAAGCTCAGCAACGACCCCACCGGCAACAAGAGCGCCGCCGCCGACGTCCCCGGCCTCAAGGAGATGACGCTCAAGGCCGTCGAGACCCTGCACAACCGCGGCGGCGACAAGGGCTTCTTCTTGATGTCCGAGGCTGCTTCTATTGACAAGCAGATGCACACCCTCGACTATGACCGCGCGCTCGGTGACCTTCTCGAGCTCGACGACACCGTCAAGGCTACCCTTGAGAAGCTCGAGAAGCTCGGTATTCTCCACGAGACCCTCGTCGTTGTGTCTTCTGATCACGGCCACGGCTTTGAGTGAGTGAACTCCGAATTCCAGGCCGTCTTCTTTCAGTATAGTCACTAACCCAAACAGCGTCTTTGGCAACGCCGACACAAAGTACCTCGCCGAGCAAAAAGACGACCGCGAGAAGCGCAAGGCCGTCGGCGTCTACGCAAACTCGGGCCTCTCCCAGTACACCGTCGAGAAGCCCGGCGTCTCCTACAACACGGGTCCCAACTTCCCTCTCAACTGGAACCCGCGCTACGCCATTGCCGCCGGCTTCGGCGCCAACCCGGACCACCGCGAGGACTACAAGCTCCACGCCGACGGGCCCCGCTTGCCCGCCGTCGCGGCGACCAACACGACGGACTACTATGTCAACCCCAAGGATGCCGTCGACGGTTTCATCGTTAATGGTACCTTGCCCACCGAAGAGGCGCAGGGTGTCCACTCGCTCACCGACGTCGCCGTCTGGGCGCGCGGCCCTTGCCAGGAGACTTTCGGGGGCACCTACAGCAACATTGACGTCTTTTACAAGATGGCCAACTGCCTTGGTCTCGGGCAGCCGCGTAACAATACGGCCCCTGGGTGCGGTGGCGCCGCTCGCCGTGCCAGGGCTCTTCACGCTTGAGTTGGTGTGACAAAAAAAGGTCTTTAGACTTTTGTTTAGCATGGCGAGCAGGTGTTGGGGGGGGGGGGGGGGGGGGTGGGGGGGGGGGGGGGGGGGGGGGGGTGGGGCGGGGGGGGGGGGGGGGGGGGGGGGGGGGGTGGTGTTGACGTTTGGGTGTGGGATGCATATCTGGAGAGGCTGGAGAGGTCTCTCGTTATACTCATCTCGGTGATGAGTTTAGAATATAATATTACGTTGTAAAGAAAGCTCGTCATGTCTTTCGCCATTCCAATGGTCTTGCCAACCAGTCGACATGCCTTTCAATAGACGACGCGGACAGGTAGGTGGACGAAGAGGAACCTATCCCTAGTCTAGAAGCACAATGCCTCTCCAGCATCAGGACCAACACCAATGCAAGGACTTGAATCATGAATCTTGCACACAATAAACTTTGTGCTCTTTTTCAAGTCAACTTTACGAGTCTGGGCCACACGGTGCGGTTGCAACCGGGGCCCAGTTTTCTCGGGCCATGGACGGAACATCGACCGATGAACTGACGATGATCCACTTTCCGTGGTCCGTTTGTTACCCTTCCATCAGGCGACGATGGGTTCTGGCATCCCCGTTGCTCACCTTCAAAGGGCAGAATGTCTGATTCAGTGTTTTTCCCGGAACTTCATAGGCTAGGACGAGGGTGCCCGGGAAAGGGTACAAACAAATGGCTCTTGCCTGCGCCCCAGACGCCGTGGCGAAAAGGTCGGCGGGCAGGGTTACATCCCGGGGAGGACGGACAAGATCAGAATGCGCAGGTGTCAACTGAGGTAGGTACCTATGTCGTGCATTGTTCGTTTCTTGTTTTCAGATTACCAGGGATATGCTTCCCCCAGTTCGGATCTCGCTTGAAAGCCTTTCGAGGAACGGTTCGTTCGGGGTCGATCTCCCGCGCGGTCCGACTCTGCGGGGAGGGGGATTCTCGCAATAGGTACCATTGTTTGACCTCGAGTGGATGCGGCGCACAACACAAACACAACGTCCTTGGCAATCCGAGCCCCCGTGAGAGCTTCACTGCTCTTTCGAGAGGCTGAGATTCGTAACGTGATGTCGAATCAGCATTCCGCGCTTAGTCTAAATGAACTCCCGTAAACCCATCCGCTGCACAAGACTCGTAAGCAATCACCTCTCGGCCAGCCTCTCCAAAATGCCCATCGCCTCCTCATCATCAACCTCACCCTCCGTCAAACAGCTCGAGTGCGCCCACACGCTGCCGTCCCCTTTGAACCCGCCAACCAGCTCCCCAACATTCTCCCTCCTCACCCCGCCGCCGATAATCACCTCCAAGCCCTTGGCCCCCGCCGTCTTGCCGACCTCGGATGCCTCGCGCACAACCTCCTCGAGAGCCCCCCGATTCGCCGCCGCGTTCCCCGGCCCGCCAGACGTGAGCACCCCGCCGAACCCACACGCCGCCAGATCCCGCACCCCCTTTGCAATCGTCCCCGCAGCAGCGCCGTCGCGGATAACATCGTCAAACGCCCGGTGGAAAGAACACGCCAGACCCCCAGCCGCCTCAACGAGCCTCCGATTCCTCTCCACGTCAACCACCACCACCACCCCCCCAACCGCCGACCCCTCGTCGCCGCTACTCCTCTTCAAAACGCCAAACACGAACCCGTCACCTCGATCCGCCCTCAGCATCGGACGAAACGCCTCCACGTCCCGCAGCATCGTCGCAAACTCGTCCTCCGTGTACACGAAATCCACGTCGTCCTCGACACGTTTCCCGCGCGGCCGGATCATGATCCGCACGGGCACCATGAGCCACTTGTTCACGCCCTCGAGGTCCGCCGGCGCCGGCGTCGTGCCGCCGTCGGGGTAGCTGCCCCGCGCGTTGAGCTCGATGCGCTGCGCGCCAATGGCTTGGACGTGGAGCGCCGACGAGGGCGAGAAGACTGGTATCTCGAGGGGGATGGTCATTTTGGGTGTTTGCTCAATGACCGTCAGCTGGCTGGGTGATTGGCTGGGAGAGCGACGTCGATGAGGAAGATGGATTTGAATGAGACGTGGATGTGATGGGTTGAAATCAAAATAAGGTGGCGGGAAAAAAGTAACGAGAACCCTGCAAGTCGTGCCCAATGCTATATAGTTGAATTTGGAAAGAAGTGTGACACAAACAAAAACTCAATTGCCCGACGCCGTGCTTTAAAAGACTTGAGAGTCTGCGATATTCTTGTTTCTTCGCCTTGTTCGCCATCTGCCTTATCCGCCTTGCTTGTCCCCCCTTCGCCCAGACGGCACTTTTAATATCAGATCATGCCACCCTTCCTTGCTGCCGTTCGTGTCAAGTACCCACCGGCAACACGGAGTCTGGAGATTCAAAAGTCGTTCGAGTTTCCTCGGTAGGCTTAGTCATCGTGCATATCTTAATAAACCTGAGACGTGGAATAAGAGATGTAGGATAAAGGGGGCACAACCAATGTCTCGGGAAGCACGGTGAATGATTGATGCTCAATTCCTATGAAGGTCTATATGGGATCATCTCATGGGGGCCCTGGACGACCAGGGTCCAGCCATCTCCCGCTGTCTGCAGTCCTGAAAGCCATGAGGCGTATCTCTCCGGCAACCATGCCATTAACCTCACTCCAACGCCTAGACCAAGGCCCGATTCCTGCTGGATGGCTCAAGCTCTATCTGAAAGCTCGATAGCTTCCTTCCGAATTCGCAGTAGAGTGGTGATGGTCTTTATAATCGTCGCGCACGCTTTCAGAAAAGGTTATTTGTGATTGGCGGACGTAGGAAACTGAATGCGTGTGTCGCCATGGTCAAAATCGCAACGTCTCGCAACGCCTGTAGAGGGAACAAAACAATACAATAACAAACAGCGGTGTGCTTTCCGAGTTCAATCCTGGCGCTGAGCGGGAACATCCTCGAAGGCTGCAAAGTCTTCCTAAAACTCGTCCTCGGGCACGTCAATACTATCCATGAAGGCGCCCTGACGGTTGTTGTGCTCGGCGAGATGCTGGCGAGAAAACAATTGACGCCGGAACCCCTCGTCCCGAGGCTCCTCAAGGCTGTCCATGTAGCCGCCCTGACGATGGGTGTACTCTGTAGGATTTTGACGAATAGAGGTAGAAGGGGAAGAGTGACGCTGAACCAGCTCCTTCTCGGGCTCCTCGCGATGGATTTCGTAGGCACCCTGGTGATGGTAATCCTCAGCGGCATACTGACGAACAGAAGCAGAAGAAGGACGGCGGGACCGCTGCTGCTGATCAGGGCCGGCTGCCGAGGGGCGCTGAATGTAGTCCGGAATGGTTGAATGATGGCCAACGCAGGCGAAGGACGGCGCGTAGATGCTCTGCGCGGAGCTGCCATCAGGCGACATCGAGGCTCGGGGGTCCGAGTAGCGAGGCATCGCATTCTGGACAGCGGAGTGCAGCGAGGAGCCGAATCGGTGTCCGACAGGATAGTCAGAGTAGCCCATCGGCGGCTGCTGCGACTGGGGAGAGGACTGGTACAGAGGATCCTGACCGTACTGGTGGGATCCCGCGATAGCCTGATGACCGCTGTAGCTCATGGAAGGAGCATAGTGGTGCTGACCAGTGTTGTACGCCGGGTTCGCGTGGTATCCCTGATGGTTCCGGCCCTGGTCGTAGTAACCCTGATCGTTGTGACTCTGACCGGAGCTCTTGATGTTGGGGCTCTCATCGTAGTAGCCCTCGGCTCTGGGACCATGATCATAGTAGCCGTGGGTGTTCGGGCCCTGATCGTTGTAGGCCTGGGGGTAAGGGTTCTGGCCGTAGTAGCTGTGAGTGCTTGGGCCTTGGTCATAGTAGCCCTCACTTCTAGGGTTCTGTCCGTAATGGCTCTGCATTCTGGGGCCCTGATCGTAGTAACCCTGGCTCTGGAACCGGGGTTGCGTCGCCAATCGAGCAAGTTCTTGGGGTGGCTGTCGACCACGCTGAGAGAGTCTGGGGCGCTCGTACGGATGAGCACGATGGTCGCGGTTCCGCATGAGAGCTCTCGCTGGGCGAGCGGCGATAGTCGAGCGCTCCGCCGAGATGGTGTGCTGGGGCACCATGCCGGGAACGAAGTTGCCATGAGGGCCCATGTCGACCAAAGGGGCTGGGAGATTGTGAGGAAGAGAAGGATTCTGACCCGGAGCACGCTCAACAGGGCGAGAATCAGCATGGTCAATTCGGTTCTGCTGGTTCACGGCACGGACGATTCCAAGAACATTGTCGTCGTTGTCTTCATCGTCGTCGTCATCTCCATCATAGACATAATCTTCATCATTGCCGTCAGTGTCCTCCAAAAACACATCTCCGTTCTCTTCATCAGTGGTCTCGCCGGTATGCTTGTCGAAGCTAGCTTGGCCCTGTCCATGTTGAGAAGGAGTGGTCGCGTCATCTTGCGTCTTAATCTTTTCCTTCATAGCCCTGGCAATGGCCATCTTCTGCGCGCGCACGTACGGGGCCGCGTTGGGCGAGATCCGGTTCTTTTCAATATTCTGGAAGTAGTGCTCCACTGTGTGATTGTTAGCTTGGTCAGTACATCAGTGGAATGTGCTAGACTTACAGAGACCAAGATGAGTATACTTGCGCTTGGCGTAGAGACCCATGGTCGTCTGCATGATAGGGGCCAGCTCCTCCCAGGTCATTGGTATGCCACCGTCAACACGCTTCTGGGAGTTAGGAACGATCACACGCCAGTAGACGCGCTCTTCTTCCTTGGACCAGACTTTGCCAGGCATGTTGACAGGAATGCTGCGAATGACGAGGATTCTTGGAGAGATAGGTTTGCGGCAATTCTTGCAAGATTTAATGATTCTGTTCGTCTGGTGTCTGTGATGAACTGGTTGGCCGAGGTAAGGACGTCCGCTGAATCACAGACGCTTGCGGTTGTAGGAGAGCAGATGAAGTGAGTGATGCTGTGATTTTGGAAATTAAAATGACTCTTCGGAAGAATTCTGTGCGGAAAGAAGTAAGAAGCGAGTTGAATACGCGATCGCGTCGAATGGAGGAAGGAATAATCAAGGCCCTGACAGAGGAGGAGTGACCGGATTCCAGTTTTGAAGCTGATGGGTTGAGGCAGAGGCTCATATTTTATATTATGGGGGATTGGGACGGCTGTGATGGTCGAGGTGGCCTCAATGGCGGCGAGGTCGGACCGGTGAATCAGCTTGTAGGAAGGAGCAGCTGATTCAAGAGCGGGCATCGTGGTCGTTTTTGAGTGAGGTGAGTTGGGTTTTGGTTTGAAGCGAGCCAAGACCACGTGAGTCCATCGTGGATGAGATGAAAGCCAGCGACCCCATTTGGCTGTTGAGGACTGAAGCCTTGGGCGTGGATGGATGTTGATGTGATCAAAAGCTAGCTGTGATCTAAGAGCGCATCAGAATTTTGACTTGGTTGGAGACCATGTGATTTTGAACGGCATTCTTTGAAAATGTGCGATACAATTGGAACAGCCGAATGGGCCTGCTATGAGCGATGAACAGGCTTAGGCTTGGGTGTGTGCATTGTAGGTAGCCCTTTTCGCACAGCGAGTTCTCAACGATACCGAAGACGACCTAGCAGATGCCACTACCTTCCATCGAGAATTTGTAGTGACATGTTGGAATCTACTGGGCCATTCGCTGGATCAACTTCGGCATTGTCGTTATTCGAGCGGGTGATTTGGATCAGTGCGTGTGCAAGAATTGAAGCCAGAGTCCCTTTGACTGGGGAGAACAATTTCGAACGAGATGTGCAGCATAATGCTGAACTGGGCCCTTTGAGCGTAGGGTTAAGGCACAATTATAACAGTGAGGCCCATTGCTTACAGCTATTCGAAAGGACTGCGAGGGTCTGCTGCCTTGTACCCCCTGGCTGTCAGCGCTGCCGCTAGACGCCACTCAAGCCTCGAGAGCTGTCATCATGTTAGAATCTATTGCCTGACTCTGTGGGACTATACTTGCAATGCTCTTCTTCTCTGGTGCCACAACACCTTCCCTGATCCAAAAACCCCAGCCACCCATCATGTTGGCTAGCATCATGTCTGTCGTCAGGCGGTCACCGACGACGGCGACCTGGGATGGATGGGAGACTCCTGTTTCGGGATGGCTCCGGAAATACTCCATGATTTCGGTGCCACAGCCGGGTTTTTTCGTCTTGTGAGGCAGGACAGTGATGCCAGTTGCCTCTTCCAGCTCCTTGGCCAGCTTGAGGGAGCTGTCGTAAGAGGTAGCCCCGGCCGTGTTGGATACGATGACCAGCCGACGGCCAGGATACGCGGCCTTGAGCTGCTCGAAGCGCTCCTTCATGATGATTGAGCAATCTGGAATTTTTAAAGAAGCTTGCAGTGACCTACCTTGTAAGGCTTGTGGACCTCATTCGTGTGGGGAACCGCGAAGCAGTCGTCCTTGTCGAGCACGACAGCTCTGATGTCGCATTGCCGGTTCTGGCCCTCGAAAGCTTTTTCAAACGGGATTGGCAGGTCATTGAAAGTCGCAACCGTATGCTGCGGCAGACACAGAGTCGGTTTGAAAAGAAGCTTGAACACGTTCACCGTGCCCGAGAGGTTGAGATTCATCTTGCTAGTCGGCCCTGAAGTGAGGATGGATTGGGGAGGACTGAAGTCTGAGGAAGGCGGGTGAGATTTAGCATGTAGGAGCTTGGGCCACCTGCAGAATTGGGCGACAGCTACCCCTGTTCGTCGATAAGATAAGACAGCGGATGTGCCTGCGCCAGCCCACGTCACTTGCGCCGGTCAACTCAATTAGAGACCGGGGCCCACTTTGCCGCCTCCCTGTCCGACTGCACATTTTCGCGTTCAGCGCGTCGTCTCCGGTTGCCGTGCCGTCGAAAGCCGCCAAATATTGACCAACAACCGCCCCATTGAACCACATCAGCGAAAAACCGCAGCAGATCGACGGAGCACACACGAAAATGGCCCGGAAAAGACCGCAGGAACCAGATGTGGGCGACTCCCCGAGCGGCCGACTGAGCCAGAAGCGCTCCCGCCAACAGCTGCAGGACGGAGCCGACGATGAGCCCGTCAACGGGACTCCCTCGAAGCGGAGGCGCCAGGCAGCGGACCCTTATGAAGTGCCCTCTGATAGCGATGCCAACGAGGAAGAGAATGAGGAGGAGGCGGCAGAAACCGAACCCGAAGAATATACCCCGAAAAAGCGAAGAGGTCGTCCGCCGAAACCCGCGACCCCAAAAGCCAGCGGTGCGGTCACCCCCTCGAAGCTACGACAGGTGAACACGCTGGTGACACCGGTGAAGGCCGCCATCACCCCGCGAAGGAGACAGGCCGCCGACCGTTCCGCGCGGAGGAAGAGCGCCAGGGCTCTCATCCAGAGCATTGTCGCCGACGAGAACAGCGACGAGGACGACGACGACAGTCTAGCCCGCGAAATCTACGAGTCGAGCGAGGAAGACGACGATGAAGTTGAGGAGCAAGGCACGCCACGGGCGACAACGGCAACAACGAAATCAACAGCAGCATCGGCATCAACAGCACGAGAAGCAGCACAGCCCTCCGAGCCAGAAACACCATCAGCAACCCCCCGCCGCCGCGGCCGCCCACGCAAACAGCCGCCACCCAAATCGCCGACCCCGCCCCGCGACCTGCCCCCCCACGAGATCTACTTTGAGCACAACAAGCCCGGCCGCGCAAAGACGTCCCACAACACTCTCGTCTCCCTAGAACTCCTCACCCACGAAGAGTACTTTGACCTGCTCCGCGCCCGCCGGGAGGGAGAGAAAGACCCCCACGAAGAGGACCTCGCCTACCTGCAGTCCCTCCACGAGACCTCCTTTGAGCAGTGGCGGTTCGAGCTCGCCCAAAGTTTCAGCCTATGCCTCTACGGCCACGGGTCGAAGCGCGGACTCACGGCCAAGCTGGCGGAGCACCTCTACGCCGCGGACCCCAATGCCCCGATCGTGGTGGTGAACGGCTACGTACGCTCCCTCACGGCCCGCGACGTCTTCACCACCGTCGCCGCGGCCCTCGGCGGTAATCCCCCCGTCAAACTCCCCGCCCAGACGACAGCCATGGTCCAAGCCCTCTCCTCCGCCCTCACATCATCGTCGTCGCACCACCCCATAACAATAATCCTAAACTCCATCGACGCAGCCCCCCTCCGCAAACCAGCAACCCAACAACTCCTCTCCCAGCTGGCCTCCCACCCACGCATCCGCCTCGTCGCAACGGCAGACACACCCTCCTTCCCCCTCCTCTGGGACGCCGCCCAGCGCACGGCCTTCAACTTCCTCTTCCACGACGCCACCACCCTCCAACCCTTGGAGGTCGAGCTCGACCCCGTAGACGAGGTCCACGAGCTCCTCGGCCGGAAAGCGCGCCGCGTCAACGGCAAAGACGGCGTCGTCTTTGTCCTGCGCTCACTGCCGGAGAACGCAAAGAAGCTGTTTGAGCTGCTCGTCATCGAGGTCCTGGCCGCCATGGACGACGATGGCGGTGGACAGCACGGGGCTGAGAATCCGGGCGTGGAGTACCGCATGGTGTACAACAAGGCTGTGGAGGATTTCATCTGCAGTTCCGAGATGGCGTTCCGGACGCTGCTGAAGGAGTATGTTCTTCCCCATTCTGGCCACCATGACGATGTCGAGCTGACACGAAGACAGGTTCCACGACCATCAAATCATTACGAGCAGGAAAGATACCCTCGGCACAGAGCTGTTGAGTATCCCCTTTAGGCGGGAGGAGCTCGAGGCCATTCTCGAGGACTTGATGTCATGAGTTACGGTCACCCTATGCATAAAAATCATTTTACGCAAAGTACGGATACACTCCAGGCATTTACATTGAAAAGGAGGAAAATGGGATTAAACGCATACCGGCGTTGGTCGACATTTATCTCTACTTCATACCGATTGATTCACCCAAATCACAAATGAAGGCCAAGGCATTGCATTCATAATCATGATCCCCTATGCTCTAGGAGTATTTTCTTAAAAAGCCAACCCATCTCGTGAAAATCCACCCCCTTGTAAAACGCCAACCCATGACACCTCTACACTCCTATACTTTTAACACACGTCCAGAGGACCACCGGCACAATAACATTATCGTTTCCGCCGGTCAAGACCGCCTCTGTCAAGCTCGCTATGCTGGCGCAGAAGCCGGCGTTCCCGGCCGACGTGGGCCAGGCCACCGATTGCTCCTCCGCGACGGGCCACCCTCCGACCCGAAGCCACGTCGTGGCAGCCATGAGACCGAGGAACACGGCTACAGCAAAAGCGACGCTGCCCTCGAGACTCTTGCCGCCGCCCCAGACCCATTTCCTGTGCCCGTAACGCCTGCCGATGAGGGACGCCGCCGCATCGCCGAGGCCGACGCAAATAACGCCCGCCACCATGCTGACTTCACGCGTCGGGACCTCCCACCCGGTCAAGTAGCCACTGCCGGTGCGCGGAAGGGTGGCGAGAGATAGCCAGAGAGGGATCGCACACCCAATGAGGAGGAACAGGTGAGAGATGACGACGGGCCCCTTGTGATCTCTGCCATCCACGTATGGAGTGAGGAAGGAGGCGATGGGTCGGGACAGGGGCGGAAGTTGACTGGCCCGTAGCAGGTCGAGAATTAGGAAGATTGCGAGGACGAGCGACAACGCCAAGGCCGCGAACACGGGGTCAACAAAGGTCGCAGGGAGGAACATGCCGACCATCATGAAGTGGAACACCTTTCGTCTCGTATCCACTTCGTACTTGGGATCCAGGCGAATGACCACAGTCAAGCCGACAATGACAATGGCAAGCCAGTATGCGGCCATCAAGAGTCGCGTGTTCGCTTCGCCAAAGTCGAAAAGCCGAATGTGCTGCACCCAGCCCTGGTGGCAGGACGCCTTGACATCCTCGCCCAGGCGCGCAGGCAAGCATATCCACCTCTCCAGGTTCGCTTCGACGACTTTGAACCTGAACCATGGCAGCTCGCCGAAAAGGTACCCCAGTGCCCAGCCGATGGGCTCATTACCCAGCAGAGCATGACGGCCAATGTACTCTCGCACAGGCACGAGAATGATGAGGACAATACAGACGTAAACGTACGTTGCGTACGACCACTTCCTCACGGTGGCTTGCGCCTCGGTCAGCTTGAAGAACGAGCGGACGGTAGTCGAAGCGGTCCGTTTCCTGCGGCCCGCTGAAGTGTGGGTCAAGGATCGCCTTGGCCGCTGCAAAACGTAGGGAAACGTGTTGCGTCGTCCAGCGGCGAACCCGTCTGGTGATCCCGGCGCTTTGCCATCTGGAGAAGCGCTCATCTTGCGGTCTCCTCGGGACGGCAGGTCGGCCATGCCAAACGTCCTGACTCTCATCGGCTTCGCAAATGGCCCATTGACGATTTCCTCCTCGGAGTCGCCAAGCTCAGATGCCGATTCCTCCAGTGACGATCCCAATAACTCGTGCTTGAAGCGCCGGATAGAGAGTCCCTCGGAAAGAAACCCAAAGACGGACGACTTCTTCGACGGGCTCACAACGCGCCTGAAGCGCAGCCTTGGGACCCTAGCCAAGGCGATGCCCCATTGAATCACCGGTCCGCATATGACGAGCACGCCCACGCCACCTCCCCAAAGCAGCGCTTGGAGAATGGTGGCCTGAGGTGAGTGGGCGAGGAGCAGCACATTAATCAAGGCAATCGAGAGCAGTTGCAGCTCGGCTGTGAGCAAGCTCGTCGTAGTAAGATAGTGCAGCACCACAAGCAGCGTCTGGTGCAGCGGGTAGAGGAGAACGGCAGTCTCTGAGCTGATGCTCGGCCTGGCTGAGGCCGCTTCGGGGTGCTGCTGCGACATCCATATCGGAATGCAGGATAGGGCCCATTGCAGGGGATTAATGGCTTCGTGAGCGCGAGCAGTAGGGATTAAGTATTTGGGTATCGAAGAAATGCTGAGAATGATGTTTGTGAGGACAACCGCCTGATTGTCGGGAGATATTAAAAGTGACACGAGTAGTGTCACAGACGGCGGATACAGAATTGGCGCGGGGTCAAAGACGGTGGGCACAGCAATGGTTGGCTTCTTGGAAGATGCCCTTTGGCGGGTTGACCATGCGATGAGTCGGATAGGGTAGAGGATCATCAGGGAGATGATCAGCGCGGCTGGGAAACGCAATTCTGCATACTGTGAGCTCAAGTTCGGGGGGGTCCAGGCTGGATATGACACACCTCTGCTCCACGCCGTGAATAGTGGCTTTACCAGCGGATTTGAGCGAGCCACTGCGAACAGCGAACCAACGATGATGAACTCTGATACTCGCCGGATGAGCTCCTTTGTGCGGCGGTAGTTGCGTTCGTTGAGAAACCTGCGGGCCTCTTTCCGATCCTCCTTTTCTTTTTGCATCCGCAGAGCATCTTCTTCCTGATCTGGAGAGAGAAGGGGCGTTGACGAGCCGGACAATACCTCGTTTCGGCCCCTCAATCCCTTGTGCAGACGGACCTTGGGCGCCGGCAAGCCCTTCAAGAAGTGCTCATCGTCCGCTTCGGTGCCGCTGTCGCTACCCTGCGAAGAGTCCTTGGCAAAAGACGGAAAGGGAGACGGGGTTCGGCTCGACTCCGTCGACGATGACGTCCTCGGCGGTGTCGGGGCCGTATTAGACGGTTTATAGACTAGGCGGTGGGCGGGGTGAGGAAGCTCCGTATTGAGGTGGTGGTAGGGATGGGGAGAGCGGTTGAGAGTTCGAATTTCATCGATTCCTTCCGTATCGTGGCCGAAGAGAGCGTTCGGTTCGAGATGCGCGGGCATGGCGGAGCTATCGCATCGGAGAGGGCTGCCGCGCCAGCATTCATCCACAGATTGTCGAGGCTCACTTGGAGGTGGGCGTTGGTGTTGGCGCTGCTGGGCAACATGGAATTGGGTGCGACGGATGCCACAGGGCTAAAGACGGTCGCAATGCGATTCGAGAGGTCGGGCTTGTTCTGTGAAGTGTTGCTACGATGATGTTGCTTCTGTCACGTCACGCCACGAGTGACTGGAGATGGGGAAGATGTTCACGGCGAGGCGGCGGTTGTGGGGAGCTCCATCACATGAAAGATGCGAATTGGCAGCTGTGTTGTCATCTGGGCTGGCTGGTTAGCGGGCTGTCTGGCAGCGTCAGTCTCTGTTGGGAAAGCGGATCATCAGCCGCGCGGCGCCAGGGAGTCATGCGCCAACGCGACTGGACGGGGCGGGACAGCGGGCGACAGCGACAGCGACAGCGACAGCGACAGACACATCCCCATCGGATTTCAAGAGGCGCACGAGCCACAGGGCCAAACGAACACAGCCTGTGGCTGAGCCAGCAGCCGCAGAGGTTCTGCTGCGATTGCTGCTCTTGGCGGGGCACTCGGGGGTCGCCAAGATTGCCTTCCGGGTACCGAAAGGCAGGCTTAACTAAAGTACCTAAGTAAGGTACTGCCCGACCCGGGACCGAAGACGAGGAGCAGTGGCCGGCGTCGGTCTTTCCTCTACAAGACTCTACAAGACTAAAGAGGCTGACGAGAGACACCGCGATGAAGCTCACCAACCATGATCAAACGCGCCCACCCCAAGGACGTTCCAGACGTGACCCCAGACGTCGGTGACCTCACATCCGACACGCGGTCAGGATAGCCTCAATTCGGGACCTCTATGCGGCGGACATTGCCAGATTCCTGCAGGCATGGCCCGGCAATGTTGACGTCGCAGTGACATTCTTAAGTAATCCCAACGCACAAACGACACAGCACAGGCCAAGCCAGAGCGGAATCAGCCTTCAGCCCTTCAAGAGATGAAGAAACTCAATTGGGCCCGTCAATCCAGTGATGGCCGGCCTGATACCCAGCAGCTCTTGGCGACGCCACACGTCGTTGTGGTGACGGCTGAGCCTCCAGCGGCGCCTTCTATGTGATGCTCGCGACCCTCACGATGATGATGATGCACAGGTTCAGGACGAGCTCACCTGCGGAGAGAAAGGCAGGTTATGATGTTGCTACCTACATGGTGGACTACTGACATAATCTTCCGGGAGCTGACGTTGATCACTCCAGAGTTCCAGAGTTTAAAGAAAGAATTGGAGAAGTATGCCAAGTGCTGTTCCCAGGTCAATGTCGGTTTGCCATTTCGGCCGGTTTTGCAGCATCGACATCCCATCTGATGCTCTGCACACTCGCCAAGCGGCGTCGCAAGCCTAAGGAAAACCTGACAAAAATATCTATCAATCGGAGAATCCAGAGGCAAGCCACAATCACCAGATCGTGAGGCAGCGCTGACCGTTCCCCAATGCGGACGACACCATCTTTATTTTATCCCGTCAAACGTACGAATAGCGAGCTGGCACAACTGCCTCAGCCTCCTCACCTCCCGCTAGCATCCGGATGCTCTAGCGGGCCACGAAGCCTGCATCGGCATCCACGAATGCAAAAAGGGTCGAGGGCCGGCATTCGGCTGCCCGTAACCCCCCCAGCTCTCGTCGGCCAAATCTCGTATTACCTGGTCCCTGCAGCGGGTCGAGGATTGGCTGGCAGGGACTGGGGCATGCTGGAGAGACAGCTGCACAGGGCCGCTCCCCTAGACAGGACACTGGGCAGGAAAAAAGTCAAAATACGAGAGTCGACTGTTTGACTGTTCACTGTTTACCGCGGATAAGGACCCGTATCGTAGTTTGATAGGGTGACAATGGAAGGTCGCTGTTTCAAACGCACGCAAACAAAACGTCAAACGGGCCAGACGGGCCAAGAAACCGTACGGGTGGCTTCAGGTGCGCAACGCTCCGAACGAGCGACCTTCACAGCCACCTCCACGTACCAAAGGTAGGACAAAAGACCGACGGGTGTCTCCAGATCAGATGGATGCGTGAGCCCGTCCGTACACGTTGTGCAGTTGCACCTCGCCGTTTGACGTGTTCCACACCAGATTCAGGTACAACGATGCTCAGGGGAGGTGGCTCTTTTATGGAGAGAGATTCTATCAATGGACGGACGACCATCGACAAACACGGAGGGAGTGATATTGAGGCTCTATTGACGGGAGGGGAGACCGAGGCAAGCAAGCGGCAAAAGCAAACATGGCCTTATCAGCTCCCTTGGGACACCATGCCTGCAAAGCTGACCGGACTAGCAGTGGGTTCGTAATCGGCCTGCATGCAGTGCCAGCGCGGTGGATGTCGCAAAGATGCTGCAGCACGCCAGCACCGAGTGTGCGAGTGCAGGCCCCGACTGTCAGCCCCCCCCTCCACCCAGAAGCAATGAATCCAACGAGGGAAGCAATTGGACAGGAAAATCCCATGGTCTGACTGATCATCAAGTCTGCATGTGGCCTTGGGCATGCGGCGGTACACCAGCAAAGTCTACGAGTGCGGCACCATCGCGGAGCGTCTGAAGTTGGCAAACACCAGATGGCTCGTATCGCGGCGTAGCCCATGTTGTACGCAACACCTACACCCACAGCATGTGCAAAATGGGTGGGACAAGGAATCAGACTGACGATGGACTCCGGAGACGATACGAGAGCCTGAGACGCGTGTGTTTTGGTGATGTCACAATCCACTCAACGGCAGCACCGGGCTGAGGAACATGAGCCAAGTCACAAGTGGCTTTTGGCCAGTGGGTACGAGGCAACGGAAAGACATGCCTAGCGCAGAGGCCACGCCCGGAGGAATTAATGGGCTTTTGGCATTCCCGGCCAAGATTGGGGCAGGAGGAGCAAAATATTATTCAACATTGGATCGACTGGAGCCGAGGACGGACGGTGACGGGCTGCTGAGTGGGACACTGGGAACCCGCGCCTGACGATCCCTGTGCGGCCTGCCGGTGCAGACTCTTGCACGCCGCACGATGGACACCAGTGACGAGCGATAGCGACGCAAGATGTGGATGGACTGATGAAATGGGGAAGCTCGGTTTGGGGTGACGGTGGAGAAGGTTACACTGGGTCAGTGGCTCGGTTCGTCACCCTTTTTTTTTTTTTCCCTCTCCCACAGAGCTGCGCAGAGCTACGAGTTGGGACGGATAGCTACTATTAGAGCTAGACCGACAGGACAGGGGTACGTCGTCGGGGCGGCGAAACAGGGAATCTTTATATGCACAAAAATGTGTTTTCCTCCAGCCGACTGGGCGACGCCAATGTGCATTCTGCCTGGGACGATCTTCAACAGGTTTAAACGCCAATCCCCTTTGCTCGTTCGCCTCTGACTCTCTCGTCTGATCATCCGTCTTGTCTCTCGCCATCCTCTCGCTCGACTGGTGGTTATCACGGTCTGTTATTACGCTCGCTGTGTGTGTTACAATCAGCGCCACATCCTTCCAGCAACACCGAATTCTCGTCATCCCCCGACTCCTCACATTCCAAGGCATCGGTCTCAGGCTCGTGAAATTGCCGGACTGCGCAACAATCTACACACATACCTATCAGCTAGTTTCGACCTCGGTCCCTTGGACGGGTAGGGGCCTGCTTTCGTTCATTCTCAAACGATAAACATTCAGCAGCAAGGTTTTTTTGGGTGGTTTTTTTTATTTTATTTTTGCTTTTGATACCGAACCCCGGGGACCGGAGAAGAAGCGTGCGGTGTGCGGCGTGCCTCAACCCGACCCTCTCAGTCAGTCTAAAAGCTATTAGCTCGACGGGTCTCACTACTCCGGAATCCCATCCTTGGCCTCACCCCCAACCACCAGCCACCCACCGACAATTACAAAGGGGTTCGGCCGGTCAGGTACCACCGCACATTGTCCTTTTAGATCGCCTCTTGCCCCTCTCTCCTCACATCAGAACGGAGGCCGCTTGCGACCTATACAAACCTGCAAGCCTCTCTTTGCAGTCCACCTCTTGGGTCGTCGCGCAGCCCCCCCCCCCACCTCTCCTCTTACATCTGCATCTCGTCTTTTCGCCGCCTTTGCTGCAGCCGGGACGCTAAACAGAGGCCCGCATCGTGTCACCGACCCTACCCTGTACACCTACTTGCGTGTCCATCCATTGGACATTCATAGCTGTCGTTTCCGTCCTGCAGTCTTGGGTGCGGTAAACCTTCCTGGCCTCTCCGTCCTTTCTATAACAACCCGGATCACCTCACATCCCCGTCGCTATCATGGCTTCCGACACAAAGTACGACCAACACCTAGAAGAGGGATTGCTGCCAGTTGCTGTCAACGAGAAGGGGACTTTGACTTCGACTTCGAGACCATCCAGGACGCCGCTGCCGAACAAAATGACTGCTGCACGCCGTGTCCTGCTCACCGTCTTGGTGTGCGGCTTGATGAGCCTCAGTCTCGCCTCGGCCATCGGTCACATGGCGAGACCTTGCACCAGAGATCATCAAGAGCAAGTCCTGGTTGCTGAGGGTGATGTGAAGGACGCCGCCAAAGTGGATCTCATTCACAGGCTCCTCCACGCCTACTTCCCCGACCGCTACCAGGATGGGGTCTATGCCTCGGACAAGGAAGCCATTGCTGCTTTCCAGGCGGACGACTCCGAGCTGGCCTCTGCTCTCGGTCAGTTGGAGAAGCGCCAGGACAATGGCACCTCGAGTGCTGCTGCCACTGCCACTCTTACCCCATCGGCCACCGAAGCTGCCACGCCATCCGCCTCGTCCGCGCCGCCTGCGAGTGACACGCCGACCCCGACCCCGACACCGACTCCGACACCGACTCCAACGCCGTCTACTCCGGCCACCACCTCCGCTGCTCCCCCGGCGTCCTCCTCCGCAGAGGCCCAGCAGTCTTCCACCACGCCTCAGCAGACTTCGCAAGAGCAGACCACACCCCAGCAGTCATCGCAACCCGCAGCCACCACCCCCACGACACAACCAACGTCAGCAGCAGCAGCCCCTACTTCTGGTACGTCTCAATCGGAGCCGCAAGCATCTCCCTCTTCTACTGTTGGGCCGTCTACCGCCTCTACTGAGTCTCCTCCGACGACCAGTGGGTCTCCTTCCTCTTCTTCTCCCCCTCCCCCTTCTTCTGCCCCCTCCTCGTCCGCTCCCACCACGGCCTCCCCGGGGTCTTCGAGTGCGTCCGCGCCGGGTACGTCTGCTTCCCCCTCTCCTGAGACTACTACGGTCGTGACGACCTCGTCCACCGCGATTTCCACCGAGCCCGTGTCGTCGACTGTGTCTGTATCTGGTATGTTGTGTTTGTTGGTTTTGTAGCTCAGTCGATTCATGTTTAGCCCTGGGCGGCTGTGGCGGGATTACGGTTGATTGGGTTTCTCACTAGCCTCGTAGTCCCTTCTCCTTATCGCTTTCTTCTCGATCCATCCATGCATGGTGCATCCATTTGCTAACCAAGTCCAGGCACCACCCGCCAAGGCACCACCACCACGCGTGCCGCGCCCAGGACCACCTCGTTCAGCGAGGTCAAGACCACCTTCACGTCGACCGCCTCCAACGGCGACGTTGTCCTCGTGACCGCCACGTCCTTTGTCGCGGTCGAACCCGAACCGGCCGCCACCTCGTCATCCGGTTCCGGCAACAGCGGCGGCGGTCTGCAAAACGTCGCCGTCCCCATCGGCAGCGTTTCCGTCCTGCCCATCTCCCTCGCCGCCTTTGTGGCCGGCGCCATGCTCTTGCTGTGATGGCAACGTCCGCGTGTGACGAATTTCTGTTTTAAAATATTGACTCCATTCCTTATTATTTTTGGGGCGTGTATTCCCGGGAACACAACGGCAGCGGGCGACGGCGGCATAATAAACATCAGCATCACAACTTACTCACGACATTTTACGGTCTTATTCACTCCTTGCATACAAACTGGTGGGCGGCACAACAAACACACGATACATAGACTTTGCGCGGCAATGCGCCGATATTTGATATTTTTGGGAGGGAGGAGAATAATAGATCAGGGGGTGGCACACCATAAAACACCGTGGCCTCGGAACAGAGGAGGAGGAGAAAGTGGAAGAGGAAGTGCAAGTGGAAGAAAACAGGTCATCACAATAGCACCTGAAGGCAGTCAGTCCTTGGCAGACCAGAGAAAAAGTTACAAACAAATCGTGCAAAAAGAATGAAAACAAATCATTCGACACTCAATATATTTGGTACTAAGACATGGCCCCCCCGCATTCCATGACACGTCGAGAGGCGTGAACTACGCCGCACGGTGTTTGATTGCGGGACATGCCGCATTCCAATCTGGCCTTGGCTCGGTTGGATGGTTCATCTGTTCTGTCTTTCTTGTTTCCGCACAGTGTCATCTCTTTGCATCGAGAGAGGGGGTCTGCCGCATTGCCAGTAGACAGTAGCCAGCAACAGCAGCAGCGTCATCAACACTGAGAGCAATGTAATCCGTGAAATCATAATTTTGTTTCTACATCCCGAGAGAGAGACTTGATCAAGGGTATACAATAACGCCACGTCAAAACTCCATTTTCCCCAAAACAAGAAGCACAAAAGGGTCACTATTTCCTCTCCTGGCGGCTCATGTCCCTCTCAAACTCTTTAACCGGGTCCAATCTTGGGCATGTCGTGGTGCTCGCTCAGCTTGGACAGGTAGGTGTTTAGCTCCTCGACGCGTTCCTTGTGCGTCTTGAGCAGTTCGGGTCGGGAGCTGGAGGATTCGGCGAGTTCGAGGAGCTGTATTCAAAAGGTGTCAGACCCCATTGATGATCACCATAGTGGGAGAATATGTGTTTAAAAAAAAAAAAAAAAGGAAAAAAAAATCAGACGTACCCTTTTGCGCTTCCTCTCCTCGTACCGCCGCTCCGCCTCCGTCTTCAGTACAACTCGGCCGGCGTCGTCCTGGTCCTCTTGGGCCTCTCTCTCGGGGTCCTCGCTCCCGCTTCTCTTCTTTGAACTCTTTTTCCTCTTCTCCCCGTCGTCGTCACCGGCAGATTCGTCGCGGTGTTTTACCAATGCGGTGCTGCTGCCGCCCTCGCCATCGTCGCCCGTCTCGAGGTTCTTCTCGAGGTCGCTCTTCTCTCTCCTCTTCTTCTTCTTGGGCTTGCCGACTTTGGCGCCCTTGAGCTTGAGGCCACCGCCGACGGCGGAGGCGTAGTCGTCCAACGGCATCGTCGTGGGGCCGCTGGTGCTGGTGATGTCTGGTGATGGAGCCCTCTGCTTCCCGCGTATTGCAGGCAGACGTGGTGGGATGCGGAATTGGAGCTCTCTCGGTGTTGGCGCGAGTGGTTGGTCGCCGGTGTATTGGCCGGTCGGGCTGTCAGCTCTTCAAGGCCTTCTGCCCCACCAGCCCCTGGCACTCCCCTCAGTGGCTTCAGTGGCTTCAGTGGCTTTTTTTGCTTCTAGGTTAGCGGCTTGAGAATTTGACTGCTTGCTGGGGCTTCTCCTGGGACCCCTTGTCCAAAGGTCATTGCGCCCCACACTCTTAACCCGGTGGCAGGCGCCAAGACCTGATTCGCTCTCCCGCGCCGCGGATCTCGATAGGGGCCAATCATGGGTTGATCCGCGTACTGTAGGTTGTGGGTCTGAGCGGGTGCGAAACAGGACTGGGCTGCCCCCCTTTGTACTGATGGGTATTCGGATACAGAGATACTTACTCAGACGTAGCGCAGACCGACTTGGCTGATGCTTGACTTGACTCGGTGAATAGTTCGTCACTACGGAGTAGAACCCTTGGTTTTCTGCCGTCGCAACCCGGAGCATTGTTGCATCTGGATGCCACGCGCCAACTCAATCTTTCCTTTACCTCCTTTGTTCATCCGCCTCAACCTTAACTCGCATAACTCACCACACGACACCCCGGACACCCGTTTCCTCAGTCAGCCCCCGTTTGTCCCGTTCGGCAATCTTATTCGGACAGCAAGCGACGACAAAACCCAGAATTCCCAGCTGGATGTTTACTCTCCTCTCCGCTCCCCCTGGATCACTAGTCTGTTTCGGTTTCCGCGTGTAGGGAAGTGGGTAAAGAGAACACAAGGTCGAAAAAGAGAGAGCCAAACGGGGCCTGGCGCAACTTTGTCACGACTCCTTTTAACGAAACGTATATGCCAACGACGTCACGAAATTCTTAGGAGACACCGCTACTCTAATATCCACCCACAACGCTCAAGACGCCGGCGGCGAAGTCCCAAGCAAATTAACATACACTGCCTTGGTATTTCCACATTGGCCGTGCTGCAACATGCAATAGCCCCAGTGCCAGATCCCCGAACGCCTGAACGAAGCCACCCTGGTCGAGAGTCGCTCCCTCGTCCCTCTCGACACCTCGAACCACCGCGCAAACACACGCATACACGCAACTGCCGCCATGCCGCCCTATGCTAATGTCCAATCCCATCGCGACTCCCTCGAGCTCGCCTCCCTCGCCTCCTCCTCCCGCGCCGAGTCCATCGCCTCAGACCTCCCTTCGTCACGGCCCTCCATCTCCTCCTCCCGCAAGCTCTCCTTTGACGCCGAGGACCCCCTAGACGCCGCGAACCCGGCCGCCAGCTCAGGAAGACCGAACCGCCATGACCGCTCCTACTCCGTGTCCTCGGGCTTCGACTTCGCCGCGAACCTCTTCCCCCTGAGCTCCACAGCCGGCGCAGGCGGCGCCGGCGGCTACGCCCCCATTGGCGCGCCAACTTCCACGGCGATACAGAACGGCGGCCTGGGCGGCGGCAGCTTGGAGAAGCACAAGACGCTCACGTACCTCAACGGCCTGAGCCTGATCGTGGGCCTCATCATAGGGAGCGGCATCTTCTCGAGCCCGAGCCAGGTGAGCTCCAAGGTGGGATCGCCCGGCGCCGCGCTGGTGGTGTGGGTCATTGCGGGCGTGCTGGCGTGGACGGGCGCGGCGAGCTATGCGGAGCTCGGCGGCGCGATACCCCTCAATGGCGGCGCGCAGGTCTACCTCGCCAAGATCATGGGCGAGATGGCCGGGTTCCTCTTCACCTGGGTAGCGGTGCTGGTGCTGAAGCCGGGAAGCGCCGCCATCATCGCCATCATCATGGGCGAGTACCTCGTCAGGGCGGCCATTGGCGCCGAGGCCGAGAGCCTCAGTCCCTGGGTGAACAAGGCGGTCGCCTTGGTGGCGCTGGTCTCGGTCACGCTGCTCAACTGCGTGTCGACGAAGCTGGGCACAAAAGTGAACGACTGGCTCATGTTCCTCAAGTTCATTGCGCTGCTGGGCGTCACCGTCACCGGCATTGTCGTCGCCATCACGGGGACGACGCTGACGGGCAAGGCCAACATGGAATGGAAGACGCACAAGTGGTTCGCAGACACGTCGACGGACCTCTCCGCCTGGGCCGTGGCCCTATACGCGGGACTCTGGGCCTACGACGGCTGGGACAACGTAGGGAACATCCTTCTAGATTCCTGATGCGCATCGCTGACAATCCTCTGCAGACAAACTACGTCGTCGGCGAGTTCCGCAACCCGAGCCGCGACCTCCCCCGGGTGATCCACACGGCGATGCCCCTCGTGATCCTGTCCTACGTCCTGGCCAACATTGCCTATTTCCTCGTCCTCCCCCTCGCGGCTGTCAACGCCTCCAACACCATCGCCGTGCAATTCGGCGCAAAAGTCTTTGGCCCCGTCGGCTCCCTCGTGCTCGCGCTGGTCGTCTCGGCGTCGTGCTTCGGCGCCCTCAACTCCTCAACCTTTACCTCGTCGCGTTTGGTGTATGTCGCCGGCAAGGAGGGCTACATCCCGTCCGTCTTTGGCAGCATCGGCCTGTCCACCCGCTCCGACGGCGGCGGCCACTCGGTGACCACCTCCCGCACCTCCCGCGGCCGCCTCGCAAACTTTTTAATCCGCGCCCTCGGCGACGACGACATGGGCCTCTTTTACACCCCCGTCTGGGCTCTCGTCCTCAACGCCGTGCTGACGGCGGCTTACATTGTCGTTGGCGAATTCGGCACCCTGCTGACGTTTTACGGCGTGGCCGGGTACACGTTCTACTTCATCACCGTGCTGGGTCTCATCATCCTCCGCGTGCGCGAGCCGCAGCTCGACAGGCCCTACAGGACGTGGATCACGACGCCCATAATATTCTGCTGCGTCTCGCTTTTCCTGCTGAGCCGCGCCGTCTTTGCGCAGCCGTTGCAGACGGTCACGGTTGTGCTGTTTGTCGTTGCCGGCGTGCCGGTGTATTTTTGGCGGATCCGGGGGCGGGATCAGCAGGTTGTCAAGCGCGAGACGAGGCATCATCACTCGGAGCGTGAGGATCGTTCGTGGTGGCAGTTTTGGAAGCGTTCATGAGGGGTCATTGGCAAAAGTGGTGTTATTTTGGAGAGAGAGAGAGTTTGCCTTTGGTTGCGAAAAAGGACCCCTGGTGCTTGGATGCTCATACCCAACGCTTTTGGGTACTGTCCATTACTTATTTTGCTTATCAGTTTTGCATATGGCCGCCGTACGGTGGAGTGGGCCGTGCCGCGGTGGATGGGGATCGGGAATCCGTTCTCTGGAGTTTTTTAGTAGTCTTTTTTTTTTTTGGATGTTGAAAAGAAAACATTCGGCGTCGGATGAGAGCTGAGCGGAGCTGACCTGTTTCACTCAAGCGTGGGCGGCAGCCTCTTTGTAAAAGGCTGGTTATTTAGAGGCTCCTGCTAGGAAAATGGATATACATCTAGAGCGTGGAGGATGAATGAGGGCAGTGTTTGATGAACAGCCAGCGTCGAAGGAGTGAGAAAGAGCTTGCGGATTCGTATCCGAGTTTGAACGAAATGCAATGGGTGTGTGAAGAGAACGACGCGCCTCTGAATAGAAACATTGAAATAGCCAATCTCGTGATGGACGAATTGTGCGCGTGACGGGCTCACGACCACGGCGCCGTCTCACTGCTAGATCCCCAGCCTCGAAAGCAGCAACATGTGCAAGTGATTGATTTCAAAGTCCCCTGCTAAGCGAAATCTGAAAGTACAACTGTGTCACTCTCACTTGACCGATGAAGCATCCAAGGCAATCAGTCAACGGACCATTGGAGACAGATTTGCATCACATCAGGTTGTATTCCTATGTACGGTAACCTAGACTTCAATTACGAAGTGTAAATGCAAATGCTGATGCCAAACTAAAAAAGAAGCAACGCTAAATTCTTCACACACATTCCTCAAAATGGCAGATGTCTGGGATATCGTCGTCTATCCGGGTTTTGTTTACTTCTTCTCGCGCTGACCGTACGCCTTGGTGGCGTAGTCGCCCTTGTGGACGATGAGGTCCTCGGGCTTGTAGTCCTCACGACCGCTCAGGTAGCTGTCAATGATGGCCTTGGTGCCGTCGGCGTAGCGCTTCTGGGCATCGAGGGAGGTTCCGGACATGTGGGGGACCATGGCGTTGCCGCCGCCAAAGGGGTTCTTGGCGGTGCGCAGAGGGTGATCCGCGGGGGCGGGCTGGGGGAACCAGACGTCACCGCCGTAGCCGGCGAGGTGGCCAGACTTGAGGGCGTCGGCAACGTCCTCCTTGACGACGATGGCACCGCGGGCGGTGTTGATGAGGTAGGAGCCCTTCTTCATCTTGGAGATGAGCTCCTTGTTGAAGAGACCGCGGGTCTTTTCGTGCAGGGGAGCGTTGATGGTGACAACGTCGCACTGAGCAAGCAGATCCTCAAGGTCCTCGACGCGGCGGCAGCCAATCTCGGCCTCCTTCTCGGGAGACAGGGGCTGGTAGTCGTAGTAGAGGAGCTCCTTGCAGTCAAAGGCCTTGAGACGGCGGAGGACACGCTCGCCAATGCGGCCGATGGCGACGGTACCGACGGTCTTGCCCTCGAGGTCGTACTCCTGCTTGGCGACAGCAGCGACGTTCCAGTCACCGCGCTCAATCTGCTCGTGGGCGGGGACGAAGTTGCGAATAAGCACCAGGATGGTCATGACAACGTGCTCAGCAACGGAGACAACGTTGGAGCCGGTGACCTCGGCAACGGTGACACCGCCGTTGGTCTTGTTTGCAGCGTTCAGGTCAACATGGTCGGAGCCGATACCAGCAGTGACGGCAAGCTTCAGCTTCTTGGCCTTGGCGAGGCGCTCGGCTGTGAGGTAACCAGGGTGGAAGCTGGCAATTGTTAGACCGAGTTGCTTCTTGACTCATTGTCGAAACTTACGGAGTGGTGATGATGATCTCGGCGTCGACGAGCTCCTGGTCGAACTTTGAGTTCTCGCCCTCTTTGTCAGAGGTGGTGACCAGAGTGTGGCCCTGATCCTCAAGCCACTTTCGGATGCCGAGCTCGTTCTCGGTGGTTCCCAAAAGGCCGGGGACCTATGTGGTTTCGCTCAAGTCAGCCCAGGCCCAGCTTCCAGGGATAGTTGCCATGCACCCCGCATTTGGTAGTTTCGGAGCGCACGCATTTTGTCAAGAAGTTGGGGGAGGAGAGGGGGAGGGGGAGGGGATGCCGATGTATCAGCGATCGACCTCCGAGCCCCGCACCTACCCGTCACCCCCGCACTAGCTTCGCTGCGGCAGGGCGAAGAGCACGGCGGGGCAAAGCTCTGCGAAAGCTATCATGGTGACGTTCTGGCGGGACACCGGGGCAGTGGACAGACAGTAGAGAGATGTGACTTACGTCTTTGGCGTGCTGACCGCCGTCGTAGAGGACTGCAAGAACCTTGACCTGATTTTGGCGAGTAGTTGTTAGTGTGCGGATTGAATTGAGTTGGCCAGGCAGTTTGCGAGGGAGAGTCGAAGATGCTGGGGAGGCCCGGCCGAATGCGGGTCGGGCGAGGAAAGATGCCTTCGAGGACGTGGAAAGTCCCCGAGAGACGGAAGGGGCAACGGAGCGGATGTGACGCGAGAGCAATACCATTGTGACTGATTTGAAGGGGTGCGAAGATGTTGTCGAGAGACTCGAGGGAGCTATGAGAAGCTAGGAGGGCAGTAGTCGTTATATAGAAGTGAATCTAGATGTGAGAGATGGGAAACCCGGAAGTTCGGAGATCTTGGTAGAGATGTTTGTGTGTGTGAGATTAGAGTGAAGACCACTTGACGGAAAACCGGCCAGGGCATGTTGTATTTATGTCTTGGAAAAACATCGCCGGCTGACCGGGACGTTGGGCAGGGCGGGGAACAAGCAACAAGTGGACGGCAGAAAGAGGCAAGAGAATCCGGTCCACAAGTCTCGTCGCTCCTGCTGACTGTCTGGGTCTGGGCTGGGTCGATGGCCGATGAGATGGCTGCCTCCTCTCCTCTTCCGTGCCTCTGTCCTGCGGCCATTTGCCTCGATCCTCCTCCACCTTGCCGAGATACCAGAGAGCCCCAGGCCCCTCCTTTCCAGAGTATCTCCTTGGGCCAGTCAGACATCGGACAGGTATCGGAAGGTTCGAGACGACTGCGAGGCTGGAGCGTGACAGGCATGTATCATTGCTAAGGTCCCAGAGCAGGCAGTATCCAAGGCAGTAAGCTACTTTTGACTCGGGATCTCCAAATTAGTCTCAACCTGCAAAGAGTCTATGCCAATTGGTGCTCTTTGGCGGCTTGCCTGGACGTGGGGAAAGCTCCCAGGCGTCCCATCATTGGCTGCGCCGGCCTGTGTACCTGTGTGGTTCGTCTCCCCTCCACCCGAACAAGAGCTCTCGCCCCCTTCAGTTGGCAGCACCGCCCATGGGCGATGAAATGCCGTGTCCAACGACCCCGGCAAATCTTCAACCCCAGCCGCAGGACCAGGACTGCCATCCATCTCGTCTTGCGCCAGCCAATTCACGTCCATCGAGAACCCATGCAATGCAACAACGCGCATCCTATCAAATATCGCGGTCCAGAATGAGGGGTAACAACCACCTTCCAAGACCGCATCATACGCGCGCCGTCCCATCCAATACGGCTTGGTTTTCATCACCTAATCAAGTCGAGGAGCTCTCCAATCGTCATCCGCCTGGGTCAATTAATTGTCCGACCGGCTTCAATTAGAAATACTGCGGCGGCCCCTCGGACTGAATCATAGGTAGCCTGGGCGCTTCCAGCTGGCGAACAGCGGGCTAGCTCTCATCTGAACATGCACGAACCAATCCCTCATGCGCCATCGTCACTTTAGGTTGGACGGAGATTTGTCGTTAAGCTTGAGATCAAAGAGCTGCCGGTAAATCCCCTCCGGAGGTGGTTCGGCGTTCTGTCGGGTTTTTGTGTGAGGGGTGGTTGAACTTCGGCGTCAACCTCGCACCACATTGCTGCGCGCAACCTTGGGGGTTAAGTTTACTAACCCAGCAACCGTCGGCATCCGTCCCGCACCAAGCTGATTGCGCCCATTGCGCCGTTCGGGATCGATTGCGGCATTGGATGCGGCCGGAGACATAACTCGTTTCGATGTGCCATGAGGACATCGTGGGCCGGCAAACCCGTTGATGGAGCCGTCTTGCATCAGATGTGGCAATCCGAGAACCGTCCACGGACACGTCGACACAATCGTGACGGAATAGACGTGCCGCGGTTTCCGTTGAAATTCCGTCATCGATGCGGCACCGTGGCCCCGCGCGACCCTCTTCCTTTCCCTGTTCTCCGGCCCCGTCAAACACCTCAGCCGGTCCACTGTCGGGAGGCGTTGTCGCGGTTCTGGCGGGCCAAAGCATAGCGGTCATAAGCTCACCTCAGGCGGTGATTTTTCATCAACGGGCGCTTGGTCTAGGGGTATGATTTTCGCTTCGCACTTCCGTCTGGAACGCGCCTTTGTGAAAGGTCGTGGGTTCAATTCCCACAGTGTCCATTTTTGCAGAGGTGGCATTCACATTTTGGCAGATTTGATGTCGTCTGGTGGTCATTCTGCCTCAAGAGCATAGTGAGAGAGTCTGATGCACACGGGGCCAGGATCAAGCAGGCACATGCCGGGGGATCAGCAACGCAATGATGACGAACCAAAGTTTTTCGCGAGGCACAGGCTGAGACCACGTCAACAGATTGCCAACCCATTCACACTCCCTCATCTGCACCTGAAGCCAAACTCAATTGAATCATGCTTTCCAACCGCCCTGAAAAAGATCGCTTCCTCTCTTATTTTCGGTGAGTCCAGGGACGATCCCTGCCTGTCGCCACTCGGGTTAGGTGAGTCTAACTCCAGTGACCTCTTTGGTGTCTCTGCGCATCACAGCAGTTGACTCTCTACGATCGACTTTGGCGCATTCTCAATGAGGCATTGACTATGTTATATCGATGATCAGATCACTCGTATTTCGGATTTTCGGGATGCTTGAGCTAGTCTCTCCTCTGAACCAGCCCGGCAGGCGTCAGAAGCCGATTTCGTACCAGTCACAATGCTCGCCCACTTGGGTGATCATCTCTTTGAAGGCAACCTTCGTAAGTTGGTCAGACAGGGCTCGTCGACGCGCATGGCCAGAACAAGCAGTGGACCGATGGCCAGCAATGTGGTGGCATCCCTACAGCTGGAGCTGCTCAATGACAATCTCGTTGCTATGATGTTTGAAAGATCCTTGCTCCTATAAAATGACTCCTTGGGATGCCTTGAATAATATCACATGCGCTCTGTCTGACGGAGGTCAGTCTGCAAAGGGCGCCTAGTCTATGGCTAGTTTCGTGCTTCAGATATTCTGCAGGTCGTCTCGGCTACGACAATGAGACAATTCTCGGCAAAATTTCCATCTGCACGTATGGGATTATGTAAATCCAGATACAGTGTGTCGGAGGTTCACTGATTGATGTTGCGACGCTCTCTGGTACTTGTCAAGATCGACTCTCGGATTCCGAGCAGCAGCAGAAAGCTATACGATGACCTCCGCGATCGTCGGTAAATTCGGGAGTATGAAGCTATCGGGACACTCGCGCTCTTCTCTTATTGTCTCGTCTATGCTTCAATGATTTTGACTTGGCGTTTGCTCGTTGCATTGTCTGTCCTTGCCTTCCAAAGTCAAGGATGCGGGCAGACGGGTGTGTTCAGCGGTGATGATCAGGCGTGGACGGGTATGAAGGCCGGATGAAAGTGATTCTCTGCTTGCGAGTAAGGATTCAGGCGAAAGATTAGGCGGAAGGAAGCCATGAACAACGTCAAAAGTGTCTATGACCGCGTAGTGGATGTTCGCGCGGTGGGTCCTGCAAAGGTTACGAGTACGGAAATGGGTGGTCCTACATAATGCCACGGGTAGCTCATTTTTCTTCCTCTGGGATTGCTCCTTAATTTGAATTGCTCCCAAACAATGAGGTGAGATGGATGAATGCGTCAAAACTATTCAAAGGTTCGGCAGTGGAATCGACAGAGATTTTCGCGTCACCAACCTCCAGTCCAGTTCCACCCGTGCTGTCCATGTCGCCTGTGATCATTTTTGTTGCTCATGTATCCCGTCTATTGACTATATCCATTCTTTTAGACTGTCTCATTCCACGTTCCCTTGTCTAGATCCAGAATGACCCGGTGCGAGCTGAATCAAGTATGGTGAGCCCCCATCCCATCATATCCATGATACTCTGCAAATACGTATGCTGCCGCTCTTGCACCAAGACTAATCTGCAAGCAGAGTCATAGCTCCTATCAGGGTCCTGTCTCGATGTACACCTCAACCCAATCTACGCCACAGAGACGCCCATCTGTGCATTCGGCAGCCTTGGTGAACCTTGGGACCCTGGTATGCAGACTGACGCCCTGGATTTTATCATTTCCTGCCCCCAGCATGTGAATGACGGAGCCACTGTTGATGTGTGCTAGATGAGCTGCAGACGGCTTCGTCAGTCGTGGCGTCTTGATGCTGTCATGCACTTTTGGCCCTGGCATCAAGGTACTCTCTGCAGGTCATGTCGACAACATGTTATAAGTGCATCACTCTCGCAAGGTCACAAGAAGAACATATTCCAAACCATATTCACCACGTCCTGCGTCTCATCAAACTCTACACTCGCATTAGCCCATCATGGTGTTCACCAAGGCCCCCGTCGCTGCAGCCGTGGTTCTGTTGGCACAGATCTGCCTGGTCGAAGGCGCTAGGTACCTCAATATCACAGATAGCCCGCCCCGGACGGTCACCGCCGAGCAGGGATGCTTTACGGACTTTGGCCCGGTGTCCAAGGACAGCGTCCCGACGTTCTCTCGCCTGTACTCGTACACATTCCCCGTCACCGCGTACAGCTACATCATCCCCTCCACTAGCACCATCACCGTGACTCCCACAGTCTCTGGAGGTGGAGATGGAGGAGGAGGAGACCCCGCCATCACTTCGACGTCGACCGTCACCACGACCACCCACGTCTCATCCCTCTACAGCCCATCCACCGTGACGGCCGGGCCTCGCTTCACACCACTCGCCTCCGCCCTCAGCAGGCGGCCCGTAATCCGACAGATAGGGGAAGCCGACCTCAGCATCGAAGACGTGCCCAACAACCTCGTTGTCGGCATCGATAGCTATGGCGTGTCTAGAGCCGACCCGCCTCTATATCCGCAAGCCGTCGTCTGCGAAGAGATCATCCGTGTCTTCACTACTAGCACATCAACCATCACGGCGTCCTATGCAGCCACGACGACAACCACTCTCCTGTTGCCCAGCGCGCTGCAGAACACGACGGCGGCGACGACTACGACGACGGAAACGTCTACAATCACCGACGTCGTCTCGAACCCCACGCAGACCGTCTACCAGGCTTGCCAGGCCGACAACCTGGTGTCAGGCCACGACGTCCCGCCCACGTACTTCGTCGAGGCCGTGCACAACTGGTACATCGTCCGCGAGGAGCGCATCGTCGACACGGCGGAGAACTGCTGCATTGCGTGCCAGAGGGAGGCCGACTGCGGCGGGAGTCTGTATCACATGTTCTCGGGGACGTGCTACACGTTCAGGACCGGAGGTGGTGGTGAGTTTCGGGAGCATGGGAGGCAGGGTGGAACCGGGGAGCGGTGCAGGGCGCCGGGTGAGCTGCGGTCCAGCACCGACTTTGCCGACGGGGCCATTTTCGTCGCCAGCAACGGGCAATGCAGTGGGTGGTGGGTCTCGGACGAGGCGCCAATCTAAGCCGGTGCCGTTGCAGATGGGTTGCTTGGCTTGTTCATTAAAGTCATCGAATGTAATGTTGACTTCCGTAGCCCTAAGGTAGAAAATGGTAAATGGCCCCACTTTCGCCGATTCCATCCGAACATGTTCGTCGGACGAAGTTGAGTAGCCCCCGGAGCGGGCCGTCGTGGGTCTCCGATGCGGAGGGTGGAGTGTGAGAACAGCGCGAGGAAGTAGCGATCGGATGGCACTGACGGTTGTACGCACTGTCCCAAGGCAAACGGCAAGCCCCAACAGCAGCTCTCGGGCTTTCCTCACGCATCTCCACCGACATCACTTTGCCAGACTCATTCCGGAAGCATCAATACAGCTCGTTGACATCTGGGGAGTTCATGTTCCCATCGCCACTGTCTCGGCTGCAATCTCAAGATCAAGTTGAGGTTTATTACGCGATCAGCAACCCACGCAGAGACCTATCGAGGACATCACGCAGACTGCCTGTCATCAGAGCCATCGACTGACGGATCGCCAATGGCCGCCTCATCGTCGGCTACAATCAGTCGCTGCTTCTGAAGAAGTGCTAGTTCTTCGAGGCTGCTGAAGCAAGCCGAGCGGCTTCACCCAATCTGCTGTGTCGCATTCGGCGGGTCGTCGTGAGAAGACCTTGCGGCAACTTGTAGCGCGGCCGTTGAGAGACTGTCCATGGTGGTGTTCGACACTAAAAATCAAAGTGTCGTCTTGTCGCGAGGACTGTTGACGGACCCAAGCCGGCGACAGATTGCCCTGTCTGCGGGAGATCCTCATCGAATGCTGCTAATTGTCCGCAGTCGAAGCTCTCGTTCCACCCCAAGCAAAACCCCACTGTCTGTTAGAGTGTACGCCGAAAGAGAGCACCGCCGTCACATTCCACTGGCAATACCATTCGCCACCAAATTCCACCCGATGCCATGGCGAACCCTTCGACTAAATAGAAATCCACCAGACGTGCTGCAGCAGCCCGCGTGTCAGGGGTCGGCCAGCAGGCAGCCGTTTAGGAGAATTTCAAGCGGCTAAGTACGGGACTCATGACCTTTCCCACGCCTAGCTGAAATGACAGCAGATGGATTTCGCCTTACCCGCCACCCCATTCAACCTCGTTCTTGGGACTAGAGACCGGCATTCCGGGGCGCAATCGTTCGGGTAGCCTAGCCAAGTGCTTGACGCTTGACATGGCGTCCTACCTTTCCCGCTCTCCACCGCCATGGCGACCAACCAGCCCGCGCTTCCTTTGACTCTCCAGCCCCTGCGCCCACATCATCCCATCGCCAAGCCGTTGCGAGACTTGTTCCGGAATGCCGCCACCAGAGTGGACGAATGTCATGGGTGCATCCCGCGAAGTGGCTTGCGGCTGGAAGTGACCTGCAACCTCAACGGATACAGAGGGCCTTTGATGTTGGCGCGCTCGCTTTCGTGCCCAAGATAAGCGCCAAAGGTCAGCCCTGCCGAGTACCGCGCCAAAAGACGCACGAATAAGCGTCACCCCCAACAGCGAACCATCGAACCTCTCTTCAAACGCGAGCGTAGCGAGCTGTTGTCAGACCTTGGAAATCAATGTCCCGCGCCACTGAATGGGCTACGAGAGATCGAACCACCGTACGGCCCCCCTCGACACCCCTGGATTTGTGCAATGACCCTTGTCTTTGGCGGCTTTCTATAATTGCACTTTCAGCTTAGCCCGTCGCCACGCGCTGGACTGCGGGTCCAGACGTTGCATCGCCCGGTACCTAGATTGCTCTTGGCGATCCTTCTGAGCATTTATTGTCCTTTTCCGTGCAGAACGTCTCCACGTTGTACAGCATCTTGGCCCGCTGCGACCACTCGCACCCCTGCGATGTCATTTCTCTAAGGTCCAGGGCAACCATGCGGTCGCAGACCGTCGATTGAACAAAAACATTCCCCGTCCTCTTTGCAGCAGTACCCGGCGTCATCTGCCCGCCGTGCTCGCCCGCCCCCCCTTCTTCGGCCTTGTTTCGACGACTCATCCTCGGCGACGAGAGGAACAAGTTTGTCGCGATCGCACCCACGATGGCGGAACTGGACTCCAATGCGTGGTACCGCCTCTCGGAAATGCGCATCGACAACAGCACCGGACCATTCGCTCTTAACCTTCAGCTTCGAGATGTCGGCCTCCGAGTTCATCCCGTAACCGACGGCACTGCGGCCTGGCAGTTTCAACCTTTTGGCGATGTCAAAGGCCGTTACCTGATGCGCCTCGATCAGGCGGGGGTCAAGCAGCAGCTGGGAGTGTGTTACGACGCGAAGGAGCCAGCGACCGGAGGCACCGTGGCATGTCTGCAGGAGTCGTCAGTCGACGAGTCTCAGATTTGGGAAATTTTGAAATGGGACGGGAAGCCGGAGGAATACAAGTTTGTCAACGTGGCCAACGGGACCGCCTACGTGCTGGACGTACATCCAAAGTCCAACTTATTCATGAACAACAACGTGGAGGGCTCGGCGAGCGCGACAGACGCGCAGCCTGCTCAGCACTGGGTCATGTCGAGCGTCAGTGCAGTCAACGACGGAGCGTACTCGACAATCTATTCCGGCAACGTGGTAGTCAGCACCACGTCGGCGACACTCTCCTCATCTGCGATGGCCACGACAGCCACGTCAGGGGCTACAGCCGCAGCCGCATCGCAAACGGGTGCGTTGACAGCAACCAACACATCTACGCCGACCGCGATACCAACATCAATGGGGATATCTCCAGGGGCCGGAGCAGGAATCGGTGTCGGGGTCGCCATCGGCGTCGTCGGCTTGATCGGAGCCATTGCATTCTTCTGGTGGCGGCTCCAGCAGCCAAAGACGGCGCAATATAGCGAAGTCGAGCCCAAGAATGGCGGAAGCCTTGAGAGAGGGTCGTCTTCGATCGCGGGGTCTCCGGCCGTTGGAGGCTACGCAGGGCCGTACGGGACGTACCCGGAGACCGGTAACTACCCATTGCATACCGGAGGGTCCCCGGCCACGCTGAGTTACCCCATGCCCGTCGATAGGGGGTCTCCCGCTACCTTGAGCTACCCAATCCCTGTCCAGACGTCGTCGCCGTCGGCCGAGCCCAATCTATCTTCCTGGCACCTATCATCATCCATTGGCGGACCGCATACCATATCTACAAGCGCGCTTGCCGTGCCTGCTGCGGTGCCCCGTCACCAGTTCGATCACCCCGCTATCCATAACGAGTTCGCGCCAGCTGCGTCAAATCCTTCCTTTGAATCAGTATCACGCTTCGGCTTTGCATCGACTGCAGCCTCTTCCCAGGCCAACTCCACGACGCATCTAAACGAACCCGACCCGGTCCCCAGCGCGCATGAGCTCGAGGTAGCCGTGCGAGATGTGCCGCGACGACAGCATGAACTCGGTGAATTTCACCACGGACCAGACACCTATGACCTCTCGCAGCCGACGGCGACGATAACGGCACCCTCGGCAGAGCTGAGCGCGTTTCAGCATGGCCCGGATACTTTTACACAGAGCCACGAGGCCAAGATGCTAGGGGTGCCCACCGCAGAGCTCGGCTCTCACCAGCATGGTCCTGATACGTTTGGCGACGGCCACGAAGACAAAATGCTCGGCGGGTTCCCTCCAGGGGCCGAGAAATATCAGCCGGAGCGGGAGGACAAAGTGCTCGGTAACCTGCATGACCTGATGAGGCCGGTAGGAGGGCAGGGCGGTAGAGCTGGCCGCAGGCCCGATGCCACAGAGGCCACTGGGTGGCAGTCCTACGAGATGCAGTCATTCCCGCCAAGATGACACTAGAAAATCGCCGACGACGACGACGGACAGCGTCTGCCTGTCTGCCCGGCAACTACCGAACCAAACCAAGACCGAGATGGGGCCTCTAGGCGGAGTGGCCGACGTGGATGAACACAATGATACCCGAGTTAAAAAAGGCCCGCCTTGCCTTGACCTCACCCCTTGCACCTACCTACAAAACGAATCGCCAAACGCACCTACAAAACGGCGTCATTTTATCAACACCCGACCAAAACCATTCGAGCTCGACGGAGAGCTCCGTGTGCAACGTCACCAGACGGAAAAGCATAGATCCTAGACTAGGCCTCGGATGAGCTCACGAACGAGCTGGACAGGATTCCGATCCTCAGCCGCAATATGGAGCGCGGGAGTGCACCTCCCCCCCACCGAGATGATGCACGATCCCAGGAGGCGTTCATACGGGAACTACCCCCTGCGCCTAAACATTTCCCCATCGTAAAGTGATCCGCGGGAAGCACTCTTCCCCTCCCCGAGGACGCTGGGACAAAGAGGCAATGTGAATGCCGATTCTATTGTATCTATAAAACCCAACAGATTTAGAGTAGACTTCTAATCCACGAATAACGACGGCGAGCGTGCTTTTCTCTTCTTCTTCACCATTTACAGATCTTGTCTTGAAGGGTCTGGCGTGATGCGATTCCCGTACCATTCCGTTCGCCAGGCGATGTAGACATTGAAGAAGCCAGTGCCCTGGGCCCGGATCCCTCTTGTTCAGTGTTGCGTGGACGATTGCTCTATGGAGTTCTGGAGTGAGTTACGATCATGGACCGCCAGCCGTTCTTGTGGATGCAGGTGTGCGATCTCGAACTCTCAACCCAATTACCCCTGGTAAACAGACGGAATGTTTTGCTGACTGGCGACTTGGCAATCTCAGACTCGTGATCCGAGCTTAGCACGGGATTGCGGCGATTTCATGGAGGTGCTACCTGCCTCGCCGCAAAGCAAGCAACACATGAAACCACGGATTCTCGATGGATTCACCATGATCCCATTGACCAGAGAAGCTGCCTCGACATGGCAGACTGCATCGCACACATATGAGTCATCAGACACATCAGACTGCCGAAAGCCTCACTTACGGACCATCAGGGGGAGGGATGTGGGACCCGTAGCTTGCATCGACACGACCTCTCGAGACATTTTTTCACACGACGTCTGTCAAACGTCAGCGGAAGCGCCTGGGCTCCGGGGCATCGTGAGCCAACATGGTCAGAACATCAAACCCCAAACGGCCGCAACGCACAGAATACAAGTCTCAACTGTTTCAGGACCAAGGCATCTACTACCAGACGAAAGCTGTGTTTCGACGCTGTTGAGAAGAGGGTGGAACGCGATGTTTTCTCTTCTTCTTGCTGAGGACCAGCGGCCGGGGGAATCGGGGCGGGGGCCGCGTACACCACCGCCTGGACGTTGACAACCCATCTTTACGATCATCGGTGTTGGCAACGGTTCCCGCTCGCGTTCTCGTCTCCGAGAGTTTGGCCAGCCCCTCCAGTCATCCCACTTTGACGCTGGAGATGTACGATGCGGCAGAAGGACAGATTACTCATGTTTCTAGCTTGTCGACGCCAGGAAGGGGTGCGATCGACTGGCACTCCTTTTTGGCAAATCTCCACAGACAGTGAGCATGATATTTCCGAGAAGCGGCTAACTACCACATGCAGTCATAAGGGCGCGACCCAGCCATGGAGCCTGTCAACTTGACTCAAGACTGGCATCGCGAGACGAACCGGCAATATGACTGCAGTCGGCACCGGAATCGAGAACAGATCCGGACATACCTCTAGGGGCCCGGTGGCGGAAGCGAGTCCAGATGAGTAGAGGCGCTCTAGCACCGACTCTGATTCCCATCAGAGCGTTGACAATCCCTGGCTTCGGTATATACGTAACGACACGCTTCATTACGGCGGTCTATGGCCTCGGCCCGGCGACCAGCATTACGGCCTGGTGTTGTGTAACATGAGAACGAGTCATCATACAACACCATGATACCTCGGCATCCTCGATCAGCAGATGGGCATGAAGCACAGGATGCTGCAACGTCAGATAACTCGAGGCCGCGATGCACCCGCTCCGTGGCTTGGAGACTTGTGAAAATGCAACTATGATGCCCTCGGAACGACCAATGTCACATGTGCCCCGAGGCGACGCTGCCTCCTTGATGCCGATGATGAAGGCTTTCTTCCCGGATCGAACGACGTTTGGCACGCGGTAGCATCAGAAGATGCAAGCCATCGAACGCGGTCAAAATCAACATGAAAGGTCTGTCAGGGGCCACCCATAAACCAGTCCGCGCGGTCATCGTGAGGGCGTTGATCTATCAGACAGTAGAGCTCTCTGTCTGGATGTTGCATTGCAGATGCGAGAAGCTCTCGGCCAGACACCTTTGCGTCCACATGTCATCCATGACAGACCGATGCGTTTTACATGTGGATTGATAGCTTTGCAAACATGCCTACGGCTCACGGTTGTAGACGGCCACATGGCAGCGACATTTCTCGGGATTTTGCACAGCGTGTACTACGTCTTCACGGCCGAGCAAACCAGTAGACACTTCATCATACTGCCCGCATAGCCATGTGACGGCGTTCGAATTGGAGAAATCATGCACGGAAAGAAATCGGGTGAAGCAGGAGCTATGTAAGTCCATTGGTCTGCTCCATGGCCGATGTCGCTCCGCGGAACGAAGACATTGCCAGCAGCCCCCAAGGACATTCACGAGCGTCTATGTGAGCCCGAGGCAACCTGCCATTATGAGTAGGCCGATGTGAATTTCGCAATTGAGGATTTGTGGGATACGTTGCCCTCATAGGCCACGATATACGACGTCAAGGGGAGTATTCGATGCTGGAGCACGACGAGGAGCTATGCGACTAGCTTTCCCTTCTCGGAAGGACTCGGAGATCCCGACACGAGCCCTCCCCGACTCTTTCCTCCGTCGTGGGGTTGGTTGACGTGTTGAGAAGGGGTGTGGGGGAACTGGACGAGGCTGCGGACGCACAAAACTCTAACCGTCACGACAGTCATTGACAATCCAATTGCGGACTCGGGCAATGTCCGAAAGCCTTTCCCCAGAGAAGAGGTTACTGCAGAGGACACCCAATCAGGGGTGGCAATCTCAAGCTGATCTTGCATCTGGCGGCACCTCGTTGGTGCCCGAGATATGGAAACCGGGGTATGATAGACTCCATGGAGACGACGAGAGAAAAATTGGTTGGCGCGCGCCAGATGAACCGGTTCCGAAATACGGAGACCAACGGAGCTTGTCGGAAGCATGACAATTCTAAAGTTGCATCGTGCGGGGAGTGACGCCCCGGTCTCTAGCTCCATGCGGGGCCGGGGAGGGTTGAAAGCTCTAGCCTCTAGCTCGAAAGAGCCGCCAATGGAGCGAGCTAGCGACGCCGGGCCAGGCAGGTTCTGAAGGTGCGGGAAGGATGACATTTGCGCAAGACGGCAATCATCCGCTTGTCGTCTTTTACCCGCATCGACTCTACGAGATGGACATCCAGCCAGACAACTCCGACAGAAGAGAAGGCGAAACACTGCGATTTTTGTCAGCGGCTTGTTGGCGGTTCAACTCGGTCGGGCTCTGGGGATATGCAGAGCAAGATTGCCATTAGGTAATGTTGGGTAACACATATATTGCAGACGACGTCAGGTGCCTGGTCAGGTGCCCGGTGAACGGCCATGGTCCAAGCGGTGAGCCAGAGCCAAAGTGTTGGGTCAAGGTTGATGCGTCTGATCGTTGTTGACAAGAAGCTTGGCGGTGTTTGTCCAGACGCCAAGGTTGCCAAGGCGAGAACAGGATCGCGGGCGAAGAAGGTTGTCTCAGCACGTGTGGGAAGTCCGGGGGAATCAAGATAGCCAGCCCATCGCTACGGTGTCCCAGAGAACATCGAGATACATTCACTGTCGATGGGAATGGCGGGCCAAACTCGGGCTTGTCGTTCAGAGTTGCAGAGGTCGAAGTCAAAATGAGGCGGGGAGGACAAGTACCCCCGACTTGAAGACCTCGAGATCGCCGACCCAACGAGACGACAGACGCTTGAAGCCCGGACGGACCTCCAACAGATGAGCGCCCCGAACCGCTCCGAGCCATCGCCTAGCTCGCAATGCAGAAAGCAAAGCTGACATGATGCCGAAGCGAACACCATACGCAAGCCAAAGTACCGTGAACTTGGTCGACCTGCGGCAGGCATTGCGACGTGACGTCCAATTAACGTGGTTTCGTCTGAAATTTCGATCTCAAGTACCATCAACAACAGACCCTGTCTTGCCCAGTGGATGGTGAGAGCAACCCTCGGGCATGACTTGTTGTGCATGCTTCAAAACGGCCGAAACTGTGATTTGCAAGCAGAGTCGTGTTTGAGACGTGTGGGGGACGGGCGACGAGACTCGAGACTTTCGAGGAGGAGGAACCAGACTAGACGCGTGGAAGTCCTTGTTTCAATCCGCAGAAGATCCTCATCGAGTGTGATGAACGGCCAGGAGAAGGGGGGGAAAAGCTTGAGGTGGGCAAACTCGTGAAGCCAGGAGGGAGCCAGCAGCGGGATCAGGGTGGGTATGAAAAAGTTTTGGCGCCAGGCCTGGCATTCGGTACCGGTGGGTCAGCCGTCAGCGTGCGATGTGGGTTCGCTGGCTTGCCGCTAAGCGGAACCCCTGTGGAGGGATCGGGCAAAGTCGGGAGCTCGTCGTGTCTGAGACTTGTAGGGAGAGTCATGCTGTGTTCGCCGTTGTCAATCTGTTGTTCGCATTTCTTATCTTGATGAATTGGAGATTTGGGGGCTACAACCCACCTCGCTCACAGGATGGTGGGAAGATGATGGGCAGCAAACGGCGCCGTATCGGGCGTTGAACACGAGTTTCGCCATGGGCTCAGGCCGCTGGATATCGCAGCAATTACCGCGGGAGGCTTGATTCTGACGTACTCGAGCCTTTGATAGGGCGTGATATCGCCTGATGGACCGTTCACCCGATATCCCGCCGAAATTTGGTGGTTCTGGAATCCGTATCCATTGGGGATCGGTTTCGCGAGCGTCGTCTATTCAAGCCGGGCCTGGTCCAAAATCTTCAGTCGTGTTCCAGAAGAAGACCCGGAATTTGCCAAGGGGCGGGAGGTATCTGCAGACACCACAGCGTCGCATTACACAGTGAAGATAGCAGGGGTTTGAATTCCGACGGCCGACCCGGACCCAACAGCTTGTGGAAGGCCCGGAGGCGCGCCCAGCCCAGCAAATGCAACACACACACACTCCCACAATGCCCACGGACGACGGACGCCAGGCTCTGGAGGACAACGGTTCGGGACGCTGTGACAGAGACTAGCCGGAAAAGGATGCTGGCCAACAAATGTGACGACCGCCATTGGCTGACGATTGAAGATATCTCCCGTCTCTTTCGGTGTCCTCGTTTCAGTAGTAGTTGTTGATTTGTTAGACTTTGGACACTGCGTTCGCCGGCCGAAGCACCCGGTTTTTGCTTTTCGCCAGGCTATAGTGCGACGGACAAGATGGGAACATGCGACGAAGAGACTGTTGGCGTTCACGGCTCGGGGAGTGTCAACCATTTGCAAAGCTTCGTTCGTCCCTTGTCTGCTGCGCCGAGCACGTCAGCTAGACGGATGGGGAATGCGACGTGAAGGCATTGGTCAGGCAGCAGAGTCGCGTGCGCACGGAAGTGAGAGCTGTGTAGTGGCAGCAGCAGCTCCGTGACGGTCCCGGGGACCGTCGGAGGGCGGATTACAGGTTGGAGGAGACCCGGACGGGTCATTGCTATGTATAGTTAGCGTCGGCGAGATGTCCGGCCGGTGATGGAGAAGCAAGACCAAGTTCTACCTCGCGAGGGATGCCCAAGTGGACAGTCTTCTGTCCTTCTGGTGGAGTTGACTCAAGGGTCGAGGTCTCTGGGTGTGAGGGGGCGGGATGCAGCTGCAAGTCCTGCAGGGCGCGACAGGGTCGAGGGCTCGAGTGCGACGACAACGTCCATTGGGCTGCATGGCTGACGACTTTGGGGGTTGAAAGTGCCGACGGTTGACACATTGTGCCGTATTTGTCGGGGATTTCTGCTGTTTGTGCCGACCTCGCACCTCTTCTCACCGGTTGGCGAGGCGGGAGGGATCAGACATCTCAACAAAAAAGGCGTACCTTGGGGTACAGCTTAGCCGCAGCTAGGTGAAGCTTGGATGCGTTTAGTTGCCATGGAAGGTGACAATACGTAAGACGTGCTGCACAAGAGCCCACGGACTTTTGGTGCGGGCGTCTGAGAGTCTTCGAGGAGTGGGAATTGTGAGGTGCATTGCTGTGTCTCACCGGGGGGAGAAGAGTCGATGGTGGTCGGGGCGTAAGGGGAGTCGAGTCGCCAGGTCAGGGGAGGGAGAGAAAAAAAAGAATTTCGAAAAACCAAACAGAGAATGTGGAGTGACCCAATGAAGCCGCAAACAATAGTGGTCGGGGGGCAGGGCCGATTGGCAGTGACGATGCCTCCCGGAAATCCCCTTTTTCTGCGTGTGTTCCGTTCTTTGATTTGGTGAGATCCCACGCACAATTTTCAGATAGACCAGCGCCCAGCAGCGACCCGGTTAGTATGACTCTGCATCATCAATGAGCAAGGCAGGGCCGATCCGGTGGTCGGAGCTGCCTTCCGGTGCACGGCAGGAACGACACGTAGAAATAGTAAGGCAGGTAGCTCCCAGGCAGGTAGGTAGTCACGCAATTGTCATTATTCGTCACCGAGGCTCGCCTTCCTTCTTTGCCCATCAAGGGGAAACAACAAATATACGAGGCGGAATCAGCTGAATCAATTTGGATCGCCCCGGAAAGAAAAAGGCACTCCGCGGGCATCTATACGGATAGCCCGACTCCACTCGCCGCCGGACTGCCGCTGCTTGGGCCTTGGGCTGGCATCCCACGCTCCCACGCTCCCACGCTCCCACGCTCATCCTCCCACGTCGACGAAGCGAAGCTAAACCTTCCGCATTCCGTCAGCTCACCTTATCCGATATTGTTCGAGGTGACGGACAGCAGCTCGTTTCCCTGGTAGGCAGCCCCCTTGTCCGGTGGATTTGCCCGCCACGTTGCATCTCTCAGTCGTTCGTCAGCTTCCATGCCGCACTCCATCGCGAATGCTCGCCGGAAGACGAAGAGAGCATCGTCTATGCCATTGTGAGCTGACAGAAACGGGCCGTCCACTAACGCGCATCGTGAGTTGTTCTCTCAGGTCAACGTCCAATTACCCGTTTGCTACGTAGTAGTGCGAATCCCCTACTGAGCCTTGGACCTCCTCGACCTTTGGTTCCGGATACACCATCCCGGAGTCACCACGCGCCCTCACCTTGCCGCCCTCCCGTCGCCTCCCCGACGCCCCTCAGCCCCAACCGTGGACGTTGACCAAGACACACGCCCCCCGTTGTGTCGCCTAGAGCTTCTCGTACCAAGTTACCCCAACTCGAAAATTTTCACCACGTCGGCCTTCTCCAATTCAGCCAGAATTGCCAAAATTGGGCACGAAAACGGACCATCAACAAGAACGAAAGAAAGAAAAAAGAAATTGCCAATTCCTAGGATCGGGTCTGGCTTCCGTCTTTTCCCACCCTCCACACCGACACCCCCGTCTCAACCCTTAAGCACCCCGGTCGTTGACGGACCCTCGTCACCCCCGTTATTCAACCACCCTGGTCTCCCGGATCCACGCCGCACACCCTGCTGCAGCGAACCCTCTCTGCACAATCCAACTTTCAAGCACACCACATACACACCCTGCTCGACCCCCGATTCGGGTAGGATACGGCTTGGTCTGTCTCCCTTCTCCTGGAAACCTTGGAAGCACATCACACAGTTCGATTCGAATCAAAGCTTGGAGCTCGTTCCAACATACGCCACACACATACGCACAGTCACACAGACGGAGGAGCCGTTGCTCACACTCCCTTGTACCCGCCATCCCATCTTCTCTCCGTGTGCGCCATCCCATCCCTCCATCACTTTCCCAATTCTCGTTCCTCGTCCGCCCGTCTCCCGCCCCCAGACCTCTCGCGTCGTCCAGGCAAGCTGGCAAGTACCCGGTACCTCGACACCTCTGCCGGCGCCTGGCCTTACTGCCATCCCTCCTTTATGAAACTGCCCTGAAACCCCCTTCTCCCTATCATTCCCAGATCCTCCGTGGGCATGGGTCCAAGTCGCTGTACCTGGCCGGGCAAGCCTCCATTGAGGACCGGACCAGTTCACAAGGTTTTAAACCGACTTTTCCTCGTCCGCGATCCAGTTACAGGGAACACAACGCCCTTCGCCTCTGCTGGTCCATCCAATGCGACTCTTGCGACTCCACGCTCTCACCATACTCTAAATTGCTCTCCTGCGCCTTCCCCGAAGACCGCTCCTTTGAGCCCTCATCAACGACTAATAACACGTTCCGGCCGGTCCCATTACACCACTACCCATACTCCTCATCACGCTCGTCCGCTTCGCCTCCAAGCTCCAACTACTACTAATTGCCTCGTTCCGTCGCCCACTCCCGCCTCCTCTTTCTTCTCCGCATCTCTCCCACCGACACATGCGCCGGTAATGCCAATGGCGTCGAATCCCTTCAGTTCAGCCAGCTCCTCAGACATCTCTACGCCCCGGTCCTCCTCGCCTTCGCCATCGTCCGTCGCCTCTGCCCGCTCTTCTCGCTCTTCTATATCTAACAAGCGCATGTCCATGTCCAGTCGCAGAATGACTGACTTCAACCCCATGTCTTCCGTCGACATCTCTGTCATTGAAGATAAGATGAGAATGGCCTCCCTCGACCAGCACCGTGGCTACTCCCAGAACACCTTTGGCGAGGTTCAGCAATACCGCAACACGGAATACGTGCCCAAGACCCAGGCCACTGCTTTCCAAATCCTGCGCGAACCCCTCTGGAACAAAGGTGAGTTGATCACAGCAGCCGCTCTTTCCCCCCCACTTACACCGTCTTTCGACGTGCGTCCGCACTGAACCTTACTGCACTCTGCACGCACCGGCTTCCCCCAACATGGCGTATCCCTTCAGTTTGCACCCTTCTATATAGCCTCCCTCTTTTTCCCTTCACCCACTACCATCGCTCCCTTCCTGGACCTTCACATTCTCCCACACGCATGGCTTCTTCACTCTCCGGACGCGCTTGTCGTCTTCCCTCACCACTTCCTCGCCGGCTTCTCAGTCCTCTACCTCGTGCTCCCATCCACTCTTCCTCCAAACTAACCGCCATGGTCGAATCAGGTCTCTCATTCACGCCCGAAGAGCGCGTCACCAGAAACCTCACCGGCCTCATTCCTCACACCATGGAGAGCCTCCAGACGCAATGCCAGCGGGCCATGAAGATGATCAACACCCGTCAGACCGACGTCGACAAGTACCTCTACCTGTCCTCGCTCAAGGCCCAGAACTTTGACCTCTTCTACCGTTTGCTCATTGACAATGTCCGCGAGCTCATGCCCCTGGTCTACACCCCCACCATTGGCGACGTCTGCCTGCAATACTCTACTCTCTACACCCGCCCCGAGGCTCTGTACATTTCGATTAAGCAGCGAAAGTCCATCCGCACCATGCTCCGCAACTGGCCCTACCCTAACCCCCAGATCTGCGTTGTCACCGACGGTTCCCGCATTCTGGGTCTTGGTGACTTGGGTGTCAACGGTGTTGGTATCTCTGTAAGTGACCATTGCCAGTGGCATGAGGACAATCGCTGACAACCCAAAGATTGGAAAGCTCGCTCTGTATACTGGTGCCGCCGGTATCCACCCCGAAAACACCCTGCCCATCGTTCTCGACACCGGCACCAACAACGAGACCAACCTGAAGGACCCCTTCTATCTCGGCATCCGCTCCAAGCGTGTGTCCGTTGCCGAGCAGCAGGCGTTCATGGATGAGTTCATGGAGGCCGTCACTGAGGTCTACCCTGATATGACTGTTCAGTTCGAGGACTTTGAGTCTGAGAAGGCCTTCAACTACCTCGACCGCTACCGTAACAAGTACCGCTGCTTCAACGACGACATCCAGGGAACTGGCGCCGTCGTCCTCGCCGGTTACATCAACGCTGTCGAGCTTTCTGGCGTTCCTCTCGAGGAGCAGCGCCTGGTCTTCATGGGCGCCGGTTCTGCCGGTGTCGGTGTCGCCAAGCAGCTCGTCGAGTACTACACCAAGCGTGGTCTCAGTGAGCAGGTCGCCAGGGACAAGTTCTGGCTGGTCGACACTAAGGGTCTCGTCACCAAGGACCGCGGTGACAAGCTCGCCGAGCACAAGAAGTACTTTGCCCGCACCGACAACAACGGCCACCAGTTCCGCACCCTCGAGGAGGTTATTGAGTACGTCAAGCCCACCGCCCTCGTCGGTCTCACCGCCACCTTTGGCGTCTTCACCGAGTCCGTCGTCCGCGCCCTCAAGGCCTCTGTCGACTCTGGTGGCCTCGGCCGCCGCCCCGTCCTCTTCCCTCTCAGCAACCCCCTCACCAAGGCCGAGTGCACCTTTGAGCAGGCCGTGCAGTGGACTGACGGCACTGTCATCTTCGCCTCCGGCTCTCCCTTCTCCCCCTTCACCATGAAGAGCCCCGACGGCCAGGCCATCACCTACCACCCCAACCAGGGCAACAACGTCTACGTCTTCCCCGGTCTCGGTCTCGGTGCCATCCTCGCCAAGGCCTCCAAGATCACCGACGACATGGTCTACACCTCGGCCGCCGCCCTCGCCGCGTCTCTGAATGTCGACGAGATCCACAATGGTCTCATCTACCCCCGCATCGAGCGTGTCCGTGACGCTAGCGTTATTGTGGCCCGCGAGGTCATGAAGTCTTCTCGCAGAGCCGGCGTCTCTAAGCTTCCCGAGGCCCAGTGGGTCGAGTGGGAGGAGTGGGGTGACGTTGCCCTGGACGCCTGGATCAAGGACCGCGTGTACGACCCCGTCAGCTTCTCCGAGAAGAGCCGAATCTAAATCAGAAACCCCAAAATTGTGACACCACGTGCGATGGACAGATTGACTTGCATTTACGGATCAAAAGGGCTTGGACAGGGATACCTGAGACGTTTTGGTTTTTCGGCGTTGGGGTAGGCACTAAGGGCCTTGCTTTCATCATCCCGAGATTTCAGCGAAGGGAAACACATTTTCATCGTCGCCATAATGACGATAATGCTTTTTACTACGAGTACGCCCCCACAGAGAGGCCATCGTCTTCCGTGCGCTTGATCGCGTCGGGGGTTTGAATTTAAATTAGGGGAGCTTGTGGGGGAGACAGGTTTCGCGGTAATACTTCCTGATGAGCTCTACGGCTGCACGGAAACGCGATATAGAAATAGACTTGGATGCCTGTACCACTGCTACTATGCATTGCCCCGTGAAATCCTGTGAGAGTGTACAATGGAGTCTGGGAGATTTCAAGGAGCCGAGCAGGGGAAAGGGGTGGAGGTGTGCTTTGGAGGTGTGTTGGCTCGAGAGCTTGAGCTTCAACCCAAAAGCCTGGACGGTCCCCCAATTCTGTCAAGGGAGGGCCGAGCAGATCCCCCCAATTCTCCCCGCATAGGACGAACCCCACCCCCTCCAAAATAGCTTGGGCCCCTCCCAAAAAAAAGCTCGTTCTCCAACTGGTGAACCGTCCAAAGTGTGTTGGGGGATAGCTCGGAAGGTGTTGGGAGGGGGAAACAGTCCGAACTAGACCGGACTAGGTAGAAGCGCGCATGCGCAGCGGTTTTGGTTGTATCCGTAAGGTGAGTAGCTTTTTTTTGTGATTGTTTTGTTTGTCACGCTCTCTGCACATGCGAGTGTCATTCCGGGGGCGCGGGGGGTCGGATGTGTGTGTGTGTGTGTGTGTGTGTGTGTGTGTGCGTAAACCCTTTCCATTTCTCGCAATGAGACAAACGACGAAGTAAACCCGGACAGGAAGACCGCGCTAGAGAATCGAGAGCGAGACAACGCATGCGAGACTCAGGGGGGGGAGGGGGGGGAGAGGGTTGTCTTCAGATTTCCCATGCCGTGAATGTCTGCAAATCCAATCAACGTCATGCGGGCACCGTCGACGTGGTCAGGTCAGATGAAGAGAGCAGCCATTGTCAGTTTCGCGTTCAAGTTACCCCCTCCTCCTCCTCCTCCTCCTCTCTCTCAACCTTGAAAAGGATGAACCCGTTGCTGGATAAGGTTATGCCTCGGCCTCGGCAACCGGACGGAGGTTCAACGGCGTTTTCATCGTCGCCGTCGTTGTCGTCGTCTTCAACCTTGCCGCAGCCCTCTCGAGATGTTTTGTGCAAACAAAGTAGAGTGTACATTCACTCATGAGAGGAAAAAAAACCCCACCAGCACCTACTACAATGGAGACGACAACCGAATGTGGCCAACGCAATGGCGTCGAAGAAGAGAAAACATCGGATGGTCGAGAAAGCTCTCTCCCAACTCCCATTCGGGCCCGCCTCGGGATTTTCATCCACGGACACCCTTCCTAGCCCCCTTCCCCCCCTTTTCTCCCCCCCCGCCGTTTATTTCCTTGGCCGGCGACCTTCGGCCGGGCCTCGGCTTGGATGTTGAGAGCTGTAGGTAAGGGTTGGGGGGTTGCTGACGGAACCGAGAACCCCATTCGTTTCCTCCCCCTCCCCCTCCCCCTCCCCCTCCTTTCATCAGCGAAGCTTGATTGCGCCGCCCCGGTCTGGTCTGGGGGATGGGCGGGCGCGGAGTGCATGCAATTGTGGATGGGTGGGTGGTAAGGCGGGTAGGGGTGGATGGATGATCGACTGTCACGCCCGCGATCCTCCGCAATTGTGTCAGTCCGGGGTGGTTTCGACCGGGGCAAGGCGTTCCTGCTTCCGCATGTGTCACTGTGTCAGGGTCCGGCCTCCACACGGGCTGCCAGACGGAGCTGCAATCTCCTCCCGACCTCCTCCGGCTACAGACGGGGCTTGAAATCGATGCGACCCATCTGCATCACTATTGGAGCTGTGAACCTCGGTAATGTGAAATTGGTTTTGGAATTTGAACTATCTGGCTCTGTATGTCGAGCACATGATGCGTCGAGGCAAAGCAAAAAAAAAAAAGGGGTATTCGGACGAAGAGTGTCGGGACAGCAAGGAAATTTGCTGAAGGGGAAGGTAATGAGGACAACCGGTAAGGAAATGTGAAAAACCAAGCCATGCTATGCCGTTGTGATGAAGCTTCCCCTGCCTCGATATGATGTAATGAAATGTTTCCGTCATGGTATGCTTCGACTCGTGGCTCAAAGACATGCTCCCAACTCCATGCTTTGCGCAATGCAAGTCGCCCGGCTTCCGTCCCATCGTGTCGACAGCTCCTTGTGTGAGCGCCCCAAAGATGGCGCCCCTTCAAATACGCCCCATGCGTTATTGTTAACGCCAATACAAAGTCACTAAAGCTTATCCCTTCCGAAAGACACGCTTCGTGCCCCCAACCTTGCCCATGTCGCCGAATTCAGAAGGCTTGCGTGTCTCGCCGCTAGCGGCACGCACCTTCTCCTTGACGCTCTCTACCCAAGCCCGATTTTCTTCACTCATCTCAACCTTGCGGCCAGTGGGACCTGCCAGGCCTAGAAACGAACTCTCATCCTCTTCCCAGCTGATGTGGGAGCTTGATCGAGACCGGTTTGAATCTTCCGAGGACGGCGTGGGCGTGAACTTGTCAGGGATCGGCGGGACGGCTGGCGTATTGGGCAGGAGCCGGGGTGCCGATGAGCCCACGTCGCCGGCGCCAAACGACTTCCTAGCCTTTCGGACGTTGAGCGGCGTCATGGGTGACATTTCCAGTGAGGAAGCTGGTCGACTCGGCGGGCTCGAATTTGCGGCGCGACTGCTCGCGCGCGGCAAGTCCTGGACCTTGATCTCGGCCGTGTCTACCGGCCCAGCGGAGCGTCGGCCGTGATGCGTAGCGTACTCCTTGAGATACTCCCCTAGATCAGCCCATCCACCCCCAACACGTACCATGACACGCTCGCCGTGCTCGCCAACGCAGCGGATGAGAAGCTTAATGGGCGCTTCGCCGGTGGAACGAGAAAGATGATAGACTCTGACGTCTTGTCCGTTTTGAGGGCGCCTGGGTCTGGGGTTCTTGGCGTATGCGGGAGCGAGTGTCAGCCACGGTGTAGTCGCCCGCGAAGATGTCCGCGATGTCATGGACATGGCAGAGGCGCTTCTCCGCATGGTCTCCCGCGACGGCTTCTTAAGCCTCTTGGCGGGCAGATCAGGCGGCGGCGGATTCAAGTCCACCTTTGGCGTGGCTCTGGCCAGCTTGATGTTGGCAGGGATTGACTCCAAAATGTCGCTGATTTGCTGTCGGAGATGGTCATCTTCCCTACTGCCAGGCTCTCTTGGCGTTCCCATGCTGATGAAGGAGTGGTCGTAATCTTCCTCGTTGAACGACGACTCCAGAGGCAGGGCTGGCAGGAGACCCTCATCCCGGGGCCTCATCATCGGACTTGCGCTGTCTTCTCTGTAGCTGGGCCGGAATGGGGGAGAGCTGGGAGGGCTGATGCTCATGAAGCGGTCAGCAGCCGACTTGCGGCTCAGGGTCTCGGCACGCTTCTGGCGTGGCAGAGGTGGCGATGCGGAGATTTCAGGCATGTCGCTGGAGGCATCTGCGAGCAGGCTGGTGTGTCCGTGGATGATTGTGGACGAGTTCGACGCGTCGCTTCCGCGTCGGGCTGGTCGAATCAGCGGTGGCAGCTGCAACTCTTCTTCATCGTCAGGCGTGTCGGGCAGAATCTCGTCCGCATTATGAACAGAAGAGGATGAGCTGGACCTTGCGCTGCTTTCGAACACCGCCCTAAGCTTCGACACAACGGATTCTTTCTTGTTGTCCTTGGGTGCCCCTGACACCTTCCTTTTGGTGTTTTCCTCATTTTGCAACTCGCCCAACGGCGTTCGCCTGGGCTTCGCAACCTCGCTGGAGCCGTCAAGGCCGCCAGCGACAGTTGCTTGTGTTTTCTTCTGCGCTTGGAGTTGCGAGGGGGACAGCTCGATTGTGTCGTCCTCGTCGTCGGAAGCAGACTGATTGTTTGTCTCTCGCATGTCCTCTTCTGGCGGATCAATGGTAATCGGCACGGGCAAAGTGACGGTCCTATCGTCGTCTACTACTGGCAAGCCACTAGGTTTCGTGGGCTCAGCGGCTTCGGCCTCGCCTTTGATGACTGGCGGGAGTGCCTTCTGCTGATGCACCCTAGCCCAGTCTCCTTGTCGGATCCTGTGCTCGCCGGCGGCCACCCAGTCGGCGTAGTTGCGCTCGACAGCCTCCATACGGTCAAGCCAGCTGTCGGGCAGTGTGTCCTGCAGCCCCTCGAGGCTGTCGAGCATGAAGTCGAGACTGCGTCCCGATTTTGTGATTTGAGTCTCCAGCACGGCCTTTACAACAGTGAAGGCGTGTTTAAGTTGAGAGAGACTGTCTTCGGCATTGCCCTTGTTTCCATTTTCGACAGTGGGCGTGCCGGCCGGAGATGACAGCACGTTCCATGCAGACTCGAGAGCGTACTCGGCCTCTGCGATACCAGACAACAAGTCAGGAATGCGACGGAGGACAGAGAGGCGTATGTGCCAGACTTTGAGCAGTCGGCAGAGCTTTGACAAATTCGGCAGTGCTTGGACGATGATTGCTGTGAGAAGAGCTGTCAAGTCGTCCATTCGATTGTATGAAAGCGCCCCGCCAGCGATGGGCCGCGTAGGTGACAGTGGCGTTCCGGGTCTCGATAGCGGAATGATGTGGGTATGCATGACGTGGGTCTTGATTTCTTCAATGTGCAACTCGTCCATGTCGTGAGAGATGCCGTCCACCCGCTGCTCGTACTGAGCGACGCTCTCGGCGGGCAGGCTCCCGAGGTATACCAAATCATCGGCACCCTCCTCATTTGCGAGCTTCGTCCCCTTTGCGTCTGGCATGCCAAACCCGGCCGAGCCGCTCGTGCCAGGCCAGGGCCAATCGGAAAGCTCCTCCAACCATTCGTAGATCTTTCGGCTGGCCACAGCGGCGCGCATGGCAAATTCCTGTTCACTAATGGTAGAGTTGTCGAGGCATTGTTTTAATTCGGTGTTTGGTGTTTGGAGCATCTCGACGGCGGTCATGGGTGTGAGGCGGCTTAGAAGGTCGTCGTTGGTTCGGGCACGACTGGGCGAGTGCTCGTCGGAGTGGCGGTACTGGCGCCTGGCCGGGCGAAGCTGCTGGCCCGGCCCGGGCGTGATGGGCGGCGGAGGGTCGGTCATGATTTTGATTGCTGAAAAGTAATTGTCGGTTGTCGAACGAGCGGTTGATCTGACGAGTAGGCAGGCATGACTTGCTTCTATGGGCCTGGGAAAAAGACGTCTTGAATGAGTATGGCCATGTCGCGGATCATCGGTGGTGTTTGTTGACAGTCGTCAGAATCATGGACGTCTCTTTCTGGCTGATGTCTCGCGTCCCTGACTCTGGCGATGGGTGCCTGTCGTTCGTTCGGGTAGTCGCAGGATGTTCCAGCCGGCAGCGACGTCAGTGGTTTGGCTGGGTTGTGGAAGAGTAAGGGCGGCGCGGCGCGGGTTGCCGGAGATGCAAGGGAGCGCAGGGGTTCGGAGGCAGCTGCGAGATGGTGCTGAAGAATAAGAAAGAATGTGCGAGGTAGGTAAGGTAAGGTAGGTAAGGGCGCTGGTCAGTATTCAAGGAGAGAAGCGGAATAAAAGAAGGTGCGGTAGGTGGTGAATGGGTGAAAGAACGAGGCAACGCAGGATGTTTCGCGATGGTTAGAGAACTGAAGCTGACGCGATGCCGCCGGGGAGGGAGAAGAAGGGTAGGGCAGGCCGCAAAGGACCAGTCGGCAAAAGGAGATTAGGTGTCTGGCGAAGTCGAAAGAAAGAGGAGATTTATTAATGAGATTTGATGGATATTGGTTGCCGCATACGGGGATTGTGCCAGGTACCTTGGTGTGCTTGGGGGTGGATGGCACCGGTGGGTGGTGGGAATGCGGATGGGCTGGCCCAAGTCAGGTACCCGAAAGCAGGGACAGAGTGGGCGAGGTACTTTGCACCTACCTTGCCTAGGCAAAATACCTGGCTGGCACTGCCTGGGTGTCCACCGATGCGTGTGGGTGAGCGAGGATTTGATCGGTTTGTGTGGAGTTGCACCTGTTCTGGGTTAACAGGCCTCCAGGACCCCAGTAAAGCGAACGCGCTTTCGCCAGCCAGTCCAGCCCAGTTGGTCTTGAGAATCCAACACGCGCACCTAATAATACCACAACTATCGAATTCCGCCACCGAAAACTCTCCACGTCCTCTGCGTCCTCCGTCCTCCCCCGCCAGCAAGAGCTGCGCCGATACCCCGAAGCTGTCGAGCTCTGCGGCCTGCCACGGCAACTCGTCTCTAGCACCGCAAATCCTGACGTGTTGCGAGACGGACTTTGCGCCGTTCACAACGAGGCGCGTTAAGAAGGGACCGGACTGCGCGTCGGCTGTTCTTGTCGATTCTGAGGACCCTGATGCCAGCCGCATCCTGCCTGGCTCCAAAGGACATCCATGCCCGGTGTGGTGTGTGGTGTGTGGTGCCATGCGATGCGTCCGCCGCAACTTGACATTCTTCCGTGCTCGCCATGCTGGGAATTCGATGGGTGTCCCTGTCTCATCTTGATGCGGCCACTTGCCAATACCTCTCAACCTCTACCGCCTGGGCCAGCATGAGATCGCTGCCCGGGAGCCCCTGACAAAGATCGAGTGGTTTTGATAGGGGCGCTGTCTGGCTTTGGTGCTGGCAGGCTGTCAAGCTGCAGTCGCGATGCTAACTTCGCGTTTCCAGCTACAGTTGCGTGCCCTACTCCAATCCTCGCACGTTCTCTCCACGACACGAGATGACATGCTGCACGACACTGTCGTTGCGCGCTCGGATGCAGAGAGTTTCCCTGCCAGAAGTGCATGTTTTGACACGGTAACATGGCTCACGGCCCCGGTCACGGACAGCCGGTGTCAAGCAGAGCTTTGAAAGCTGCCAGCAAGCCTTCTCGCTAGAGTGGCGCGAGCTGGCAATGTAAAAGGCTCAGACTTTACGGATAGCATCCGCTTAATCAGCTAGGCGGACGAAAAGTCAGAGCGTGGCGCCAGCCCATCGGCTGCTTCCATCGCTTCCGGCGATCATCATCCCCCACTGCGGTGACCTTATTTGCCCTGCTATCACGCATCCAGCTGGGACCCAAGATGATTGGACCGAGACATATCGCCGTCCTTTGAACCGTGGGATACTTGCATGCCTGGGAGCCTCATGGGCGTAGCATCATTGGTTTTTCAACACATGACCAGAAGCCTCATTCCATCGGACAAAAGCTAGACATCGGACCGCGAACACGCGACTGACTTCTGGGTCTGGCTCTACTCATTTCCTCAGATTGCCCACCGAAAAAAGTGTCCCACCCGCCGTCATTAAACACTCGCTCGCTGGCCCGGAAACGCGCTCGGTACCATTTCGCCTAACAGCTACCCTGTCCCGCTACCCTGATTTCGGTTACCTCATCCTTGGAGCTCTGAGATTGAACACGAGGGGTCGCTTGAGCTTGACTCTCAAGGGAGCTCTGCGATACACTGGAGCTCCCCTGTCACTGGAGTGACAGCGTTTGGACGTTGCGCCATTGTCTCGGCACGATCGAAACGAGGTTGAAGTCGGTCTTGATCCTGCTCATCACCCCGGATCCCCAGCAAGGAGGACCTGAAGTCTTTTGCATTTGCTAAATAACTGGACATTCTATACATGTGGCTTGACGACGCCTGAAAGCGAAACCCGCCGGCGTAGAAGCTCTCTAAATCTTAGGCGCAAGGTGCCTCCATTTCCCTATGCCGGGGTACACGAAGCCAAGTTCCCGTAGAGTCGTCGCGTTTCCTCCACGCTTCTCAAACTCTTGTTTGCTCGGCCAGTAGATGCCGCGCTCCCAGAACTGCTCGTCATGCCAGTATGGCGGTTCTTTGCCTTTCTGCGTCGACTCCGCCACCCAATCGTGCAACATGTTGAGGTGGCGACCATCGTCTCCATCATCGAGCAGCACGTGAATGTTCTTGTCGCCGCGCCTCTTGAACAAGTCCAGCTCCCATCTCTCCTGCTCTTCAACGGGCGGCAGCTTCAGTCCGTTAGACCACACCGCACCCAGGATCGCGGCCTGGTTCTCTGCCACGGGCCAGGGCACCGTCTTGACCAGCAGCCCGGCAAAGGCAAGAGTGGGGTGTTTGATGAGGAACAAGTGCTGGTACAGACCCCTGACGCCTTTACCGGTTGTCAAGAGATTGGGTTTGAGGAGCTCCGGCAGGAACGGAAAGCTGAAAAAGAAGCCTGTGCAATAGATGACGGCGTCGACGTCCTCTGCGACTGTTCCATCCTTGTAGACAACCGCCCTTTTCTCTGGCAGGAACTCCACAATCTCAGGAACCTCCGTCACCCCGATGTGATGGACCTTGTCCGGTGGAGTCGGATGTCGTACAGACAGATACACCCTGTCTGAGACTGGACTGAGTTGGCGGGCTATGTCCAGGCCCGACGGCCCGTTGCCGATAACAATCACCTTTTGGCCTGAAAAGGGCTCGGGGACGCGGTAGTTTTTGGAGTGTAGTATAGCTGAAGGATGGGCCTCGTGGAAGGCCTGGATGCCCTTGACGTCTGGAATAAAGGGAATATCGTAGTGTCCGTTGGCAATGACCACGGCGTCATACGTGTCACTGAACCTGCGACCGCTGATGGTGCAAGCGGCTGCGAGGTCCCACCTGTCTTTGCCATTCTCCTGCCGGAGATTGAGCGCCGTGACCTGGTGAGAGAACCTGATGAGATGGCGGACATCCTTGGCGTACGCGACCAGGTACTCGTAAATGGACTGCCGCGATGGAAAGATCCAGGCGTCATCCGGGAACGGCGTGTCTTTGTAATTCATCGTCGTCTTGATGGTGTTGGCGTGCAACGTTCCGTACATCGGGGTGGGGAACACGGGTGGCGCCCCGGGTCTGGGCCGGAGTGGAGGGTCCTGAGGGCAGAAGGGATCTGTCTGGGGGACATGGCGAGACGTGGTCGGGTGTTCGCTGTAGTTCCAGACACCGCCCACTTCGGCCTGCTGCTCGAAGACGACGATGGAGTCAAAGGTCCCTTGCGCCGTGAGGTATCTCGCGGCAGCAAGGCCCGTCGGCCCCGCGCCGATGACGGCGATCTTCTTAATGTTGAACGGAACAGTGCTCATGTCGGTCTGTGAGACAACATGGATGAGCTACAACGGGAACGATGGATTGTCGTCCTTTAAACAACGGAACAATCTGCCCAGGCCCCACGAGGTGCAAATGCGTTATATCGGCGTGAAATCACCTAATCGGTTCCTTTCGGACAGAGTGGTGGACACCGGGCGGGTAAAACGGGGATCCCTCGCTACCTAGCATGTTCGCGTTGCAGAACACAGCACCACTGGATTCAATTGGGTGCTCGGACGAGGGAGACAACTTTGACATGATTGCAAGACCTACCTATTCCGGTACGGAGGGAAGATGTAGAAGCCTAACTACACAAGGCCTACCCAGGCAATTTATCAGGTGATTCGGGGACGACCCGGAAGCCAGCCGGGCACCGACCCGCTTATCGATAAAGAACGTCCGGCAGTCGAGCACACCGCCTGCTCTTTCTGCCCAGAAAATATGGGGCCCACCAGCGCAATTCGTGCAGCTCCTGAGCTGGAGCTTCCCTTGTTCAACATTCCATCCAAGAATGGCCCACAACCATGCCGTGCTACCGGACCGACCTTTGCGACCATACCTATTCGACGTTCATTTAGCACAACCAGCCACAACCTCGACGTTGCGCGACTCTTTCGCTGATGCTCGAGATCTTGGACTGCTCACCCAGTCTCCTCAGCTCCGTCGCGTCCTCCTCAAACTCATGACGCGATGTCTGGGGTTCCGCTACCCGCGCAGCTCGAAGCCGCCGAGGGCATCGCGATCGCGCAACTGAGCCCCGAGCTCCAGGATCCAAAGACGCGCGTCGTCCGGGGCGTCGTGACAATCACTTGGCCGTACAGCATTGTCCGAAAGAACATTGCTTTCCTCCTCGCCGAAGCCGACTTCCGCCTGCGTCGCGCCAAGGGACAGGTGCGCGTCGAATTCGCCGGCTCGAGCGCAAAGGCTATCGCGGACGCGGCACTGGGTAGCGGTGATGAGATTTCGCTGTCCTTGGATGGGGTCGAGCTCGTCGCCGATGATTCCAAGACGCGAGTTCCGGGCACGAGCCTGGACTGGCAGTTGAGGTTCACGGAGAGGGTGCTCCTCCAGGTAGGTCGCGCGTTTGTGCGTTGAGGGGATTTCCTCCGCTAAATATTCCAAGGCCAAAATCAGCGATTCCGAGGAGGTGAAAATTATTGATGTCAACCACCCCGCTCAACCCCCAGAGCCAGAGCCCGAACAACTGCCCGTGTCCGTCCTTGAGCCGTTCCAGGACGTCGAGGACGTCCCGGAGCCTGTAGTGACACCCGCGAAGGCGATTTCGAGCAAGAGATCGGCCGACCAGGGCCTTGGGGTCGACGAGTTTGCCTCCCCCGCGTTCCTCAAACGGGCCAGAGTGTCGTACGGGTCGCTGTTTGATGGCGGGTTAGATATCTTTGATGAAGCAGATGTTGGAGCCAAGGCACGCGCCAAGAAGAAGTCAAGGACGGGCCGGTACAGCGGCGTTTGGACATATGCCAGTCGATCCCCCAGCCCCGAGCCGGAAGCACCCGCGGAGGATACCGAAGACACATCAATGATGGAGGAGCAGCCAACTATAGCAACACCTTCTCGTCCTACAATGGTTGACGGCGCCTGTCAGACGGTGGAGCAAGAGACAAGCCCCCCGAGAGATGTGCAAGTTGCTGCAGAGGCACGACAAGACCATTTGTATTGGCAGACGCCGTCGAAATCGACAATGATCGATTCAGGGGTCCAGTCTGATCTGCCTCATAGCCCCAACGTCGGGCTTACGCCGCTAGGATTTGGGCCACCGCCGCCTATGCCGATATTCACGTCCGCCCACGAGCAGTATGCGCCAGCCTTCCAGCAGCCGCCTCTCGGTCCGGTCTTTGGCCATGACCTCCAATCTGAGATGGAGCCGCACTACGGTGCTGAAGGACCTTTTCACGAACACTCCAGTGCTTACCCAGAGGCAGGGCTTGATCATGCTCTTGATACGCATGGTCACTACCCCGCGGCGTTTCTGGATGAGCCGCATTTCGGCCCAGAAACCGTCGTCACTTCACAACCGCTGTCGGGGCCGATACCCACATACCAGGATCATCGGCAACAGCCCGATGTTGAAGCGGAACCCCACCACGCAGTCATGGTTGACGGGATTGCCGAGCCTCAGCAAATACCCTGGGGTCTCACGTCGGCGCACTACTCGAGATCGCCCGCGAAGCCTGCAGAGTCTGCCGAGAACAACACTGAAGTGCTTGAGGGTCGGGAACCTAGTCCTCAGGACGCCCCTGGTGAGACGTGGGCTGATGATCGCGAGCGCGAGGTGAGACACGACCCTGAGGACCAAGAGGCAGCACTCAGGGTAGAGGAGGACCAAATCTCAGAAGACCGAGACGGCCCGGAAGAGGAAACCACCGCTAGAACATACACTGAGAGACGCCTTGAAGCCGTCGAGGATGATCGCGAAGAAGCCGCACCAGGCATAGGGAAGGAGAGCAGTCCCATAAGCGGTGGCGGCAGCAGCAGCGAAAGCAGTGAGGAGAGTGACGAAGAAGCCGAGCACGAGGCCGACGACACTGGTGGGGATTACGACATCAGCAACTACCGCAACCTCAGTAACAACCAAGACGATGACGACGGGACAGATTTGGAGTCGGACTACGGACAAGAAGAAGATGACGAAATACTGGACCCCGAGCACGGTAATGAGTACGACGAGGATCGCGAGGAAGACTCCGAAGACTACGATGAGGACGAAGAGTTTGACGAAGATGAAGACCAAGAGAATCAACCGCCGCCCGTTGCCCCACGAGGGGGGCCACCGGTCGTGATTGATTTGCTCTCGGACTCCGAGGACGAAGCCCCACCACCGCGGCCCGCCACAGTTCCCCAGCGACAGATACCGCAGTACGATGGATCCGCCGATGAGCTAGAAGACGAGGAGTTGTACGACCAAGAGAGCCAGGGAGGGAGTGTCGGGAATGGTGATAGTCACCAAGTCTCGTCGCCCCAACCGTCCGACGCAGAGAGCGAGGAGGGATCTCAAGTTGGAACACCCACGCCGAAGCCTCGTCAGGCGGCGTCTCCCGCTCCAGAGTTGACGACGGCCACGATCGGCGATGACTTTGAGACTATGAGTCCAGTCAAGCTGCCACAAATGACGGGCGTTCCGAACACTTCGTATCGGCCTACGTCCCGAGGCGAGTCCGATATTCTGGAGGCGGAGCTCGAGAAGGAGTTGGAGGAGGAGATTGCAGCAGATGATGCCCAGAGCGACCGTCAAACGCCAGCCCCGTCTGAAGCCAAAACAGAGGAGGCACCTGAGGACCACCTTGACGATACAGAGGTTCTGCCGTCTAGTTCATTCAATGAAGATCCTGCAGGTGATGCCACGCCCAAGCAGGTGGTATCTAACCCAGCTAAGGTCGATGCCGAGGAGGAGACTGAGGTACAGAGAGAAGAATCGCAAGCCGCCGAGTCCCCCGCAGCTACCCCAGAGGAATCCAGCCCGGTTCGGCCAGACATTTCGGATGTCGAGGAGTCAGTAGATTCAGAAATCGAGACTGTCGACGTCCCTAAAGTCGCATTGGGAGAGAAACAAACCTTCGAGCCCGAAGAGCGGGTCACGGATGAAGTCGAAAGTCAGCGGGGGCTGGATCAATCAGAAGCCATCGTCACAGAGGCACCCGAGACGGTAGGAGAGCATGCCGGTGCTGCCGAGCCCGAGGCTATCCATGCAGGCAATATCGAAAGCCGACAGACACCAGAGGTGGAAGCCAGCAGAGTTGAAGTGTCCGAGGAGCGGACGGACAAGGTGCAAGAAGTCGGCTCCGACGACAAGGTCGTTCCCAAGGAGCAATCTCCAGAACAGACCGAGGTCACTGTGGTCGAAACCTCTGAAGTTGGATTGGAAGAAACACAAAGTGTCAAAGTAATCGGGCACAACCAGCCCAAAGAGGTTACGCCGAAACGTATTCAGATGAAAGAGACGCAAGTCTCCACAATGGAAGTGGAAGAGACACAGCCTCAATCCGACGATTCAGACATGGAGGTCGAGCAGGTCGATGTCGAGACTACAATTTACGAGGAGATCAGGCTAGCGTCCCCGGAGACGACGGTTGAGGTGGACATGGAATTTGATGACGATGGCTCCGTTGATCCAGCGGACGTTGAGATGGGCGACCTAGGGGACATGTCGGTCGACGATTTCACCAGCCAAGCACCGGACTCGGATATGGAACTCGACGATATGACCCAGGAAGAGCTTATTCAGAGCCAGCTCTACGAGGAGTCAATGATGTTGGAAGAAGAACAGACGATTACGACGTCCATCACCACAACGCATATCGTCGAGGAGAGGCCCGACCCCGAGGGAATCGAAGCTGCCGACGACAATCATCTCGAGACTGAAGTTGTTGAGACGTCACGCGTGACCATTGAAACATCCGTCACCGAGCCCCTGGAGACCATTGAGACTACACAACAGGCACAGACTGAGTACGAGGACGCAATGGACGTGGATGAGCTGGATGACGCCAAGTCTACCGAGATGGCATCGCCCACGCCGACTTACCAAGTCCAATCTCAATCTTTTGAGGAAGTGAAGCTAGTCAAAACACAAGTTGACGAGCAGATCACTCCAGGCCTCACGCAAAACGCCGAAACTGTCTCTCAATCCATTGTTGAGACGCAGGTTACCGAGGAGACTGTACCCGACGACGTGGATGACGATGCTCAATCACAAACGGAGAAGGTAGCGGAGCATCTCAAAGATGATGGTCCCGCCGAGTCTCCTGCAACTGTCCCAGTCCAGCCTGACGAATTGCTTCTGGACGAGGAGGAAATGGCCAGTCAAGCTGATGCGACCTCACCTATCAACGACGAGCCATCACAAATCCGAGACTCCTCGGCGCAACCCTCGGAGGCGCAATCATCTCTTATCGCCGACGATCCCTCGGAGGAAGTCTCCGCCGCGCAGCCAACTCCGAAGCGAGGTCGCGGCCAGCAGCACCGCAGAACCAACAGCAAGGATCAGGATCCCAGCATCAAGCTGGCCCGTGCGTCTATTGCATCGCGACGGTCTACGCGCCTATCAGATCGCACGACGCCTGACATCAGCAGCGCTCGAGTGACGACCCGAGGCAGGTCGGCGAGCTTGGCGCTCAAGAGCGATTCGGATGCGGAGGACGACAACACGAGCGTGCAGCTCGCCAGGGCTGCTATCAAGTCACCATCGCGAGCTTCCAAGGCCACCAAGGAAGGGAACCTCCCCAAGGAGGCCAAGGTCAAGGAAGACCGACAACCCAAGGAACCAAAGGCCAAGGAGAAGGAGCTCCCCAAGGAGATCGGCAGTGCAGCACCAGCACCAGCACCAGCAGAGCAATCATCCGCAGCGCTCAAGGCGCAGCTCACAAGGTCACTACGCTCCGACGTGCCCGACTGCGTCTCGCTCAAGGTCCTCCGGAATCACCCGGGCAGGTCCGTCGACGTGCTGGCGGTCGCGACGACCGAGCCGCCCGAGGCGAAGCGCGCAAAGGGCGGACCGCGCGGCATCATGCTGGCCTTCAACGTCACGGACCACTCTGTCGCGCCCGCGCAGACGGTCGCGGTGCAGATATTCCGGCCGCACAAAGCGGCGCTTCCCGTCGTGCACCAGGGGGACGCGGTGCTGCTGCGCAATTTTAGCGTCATGGTTCTGACGCGGAGCGGCTTCGGGCTCCGGGCCAATGACGGGTCCAGCTGGGCCGTTTTCGAGCGCGAGCGGCGGCACGGCAACCATGGCGACAACGACCTGCCGCAGATTCGCGGGCCGCCGGTGGAGCTCTCTGAAGGGGAGACGGCGTATGCGGCTCTGCTGAGGCAGTGGTATGCCGGGCTGGACGCCAAGTCGCTCGCGAGGTTGGATAAGGCCAACGAGGCGGCTCCGGCTGTTGGCAAGGAGGGCGGCAAGTGAGGGCGTCTACGTATCGTTTACTTTGGTCCAGATTGGTATGGGTTGCATGGATGGGGTAGGTACTGGTATCATAGCAAAGATATCGCGATAGTCGCAATGCATGTACAATTATCAATTACCTTGCTGATTGGCCCACGAAATGTGAGCGAGGCGGGTGGTGTTTCATCCAGCCGCTGTCCATCAATCAGGCAGAGCAAGAAGTGACTGCGGACAGGGTGGGAAAAAATGGATCACATATACAAAGCCGGTTGAGCTAGTGTATCGGAAAGCCAAGCACAAAGATCGTGGAGTTGGAGGCCCGATTTCCCCATGGGAAAGGAACGCAGAAGCGGCAGCGGCAGCGGCAGCGGAAGCGGCAGCGCAGTCAGAAGAGTAAAAAGAGGCCACCCACGGATCCCGTCCGCGGACCAACCCCCCCGCACGCGGTGGTAATATTACGAGGCCACTTTTCTGCTTTCCTTCCACCACAAACCGGCCCTATAATGTAACTAGGTACCGCGTGCTCCTTCCCCTTGCGCGTCGTGTCGTGTGCCCCGGCCGCTGTCCGCTGTCCGCTGTCCGCTGTAGTCTTTGATCCGCCCGCATTCAAAAGTGCGTGGGCGCGTCCCCAACCATTGGTGATGGAGGCATTGTAAGCAGCAGGAAGCGGAATCCTTGTTCTGTTTGACGGAAGCACCCCGTTATCTATTAGACTTGTCATCAGCCCCATCTGCCCCTCTTCCTTGCCGTGCTTCTTGATCAGGATGTTCTTGCCCCCCTCCCCCTGATTTGCCATGATGTTCAAAAAGAGGAGCCGTGGAATCCTTGTCGGTGTTTGTGGAGCAGGACGGACGGAAAGAGAAAGTCACTGGTGATTTGACAAGCGATGGTGGGTGAGCTTGGTGGAGGAGGAGGGGGGCGAGGAGGAGAGGGCTGCAAGCAAGGGCGAATTCGGACATCAGGATCGGAGCAGGTCGGCGACCCCACCCTCGGCGGCCGGGTGGAGATTTCACAACGAGATGGGTCTACCTACGGCGTCGTCGTTCATTGGACGGCTCTGCTTTCCCACAGTTTCCCTCCACTTGTATCCGTATGGGGGGACCCGTCTTGCTCGCTTCTCGTGTCCCCAACGGCTTGCCCCGGGAGTTGTCTGCGGAAGCTAGATTTCATGCCGAACGACTCGTCTCGATGGCAGTGAATGCGAATGCGCCGTGGTGGGAAGGCTGCCGATCCGGCTGCGTGCCGTGTCGTTTGTATCCACGGCATCTGGCCAAATGTCGCGAAACTCTGACGGTGGCCGTGGTTTGCCGTTGCATTACCGTGAGGTCATGGATGACCAACTGGCAATATTGCCCCGTTTTAAGTGCGGTGAGTGAGGCTCAGACGCGCCCCTAAATTTGGGTCAGCATCCGGGATGGACTGGCCGGCTGGTACGGAGGAAGTCTGAACTCTTGGAGACGGCATTCGTCATAACAAGAGGCACGCACGCACGGCAAGTGGCATCGGAGCAGAGGGAGTGCGTGTGTTTCGTCAGGTGGATGTACTGGGCCTCATGGGTCTAGTTGACAATGGCTATGCGACGGTGACTTAGAGCGATGGCTGTGCCAGACACAACAACGAGACGAGACGGCGCAAGGCCTAACAATGCAGATCTTGCGCGGAAGCGCTTTCGTGGTCTGGATGCACTGGGTTTTTGGCTCCAACTTGATGCGCCACATTTGTTGGACTTTTTTTTTTTGCGGTCAAGGTTTGGACAGAGTCAGGACAGGGTTTTTTTTATTTTATTTATTTTTTAGACGGATGGCCGGGATGTAGGGACGGGAATTGCACGGTTGTACGTATAGTACGTATAGACATCGGCATGCATGGACGCGGTGCCGTCGAGTCGGCGCCAGGGACTTTCGGCCGGGAGAAGGTTTTCACCGGACAGGACGCAGGGGTTGAACGTAGACCGAAACAGTGCGCCCTCTGCACTTGGGTGAATATTCCACCAGTGTTTCCCATTCATCCAACCGCGTTATCGTATTGTGCTCGCTGATGCTCGCTGTGTTCGGGACGTGGAAACGGCATCGTGATCGTGTCCCGTGTGTCAAAAGTGGACGGGGGCCAGCGAGGTGAGCAGTATTAGCAAACAGGGGTAATCCACTCCCCAGTCCCGACTGTTGCCGAATCCAGCTGGGCGAATGGAGATATTTCCAGGTGTGGAATGGGACGTGATTGGGCGCCCACCGGTGCAAGGGTTCTTGGGTTTTGATTGCGATTCAATCGGGAATTGTGCATCTTGTTCTTCGGACTCAAAGACACAAGGGGCGGGTGTTGTGTGGTGTGTCGATCCAACGAACCCATGGCAGGACGAAACCCTGATGGATTGGAACAAGCGGGAGCGAGGGTGTGTACGGACTACTTGTGCATGGCATTCGAGAAGCCGACTCTCGTAAAGAAGCCGAATTGAGCACGGCCGGCTTCTGGCCGGCTTCTGCGGCGGCCCACCTCCGTAACATTTAATTATGTGACGAGTGATTCATGATACTGCGATTGTGCAGAATTAAACCAGAACCATGAGGCTGGTGGGTGTCCTCAGACGCACACAAAAGGCGCCAGAGACGCCAGGCCATCCGCACATGGCTTTAGGTTGGAGGCGCTTGACTGCCTTGGGAGACTTGTCTAGAATTCGCATGGGACACGGTCCGCGGCTGCTGATTTGTTTGGTACTAGGTAGTGAGTAGTGACTAAGGATAGGCTGAATTGTACCCAATGGCACAGGTGCAGTTTGAGAAGAGGTGTGAAAAATTGGAGAGCGGCTCGTGATGCTTTAAAGTTGGAGGGAGCCACTGGGGGGACGAGGGTTACGATGGGCTAAGGATTATGTAGGCGTCTGTGGTTGGATGCTGCGGTGAGCCGAGGCGTGATCCTGGGGGGGCCCACACCGGAGCTGACTCGATTGGACCTGACTCGCGAGGCTGGCGCCGCTGTTTAGTGATGCTAGACTCGAGTCTGCTCTGGTAAATAGTGACCCGGGAGGTTGAGGTACCTACGATTACAGAGCGAGGAGCCTGAAAGACTCGGAGCAAGGTACTTGGCCCACGCAGCCCAGCCTCCGGGGGCGGCCGCTGCAGATCTTGATTGGCCGTCTCCACAAGGTGTGAGTGACGGAGACGGAGAGAATGGAGGGTCAAGGGCCCGGGTTTTCGCGTTAAGGTGGAGGCCGGGGAGGAGGCCGTCATCCCTGGACGATTATTCATAGTGTACTCCTTCCTGACCCTGGGTTTCTGGGCACTCAGACTGGAGGATTTGCCTTTTTCCTGCTGTCGTCCGAGTCTCGTCTTGACACATGTGGATTGGGAAAATGGATCTGGCGGAGAAGCAAGATGGGTACGGGGGCCGCGGGAGGTGGGCTAGAGCCTAGAGGCTAGCGACAACAACAAGGTTGGTGTTTTTGGTGTTTTGCGGTGAAGAAGACCGGTCTGCTGGTCTGTTGTCTGGAGAAGGTCAAGTTCTAGGCTGGCATGGAGGCATGGCGGCATGGCACGGAGCTAGCGTCGATGCGGCAAGGTCGACATGTTGCAGCTGCTGAGACACATCACACTAGATATGGTAAGCATGATTTATGGGACCCCAATGATAACACGGAATGGCAAGTGACGAACAAAGAGGCCGCCTTCCCATCGTGTCTTGGCCCAGGAAGGAAGGAAGCAGCAGACGCAATTTGTTTAAAGCAAGTGCGGGTGGATTCGAGAGTAACGGGAGAGAATGAGTTACCTGGGTACTTGCCATGCTATGGTAAGGTACCTAGGTAGAGGTTCGGGATCGGGAGCAGGATCGGCCGGGGTACGCGCCAGTTGCATACGGGCGGGAAAATCAGGTATTCCCTCATGTACGAGACCGCAAACTGCAAGTCGACGACAATCTTTAATGCAGGCCGGCGGTTGTTGTCACGATGGGACTTGGGAGTTGACGGGCGGACGGGTGGACGAGTGGACGGGCGCAGAGTCTGGGATTGCTCAAGATGATTTGTCTCGACGATCAATATCCTGCGACTTCCTGCGTGAGGTACCTAGCCGCGTTCGAGAGACTCTGAGAGAATCCGCCCCACAATGGAAGCCGCGGCGCCCCTCATGTTCAACCCCTCCCGAGCCCCCCCCCAGAGACTCGCAACTGCCAATCCCAAAGATGCAAGCTTGGCTGGAAGGAGGCAGGGATGGTGGCAGTTGGATTACGACATCTGCAAGTCTTGTCGCCATGGGCTTCACATACGACACCGCGAAGCAAGCAGCGGGCGCGGCAACTGTTGGATGTCGATTGTCGGCTGATGCACAAGATGGGGTCGAGATGAGGTCAGGTTGCGTCCTGGATATGATAGAGTTGGAGGTTGTGCGATGTCGTTTGCATCGTTCGCGGCAGTGGTTGGCTCGACCGGCCGGATGGATGGAAGGTGGCACGGAGGATATATGGGATGGAACACCACGACGACCGTCAGGAGCAACACACGCGAGCTCACCGTGACGGACGGGGGAGGCGCGGGATGAAGAATCCTCATGGCGTCCAGCCAGTATGCCGCCTCTGTATCCGTAAGTAGGCAGTAGTACCTACTCAGGATCAGAGCTGCATTTCCTCATGTAAGAGGCCACGCCCTGACATTGCGCTGCGGTTGCGCAGCGCGGTATTGGTTCCACGCTTCCCTTTCTTGGCCAATCCCGGCCAAGGTTCAGCGGCAGACCAGGAAAACACAACGACGTCCCGTGGCCCCTGTGTCACTGCGCTCGATGCAGGTCACGGGTCATCGGACAAGACAGATTTGACAGCTCTCGGGGCCAAGGCGTAGAATAGCAAAGAATTGCAACGGCTGACGGGCTGAGCAAAGGCAAAACAAACGAACAATCTCGGTGGGAAAAGGCATGCATCGTGAGCATTCGAGGATTCGAGGTGAGGTGCTGCGAGGTACTTTGCGGTCGTGCCTGACAGAATACATACCATTTCCCTGATACGTAGGTACCGCGCTCGTCGTAGTCAGACGCTCCGTCTCATCCAGCATCCTTGTCTCATGCCTGACTAACTCTTTCCCACTTCTTCTCCATATTTTGCTGCTTTCCACTTGTTCACGTTAGCTTCGTTTCCCCATAATTCGGGGTACGTAGCGATCCACTCCGTGCTGTCCTGCTTTAATTATTACCCTCTACCTTTTTTCCTGACTTTGCCAGGTGTAGAATGGTGCAGCTGGGCAGCTGGGGAGCAGCAGGGTTGTTCCGCCTCCCTCGTTTCTTCGCCCGGCCTAGTCTCGTCAATGGATCGGAGAGTGAAAGGAGCCACAAAGAGGAGGAGGGTGCAGATGGACAATGGGGTCGCCGAACCGGGGAGGGGGGGCGTGTCTCTTGGGAATTCCAGACGAAAGAAAGAGAGTCCGTTCCCAGTTCTTCCCAGTTCCTTGTGTCAAGCTCAGCCTGTAGCAAAAAGATTGATCCCAATAGAATAATATAATACCTCGCCCTTCCCCTTCGCACCCTTGGACCCCACCATCCCGCTTCCCTTTCGTGCCTTTTCCACCTTACCCGTAGCTCCGGCTTTTCCTAAACATTCAAGCTTGAAGTTGCCTCTCCTTTGCATCTCCAATTCCTGACCATTCCCAAGATAGCATCGAGGGACAATCACGAGGCACGCCCCGGACACATACTCTGCCCCCAGTCACTCTCGTCCGCCCACGCATTCCGCGGGGATCGAATAGCACAGCTTTGCCCGCGACATTTAGTATCAGGCCTGGAAACATCCAATGCTCATCTCAACGCAACCTCGTTCCGCCCTGTTCTGTTGTTTACGTTTGTGTCCCACGCCTCGACGAGGATCTACCGCCGCAGCTTTGACGACTAGTACGCAAAGCTTACCTTTGACGCCTAGAGCCCGTATATGCGAGCCCCTTACATCTGCAAGTCGCTCCCGCACGTATTGAGTTCTTTGGCCCGGCCGGACATATCACAAACGATTCTTGATCTTTAACCTCGGCCGATTTCCCCCGAGAACTTGGCCCAGAGCAAGCTCAACACCGCGATTGTTTCCTAACGACGACACGACGCTCTCATTACTTATCACCCTCCCTCACACGCCAATCGGCATCTGAATTGCGAGCAGTCTCTAAACAGGGGAGACTGCTTGAGTGCCGCGACAATGGCGACTGAAACTACCACCACCGCGCCCGCCCTCGAGGCAACGCTCGCCGCCGACCCGGCCACCGATCTATCGGCACTGACGACGGCGACCGCGGAAGAGCCCGCCGAGGATCCGAAAAACGACGACTCCAACGATACCTCATCGGACCAGGAGCAGAGCAAGAAGCGCTCTTCATCAATTGCGGACCTGCAGGACGGAGCCCCCCCGGCCAAGATCACGAAGCGCAGAGCCGCCCGCGCCTGCGTGAGCTGTCGAGCGCGCAAAGTCCGCTGCGACGTGGTTGAAGGCGCGCCCTGCGGCAACTGCCGATGGGACAATGTCGAGTGCGTTGTCCAGGAGAGCCGCCGACGAAAGTGAGTTTGTCCCGGCCGTCTCCGTTCCTCCGTGTGTCCGGTCCTGGCGGAACCCACGGCAAGCCGCACTTCACCGCCACAGTGCCTCGGCAAGCGATGCAGGCCAACAATTTGGCACACACGACATGACGCCCATGGGGAAATTCCCCATTCCGCAAAATGGACCCCCGCTAACTTCTTGGCGCATTCGTAGGAAGAACTTGTTGACTGCCAGCACGGCGGGGCACCATGTTGTGGGAGCCGAGGCACAGTTGCGCTCCAAGGGCGCAAACCCAATCAACATCCACAGCAGCGCGGAACTGCGCCGACCCAGCAATGCCTCCGTGGCCTCGGTCAATGGATCAGTCGCGGCCAATCCCGTCCCCGCAACCTCCAGTGTGCCCCTGAGTGCGACGCCTAGCCTTGGTGCCGGAGCCGGAGCTGGAGCTGCAGGCGGGAATGGAATCGGAGTTGGAATTGGCCCAGGTGTTCTTGGGGGCCTGTCGGTTCCCGGCGGCTCTTCTGACGGAATGGAGGGCCACGTTCCGCACATGATCTGTAAGTTTTCCTCTAGTCACCTGCGTCACAACATTCTTTTTTGGGCTCTGGAACACCTTTTCCTTGGTGTGGGAATCTTTGCCAATTCCGCACCGCACATCCAAATTCCCGCGCCCCCTGTCATTGTTTTGTGTGGCCTCTGCTGCCCATCCTTTTTTTCGCAGCTGTTCCTGGCTTTGCCCATCGCTGCCCAGTCCGGGGGGGTCGGACTGGGGGAGGGGACGGAACGGGGTAAAGTGTGGAGGGGCGTCTGGGACTTTTACTACCCCGTGACCTGGACCTCCACGTCAGGATTTTCTCCGCCTTTCCCCCGTCCAGTCAAGCAAGTCCAGGCGCTTTCTCCTGATTCTTCAGCGTACCCCCCCTCCGTCCGCGGCCACAGCTCCGTCCCTCCCACGTCCCTTAGCCTCTCACACGTAATCCACATTCACATGCAAACCCGCTCTCCCCAGTCATTATCATCACATCCAACCCACCAAATCAAAGCGGTCAGTGTTGTGAGACGACTCGACTGACCACGGGACCTTGTGAATCTTAGATCAACGATCGGGTTATCGTCATGACAGCGCAGCGCTGCTCACCAAGCTGCAGTCGGCTGCGGCCGCAGCGTCAGCAGACAGCAACTCTCGTCGCCTCCTGTCCAACCTGCTTGCCCAGGCCTCTCTCTTTGGAGGCATGGGCGGCGGTGGTGGTGGTGACGGCCGGACGAGCCAATTCCTCGCCTCCCTCGAAGAGCCCGATCTCCACGGCCAGCTCCCGGCCTTTGTGAAACCGCTACCCGCCAAGATCGCCCAGGAGGATGTCACCTACCTGCACGCAAAAGGTGCCCTGACTCTGCCTGCGCTGCCGTTGCAGAACGCCCTGCTCCAGGCTTATGTCGAATACGTTCATCCGTACATGCCACTCCTCGAGCTGTACGACTTTCTGGCCATCATCAACGCCCAGGACGGGCTGTGCGGTCAGATCAGCCTGTTTCTCTACCAGGCCGTCATGTTTGCCGCCACGGCCTTTGTCGACATGAAGGTCCTCCGTGAGGCGGGGTACCCGACGCGGAAAGCCGCCAGAAAGGCTTTTTTCCAGAAGACGAGGGTGAGTGGCCCGTCCCTGAATATTCTTTGACACCGCACTAGCGGGGCAGGGGTCCCCCCACGCTATCATCATCACATGCTAAACGTCCGTCTGCAGTTGCTCTATGACTTTGACTACGAGTCAGATCGCCTCGTCCTCGTCCAGGCTCTCCTCTTAATGACGTACTGGTACGAGACCCCCGACGACCAAAAGGACACATGGCACTGGATGGGCGTTGCCATTTCGCTGGCCCACACCATTGGCCTGCACCGCGACCCGGCCGCGACCAGCATGCCAGTTCGCAAACAGAAGCTATGGAAGCGCATCTGGTGGTCCTGCTTCATGCGCGATCGCCTCATCGCTCTGGGCATGCGCCGGCCGACTCGCATCAAGGATGAGGACTTCGATGTGCCGATGCTGCAGGAGAACGATTTTGAGTTGGAGATCCTGCCGGAAGAGAACAAGGTCATTCCCGCCGAATGCATGCTGCTCCGCGACGTCTCGATGCAGCGGGAGCTGGCCGCGCTCTGCATTTCCAAAGCTCAGCTTTGCATCTGCATCAGCCACATGCTCAAGGCGCAGTACTCAGTCCTTATCCGGGACAAGATGCGGCCGGAGAACACCATCAATAGCACTATGATGCTGTTCCCCAATAAGAAGCTCGACAATGTGGAGAGCGTAACCTCGGTCGACCTGGAGCTCATGGCCTGGGCCGACACCTTGCCCGCCATTTGCCAATACAGGCCCCTGACGCCCCTCGACGTCAAGAACGGGCGGTCGACCGTCGCGGTCCAGCGCACCTTACTGCACATGGTGTACTACACCACCATCTCGGCCCTGCATCGCCCGCAATTCCTGCCATCATCTCCGGTCCACGCGCCGACGACCTCTCGGCAAGTGCAGGAAATGTCCCGGCTCCGGGTTCGCGACGCCGCGATGCACGTCACTCGGATGGCCGCGGAGCTCCACCAGCTCCGCCTGGAGAGGTACCTTCCCACCACTGGTGTGACAGTCATTCTGCCGGCCATGATTATTCATCTTCTGGAAATGAAGAACCCCGTCTCGCAGTCTAGAGACCGCGCCACACGCGGCTTCCGCCAGTGTATGCGTGTCATGGAGAAGCTGCGCGAGATCTATGCCGCCGCCGACTACGCCACCGGGTTCCTCGATGCGGCCCTTCGCAAGGCTGCCATTGACATTAACCTTCAGCAGACCACTGCGCCCATGACGCAGCAGAACCTCAAGCTCGCCGAGCCGACCTTTGGCGCGCAGACGCCCCCGCCAGATAACCTGCCGTACATGACGACAGGCGAGGCCCTCTTCGCCAGCAAGCCGAACCCCCAGCGGGATTTCCTGCCGCAGACCATCAACGCCGCAGCGCTCGACTTGTCGGCCCAGAGCCCGCCGCCGACGGAGAAGGACCACGAATCTTCCCTCGAGGCCATGACGCCGAGTGCAAACGGCAGCTTTGGCAGCACCGAGGAGCCCGGCCCCCTCGACCTCGAGTTCCTGCAGACGCAAGAGGAGATTGACTGGAACGCCATGACCGGCACAGAGTTTGATGTTGACCAGTGGCTCCAGTTCCCGCCAGAGGGCGTCAACAATACGGATGAAGGGTTCATGGCCAACGTATTTGGGGAGGACGGCATGAATGATGCCATGAACTGGGCCGCAGCCGGTGTGGACACGACTGCGAAAGACGGCAACGGTGCAGCTGAAATTGCCACCCATGCCTAAAGTTGCGCACGCTCTACTATTTTGCATTCTCGGTTTTACACACTTTGTATAGACTCCTTTGGGAGCATCTTTGCAGACATTTTCACGGTGGGATTTCTGGTTGGAAGCATCGTTGCACTACATGGAGTCGGGATAGAGCAAAAAAAGGGAGGCTCGATTTTCCGGGGCGGGTTCTTGTATTAATGAAACGGCGTTTACAGCCGGATGGAATTCAGGCTGGGGCTCATTGGAGTTGGGGGGTTGTTTAGATACCCTCACGCGGCGCCTGGTATTTGTTTGTTCGCCTACGTAGTCGTGTCATGATGGTTGTGAATGAGAACATGAGTTGGAAGCATGGTGCGTGGCGTTTTGCATGTGATAGGCTGATGCTCGTAGACTGGCCGGATTGTGGCGCGTGGGGGTTGACATCGGTCTCGAAAGGTCCGATGGATGCCCTCACATCCATGCGCGCTTCGTCAAGACCTGATTCTGGCGGTGTCAATGTGGGAGCGGGATCCCGCACTACAGGGTCGACTGTATAGATCGGCACGTGCCGAATCGTCTACAAATATCGCAGCGTGAATGCGATTCTGAAGGTTCATTTGGCGGATCAAGACTACATCACCCAAGGATGATGATCTGGCATCACGACGGGACTCGACACTCATCTCACATGACATAGGATCAGCTCACAATTGCATCATGATTTACCAAATGATTGTTTTATTGATAAACGCCGCTATTCTCAACCGTCTCCCTAAAACATCTCATTTCCCTTGGGAGAAGGAAGTGAGATTGCCTCTGGACGAACGGTCACAAAGTCCTCTTGAAAAGGAAAGGGAATGCGACCTTGCGGAGGGAGGGGAGCGGGCTGCTCGTCTTGCTCTTGAGGAGCGAGAGGAGGCTCCTTTTGACGGATGGACTCATATTGGCCATTTTGTTCAGCATCTCCCGCCCATGCTTCGTCTGATTAGTTCATCTGAACAATTTTGTCACTCTCGACAAAAGTCGGGTTGAAGTTTAAAGGAGTGATTGTGCTTGGCGCGGCTGAAAACACATTACCGCCTTGATTGGCAGAACTGAGGTCGACTTCTGGTGAATGAAGGTCGGTCGCTTCGTCTTCAGTGGGCTCGAATCCGAAAAGGTAATCGCCATAGGTGGCGCGCTTGTCGTCCAAGTCCGTCTCGTAGTAGCTGCCGGGTGAATCCAGTCTCTAGGGTGCATGAACTCCTTCTTGTGGTGGTCCCGGTTGGCATTGAGCTTCGGGCACGTATCGGTTGTCGGGTCCGAAATGAGAGCTTTTCTCTTGTCGACATTGATCCCTTCATAGTCGTACGTCTCCCAGATCTTGATGACCTGGTTGTTGGAATCCTTGACGTTTCCCTTGAGCATCTTGTTGGCGAATTTGCAAGTGAGAGGGAATGGACCCTGCAAGCCGTACTGGGCGTTGTAGTCGGCAGAGGCCTTCATCTTATCCACCATGTGAATGATGGGGAATGGCAAGCGGAAACCAGGCTTTCCACCGCGGTCGCCGACAAGGACGTCGTAGAGAACTTTCCATGTCAGTCCATCCTTCATAGGATGCTGACACTGACACCAGTCGTGATCCTTGTCATTGCACAGCCAACAACCTCCAATGTTGCCATGACGGTCGGGGACAACGCAGTCGATGAGGCGGTGACGAAGATGGCCACAGTTGGCGCATTTGGCGTTGGGCAAGTCTTGTCGAAGAAGGGACGCCAGGGTCGTTGTCGTCTTGATGTCGTTGCGCTCCTTGTCCGCGATGCGAACCTTGCGATAGAAGGGAGGCCTGTATCGGGGACTGTCATCTTCCGTGTCCACGACCCGCTCCTCGAATTCGCTGGGGCCACCATATCCGCCGTTGTTATATCCTTGGCCTTAGTTCCATTGAAAGGAACCGCCGCGTCCACCTCTGCCACGTGTGAAGTCACCAAGACCTCCTCGGCCACCACGTCCATGGCTGGAGTTTCCTTGATTGAAACTGCCGCGCCCGCCTCCGTCACCATATCCATGACTGACGTTTCCTCCTTGATTGAAATGGTCGAATATAGTGTTGCCTTCCGCTCGTGCCATGGCCACTTCCTCCTGCTCGAGTCTTTCGAGTTCCTCCACGGTAAGCTCCACGTGCTCGACGTCCATCAGCGCGGTCGCCTCGGCAGAGCGACCGTATGGGTTAAAGGTTTCGAGGGCGATTCTGACGTGCTTTCTGCTGCGGTCAAGACCGAGAGCTTCCCACTGCGTCTCAAACTGGTCATGGGCTCTCTTGCTGGTTGTGGCTGAGATGAGAAACCCGTTCTTGTGACTGAGCAGTACGTCTTGGCTTGGGTTGAGTTGTGCCGCTATCGTCTGCGGATGGGGCATGCCGATAAAAGGTTGAATCCTAGTATCGGCTGCATCTTTGACATCTCCAATTGAGTTGGAGGCCCCTGGTCGATTTGATCGATCGCTGGGTGGTTGGTTTGATGCCATTGTGTTGTGACTTTGGCGATGGTTTGTTTTGGTAGGAAAGGGGAAAGAAGAAGGAGATCAAATGCGAGGTATAGAGTGGTTCTTTTTTTTTTTTTTTTTTTTTTGGAGAGCCTTCCGGCGCCATGCTAGCGGCTCGCTTAAACTATGCAATGAACATCAGGCAGGCGCAGGACTGCCTTACTATAAGGTATCTGAAGATATCTGGAGGATGTGAATTTGTCTTCCTCTGACGATCCACCTACTCACGTGACAGGTCGAATCATATGGCTATGGGATCAATGTGAGCAAAAGTGCGGCAAATGGGAACTGATAATCAATTTGCCGCTCATTAAATTACTCTTGTTCAGTCTTTCATCACTTAGTTTGAGATGATGGATAAATCTAGACGTTGATGAGTCGTTGACAAAGCGGCTCCGCCAGGGCCGTTGTCTGACAGTGGGTGAGGTCGATCAACGGGTCTTCTCCACTTGGGCCCCCACGCAATGGCCCGAGACAAGGTACATGGCCAAGGTGCCTCACGCACGTCGATACCCTGTCGACAGAAAGCAATTCCATGTCACGTATCACATGCCATTTTAGAAACAGTTTATTGATGATCCACGCCTATACGATTGTCTCAAATCTACCAGTCGAAGCTTCAAAATGCTTCAATGTCCTCCACCGTGACTCCAGAGGCCTTGAGAGCCTCCACCAGGCCTTTAATTGAAATTGTAGTCGCAAAGCCAGCGGAAAATCTTTCATTTGCCCTCGTCATCCTGAAAGCAAGGAAGACAACGTCATGGCCAAATTTCATTCGAATTGGCCCGTATTTTCCATCGATGGAGACGAGACACCCAGACCAGATATTGACTGGGTTGAATTTCACGGGACTGTGGCAGAGGTTTTGGAGCCAAGCGCGGATCATGTACATCTCGACAGACTCCACGTGCTCTTGAGGGAGCTTCAGATCGGAGAGAGATGAGCGAGAGAATCCCACAGCAGCTCCAATATCCTTTGCTCTTTCCCATATGGCAGCGCATCTCATGGGGCTCATGAGAATGATACCTCCAGCACGGGCAGTCGCGTACGCCTGGGAGCCAGTATTGGACATGGGGCCATACAGACGATAGATGCCCAGAAGCCATATGGCGCCCGTGCAAATGACGTTATCGGGCACGTCACGACATTCCTTCAAGACCGCCTGAATGGGACCAGGTTGACGATCACTGAGGATCTCCCTCGCCACGACCACGAAGTCGTACGGGCCGTAAAACTCCAGAATGATGGCCACAATGTCCACCATGGCTGCCGATACACTGCTCTCCGTGTCGTCGTTTACAAAGGACAAGAACGCAGCCGCCGACACGTTGTTGTCAGTCAATGCGAGAAGGCGGGTGACCTTGAAGGCACGATCGTCCCTCAATTGGTAGTCAAAGACGGCGGCGGAATTGTCTCTGTGTCGTACCAGTCCCAGGATCTCGAGACCTTGAATGGTCTTTTGCATCCGTTGATAATTGCACGCGAACCAATTCCCCATGCGACCGATGTTGACGTCGGCGTACCTTGCCATCGCCTTGAGAAAGAAGGCTTCTTGATGAAGCTCGTCAAACTCTCGGCCCTGCTCGGCGCTCATGATATCCGCCAAGGACAGCTGCGAGTGCACTGTGATGTTCTCTGGATTGACTCCCTTCTCAAACGCACATCCCACCTGGACCATCAATTCGTGTCTTTTCAGCCGCGCTGTCGTTCGGACGACGTGCCCAATCCGACGATCGTATACCTCCATTGTCCTTTCCTTGCAGAGAACCAGATGCCTTGCCCCACCCATTTCCAAACGTGACTGGCTCAGCTCGATGCCGAAGGGCACAATACATCCGCGATCGGTCGGCTCGGCGTCGTTCCCATGAAGCTGGACAAATGAGTCTCCCACGAGACGCCCGAGGGCTTCTGTGATTGGGCCATAATCCGATACTTTGGCGTTGCTTTTCTCATGGTAGAATAGTACCGTCTTCGTTTTCTTGTACTCCTCTTCTTGACCTTCAATCACCCCATAGTCCTGCGCCAATCTCTCTGCCACATTTTGTTGATACTCAACGTCGGATACTGGGTATGTGATCCACTCCAGCTCGTCCCATGCCATCTGGCCTTGTGGTTTCGGCATCTTGAAGGTTGTGACGGGTAACTTCCTCTTCTCGGTGAAGACGGCCATCATTCTGCCCAGCTGGGGATTGAGAGGCAACGAAGACAGCCATATGATCCGCAATTTCGGTGTTGGTACGTTGTTGATGCATCGGGCAATGTCGAGAACTGCGAGAGCGTAGGAGAGCGTCGACTGTTCGTCCACGTCGATGAAGAGGAGTTGATGATCCTCGCAACTTTGCATGGCGGATGTGAGTGCTTGGACCTTCTCGTATGTCGTCACATGCTGCACCAGATGTTGGACATCGCTCGATAGAACTTGTCGGTCGATTGCGTCGTCGGCAATGAGTCGTACCGTAACTAGTCTCGTGCCCTCTTGAGTGCAGCTGATGGCCAAGCCTTGCGTGGCGCCGACCAACTGATGAATGTTGTCATATTTCGTCGGAGGTACCTGCACGTGTGCGAGCAAAGTCTTGTCTTCGCAAAGGTACCATGACTTGATTTTTTCCATCTCGTCGGCCCATTCCTCGTACGGAATTGATTTCTCACTCGCCATTTTGATGTGTGGTTGGTGTCTGCCAGCGCTGAATGTGAAGTGTGAAGTGTGAAGTGTGTACCGTGGCAGACCTCTGGCCCGTTTGCAATTTTTTCCCTGATGAGGTTTCGGAAGGACCAAGACCTTTGCTCTACACTTGAATATCCCAAGGCCAAGTGGGCTGAGAAAAATACGTATGGCCAAGGCCTTGGCTCCAAGTTCAATTGCCCAAGGGCCAAGTGGGTTGAAAAACAGTTGTGGCCAAGGCCTTTGCTCCTGCTATAGTTAATAGTGCAAAGGGGTTTTACGTCTTAAGTAGGCTTTAATGCCCCAAGGCCAAGTAGGCTAAAAAAATAGGTGGAGCCAAGGCCTTTGCTCCTGCGATGGTCAATAGTGCAAAGGGGTTTGCGGCGACAGCCCGCCTGGGTCCCGCACTGACGAAGAGCCACGTCCAAGTTGGCTCATATGTACGGCCCGCCTGACAACATTGGTCTACTGCTCCCCAGCATTCATGGTACTCTCACGCATGACTGAGTTGCATCATCATTGTGCAAAACATAGACTTGAAATGACTTAGACTGCCACTATTTGCCTCCTGCTGATGCTGTAGCCCGGTTGCGACGCGCGCCTAGGATCGATGCAACGAAGAAAGTGAGGGAGTGGGCTTTCGTGAGGAACCAGAGAGCTACATGAGTCAGCGCGGCCCCATACGCCGAAAGAGGCAAGTTCTGGTAGGATGGAGTGCATCCGACTGGACAAGCATTCCGGCGCTGCACGGACTCCAACGGCGTTCCTGTCTAAACTTCGAGACAAAATCGACTGCATGTGGTCATCGTCGTGGCGCTTACGCGACAGTTCAACTACCACATCACCCACCCAAATGTCTTCAAACCTGCACATCAAGAGCCATATAGCTTTTCAATGAATTGGAATATCCGGATATACTTGTACGAATTGAAAGATCGTTTCATTCTTTGAAAGCAAACCCTGAGCTGATATAAGATGAGGTCGAGTCGCGGGGGCCTCCCAGTGTCTCTCTGTAGACGCATCATAGTAGCACAGGTACACGTGGCCCTCATGGAAAGGCTAATAGGCCCATAAGAGAGCAACATCAAACTGTACCTATTAGTTAGGTAGGAAAACCTATGATCCATCTAGGGATACTGTGAAGATTTGTGATGGCCCATTGAGGCAAATAAGTGCAGAAGAACGTGTATCGACGCCTCAATCAACTTAATCAACCGTCGAGGTCGCCGGATGTTACGCACCTCCCATTGATGAGGTGCTGCTCTTGCGGGTTCAATAGTAGACCCAGTTCCGTGCCTTCCCTATAATATCAGAAGTAATCCCACTGCCCTTCCGTAGCGCCCTCTATTCTATCGCTCAACTGGTTTTCTTTCCTATTTCCATTCCCTTCCGCCCTTTTTTCTGTCTGTCAACTAATTCATTTCTGCCCTCTTTCTATCATCAAACATCATTACCCTTTCCAGCAAGCATAAGCCACAGCACTATCAAAATGTTAGTCACTGACTACGACGTGGCCAAGTGGACCCCCTTTGCTAGGGATGAGTTTCCAGCGGCCGCCACGAACAAGAAGCTTTTGGACCTCTACATGGAGGAAAATCCCAGTGTGAACTTTCAGAGCTGGGAGTTCCAGGGTAAGTGGGAAAAGGCTGTGGAGCATGTTTACAATTATCTTCACCAGCAGCGCGAGTGGTGGTGGCAAAATATCGACACGATGGGCTATGAGACATTGAGACGTCTCTTAAGTAAGCCAATCCGATAGCATTCAGAGTATCTCACATACTGATGTCATCACAGGATTCAACGTCCAGAAAATGAGAGATCTGGGTTACACCATCCCATCCAGCCAGAACGAGCATAGACCGATAGACACAGGCTTCACGAAATGGCTCAAAGATCATCATTCCGAGTGGTTCGAAGAGCAGGAGAAGATTGAAACAATCATTCTTCGACTGAGCACGGCGACTGCCGCTGTTGGGGAGGTGCACACAGCACCGTCCTTAGCATCTGTCGAGCACTGGAACCGAGTCACGGACCGGGGTCAAGAAGATGTCTCGGACGCCGACATCGACACTGAGGAGGTCACGAACGAGGCAAGCAGCCACCTCACTGACCGTGTCGACCAGCACATTGAGCAAGGAATACCAGCGCGCCTAGAACTTTTCCATGCATATGGCTCCATGGCGTATCATGTTGATGCGCCTGGACAACCATTCGAAGTGCGGATTCCAGACAGCATCAGTCGGCGTGACCAGTCCCGTCTATTCCGCAGAGGCTTTCTGCTCAAGCAGGCACGCGATAAGTTGGATCGTAGACTTCGTATCGTCTGGACCGAACACCATGATGCCACCTTCCTTGTCATCGTCAAGAACCGTCCCTACAGCCATCGCACTCTTTTCAGCATGAAAGAGGCCTATTTGCACGCTTTCGAGTCTCTCAAAGGCTACTGTCGTGAGCTGGAACGTGGAAGCAAGATGGATATTGCTTGTTACATGGAACTATACCACCGATGATTCATCTTTCACATCGCCGACTATCTATCAAGAACATGAGACCACACAGGCTCTCATTCGGCCTATAAAGTTCACGTGCAGTATACAGCTCCAAGTCGGAGGTTTTTTGATGACATCAAGTTTTCAAGGGTTATTCTATGAGAAACACACAGCTCTCATAGCTATGCGCATCGGACTACTCGGCTACGGCAACATCCACTTGCCGCTGATAGCTTAGTGTGAGGCGATATCAAATTGAAATCCCATCAAGCCAATTTCTAAATCGGCATAGTATGCTCGCAATGCGAAGGCAGTTCTGTTGTGTAATCGAGGCTCTTTGGCCTACTCGGACCAAGACCAGAATTTCAGTGGGAGGATGGCTGCCATACCTACCGGATTGCTGCTACCTTGGTCGGTAGCAGCTAGGAGAACTTCCAAAGGAGAAATGCTGACCGGTCCAACTTTGACATGGAGGCTCGCTTCCCGAAAAAAAAATCAGCTTCAGGTTGAATCCTGAAGGTGAGATATTGGCAGTCAGTCGAGGCCAAGTATTCGTTCTACTCTGATCTCACGTTCTAAAAATGGCAGTCACTTTTCACGCGACATTTCGATAGTTCGACATTGTTGAGGAGCTGCATTAAACTCAGTCTACTTGTGTCTCCTTGCCCCTCGAGCTCCTCTCACGATTCAAGGCCAATCGGTTCAGCTTCATGCACCCCGACAGTAGCTTCACTTGACTGAGAGTCGATCATATGGATGATGCAGCGCCTCAATTGACATGAGCCTGTGTTTCCCTGCCAAGCCTCAATTGATATGAGCCCGCCCTTATGATATGCCTATTCTGCTAGCCCAAGTCTTTCCATGATCTGAAATGTACTCATGGAGAAGATCTCATCCTCTTCGAACTCCTTCTTCATCTTCCATGCCCAGTCTGTTGCTTCTAGGGCATTCTCCTCCATTTGATCGTCGCCCTTGTAGACAGACCAAGTATCTTGAATGGCCATCCTGACGTCATTAAGCGAAAGGCTCGGCGCAAGCTGGCCTGGAGGACGCGTCATTTGTTCACCATTCAGATAAAGGTTGACCATCCTGTTCCATCGTGCCGTTCTCTTGAACTTGGAATTGAAGAGATCTTGTGAGACTCTTGCACGGAGCGCCCCCAGCTGCGCTTCGTCGGAGCCCCGACGAATCGACGCCAACATCTCGTCCTCGTTTCCCTTTGCCTGATCCTGGCTCTTTTGAGCCAAGTCTTTCAGAACCTTGTTTTGGGTCTCGACGCTCTCACATCTGACCTTCTCTTCGTGGTTCCGGATGAAGTCGCTGAGAGTAGCCACCTGACCATTCACCGCACTTCCGGACCAGGCCTTGAGAGCCCACCAAGATGCTGGGTACGAACCGATGTCACAGTAATTGACCTTCGGGTCGCTCTTCATGAGGACGAGGAAGGTTGACTTGTCGTGGTCAATCCACAAAAGACGAAGCCTCGGGTCGAGCATTTTGCTGATCTTGGTCACCTGATCTTTGTGGCGGTACACGCGCTCAGCCATGGCGGGGCTCAATCCATCAGGAACTCGTACTTCGAAAGGGAATCCACCCTTTTCGAGGGCGATGTTATCGTACTTGCAAATTTGGAAGAACTCCTTGAGGTCCTTCCTCCCTGCCAAGATCATTGATTCAATCTTGCTTGGTTGTCTGGTCGCGACGGGGGCACTGGGAGTGGAAGGGCCAGGCCAGATTGATTCTGGCTGGAGCGACATAGTGATCTCCTTGAGCGCGCTGGTCTCTGGGGCCTCTGGCTTCTTGGGATCGGTCTCGCGGGACTTGGTGATCTCGTTCTTCAACTTCTTTCGGGACTCGACGTCCTTCGGCTGCTCGGGCTCGGGCTGTTTCCGTTTGGACGACTCCCCTGCCTCGATGGAAGGCGAGGCGACCGGAACGTGCTTCTTGGGAATCCTGTGCTTGTTGGCCTCGAAATACTCGGAATGGTTGGCCTCGAGGTACTCCGCATAGCCCTCGTCGAGGTCCTCGATTAAATTCGCTGGTACCGTAAAGCCCAGGGTCGCGAAAGGCTTCTTTTTATGGTGGGCTGGAGTGGTCAGTCTTCCATAGCAGTGAATTGGGGTCGCGTGACTTACCAGTCATTTTGTAAAACTCTTGCATGGTCGCGTACTTGAGTACGGTTGTGCTAACCCAAGCCCAGTCCTCTTTCTGAAAATAGGGGTACAGTTGGCGTGTCACACCCTTCCACGCTTCGATAATACCACACTTGTGAAGGGTTGTGGTATGGCCACCGGTAATGAGAGTGAGGATTTGGCTGCAGGCATCTTCATCCTCACCGGTGAGCTCCCCGTCATGGAACGACGGGATCCAGTCCTCTGCGCGCGAGTGACTGTGAGAGCCGCTGCTCGATGCAGCAGGCCCGGGTACGTGGCCTTCATTGGCCGGGTTGGACGTCATCTCTATCGTGAAATCCGAGGAAAATGGCTTTTGTTGGTATGTTGTGATGATTGAAGGGAAGGGGAAGAAAAGGCCGGCAAGTGTGAGTGAGTGAGAGGCAGGCGCGGCGGCGTCCCGGTAAGGCCCCACAATAACGGCGATGTGACTTGGCCTCTCGTCGAGGAATATCAGTACCGATGCGATGACTCGTTGGGAGACCTCCAGCGAGCCTTTACGAAGAATTCATTATCACTGCCATTCCGCGGAAAACTTTATGGATGCCTAGCCTGGTGAGAATCTTTCAAGTTACGTTGAAACAATGAGAGGCTCTTTGAGGGCGACCGAGATTATAATCAATGAGCAGGGAGAATCGTAAACGAAACGAAACCGCGTCTCATACCTTTTCTCCATGCCACGTCCTGAATCACGATGAGGTTACTAAGATCCATCTCACAGAACATCTCACTCCACAAGGGGTCATTTCACGTGATCAAAATAGGATGTGCCAAATTATTTTTTCATTGACAGACTGAAGCTATTCTCTTTTTGCATCCCCTGGTGCCGAGATCCGTATCCTCGAGAGAGGAGAGAGGAAAGAAGCCGAACGTGAAGCAGACTTGTTTCGAGAATTTGCTAGCATCCCACAGGCACCTCGCTTAATATTTTATTCAACTGCTAGGCAGGTGCAGTGCTGTTCATACCTGCCTCAAGTTTTCCTAAAGTCTGGGATCCAAGGCACCCAGGCAGCTCAGAGGTGAGTTTACACTTGGCTTCCAACCTCTTTCCTCCTTTAGTCACACGCTTATTGCTGTTGGAGATGTCGAGATCGTCCCCGTGGGCTCTGTTCTTGCCGTTTGGCTCGGAGGGTTTACTTTTCTTTGAGTATCCACGAATCCAAGAATAAATCACATTGTATATAGCCATCTTTGAGGTCCTGTCGTCCTCATTGTTTCCGTAGTGGCTATTCTGTCGGCGATGAGAAGAGCCCTCACATTGCATGCAGTACGCTGTCGGACGGGAATCTAGACGTGCAATTAGATCCTCATCACTGGTGGCTAGACTCGCATACTTTACGAGTGCGGCATCATCGGAGCGTGGAAGGATGTGGTACCCGTTAGCCTTTCAATTTATAGCTTGCTCGATCTTGTTGAATGCTGCGATGTCGCAACAAGCGGCTGGATCGGCCCCTCGGCCCCTCTCGGCATGTTGGTTGAGGCCGCTAACCCCGCATTCCCGGCAATCAACCTTAACCCGAGGCAAGTTGGGGAAGCGCGGAGGAACCCCAAGTACTCCAACCTCCCCGGACTCATCTCCCCCGTCAAACTTTCCGAACGACAACTCTCAGCTCAACACCCACCGACATGGACACCAACGAGATCCCCCGCAAGCTCTGGGAGCACCCGGACCCCAAGAGCACGCAAATGTACCAATTCCTGCAATCAGTCAATTCCAAGTTCAACCTCCAGCTCAAGGTGAGTATTCCCCGAATCCCCCACGGTACGTCCGCTTACACGTTTCCAGACCTTCAACGACCTCCACAACTGGACCGTCGCTAACCGCGCCACATTTTACGGCCATCTCTTCAGCTACGCCAATCTGGTCCACGAGGGGCGTCCAACGTCGGTCGTGGACGAATCTCTCCCGATAGACGCCATCCCCAAGTGGTTCCCCGGCGTGCGCCTCAATTGGGCCGAGAACCTTCTCTTCACGCGAGGCTCGTCCGATGCGGTTGACCATCACGGCACGGAGGGTAAAGAGGAAGACAAAGTCGCCGTCACGGAGATTCGGGAAGGCAACCGCGGTGATGTGCGCCATCTAACCTGGGGCCAGCTGCGTCGTGACGCGGGTCATCTGGCAGCAGCCATGAAGGCGAGGGGCGTCAAGGAGGGAGACCGCATCGTCCTCGTCGGTGCCAACTCCATCGAGACGCTGCTGGTGTTCGCGGCAACCACGTGGTTGGGCGGCATCTTTAGCAGTTCGTCCACGGACATGGGCGTAAAGGGCATCCTGCAACGAACCACGCAGGTCGATCCCAAGGTACGTGACTACCCACTTCCAACAACTGCGCTCACACATGCCAGTTCATCTTCTTTGACGACGCCGCGGTGTACAACGGCAAGACGGTCGACCTTCGAAAAAAGATAGCCGAGGTGGCCTCCGGCATGGGCTCGTGCCCCTCCTTCTCCGGTCTCGTCTCCATCCCACGCTTCTCCAAGCCCTACGATGTCTCCTCGATTCCCAAGACCGAAACTTGGTCAAAGTTCCTTAGCGCCTCGTCCTCAGCAGCGCCCTCCTTCACGCGTATCCCCTTCCACGCACCGTTCCTCATCTACTACTCCTCTGGCACCACGGGTATCCCCAAGGCAATCGTGCATACCGTCGGCGGCGTCATGCTCAACAGTTTCAAGGAAGGCCGTCTGCACGAGTCAATGTCTCCCGAGGCTGTTACCCTTCAGTACACCACCACCGGCTGGATCATGTACCTCTCTAATGTCGCCGCACTGTTATCGGGAGCCCGCGTCGTCATGTATGATGGCTCGCCTTTCGTTCCCGATCTCAAGTCATTCATCCGCATCCTCGGCGAGCAGCGTGTGACGAAACTGGGCATCAGCCCAAGGTGGATGTTTGAGGTCGCCAAGAACAAGATCAGCCCACGCGAGGTGACGGATCTCAGTTCGCTCAAGATTGTGACCAGCACAGGCATGGTCCTCTCTGATCAGCTTTTCGAATGGTTCTACGACGCAGGCTTCCCGAGCCATGTCCACCTTGCCAATCTTTCCGGTGGCACTGACATTGTAGGTCTTCTCACACGCACCATAATTCATGCTAACACTCATAGGCCGGCTGCTTTGGTATGGAGAATCCCCTGGACCCCGTGTACGTGGGAGGCACTCAGGGCCCATCCCTTGGCGTTCCCATCGCAATCTACGACGCACAACTGCCCGACGGAGCTGGTGAGACCGTACCAAACGGCATACCCGGTGAACTCGTCGCCACTGCCGCTTTCCCCAACATCCCATGCTTCCTCTGGGGCGACTCGGCGCCCCCAAAACTGTCATTGAACTCACCCAATTTCGCCTCTGCCGCCCCAGGGTCCAAGTACCACTCGGCATACTTCGCACGCTTTGATAATGTCTGGGCACACGGCGACTTCTGCTCTATCCACCCAAAGACGGGAAATATTGCCTTCCTAGGACGTGCTGATGGCGTGCTGAACCCTAGTGGCGTTCGCTTTGGTAGTGCCGAGATCTACGCCGTCATTGAGCGCAACTTTTCAAACAAGGTCGTCGACAGCCTGTGTGTTGGACAGAGGCGTCCTACTGATGAGGACGAGAGCGTCATTCTGTTCCTGATGATGCGCGAGGGTGAAAAGTTTGACCGCCAGCTGGTGGCCGAGGTCAAGGACAAGATTCAAAGAGAGTTGACAAAGAGGCATGTGCCTAAGTACATCTTCTCAACGCCCGAGATACCGGTAAGCACAGTGACTCTACGTTTGCAGACCACGCTGACAATAGCAGACGACTGTCAACCTTAAAAAAGTCGAGCTTCCGGTGAAGCAGATTGTCTCGGGCCGGACCATCAAACCAAGCGGCACGCTTCTCAACCCGCAAAGTCTAGATTTTTATTACCAGTTCGCCAAGGTCGAGGAGCTGCTCGCCGGTAAGGAGAAGTTGTAAGATGAAATGTACAGAATACTTCTGGATATTATCTAGAGTGATACAGGATACTAGATAGAGTACAGCTCACTCCAGAATCAAAGACGCATCTTCGAGAGGCAGCCCTTCCCACGCAGTTTTGTCGACATGCCCACTCGCGAGGCGGTGCGCAATCCTGTCGATCTACTCCACCCATAGCACAATGTAGACCTCTGTGGCCGTGAGGGGGCGCGTATAGCCATAGATCCTCTTGTCAAAGGTGATTTTGTAGTTCCGTCTGAGGCATGTGGCGACCAGCTCGACCTTCTTTGCACAGCTTCTAGCTGGGGAAAGCTCAGAAGTGGATCCTTTGTTGTACAGCCGCAGCACCCCCTATATTGTTATCCTTGTCACCGTAGAGTGAGATGTCATTCTTCTCGTCTGTTTGAAAGGCAGAGACGAGGGCGCAGCGGGTGTCCAGCGGAGATGCATCTTCTGCTCCAGCATGAACGGCTGGGTAGATTCCTGAATGTCTGGCATGGGAAAAGGCCACTGACACGGGTGCCCGTCGTGACTATCGGAAATGCTGCTGTGCCTCAATGTGTACTTGTTGCCATCCACCGGGGTAAAGCAGCACGATTCCGTCCTTTCCTTCTCCGTACCCGAGGATAGTCACCTCGGGAATCTCTTATTGAGCCACCTTGAAGGGAGGGGTTGACTAGAATATTTGTACGCTTGGCGATTCTCTAACCAGGAAGGCCTGATTGTTCGTTTCTGCGTTGCCGTCATTGTAGCATAGGAAAACCATGTGGTAGTCGGGATCGTCTCTTTGATCGCACAACCCCGCGGGTTCGCCGGGCCTGCTTCATTGCGTCCGACGGAGACGAGGTCTTCACATCCCACCCAGGACCAGAATGGAAGATCGCATGGAACGAGCTGGCTCGCATCAGGACGGGCGGAGGCGGCCGTCGTCGGAGTTCGGTGTGGCTCCAGTACGGCTCCCAGCTGAGGGCTGCTTCAAAGTACATTTCCGTTAATCCATATAGAAAACCACCCCAGAAGTACCGGCTGATGTCGTTCAATAAACCGCTGATACTCGGAAGGGCATCCTTGTCGCAGGTCGGTGACCTCTGGTTGTAGTTGCAGATCAGGCTCGAGAAGGAGTCGAGATTCGACCTGTCGCGCATGATCTCGCCTACTCGAGGGAACCCGATGCCCACGTCGTTTGATTCGCGGCTGGGGAATGGACTCGGCTTGTTGCATCGTTTGTGGAACATCTCGACCATGGGCAAGTGTCTGCTACATTTAGAGGAGAGGGCCTCTTGAAAGGAGTCAATGTTGATGAAAGCGTGTGATCCGTCGCCGGTAAACGCCTCCTCAATCCGGGTCCAGATTCGCTGGCAGATCTCGCAGTTGGAGATTTCTTTGGACTGCGCGATCTTGACTGGCAAAGCTTGCGAGGAACATGAATTGGACTCGTCAGCTTGATGTCCCCGACCGTTGAAGCGTATGAAGCTTTCAAAGATTGAGTTACACCGATTCGAGATTGCTCATTGGTGAAGTTCGATCTTAGGGTCGTTGAGAGGCCATGTTGTCCTTGCTGACACTTTTAAAGGACCTTACGGGCTGCCAGTCAAGGGAGATCGTCTCTCCCCAGCCAAACCGCTACCGAACCCCTTTTTATTAGGCTTCCTCCAAACCGCTTCAAGGCAGATTCTTTCAGATCAGAGGAAACGCGTGTCATCGGCGACCAAACCAAGTTGTCTTCCATGTCACAAAGTCACACTTCGAAAACAATGAATCTCGCCGGCAGGCAACGCTGTCATCTAAGCAACACCATCTGGGTATTACAAGTCTATTGGCCATCAAACTCCAAACTCATCAAACCCTCGATAAGGCGACCTCTGGACCGACATACTCGGGATACTTGCCCCCATGCACACCATACCGCCATACCATGTACCCAACCGTACCCGCAACGCTCCCCAGTCCAGCCGCACCGGCAATGACCCTCAAACCGACCGCCTGCCCCGCCGCCGCTCTCGCGATCCCAAGCGCTGCAAGCCCCGCCGCCGCACCGCCATACGTCCAGTCGTCCGTCTCCAACTGACTCCGGCTCTCCATTAGCCGCCACGCGCGATCGCGCAACTCAATGTCCTCGCGCCCGTGCATCCTCGCCAACAGGGCGACGCCCGCGAACCCCAGGCCGACGGCGCTGGCTGTGCCTGACGAGCGGAGTAGGTTGTGCACCCCAGCGGTTCGTAGTGTTGTCGTCGTTGATGTGGGGAACGGGGCTGCGGCTGGCAGGGGCTTCGCGCCGCGAACCCGGCTGTAGACTCCACCCACTGCCGCCGCGCCGAGACCCATTACGGCGCCGGTGGTGTAGCCACGAGTCAGAACGTGGACTGTGAGTATTGTGCCGGCGAGGGGCTGGTCCTCTGCGTATGCCGCATGAGGAAAGTAGCGAGACATGGTGTTTCTGAGAAGACGGGTGGTTTGTAGGAGCTGACGACAGGCTTGTGGAAGGGATTTGTTTGCCGCTGCGCTACACAGATGGTGAGATGGAAGACTGTTGGAGTTTGTCAATGATTGTGGCAGTCTTCAACTCTAAATCCCAAGCCGGCACCTTATATCACAACTCGCAAACCCACCAGCCCACATGCGGCCGCATTTCCCGATCTAGCGGGCGCAGTCGGCATGGAACAAGCCCGATTTCGTCAGCACGCCGGGGTATCCTCCCGCCGCGGAATCCCACGCTAGCAAGCGAATGCGAGCACTAACCCGACGAATGGGATCGACCGAATTCGTCACCACAGAACCAAGCTAACCGACTACCCCAGAGCCACGTTGCTTAGCTCAACTCAACAATAAAGGCTGGTCGCGAGATCTCATAGGGTTGTAATCATTAACCGATATCTATCTTGGCCCTCTACCGTGATGCCGTGTCCAGATAACAGTACTGTGCCGCGTCGGGCTAATCATCATCAGTCATCTCCATCGTGCTTTCGCCTTTTTCGTCTTCGTCCATGAGCACTCTCGGCCTGCCGACTTTTGCCTTGCCTTTCGCATCCCGTCGCAGCTTCGGAAGCTTGTTCAATGTGCGCTCCCTGGCGGCCGCCTTGCCCATCTCAAGCTCCTGTTCAAAAGCCTCCAGCTCGTCGCCCTCGGCCACGTCAATGGTGGATGTCTCCTCCAGGGCCTTATTCAGTAGCTCCGTGGCTATGCTGTCCTGTGGGTTAATGGCGAGCGCTTCATGCAGCGGCACGACGGCCTTTTCTGGACGTCCCTCCTCAAGATAGATGAGCGCTTTTGCGCAGAATATAGTTGCGTCCTTGCCGCCCTGTCGTAGGACTTCGTCAAACTCCATGTGCGCGTCCTTCCACAGCCGCAGCCGACGGTACGCATGTGCCAGGTTCGTCCTCGGCGCCAGCCACGCTTGTGGGTCAGAATCGATGTCAGCGGCAATCTTGAGCGCTGCTCGGAAAAATTGGACAGCCTCTTGCGGCTTGTCCTGATGATACTTGACGACACCCATCTCGTTGAGAAGGAGTGGGTCCGTCTTGCACAGGCCGTATGCCGTCTTGAGGAACTCTTCGGCTAGTGTCATGTTGTTGAGTGCATGGTTCTGCATGCCCAAGAAGACCTGCGGCAGATGCGTTCCCATAAACAGCCTCGCTGCTGTGGAGTAGGCGGAAATGGCCTGGTCGTGTTCGCCCTCTGCGGCGAACGTGTGTGCGAAGCCGATCCACGCAGGGCCAAAGTGCGCATCCATCATGCTGGCCTTGCTGAAATAACGACGGGCTTCCGCAATCTTGTTGATTGAAAAGTAGTATATACCCACGGCCAACCATGAGCAGGGCTCCTCTGGGTGGTTGTCCGCCAGGTCGTGGGAGACCAAGAAGAGCGCGTTCTTCATCTTGAGTTGATACAAACATGCCAGGTGTAGGGGGTGGACGCTAAAGTTGTACTTGTCGTCCTGCAGAATGGATTCGGTGATGGCGAGGGCGTCTCGGTACCGACACTGCGTGTAGAGGAGGTCGGCCTTGGCGAGGAGGAGATCTGGGTTATCCGCCAGACGGTAGTGCGTCGACAGAGAGTCGCACGCCGCGGTGAATGCCGAAGGTTCTCTATACTTTGACAGCCGCGTTGTGTACAGCATCTTGGTGAACTCTGCCGCCTCCTGCGACGACGAGATGTCTCCAGAAACGCTGATGGCGTCAAAATCGAGTGACTCGAGAAACGCCCACTCCTCGTCGGGCGACAGCAGAGCGTTGGTCATGAGCTGCTGGAACGCCTCGAAGCACTGCACGTCAATCCGCACGGCATCCTTGTAGCACTCCTTGGCCCGGTCAAAGGCATTCTGCTTGGCGTAGCAGATGCCTCGCAAGTAGCACATGGCGGCTTCGTATTTCCGATTCGTAGCCTCCTCCTCGGCGGCCTCGTCGCGGGCATGTCTGTCTCTGGAACCGCCCTTGGAATGGCCAACGGCCCGACCTAGGGGTGCCGTGCTCTGTTGCTTCCGCTTATTGCTCGCATTGCTGATGAGGTGGGTTGGGTTCCGCTCGCCGAGGACGGCCAGGGCTTCGTCGAATCTCGACTGCTTGACGAGGCAGTGTGCCGCCAGGTATCGACAGGAGACGTTGCGGGCGACGAGGTCCTGTTTGGCGAGGAACGTCTGAGCGCGGGTGTAGTTGCCGGTAGCAAAGTGGACTTGAGCCAGCCAGAAGGCGTCCTTATCGTCATCTGTCAATGTTAGGCAGGCAGTCGGTCAAGGTGTGCGGTCACGTACTGGTCAAGGCTAGCAACTTGTCGCCGATGAAGATGGCGGAATCGTACTGCGCCTTGTTCAGGGCATCCTGCCTCCATTCCCGCAGGAACTTTTCCATGGCGAGGCAACAAAGGACGCGGCTAGATTGTGGGCATGGCCGAGTGACAATTGTGACGAGATAGCGGCGGGTTCGAGGTTGACGTTGACTCGGATGCCGATCAACGGGGTGAGGTAAGCGCGTCGTGGGCTGAGGCGCGACGGGAATCTGCACTTTCTTTTCTTTGGATGACGGGCAGGCATTGGAGGGGACGTGGATGCACTGTGCACCCGGCGGCGTCAGGGGTGTGGGCCGAGTAAATGGCGGGGTAGGCCAACCAGAGGGCGTCTCCCAGGCACACCACGTGGTTGCTCGAGGCGTTGATGTCCAGGACTCCAGTGTTTCCGTCTTACAGCGTCGGTCTTCTCGATGGCATTTTGTTGCTCTGTAGATGTGATGTGTCGTCGATGTTGTCCTAGGCCGTCATGATGAGGCTCCAGCGCTTAGCCAGCTGCAAAATAGCACGTCAACCGCGCCGTCACCAAAGCTTGAGCTGAGGTGCTCTCGGTCAGCTCCTCACTGCTGCAACCCCATCATCTATGACCCCACTGTGGCCAATGCTAGGTACTTAGGTACGCCGGCATCTGTTTCAGGCCATGCACGCTCTGCACTTCCCCATCCGACCGTTGAGTTTGACAACAAGACGCCGCCGTCCCAAGTGCCGATGTGCAGATGAGAGTGTTCAACGTTTAGTGTCTGAGGACCAACCTCTTGGATAGAGTTATGCGAGTAAAGGCATGTCCACCCAAGCCGAAAAATGCAATGAAAAGGTTGGGTTGTTTTTGCTGGCGCTGCCCTACCAAAAGTCCGCGCCCAATGCTAAGGTACGGATGGCTGGCGGTGGGCTCAGGGAAGGACACCTCGCTGTGACCTCACTGTGGTGCGCCGTTCCAGCGCGCCCGCCTCCCTTAAGCCGCTTCTCATTGGCTCAAGACCTCCGGGTGGACCCATCAGGGGTAAGGCTAACCTGGGCTAAGCGAGGCGCTATCGCTCTATCCGCCATCGATAACAAGGTGACGACTAAGGTCGAGGAGGATGGGGCATCAGTATCCGTACTCCGTATTATTTTTTTTCTCTTCAAGCTGTTCATTGTTCCCCATCAGTCGATAATTCGCCCTTCCCACTCCCGCCTCACAACATCGCTCAAACACCTGCAAAAAATCACCACGTTTGTAATATCCACACACCACATTCCTCGAGATACCGCCGACCCAACCCTCCACGAAGGAAACCCCCCCTTGGACCTCACCCCCGCCGAAGCTCGCCCGCCGCTCTCCAACTGCCATCTCCTCTCTCTGTGTGTCTCTCTCCAACTCGCCCCTGCAGCAGGCCCTCGTCAACCGCCTCTGCCCGCACGCCCGCCGCCGCCGCCGCCGCCATCCCGACCTCATTGCATCCCAACTTCATCTACCCTGTCCCAGCCGCCACAACTGTGACCGTTTCCGCAAATCAAGGTGCCGCCGCCCTTGACGTTGTGAGGGATTGACGAGAACAAGCCATTTTCACCCCCGGAAGCCGTCGAAAGTAGTCCTGATGGATAACAACCTTTGGACCCGCCGCACAAAGTGAGTTCTTCCATCCCCTGCATGTCATCCCCCACGCTAACAGCTCAGCTCTGGCAAGCTTTCACTCTCGACAAATGGTAGTCCCGCGCCGGGCGGTGACGCCAGCAGAAACGGCTCCTTTGCCAAACGATTCGGCGGCGATACCTCCTCACACGGCGGCAAATCAAATCCATTCAACAACGTAACGACCCCCAGCGCAGGCGGCATGGCGTCGCCCACCGCGGGTGCGGCCAATGCCTTCGGTCTGGGCTCCGGCGCCTTTGCTTCCTTCGGCTCCGCCAAGACGCCCAAGTCCCCCGGCAACCCGTTCGACCTCGCCATGGGCAAGATCGGCGCGAAGCCCGGCGCGACGTCGCACGACCCCGCGGCCAAGGTGCCCTCCATCGCCCCGATCCCCGAGCGGAAGGCCCTGGGCTCGCAGCCCCCCTCGGCCCGGACATCCTCTGAGCAGCTCCACGTTCACCCTCTCAAGTACGAGTGGGTGACGTGGTGCCGGCCGCCCCAGCCAAAGGGGCAGCCGTACCAGGAGTACGCCAAGTCGTTGACGCCAATGATCCACTGTAACACCGTGGAGGAGTTCTGGATTGGCTATCCGCACCTCAAGCGGCCCTCTGAGCTGTCTGTGGGTTGGGAATACCACTTCTTCAAGCGGGGCATCCGCCCAATCTGGGAGGACGAGGAGAACAGAAGCGGCGGCAAGTGGGTTCTGCGACTGAAGAAGGGAATCGTCGACCGGTACTGGGAGGATACCGTGTTTGCGCTTCTCGGCGAGGCCTTTATCGACGCCAGCGAGGAGGTTTGTGGCGGTGTGGTGAGCGTTCGCAACGGCGAGGATATAATCAGCATCTGGACGCGCTCGACCGGCGGACGCGTGCTGAGGATTCGGTAAGCATCAATCGTTTAGTAACCTCTAACATCTTCACAAAGCTAACAGCCGCAGTGAAACGTGGAAGTCGTACCTCAAGTGCCCGCCCAACACGCAGTTCGAGTTCAAGTCCCACGACGAGAGCATCCAGCACCGAGCAGCCATCGAGGAGTCCCGCCGCGAGAAGCAGCACGACAAGCGCGGCAACAAACAGACCACCGACGAGCAGAAGCCCGCCGCCTCCTGAGCGACCACCACACCTCCCCGACAGAAACCCGGACGCACGCTTCCGGGAACGCCGCGCCACCTTTGTTGCATTTTTTTTTTTCTCTCCAAGCCATCTTTGATGTTTATTTGTACACTATTGGATCCCCTCGACGGATCTTCATAGCATTCGGATTGAAATTCCGACAAAAAATACACCTATATGGGATGAGGAAGCAGGTTTGGACACAGGAGACGGTGTGCTGTTTTATCAAACCCTCCAAAGACGGGGAAATCGAAAGGCTCCCTGATGCAATATGCCCTCTCGGAAACGGGATCGGCTAGCAGGTTTTGGGGGAATGGAACGGGGGTAGCGGTCAAGCGTTTAGCGGTCACGTTGTTTTATGGGTTGCGACAGGCGGGTATGGATTGGCTCGGCCCTCCCCATCTCATCATCTTTTCGGGAGGTGTACACTACTGCGATCTGAGGCGCACGCTCGGCACGCTGGCTGCGTCCAGGCATGGGCCGTATGATAGTCTCGAATGACTACGAAATGAGCTCACTGTGATTTGTGTCCCACGGCATGAACGTGAACGTGGTTTGGTGACGCGTACTCCGCGATATCATTAATCGTACAATCTAAGCTTACTTGCTCTTTGGTGTCCTCCGCCTCTCCCAGACCTGCAGATATGTCTCGCCCAGGTACAGCAGCTCACTCTGCACCTTTTCCACAAACAGATCCTGACACGACACCCACTCGTCGCGTCCCTTATCCCGCAGCTGCACTTTCCACGTCTTCCGCTCCTCGCCGCTGTCCGCAACGTCCTCCTTGGCACGCACGGCCTCGTGGACGACGTTGGCGACGAGGTCGTACCAGATGGGCTCGCCCGGCGGCCACTCGCCCGGGTTGGGCTCCACGTACGGACTCACGTCGAGCCCCCTCGGATCAAACGTCACAATCGTCGGGTTCCGCTCCGACACGAACTTGTTCTGGCTGAAGCGCTTGACGTGGAGAACGAGGTACGGCGGCAGGGGGTGTAGTAGGCGATACCGCTTGCGCTGTGCGAGATGTTCCTGCGCATGGATGCCGTCATATTTCGAGAGGATCGTCGTGAGGGGCACTTGCGGGATGATGTTCTTCTCCAGCTCATCCTGGAAGAGGGGCGCCGCAGGGAGGTCGAGCGTGAGGAACATGAACCTCGACGAGGTTACCGAGACGGCGGCGTCCTCGAACCGTAGACGGTCGCCCGCGTCGGCGCGCGCCGTGATGGCCTGCGACTCGACCTTGAGCTTCCCCTGAAAGATGCGCTGCACGACGGAGCTGCCGGGCTTCGTCTTGGACCCGCCCAGCCCCAGGTGCAGGTTGTTGAGGAACCAGGACAGAAACTCGACGGGGTCGGACTGCGCCGTCAAGGTGTAGCGCTTGTTGGACAACAGGGAAATCTCCTGGAGCAGCTCGTGTGGCGAAACGTGGGCCTTGAAGGCGCGCGGGTTCCAGATCTTGCGGACGAGGATGCCGAAGCGCTTGGCCAGCTCGGAGCGTGACGAGAGGTCCTCGAGGAGGCAGTAGTTGCGTAGCGGCGCGACGTGCGCGAGGGCTTGGACCACGACGTTGAGGTAGTCGTTCTCCTTGAGGTTGTTCATGCCCACGTAGCCGGGGGCGTACTCCCTGCCGGCGAGCGTAAAGGACGCGCGCAGCGGCGTGCGGTCGAGTGCGGCGACCTCTGGTTTTGTGTAGCGCGGGTCCGAGACGAACTTGATGTCGTCGAGCGACTTGGACTTGACCTCGTAGCCCTCGGGTAGCACGTAGACCTTTTGTGTCTGCATGTTGATGAAAACGTGGTGGTTGTCGTCGAGGGCGTGGAAGTAGGCGTGGGATCTCGGCCCGCGGCCCTGGTAGTAGCGGCCGCACACCAGACACGCGTAGACGTTGATGTTGGACAGGCTGACAGAGCAGAGCTTCTCAAAGTCAAAGTCGAGGACGTTGCGGTCTATCGTGTCGAGGTAGAGGTCGTCATAGCCGTCCGTGGGCGCCGATTGGCGGATCGGGGCCTGTATCGGCGTGTCTTCCTCTATATCGCTATCATCGGCCTCGTCTTCTGGTATCTCGGCGACGCCATTTGTGGGTGTTGCATCCTCCGTCGCCGTCGCTGTGTCGTGCCCGTTCTCGAGTGAGCCGTTGGAGATGAGGGAGTCGACGGTTCGTGAGCGTTTCGACGCGGGCGAGTCGATCCCTGCGATTTCGTCGAGCGACTCCTCGGCATGGCGTTTCCTGTGCGCCATGTTGAATGTGTAGTCTTTGTGTGGGCGTCAAGTGTTCTTGGCCGTTTCCTTGCAGTTGCGAGGCTGAGGTCGCAGGAATGGACCAGTGTTTGCCGGTCGCTGTTGTCAGGCTTGGAAAAAGTCGCCAGTCTATCGCTCTAGGTGCACGCCCCCACATTTAGCGGCCACGCCCAGAGCTTGTCTACCAACGACCTCATCCAGACATCATTCGACACAGCCAGGGACATCCCGAAACCATCAGAAGCTCAATTCTCAAGCGTGGTCACAAGAGCATCCCTACATATCGACGTTTGGCTTTCTGATAATGCTCAGAGCTTGCAATGCATGCACGATGGAGCGATCAATGTCGTTGCCTTATCGTCCAATGGCATTCTACTCAGAAGCCCCAGGCCAGTGGTAAGCCACAGCCGTGTCTCGAAGGCAGTGCCTACGGCGCCTTTTTTGCAGCATGTCAAGATTTCATGATGGCTAGTTGAAGAATGCCTCGAAATATAAACATCTATCGATGCCTCTTGGAATCAATGCTGACAAGCCTGAGTTCGTACGCCACCGACGACACCAGTCACAATGTCCGCTCATCCGCCACGCCGTCGTAAATACTTCACCGTGGCGGTGATTTGCGCTCTTCTCCTCGAATTCGATACTGTTATATCGAATTCTAACGAGTTGTGGGACGGACTTGAGAACAATCTCGGTAAGGCTCAAGGGGATACAAACAACTATACGCTTGGTGGAATTGGCAGACAAAACGCTGTCCTCGTTCTCCTCCCCGGCATAAGAAAGGTCAACGCGGCGAACACTACAGCCAAACTTCGGTCCAATTACGGTTGTATCAGGCTGGCTGTTTTGTGTGGCATCTGCGGCAGTGTGCCCAACGCGGATAGCGAAGGAGAGGTGTTGCTTGGGGACGTAATTCTCAGCAATAGTCTCGTTCAATACGACCTGGGTCGACTACACCCGCATAAGTTCGAGACCAAAGACGCCGTGAAAAACAGTCTGAGCAGGCTACCCAGAGAGGTCGGGTCGTTCCTCATTGCCTTCGAAACTGAAAAATCTTGGATATAGTCGGCCAAATAATGCAGATGTGCTCTTTCAACCCGACTACACTCACATATATCGGAGAGAACTTGAGTGCGACTGCAGCGAGCTTCACGCTTGTGAAGAAGCGAAGAAAGCGACATGTGACGAACTCGGCTGTGACATTGGCCGCTGAGTGCCTCGAAGACGCCTCGGGGGTCAGTCCGAGCTTCAGCCGCCTCGTGCATTCGTTGGCTCGATTGGATCGGGGATGCCGTTATGATGTTGGGCATACATCGAGACCGGATCGTAGGAGAACACAGCCTCATCGCCTTTGAAATGGAGGGCGCTGGAGTCTGGGTCGAGTTACTTTGCATCATCACCAAGGGAGTGCACAACTATGCCGACAGTCACAACAACAAGGCCTGGCAACATCGTGCTGCTGCAACAGCCGCGGCAGCAACCAGAGTCCCCGTCGATCACTATGCGCCTGCGCCGGCACAGTCGCCGGTTGGCCAGGCTAGAGATTGAAGAGGCACAGAACCTTGTCAGACTGGGAGGAAGAGACAGAGGACAGCAGCGAGCCGGGGAACACGGTCGAAGGACGAATCGTAGAAGATGAGAAGGAAGACGCAGAGGAATGCTTATATGTAGGAGCCGAAGATTCGGGAGACGTAGGAGCACGCCTGTATAGTAATCATCACTGAAAGCCATAGCAAAAAGCCTGTCGAATTGCAACAGTTTGGTCTCAATATATCGTAGTGTCCCAGGTACCCAAACACTCAGGTCTGGAAGCGGACGAATCGAGCAAACCTCACAGCAGGTCACCCGCACACAATAAGTGAACGCCATAAATCATTCTCTCTCTATCTCCAACTCCTACAACTACTCTCACGCCATGATAGCGTCCCTCTCCACGTCCACCGCATCCTCCATGGCCACGTCCTCTATCGCAGGCGCGAGACTGTCCATCTCCCGCAGGGTATATTCCACCAGGTAACTCTCGTCCACGAGCTCATCCGTCCGCCTGTAGTGCCTCTCGGTATACACCTTGAGCGCGTTTAGCACCTCCTTGAGGCTCCTCTGGCCCCGCGCGCCCTTGACCGATAGGTTGGAGAACTTGGACGCCGGGTAGCTGCGGACGAGGGTCCAGAGAATGCGCTGGGCCACAGCAGCCGTCCGCGCGTTGGTGTTCCAGTCCCGCAGCCTCAGTAGTAGCGTAAAGATTTGCTCGTCGGACAGCGTGGCGAGGACCTGGTCAACGGCTTTGAGACCGCAGAGGCTGCCGGGCTCCGGGGCGGAGGTAACGACAGAGGTGAAGAGGCTGAGCAGACGGCCTGGGTGATTGAGCTGGAGGGCGAGGACAATGGCCTCGCGGTAGGAGCCGTGGTGGATGTGGTTCTGGAGCTCCTGCTCCTGCTCGATGAGCTTCTGGGCGGCCTCGGTGGCGGCGGCCTGGGACTCGGTGGTGGTGTCCTTCCAGAAGGTGACGATGGAGTCGCCGTCGCCCGAGACAATGGTGTTGTCGGCCGAGTTGACGGCGAGGGCCCAGATGCGATCCTCGTGGTTGTCAAGTGTCGTCTCCGCCTCGCCCGAGTTGGCGTCCCAGACCTTGACGAGGCCGTCGCTGCCGGCGCTGGCAAACTGCACTTGCTTCTTGCCCTTGCCCTCCTGCTTGGGCATGTTGAGCCAGGCCACCTTGAGGACGCTGTTGGAGTGGCCCTCGAACGTCCGGATGCATGAGTAGTCGTTCAAGCTCCAGAGCTTCACTGTCTTGTCGGCGCTGCCGGTGAGGACGACGCCCTTGCCGGCGACCTGGCCCTCGTCGCCCTGGATCGCGGGGCACCCGGCGGGGGCGAACTTGACGGACCACACGCCTCTCCTGTGTCCCCGCAGGATGCCCTGCACCTCGCCCTCGGCCACCGACCAGATCTTGACCATCTTGTCCTGGGATGAAGATGCGAAGAGCTGGCTGGCGGGGTGGACATCTATCGCGTTGATGTCCTTGTCGTGGGCTTTCCTGGTGAAGACGGCCCGGGATCCGCCCTTGCGGCTCTGCTGGGGTTCCCGGGGGATCTCCCACTTCTTGACGGTCTGATCTTGGGAACCAGTGAAGAGGAACGGCGGGGGGTGGCTCAGGGGGTCCTTGAACTGTGCTGATGACTCTTGAGGGGATTGCTTCGGGAGCGCCACGGCGCCGATCGATTCCGTGTGTCCGGTGAAGGTAGCGTAGCATGTGTAAGAGTTGTTTGCGGGGTCGACGCGCCATAGACGAGCGGTGTTGTCCTTGGCGCCGGTGGCGATCCAGTATCCGGACCAGTCGACGTCCAACGAGACGATGATGTCGTCGTGACCCTTGAGCAGAGCGAGGTCCTGGCCAAAGTACGTCGCATCCTCTTTTGAGTCGGAGTCCTTGACCGAAACGATGCGGATGTCCTCGGCGTTGGTAGCCAGAGCAAGCAGGGAGCGGTCGGGCAAAAGGTAGTTCAGGTCGATGATGGAGTCGTGGGTTCCGGAAATCCGTCTAAACGGCTCCATAATCGATCCCTCAACGGCATCCTTCTCCGGCACCTTGTACAACGCCAGGGTGTGGTCGACCTGGACGCATAAAATAAAGTGAAGCTCGGGGTGCGACACAGCGCTCACGACGCCCTCCGCTTCGGCTTTCTCCGGCTGGTCCTTTGTCAGCTCGCGGCCGGTGTCCGTGTCCCAGATACGGAGGCAACCCTTGGCACCGGCCGAATAAGTCAAGCGGCCGCCGTCGACGAAGCCGACAGCCTCGACCAGCTCCAAGCACGGCACGACCTTTCTAATCTTCCACGACCTCGCATCCCACCAGATGATTGTTTTGTCTCTGCTGGCCGAGACAATCGCTTGCTGTTCCGGGGAGTAGTCCAGGCCCTGGACGTTGGAAACGTGCGAGTCGAGGCTCGCGACGACTGCGCGCTTGTGAAGATCCCACACCCGCACCTTGCCGTCCTGGCTACCAGATACGAGCCGCCAGTTTGTCGTTGTGGTCGCGGTCTCCTCCTGCTCCTCGGCGTGTCTCGCCTTCTTCCCCTTCTTGCCGGTGTCACCCTCGTTCGAACGCGCCGCGACCTCAAAGAAGTGTAGAGCCGAGACAAGAACGCTGGGTCCGCGGAAGGTGTGCGTGACGTATCCGCCGACAATGTCCCAGACCTTGATCGCTCCGTCAGTTCCTCCGGTCGCGAGGAGAGTGCTCGTTCGGTCGACAGCGAGGACGACAACAGGGGTGCCGTGCGGCTTCAGCGACCGGGTCAGCTTCGCCTCTATCGTTCCGTCTTCGGCAGTCTTGAGGGCGTAGATCTTCATCGCCAGCGATCGGGAGCAGATGATGAGGTGCGAGCCGGACGGGGTCACTATGACTGTTAGAACGTAGACTCGGTCGGGCATTGGAGAGACATACGGGTCAGCGTTGAAATCGTTTCGCCATCCTAAAAACTGTCAGCCGTGTACCTTCACACTACGACGCCGGGGCGCATACTCCTTCAATCTTTGCTAGATGCTTCCCGTTGGAGGGGTTGGTCAGGATGACATCCTCGCCGAGGGGTGTTGCGAGAATCTTGGCGCCATTGTCCAATGCGACGGAGCCGCCGGTGAAGATTGGCCGTATAACCCGTTCAGGCTCGAACGTCGTCTTGAGGGGCTGTTTGCTCGCCATTCTGCAGGTTGATCGAAGCAGTACACTCAATCGCGACATGCGGCAAGCAGCGGTTTGTCCCAGATTTTTTTTTTCGTCTGGCGGGATGAATTCTTATCGATAGTGTTATCTAATCAGACACGCTTGCCTGCAGGAGCTCTCCAACACCACTAAGCACCTGGAGCTTGGGATCACCGTCGTCCCGATCGTTTGCAGACGTCTGCATCCTTGAATGCATCTGAATAGCTTCCAACGCAGCCAGACGAGCTTTAACAGATCCTGAAAATTGGGACCGCTCCAGCGTCGCATACATGTGGTCAACACAAACCCGCCTCCAAGCATGACGAGACTCGGTCCATTGACCGCGCAGGCCCTGGTTGGGAACCCCCGGCTCACGACGAAATGTCGCTAACCTCCCCAGGGCCGCTCACCTTTTGACGAGGTTGTCGACGGCGAAGGCGAAGATGACCCGCACGCGCCAACACAGCAGTACGATAACCGCGGACGACCAGTCAATCCCGAAACAAAACGAATGAACCGCGACATGGTTCGTTCCCACAACGAGGTGATGCAGGTCATTGGCGTCGCCGAGCCGGACAACACGCCGTCCACCGCCGAGGTCGACTCTGTGCGGCGGTACTTCAACTATGAGGATGCGGTGGGCACGCGGCTGCTGCGGTTTGGGCGTGCACTGGAGATTGCCGGCGTCTGGGGTATTAACGGCCTGCGACTGCGCATCCTCCTGTACAAGCGGTACGCCGACATCTCCTTCTTCGAGCTCTTTCAGTACGAGCGGAGTCAGCGGCCGATATCATCCGCTCTTCTGACCGGTCTACCAACGTTCCTCGGCGGCCACGTCTTCAAAATGGCCACCTACTGGTTCTACCCCTTCCCGAGGAAGAATAAGTTTGTCAACACCGCCCTGTCGTACATCAGGGTGCACCTACAGCTTTATGTCTTCCTCCAGAGGCTGGACATCATTCCCTCTGCGAGATGGTTTCCTTCGTTGAGCTTCTTCATCCCAGGCTCGCCCTCGTCGCCGATCGCAGCTCCGGCGCCGCCAAAGGACTTTAGTCCATCGTCGCTGGCGCAATACGCGGGTGCGTGGTGTGTGAACTCAATCCCCTTTGTTTCGTATGTCATCTGGGGCCAAATCTGGACCGAAGTCACAGGCCATCTATGGCAAGAGTTCTACGGAAGACTACCGAATACGGTGCACCACCGGAAGCCTCCGCCGCCACCGCCGCCTCCACCGCCCGCAACAATTCCGGATACCCTGGAGCCTGTTCCCGACGTAGACCGTCAACAGCCCGAACCCCTCTCTGAGCACACGAGTGAGGAAATTCTCGAAGACACCCCCCCGGAAGCGGAACCAAGCGAGACACCACCTGTGCAAGCGGTCCGCCGACCAAGCGCGTTCTCAGCTAGGGGAGACGACTATGGCAGTGATGAAGAAGAGGACGGAGGCGTCAGTGCGACTCTCATCAGTTTCGACGTGGAAGCGACGGACTCGACCGATGCGCCTCCCGGGCTCTGGTCTGCCGAGTTGCGGCCAAGCAATGGTCCGGAAAGTTCTGGATACGGCGCCTCCACACAGTACATGGACACCATGCTGACCAGACTGCCGGCGTGTCTGGCTTCCGATATCTTCACCGTGATTTCGGGGTACGTCCTGGTCTCGCCGTACGAAGCCGTTGCTCTCCGGCTGGTCGCGAGGTCCTACCGTGAGAGGATGGGCCTCCCCACCTTTGACATCCACGACACCAACATCTTTAGCGGCATGACGCTGAGAGGTGTCACCAACTTCCTCGGACTGGAGTTCTTGCATCTGGTGATTGCCGGCGAGCTGTGGGCTCTTATCACGGGTCTTGCCCAGTGGTTCCACATCACTGAAGAGGAGTGGAAACTGTTTAATGAAATTGAGGAGGCCGAGGCTGCGGAGGAACGAAGACGTCAAGGGCAAATTTGAGTGCGTAACGGAGGACAGGCGTTTGGGGGGTGCAAAACCACCGGCAGGACGGATTCGTGGAGATTGGGCGTCTGGCGTATACATCACGAGATACCTCACAGCACAATAGTCTTTATCGACGCCTACAATAGAAGTGTTCGTAGCATTCATTAAACTTGGGTATCAATAGCTCTTCTTCGCCAGCTACCCCCGCCTTGCGAGGCCCGATCCGTTCGCAGTTTGGTCATCTCTTCTGCTTGCCTTTACCCTTCTTGAGCTTCTCCGCCTTTTGCTCCTCGACGAAACCGCGAACGATGTCGAGCAAGTCGGGGTTCTTGCGCGCCAGCAGAACAACGTCTTCTGTATGGACCGTTGACCTCCGCGCGTGCCGACTGAAGCTCTCCAGGTCGCTGGCGACTGACTCTGCGGGTCGGTCAGCGTTGTTCGCAACGGGGAATTCTGGACGTCGAAAGGATATGTGAGTCGAGACTGACCAATCTGAGCCCAGACCATCTCGGTCAGCGCGCCAATGTACTGCGGCGTAGCGTTGCAGTTCTGCTTGATTGACTCCTCGTCAACGATCTTGCCGACTGCGAACCAGAGCGCCGCCTTGAGACGCTGGCCACGTGTGTCAGAGATATTCGTTGGGATTGGGTGACTTTGGGTGTACCTCGCGCTCGTCCTCTTTGGACATATCCGCCATTTTGACCAGTTCTGATGAGGATTGGCGGGCGAGTACCAAAAACAAGTCTTTGATCCGTGAGGTCGTTCCCACTTAACGCGTCAGACGCGTCGCAGGTTTTTTAGTGAGATTACGTAGATACGTAGGACGATCACTGAGGTGCCGTTTCTTCACGGGTCTCACGATGGATCGACAAGCCGGAACAATGAATGCGTCAGCCAGGCAGTCAATTCCCTTCTTCGTCGTGGCTGGCTCTGCTGCGAGGACCTGGAGCTATCGTCGTTCGGATCGGGAGGGTCACATGATGTCGCGCCCGTTTCGTGAGTGAGATGACTAAGCTCGTCTTGGGCCTGAACCTTCGATTGCCCGTCAGCATCAGAGGGGTTCCGGAGAGTACCACGCTAGCAAGCATTTGCGACCTGTCTATACGCCGACAGCCATCTATCAAGGCCCCGATGCAGATTTTCAAAGGTACCTTAGTAACACATCGGAGGATTGGCGCTGACAGAGTGCTCCAAAGTATCGACCGTCAGTGGATGCACGGCGGGATCACCAAAGTAACGCGCTGTGACATCACTGGACGAGCCCCCTGTAGGACCCTGGGCCGGACGCTGAGCCTCCAGCGACGTTCTCCATTGCCGTGCCATCCATTGGCCAAAGCTAGCGGGCTCTCCAGGTGGGGCCTCTGCGCAATTTTGACGCCGCGTGGGCCGGCCTTTTCGACGTCGTGATATTTTTCGTTTGGCCGGCTCACCATAGCGTCTCAGATTTCTTTTGTCGTCCCCTCGAAGCCGCACCTCATCTAAGCCAAGCATTCCTACGCTCCAAGCCCAACATCTTAAGAGTATTCATACGAGTGCAGCTCGCGCAATATCCAACCGACGCTCACTCGGTTGACATTCGGAAGTTATCCATCATCTCTTCCCCCGCCACCCTACCACTACCGCCAAGATGTCCGCCGTCATCAACCTCGTCAATACCATCTGGACGCGCTTCAGCACCAACCTTCGCGGTACTCTTGATGGCATGAGCATGGAGAAGTGGATCCGGCTGGTCGTCATCGTCGGAGCATACTGCCTGCTGCGCCCCTACCTGATGAAGGTGGCCGGCAGCTCGCAGATGAAGCAGCACGAGGCCAAGCCCGAGGACGAGTGGACGGGTCCGAAGCCCAAGGTACAACCGAACACTCTGCGCGGGCAGGTTGAGATTCCGCAGGACAGCGACGATGAAGGCGCCGAGGCCGCGGGCTCGACGACGTCTACCGACTGGGGAAAGAAGGCGCGCAAGAGGCAGCGCGACGTGCTCAAGAAGATGATTGATGCCGAAGAGAAGAGGCTCGCGGAGCTGCAGGAGGATGACGAGGACAAGGATATCGAGGAGTTCTTGGTGAAGGAGTAGGGGTCGATGGAGGTGGATCGCGGGGAGCGGCAACTGGATGGCGTTTTGGCTCTTTCGGTCGTTTAGCATCATTAATACCAATGCCGGTGCTCGGCTCTGCTGTCTATGGTATCGGCTGGCTATGCATGCTACGATGATGAGGGCATTTGGACCCTCGTTCTGCGAGTGATGGCTGGTCGCACTCATCAACTGGCAGTGATTCTGAATGCGCCTAGAGCATGAACACGAGTTGACGTGACGTCGATGCCATCTTTTTGCAGTCTGTGGCCTGACGACTGACAACCATCCAATCCCTGAAGCCTCAAATGGCTTAATTTGAAAAGAATCTCGGTCCTGTTGGATAGCTGACTGCCATCAGATTCCACGCCTTCGCCAACGGCATCGCGCTTGACCACTTCGCAGTGCTTCATTGTGACGTACAAATATATTTCAAGTTGTGCAACTTATCATAGACCTCAATCTAGGATCGGATTTCATCCGTGATGTCAAGCACTTGTCTACGAGTACAGCCTGCTGCGGCGACCTTGCTTTCCCTGGGAACGCTAGGACCAGCCGCTGGCCTCGACAGGGATGAGAGTTCCACTAAACTTTGCGTCCCCTGTGGCCTCCACTTAACCACTGCACCTCTTTAACCTGCACCGGTGCCTCGAGAAGTCGACTTGCCAAACGCGTCCCCAGAAGCAATCGTTCTAGAATCCTTCCTGGAGGTCCCTCCATCACCACGTTTGCCGGCCCATTTCCGCTCCGTCATTCAATGGCCATCGCGCCAAAGGTGATCATCTTTGCTTGACCCCTCGTAGTCGACTGCGCTGGCTCGACAGCAAACGCATGCGACCATCGCTGTACCTGCACCAATTGCGACAAACGCAAGCCGCACCTGCAAGATGGCTACTTCCGCGCTCCCAGCGGCCATGGCCACTGCCTCATCTGGCAACCCGAACGCGGCGACGTCGACCGACTCCCTTCCCGCCTCCAAGAAGTTCAAGGCGTCCGACCTCCCCCTACCCTCTGCGACCCGGGCCGCCATCGAGTCGCTAGCGCACAGCTTCAAGAAGAAGGGCGGATACGACGCCATTCGCAAGGAGGTCTGGGACAAGTTTGCGGCGAGCGTGAGTCTCCTCTGAGATGCCGGCGCATGATGGATGACTGACACGCACAGGATTACGAGGCCCAAGTCACGAAAGCCATCCTCGAGGTCGCCGAACAGGAAGTCGAACGCAACCCCGGCCAGCTCCTGACTCTCGACCGAGGTAAAGCTGCTGCCCTGATTGACGGCGCTCTCGAGCGGTCTGGTGTCTACCAAAAGGCCGAGCAGGTCATCACGCAACTCATCGATAGGGCATCGATCGAGGAACGTATGCGACAACTGCGCCGCGCCGACATTGGCGAAGAGGAGGCAGCCGCAGAACAAGAGCGGGGAGCCAAGACGGATGAGGACTACAACGCAGAGACCTTGGCGAAACAAGCCGAGCGTGAGAGAGTCCGGGAGGAACTAAGACAAAAGGAGGCCGCCATTGAAGAGGAGAAACGCAAGATTGCCCGAGAAGAGCGCAAAAAGGTCGAAAGGGAACGCGAAAAAGCCGAGGAGAAACGCAAGGCTGAACGAGATGCCAGGCGGGCTGCGAGAGAGAAGGTCCAAGCAGAGCGTGAGGCCGAAAGGGAAGAACGCCGTCGCCAAAGAGACAAGGAGCGGAGTCGGGACAGGGACAGAGGCCGCGACCGCGACCGAAGCCGGAGTCGAAGCCGCAGCCGCCGCAGGGATAGAGACCGCGATCGTGACCGTGACCATGACGAGCGCGACCGTGAGCGCCGGGAAGAGCGAGATCGCAAGCGCAAAGAACGGCACGAGGAGACCGAGGAAGCCAAGCAGAAGCTTTCCCAGGAGCAGCTCGAAAGACTCGAACAGGAGGCCCTTGCGGATCTCCTCCGAGAGAGCAAGCGCAGCACCGCAAAGCAGCCCGAATTGGAGATTGACGAAGCGCTGGCACCACCGCCTAGGAAATTGGCTCCCGCGTCAGCCATCATGCCCTTCAAGAAGGTTGCTTCCTCGCGAGACTCGCAAAAGGTCTCAGAGTCGACGAAGACTGTCGAGGTGAAGCCAGAAACACGAGATGCCAGCATGACCACGGCACCAAAAGCCGATGCACCGGCCGTGAAGGCTAGAAGCCGCAGCCGGTCACAGGCGACTGGCAAAGACCGCGAGCGAGAGAGGGACAAGGACGGCGATGACGATAGACGCCGTACCAGAGACGACGACGACCGCCGCAGACGTGATCGTCGGTCCAGATCTCCCCGGCCGCGGGATCGATCCCGCGATAGACGTGACAGGTCGCGGTCAAGAACCCGACGCGATCGCAGCAGGTCCCGTCGGCCCGAAAGACGAGAGAGAACCCCCTCGCCCACTCGATCGAAAGCCCGCCGTGACCGCAGCAGATCTCGCACGCGCCACGATCGCCGTGATCGAAGTCGCTCCAGATCTCGCGACCGCAGAGACCGCAGCAGAGACCGTGTTCGCTCCGACAGGCGAGAACGGAGTCGCTCACGCCGCCGCGAAAGGAGCCGATCCCGGACTCGCAACGACCGCAGAGATCGCAGCCGTTCTCGCGTGAGGGCCGACCGCCGAGACAAGTCGCGCTCCCGCTCCCGGACCCGTAGAGACCGCAGTCGGTCTCCACGGGACCGGCGCGAATCGATCCGCCGTGATCGCAGCCGCTCTCGCACCCGCCGAGACCGCTCCTCTGACCGAAAGGTCTCTGAGCGTGATCGCAAGAGTCGGTCTCGCTCGAGACACCCATCTCCAGCGGTGCGGTCTTCTTCCAGGTTGGAGAGAGACAAGGACGAAAAGGAGGCCACCAAGATGGTGGAGGTCCGCAAGCGCGAAAAGGAAGCCAAGGCCTACCTCGCCGCACAGCGCGAGGCTAGGGAGAAGGGCATGCCAGTTCCCGGCATCGACGACAAGAGAAGCACAGGGGACCGCTCTCCCGAAGCGAAACGCAGGCGCGATTTGGATGAAATCGATCGATATGTGCCGCCCGGCAGGGACAGAGAGCGACCTCACGACCTGGCTCGGGATGATGAGCGCCGTCGCAGTCGGTCGCGCAGCAAGGATCGCGAGCGGGACAAGGACAGGGACCGCGTCAGGGACCGGGACCGTGATCGTGACAGAGAGCGGGATAGGGATCGGGACAGGGATAGGGATAGGGACCGGGACCGGGACCGAGATAGGAGGGACAGAGACCGCGATAGGGACCGCTCTCGAGATCGCTCTAGAGATCGACGGGACCACAGAGACAGAGACAGAGACAGGGACTGGGATAGGGACCGTGAACGCGACCGCCGCAGCCGGAGAGACCGCAGCGTCTCGTCGCGACGGGATAGGCGAGACCGGAGCCGCAGCCGTCGAAGGAGCAGGAGTCGCTAGTTGCCTCTGCGCCCGGCGGGCTTGGTGGTTTCTTTGATTAAGAAGGAAGGTAATGGGAATGGACCGGCGGTGAAGGAAGAGGATACGGCGACAAGATGACATTGGGTCGTCTCGTGCAAGAATAGGGGGTATGGCACATCATCACATGGCTCACTATGGCAACGGGGCCGGGCGGCATCAGTAGCATCAATCGCACAATCATCGCCCGCAGGACATGCGCCTCCTCAAAGTGAAGTTCGACTCAATAGTGTGATTTTCCTGCCACGGTGTTTGAGAAGCGGCAGTCTGCCGTCTCCGACGTGAACCGCCGCTCACCCACGCCGATTAACACGGCTCTCTATGGAAAATGCCGGCCGAGCGTGTCCGCGAAAGCGGTCTTAGCCCGGGCGGCGGGCGGGAATCGAAAGCACAGGGATACATACCGCCGCAAGCTGCCATGTAGAACGGCATGGGAGGAGGCTGGCTGTTCGGTCATTAGCGGCCAGCCGAGCGACCCAGAATCCTGTCGGATATCCCAACGTAGTAAAGACGATAAACTTTTTGTCCCATTTGGTTGAACTTCATTTCATCAGGCAAATGCACTCCCACCCCCTTGAAACATTCCAGCGAGTCCCAGTCAAGGACCTAGAAGACCACAAAAAAAAAAAAAAAAAAAAAAGACGAGGCGTTCAGACAACATAGAGCCCACTAGCATGACTCGAAAGACCCATCTACCCCAATACGAGATTTTAGGCAGAAGTTTCGCTTCCCGATCACAAATTCGGAGCTGTTCGAGTCCCACACAGCTCAGGGCTGTATCGCCTATAATAAGGCGTCGAGACGCATTCAAAGTTTCCCACCGTAATTTCATCCGCATTTTCTAATTATATTCTACAGATACTGGAAACCTACATAAGCCGTCCCTTGAACAAGCGGCGATCATTCCCAAACGCCCATTCACGACTTTTTCAAATACCACATCAGTTCGTAGCTCCTTTACGAAGTCCTAGACCATATCACCGGCAAAAATAAACTCTAATAAGCAAGGCTTGAACTCACAGCCGGTCATATACCCTTTCCTTTTCTCTCTCTCTCTCTATCTGGTCTCTGATTTGTATCACGTTAAAGTTTCCCGCGTGTAAGTGGGTGTTCCCTGCAAGGCTACACCCCGTCCCGGGTCCTGGCCTGCTAAGTCGAGGTGGAGTGAGGTCGCGGTAGCCCCGGGTGGGTGGCCTTGCAGAGATTGCAGGGATCTGTATGGGCAACACCTCTCAGCAAGGTCCCGGTGGTTCCGTCTGTGGGAAACTCTATTCTGGCTTCTTGGAACATCATCTGAACTCTGTTCGTTCAAAGTTGCTGGCGGACACGTAATTTCGCCATTCTGCAGGGTGCTATTAGGTTTTCTTCGCACTTGGCATGTCGCGTAGAGCGGGCAAACCAGAGATGGCACTTTGCCTGTGCAGAGCCCAAGATGGCTTCATGTTTCTGAAAGGTGAAGATGAGCGGCTGATAGAATATGCCGCGAAATTGATAGTACAAAGAAGAGGGAAGAAAATGTTTTCCCGCAAAGTGCAAAACATTCCCCAGATGTATCCAGTGCCCCAAACGCCTATCGCACATTCTTTTCCTCTGCTGACGTCTCCAACGAAATCAAGCTCCAGGCGTTGACGTGGGCTTGGGAGTGTAGTCCCTAAAGTTGGCGTTGGGCGGATCGCGGTCAAGCAGGTACTTGAATTTTTCCGAGTTGTGTTTGACATAGTGCGGAACGTCGTGGTTCTCCTCGACGCGGTCAAAGTTGGAATCCCCTCTGCCGAAGCTGTGACGTGTTAGTAAAGAAATATCGACAGACATCGGGCCACCTACATGTCGAGTCCACGGCGGGATACAGAGACGATCCAGTCAGGGTCCTTGAACTCGGGCTTGTTTAGTTCGGCATGGGAGAAGGAGTTGATCTTCTGCGCCATCTCTTCGACGGTGCTAAAACAGTAGCTGCAATGCCAGCCGCCGTGGTTGAAGTGGTAGTCGTTGGCATTGTGGCGGAGGTCGTCAGGGAGAACGGTGTCGGCGCCGCGGTAGACGGTAGCCTGGGGATGGTTCCAGTCGTTGCGGGCGAGCCACTGGTACGAGTAGTAGTAGATCTTGGAGTGGATGGAGACACGGGGCGGGATCTCGCAGTTCCTCAAGGCGCGGACGACTTCGGGCTTGGGGATCTCGTCAACGTCGGAGACGATGAGAATATCATCGATCGAGGCCTGCTGAGCGCCCTCGAGGCTGGGAATGACCTGCTCGTACATGGCGTTGCGGCTCTTGGTCTCGCGGTCCCAGGTGCTGCCGTCCTTAAGGGCCTCGAGGTCCATGGTGCGCAGGATCATCTTGTTGTGCCACGGCTTGAATAGATCCCAGTTCTCCTTGATGTACAGCGGCTTCTCTTTGTCGGTAAAGGTTTTGTCAGACTCGATGATGACAAAGTAGTCGACGTAGGGAGCCATCTGGCCCATGCGGACCTCGAGCATCTCAACCTCGGTGTTGATGAGAAGCAAGTCGTACACCTTGCGCTTGCGGACCAGTTCATGGTTGGCCGGCTTCAGGCGGTAGTGGTCACAGTACTCGACGGCCTTTGCGGGAGGGAGGACCTCACTGTTGGCAGCGTTGGCGAGGCCATCATACGGCGTGCTGTTTGGGTGTGTGATCTTGCGCGCGTGCTCGACAACTTGTTGGTGAAGATCGAGCCGCCAGACCAGCCAGATAAAAACAATGGAAGCAACCACGGCCAGATACTTGATCTGGTGACTTGATGTTGGCTTCATCATGGCTGCTGGGAGTATAAGCAGGTGACCGGGTAAAAGAGGAAGGAAGGATTCTCGTTGACCGCTCAAACCTTGAGCTCAAGATGAAGACCACGGGAGGGGAGACTGGGAGCGCCAAATGACCGGCCAATTTTGCGAGCAATGAAGTAGAAGTTCAGCGGGGTGAGGGGTGCGAGCTGGCCTTGTTGAACTTGTTGAACTTTGGGAGGGACAAAGTCGGTTGGCCTGAGCTCTCAAAGTTCAGACCTGGCACTGTATCTCAGTCGGTCTCGAACATTTCTGAAGTGAATCCTGGAAGTGTCTCGCCTACGCTAACCTCTCGCTCATCATGCTTGCATTTCTAAGCCGCCGAGCTGAGGGCCACCTTGGTAGTCTGGACAGGGGTAGTCACCTTACTGTGTTGGGACCCTCAACCGGGGCCACGCATTTCGAGAATATGATGGCGGGAATGTAATCACCGAATGCAGTACCGTGGCGGAGACGGCGATTAACGCTAAATTGACCAATAGGCGGTCGTGGAAACGTGTAAGCTCGTGATGGGACAGGAACTGTACACGGGATGAGCGGACGGCTAAAGGGAGAAGGTGACGTGCATCAGACCGTGGATCGTTTCGGATGAGCATCTTGCGCAGCACTGGCACCCAGTCTGCAGATGCTATTCGCGCGTAAACTTCCGCCAGGGAGGCCGCAGTGTAAATATCCTCATTCAGAGCCAATGCAGGGAGCGGCATGAATCGCCTTGGCGCGCAGAGATAACGACACTTGTCGAAGACTGTCTCTTGATCTGCCCTAGCACGCCTAGTCTCTCCAGTCGTCTGGGTATGGTTTGTGGACCATTGGACTAGGTAAGTCTATGAGTAGGTAGGGACTATAAGGGTGAGGCCGGCTATCCTTTGGTGTTTGTTGGTTGCAAGCGGGACGGTACGGGGAGCGGAAAACTGGAGACTCTGAGGGACCCCCCTCCTCTGGGTGACTTCAGCCGAGGGCTGTGGCGAGCTGCGAACTTGCGAGGATTCGAGATTTGGTGCTCTCGCCGTGAGCAGATGGTGGGCTTGGGGCTGAAGTGCAGAACACAGAGGACCGACGAGTCACAAGCCAGGTGACTGACTTGGCTTGCAGCATGGCGGGCACGCTTTGTGGTGACGAGTTGTTGATCTGAAGACATTTCACTGGTGGCCCGAGATGTCTTGATTGAGGTTTCGCTAGTCTTTGGATGGACATGGGTTGAGCCTCGCTAGTCGCTCACCTGGCGGCCGGCAGGTCTCCGACGCGATGGACATGTACCCCGCGACACCAGCTCACGACCCAGAACGATATTGCAAACATGGCCGATTCGACAAAGAGAAGCTCGCCGGTGGTGCGAAGCGTTCGAAAGCGTCGTCGGCATTGGGTTTCCCTTTGGAGTTACACAACACGAGGCTCGATGTCTGTCACCCCAACAATGGCACAATGTCTTGGATCCCGAAAACCGGGTCGAATCTTGGTGGCTGCCAGAGGAGTTGGCTATTTCCCGCATTCCAGGCCGATGATGGAATGCGGATACCGAGCCATGAGAAGCATCACATCGTGGGCTCGGGGGTCCAAACAAGATGGTCCCGCTGGTGATTGCAGTGCGAAGCTAAGATGGCCGTCGGTGATGCAAGGGAGCTGTGGGAGATGAGGCCACTAGGAGGGCCGGCTCGGTGGGACGCTTGCACAAGCCACAGACGATCCCTTCTGTTACACAACATCCGTTGTGCAGAAAGTGGAGGTAGGGTGTAAGAGGTGCACAAAGACAGCCCAGGTGGTGCAAGTCTCGCTTCCTGGCCGCTTACCTACCCACTACCTTACTCAGTGCCTTACATAAGATGGGTATTTTGATCAGGCACCTTTGAGATGAGGCAGGGGAGGAGGAAGTTTAATGCTTCCCCCCTGCCCTATGAGCTTAATTAAAAACATGACAGGCAACTACGGACGGGCGATGGCACAGGCAGCGCCCCAGCAGCGCCGACACCAACTTGTCAATCCGCTGCATCGCTGGGCCGGGCCACAAACCTTCTGCATTCCCTCGCGTTACACGACCCCCCTTGGTTCAGCCGTTGTGTCTTGTATTGCGCCTTTGTCTCGCCTTGCCTATCTTCCTGTCGAGTCCAAGTCAGTCGGCACTCAAGCACTCACTCAAACCCCCAACTCCTTTCCCCTTCCATCACCACAACCGCAACTCCCGCTTGCCTTTCCTCATCCGAACCCCTACACTCTCCCTCTGTCCCCTGAAAGCCCAAGGTTCATCTGCAAATTCCATCGCTATTGCACCGCGCAGCCGCCCACCGCCATCCACGACACGTTGCTCCAACTTTTGAGGGCCGCTTCAGTCTGGACGGCGCACCTCCTACATCCCCGGACAATCAAATCAGCTAACCTAACCTACGTCGTGCTCAATAACGTTGACATCTGCTGGTTCATGTACACTGCAACGAACAACTCCAACTCTCTCTCCCCCCAGCTCGCATACAGCTCGCTCCAACCACTGCAACCATCGACCAGGGTCGCGGTGTCTCACTCTCCTCGCTCCCTCCACGTGCCGGCCGCCCGACTTTAGCGCCTCCCCAAAGGGCCCCAAAGCCCCCCTTCTCCGCCAGCCTTTTTCAGGCCCAGTGGTCAGCCCAGTCCAATAAGGTGCCGTTCCATTTCCTCCTGCCTTTGCCGGGTACATTGCAGCCAGCAGAAAATACGAGAAAAACACGCTGGGGAAGGGGTTCCTGCCGTACCGCAGGCTCCATTCGACAATCGGCGCAGCGCTTCAAACATCCGCTTGCCGCCACACACCTTTCAGTCCTCACTCTCGTTCTCGTCTCCCGTCTGCCTGTCTGTTTGTACCACTCTGACTTTCTTGACCCGGAAGGTGGTCTGCACTCTGCATCCCTCACTCCTCCTCCTCCTCCTCCGTTTTGTCTTCGCGTCTTTCCTTGTCGTCGCTTTTCGTCGCTGCATTGCGTCTCTCATGCTTTCCATCTGACGCAGCAACCCCATACTTTCCCGTCCATCCTGCCGACTCGTCCGGCCCACCACCGACTCCAGTCCGTCGTCCAGCCCCCCGTCTCCGTCGCCGTTCTCCCCGACAACCGCCGTCGCGTGGCCTTCTTGAGCATCGTTGCTTGTTCGCACCCCGGCCACAAGACCTGACTATCACCGCATAACGCAGCCATGAGTACGCTCCCGACCACGGAGAAGCCTGTTGCCTCCAAGGCTCTTCACCCGGCCTTCTTCATCGCGTGCGTGTACCCCCGTCTTGTCCAGCCTCACCGGGCTCTCACTAAATCTTCCGCAGGAGTTGGATCCTCTTCTCAAACTTAACCATCCTCTTCAACAAATGGCTGCTTGATACAGCTGGCTTCAGTAAGCATCCTTTTTGATCCATCAAGTTGACCACCACTAACCACTCGCAGAATACCGTACGTTTCGTTTACCAACTTTCACTGATCTCACTAACATGCTCCAGCCGTGATCCTGACATTCTGGCATCTGGTCTTCTCCACCCTGGCAACCCAGGTGCTAGCGCGCTTCACCTCCCTTCTCGATGGCCGCCACAAGGTCAAGATGACGGGCCGCGTCTACCTGCGCGCCATCATGCCCATCGGCGTCCTCTACTCGGGGTCCCTCGTCTGCTCCAACCTCGTGTACCTGTACCTCTCCGTGTCCTTCATCCAGATGCTCAAGGCCGCCGCGCCCGTCGCCGTCCTCTTCACCAGCTGGATCTGGGGGGTTGCCGACCCGTCCATGACAACCTTTTACAACATTCTGCTTATCGTCGCCGGTGTCGGCCTCGCTTCCTTTGGCGAGATTGAGTTTTCGTGGATCGGCTTCATCTTCCAGATGGGCGGCATCATTTTCGAGGCCATCCGCCTCGTCATGATCCAGGTCCTGCTCAAGGGTGACGAGAATGCCCAGAAGATGGACCCCCTCGTCAGTCTGTACTACTACGCGCCCGTCTGCGCCGTCATGAACTTCTTCGTCGCCTGGTTCAGTGAGTTTGGCAAGTTTAACGTGGAGGACTTCAACAAGGTCGGCTTCACCATGCTGCTACTCAACGCCAGTGTTGCCTTTGCGCTCAACATCTCCAGCGTCTTCCTTGTAAGTTTCCCCTCTGCGCACAAATCAACCACTGCTAACAACCCCAGATTGGCAAGACGTCGGGGCTCGTTATGACCCTCACCGGCATCCTCAAGAACATCCTCCTCATTGTTGTCTCCGTTCTCATCTGGCACACCAGCATCACCGCCCTGCAGTTCATCGGCTATGCCGTCGCCCTCTTTGGCCTCGTTATCTACTCGACCGGCTGGGACCAGCTCAAGATCTCGAGCGCCGGCGCCGTCACGTGGTCTCGCAACGCCTGGAACTCGCACGCCCTCGATGAGGGCCGCCTGTCGCCACTCCTCCGCCGCGCCATCTTCTTTGGCCTGCTCACGTTCATCACGCTCATGGTGGTCATGGGCTTCGCCTACAGGGGCGCCGCGGCGCCGGCGGACTGGTTTGCAAAGGTGGGCGAGGCAAGCACCTAGAAGCGGTTATTTTCTGCATCATCACAGCCTGGAGTTTTTGGAGCGCGTTGTATACCAGAAACCTATTGGAATCGGATGGGGAAGTGTTGGCTGACGTTAAAACGCGCGGGTTTTGGGTGGTCCTCTTTTGGTTCTAGGCCGCCGGTGTCGTAATATTGTATATCATGAGCAGGCATTACAGGTACAGCTTTAGAAGATATAATCTGAACGACGAGCTCCGTCTGCTCAACGTGTCGAGCCTCATCGAATCGTCCATTGACAAGCACCGTCGGTAATGTGAGACGGGCAAAGTCACGATCCATTGGCCTATCACAAGGTTCGTGACCTGCAGCCAAGGCTTACTAACTATGGGGATTTGACGCAACAATTATTCGTCTCCTCTTTTAAGGTCGCTTGTAGTTGAAATCGCGCGCTGCAGAGAGAAGCCACTGATCCTCATAACGTTGAAATATGGGTGAATCATTTAGCCTCATCTCACATCTCAACACCAGTCATTATTTTTGCACACTGAAAAAGATTCCTCACATTTCACCAAAATGAAGTTCACAAAACAGTTACTCGCCTCCCAGCCAGACCTCTACCACTTGGCAACTCACGCCGCCTTCCTCGACGCCGCCGCAAAAGGCACGGTCCCCAAGGCCACCCTCGGCCGCTGGCTCGCCAATGACAGGCTCTACATCCACGCCTACGTCAAGGGCGCGGGCCGTCTGCTCGACCTCCTCGACCTCCCCGACCTCGTCAACCCCGACGGCCCCGCTGCGACGGAGGAGAGGCTGCTACAGTGGCTCGTCGACGCCCTCGTCAACGTCCGGCGCGAGGAAAAGTTCTTCGTCGACGTGGCCGCCAAGTTCGGCATCGACGTGAACTTGCCGGCGCTCGACTCCTCATCCCAGGGCGGCCTCCGCGTGCGCAGCGAGGAGAAGATTGCCGGGCTCCGGGCCTTTGAGAAGCTATTCAGTCGTATCGGCACGGGCACGACGCCTCCTCCCACTGCCGCGGGGGTGAGGCGCCAAGATGAACCGCGACAGACGTTGCTACCGTGGCTAGCACCCGCCGTGCTCTTCTGGGCCACGGAGAAGTGCTACCTAGAAGCCTGGTCCGGCGCCAAGGCCGCGCAGGAGGAGGGCAGAGACCCGGCCGCCGACGCTGACGGCGGCGCATTGAGGTCCGAGTTCATTGACAACTGGAGCAGCGCCGAGTTCAGAGATTTTGTGGACCAACTGGGCGATATCATCGATGATGGGGTCGAAGAAGCGATCCGGCGGCACGGCGTCGAGACGCTCAGGGACCAGGAGTGGACTTCGGAGACTTGGAAAGAGGTCTTGGTGGCGGAGAAAGATTTCTGGCCGCAGGAAACGGAATAGGGCGGCTTGCGATAGAGTCTCTCCGAATAGACGTCCACGTTTTATCATACGGGCTCACATTAACCTACAATGAATTAAAGCTATATCATTACCCATTCCGTGACCTATCCTACTCAGTTATCCGCGCCGCGAGCGCATGGTATTACCGCGGACCCAACGCCTTCGCTATGCTGTAAACGACCAAAAGCACCCATTTGTTCTCCGCTTTGGAAATCTCTCTGTAGTCAGACGGCAATCATCCGTGGTCCCAGTTCGGTCTGGTTGTCTCCCAACTCGTCGTCTCCGTCTCCCGGTAGTGGCACAGACCGCGCTTGCGAGACGTCTCCATCAGCAACAGCCATCACAGTACCTGTCGTCGGCACCTCTTCTTCATCATCTTCGGAGACCTCCTTTACCGTGCAGGTAAAGGCAGGTTTCTCTACTCTGGGCGTCTCCTCGTCCTCTGCGTCTATCGCATCTGCGCCCGGAACTGCAACGGCCTCCACAGCGGCAACCTCGGACGAGGGAATAATATTCGGGTCGACACAGTCGTAGAATAACATAAAGACGTTACCCTGTGCCAGCAGCTCCTCTTCGTCAACCTTCCTGAGCGTGTCGTCACTGAGACGCCACCAGTCCATCTCCACATCGGGGTCGTCCTCTGAAGTTTTTGACTGGGGCGAAGTGACCTCATCGCCATCACTCGGCGGCGAGTGACGAGGAAACTTGCGATAGCAGACGTAGTGCCCGTTTTCGTGACGACCATAGTGCGTGACGACAGCCCGCAGCTCGTATATCGGGCCGGTGATGTACGACTTGCGTTTGTCGCCGGCAATCATCGAAGACCTCGGATCCAACAGCCACTGCTCTTCCTCCTGCTCCTCCAAGGATGGCGAAGCGGATCCGTCAGTAGGACCGCGGCCGTCCGTTTTGCTGGCACTACCCAGACACCACGGACCGAGATCAAGCGTCAGGGGGAACCGGATGCCGGATGAGTTCTTGTACATCATGCCAGTGTTTTCGTCGAACACGGACCTGTTCATGTGGACGGCGAGGCTCTGGGGCGGGCGAGCAATGACGGCCTGCTTCGTTTTGGTCGAGGAGACTTTGAAATTGGCAGGGAACTTGCACTTCTCCGTGAGCGTCTTGTCCTCAAAATCGTCCTCTTCCAGCGCCTCCTCGACGGCCGCCAGTCGCAACTTGGGCTCCTTGAGCTTCTGCTCGTCAGTGTATGATGCTTCCGCTCTCTCGACGAGCAGGGTCAGGAGTCTTTTCGCTTTCAAGAGCGTGCATTTTCCACACTCGACGCCCTCGATCGACTCGATGTGGGCGTACGCGTCCAGGAGCTCGTACAAATCGTGATCGTTGCCGCCCACATTCAAACTAAGAGTAACGCAGTTGAAAGGGATCATTGAGAGCCCGTCCGAGTGTCCACACTCGACGCAGGCCACGCGTTGAGCAATAAGCCCCTCGAGGGGGTTCCGCAAAGATCTAGAGGCCGCGCTAATCTTTGAGGCCGTCGACAGACTCTGGTAGCCGCTATCATCGCTGTGCTGGCTCGTCGCAGTGTCGTCGTTGGCGCAATCCGACTCGAAGCCCGACGACTTGACCGTCACTTTTGCCACCTTGGCAATCTCCCTATCCACCTCGTCGAGTAGCTTTGAAAAGTATTCCTGCGCATCTTGCTGCTGCCACGTGCTCATGTTCTTCAGCGAGCCTGGCGTCCATAATGTCTTGCCATAGTTTCGAGCGCTGTTCAAGTCCTCAATCAGGTTACGCAGCGTGTCCACGGCCTCGACTTTCCGGCGGTCAGTCTCGGGGTCCTGAACGGGATCGGCCAGGTATTTCGGAAACGGCTTCAGCGAGGCAAGTCCCTGAAGAATGCTATTCTGATAGCACGAGTTGTCGAGGTTCCCGAGGCCCGGCGGGTAGTTGCTAGAGCCCTTGAAGCTCATCATGGCCCCGGAGACCGACGACAACCCCCGAATGCCAGCTTGAGACACCGTCCCCATGATTCCTCCCTGTCTGTCCATGCCGAGTATCTTTTTCAAAAGCGCACTTTTTGCCGCATGTGTTCTGGCTTGGTTCTGGAGCATCGGTCGCGGAACGAGCGGCGGATGCAGCCAGGCTTCCAGAAGGGTCAAGGCGTCGTAGGGAATGAGCCAGACGATTACGTCCCAAAGGGTCCGAGAGGCGCGTGAGAGCAGGGTGGTCGGAAGAGAAGCGCCGAAAACAGAGACGAGCGCTGTGAGGACGAGTGCGAAGAGGGACACCACGATGCTCGGCTCCGTCAGCCTCGTCCAGAAGGTCTCGTCGGTGTGAAATCGTCGGTGGTAGTCGGGTCCGCCGTAAGAGTTCTTGAATGGGCCCGGAGAATTCATGCTGCCCGGGGTTCGTTGGGGTGGGTTTGGTGCTTGTGGGAGGTCGTCTCGAAAGGGACAGCTTCAGGCGAGCTTCTGCAATGCAATGTCCGAGAGGCCGCGCGCTGCCATATCGAGGAGGGTATTCGAAAGGGTGTCCAGTCGTGGCGATGCTCGCTGATTAAGTGGTTGTGGGTGAGTAAGGTCCTGGAATGTCTGCACGGTTCTGGATGTTGCGGTGGTGTCGCAGCGGCCGCGAATACTGACAGCAAAGAATGATGAGCGGGACCAGGGGCAAACGGTGCGACAAGGATTGGTCAGAGCGCGCGTGGCCCCAACCTAAGGCTTGTGATCGTCTCTTCTCTTATCATGATAAGATAGCAGACAGGTCGATAAGGAATTTTATATCCCCCACACGAGGTGCTGGCGATTGACCGACCTGCAACACTGAGAACTCGAACAAATCGATCGCAAAGATGGCGAAACCAGGCGCTTCCAAGAAGAACAGACGTGAGAGCGGTGTCTCTGAACTACAGTGAATTTTGACTAACACCAATGGCAGAACCCTCGGTTCACTCGAGAGCCGCAAGGCGCGCAACGGATGTCGACATCGACACTGACAAGTCTCTCAAGGAAGTCAAGGCCCCGGCCGCCGCGAGCGACTTCCGGCCGTCAGTCCTCAATGCCCAACACAACTCTGGCGTATCCAAGAAGACAAAGAATCGCAAGGCGCAGATGAGCGCCAAGGCAAAGGAGAGGAAAGAAAAAGCGGCGGACCGCGCAGAGGCCATCATGGGGCGGACCTCCACCAAGACCGAGAAGAGCAAGACCAAGGCCCGCAGGATCCAGACGCGGAGCAAGCAGTGGGAGGACATCAACAAGGCCTCCATCGTGGCCAAGAAATTCCCCGACGAGGAGGATTTCGAGGTGGAGCAGAGGCAGAGCAGGGCCATCGAAGTGGCTGCTGGCAAGGACTGGGAGACGGACGAGGAGATGGACGGCGCCGACGACGATGTCGCTGCACCTGCTGTCGCTAATGCTGTGCCGGTGCTTCCAGCAAACGACGATTCCGACGAGGAGATTTTGTAGTACGGTGTCAGTTTCTGTTCAGGTTGCCCCGAGAGGCGGTGGCTGCGCCTCGGGCTATGAGACTTATGATAGATACCCAATGATGTTGAAAATTTCTGCCACCCGTACATCGGCGTAAAGTCATAAACTCTGCAGAAAGCCTTCAAGCTCCTTAAGCTTCAGATCCATGGACGACAAGCGTCCAGACAGTCACAAAACCTGGCCAAGACTTCCAGGTTGGAGGGGTCAAAAGCTCTGCGGCGGCGGCAGATCCACTAAAAACGCTAAATTTACAGGGCGCCCCAGCGGGGAAACACTTCTGCAGTTCCGTCCCCAACCTCCGCCAGGAGACCTACTTCAGGTACGCTGCTCTCCACGGCTTTCGATCTTCATCCGGACGTTATCAACCCAATTCACCATCCACAAAGAATCACAAGATGCCGCCCAAGCGCATGACCGCGAACCCGGTCAAGCCAGGACGCTACTTCCCCGGAAAGGCCGCCGCCCCCGAGGAATCGTCCTCGGACTCGGATGCGAGCGACGATGAGGAGGCGGCCGACGACACCAAAGCCCGCGCGATCCCGCCGCCGCCCAAGGCATCGAGCGCCGCCAAGATCGCCAGCAACCTCAGCAAGGTCAATCTCGACGAACGAAGGCGCGGGGCGCAGAAGAAGGAGAATCAGAGGATAGCGCGCGAAAAGGCTGAGAGACTCGCCGCAGAAGAGGGCTTCGTGACGGAAGAGGAGGAGGAGGAGGAGGATGATGATGAAGGTGACGAAGAAGAGAGCTCCAGCGAGGAGGAAAGCAGCAGCGAAGAGGAAGCTCCCCGCCGCCTGATGATCCGACCCAAGTTCATCCCCAAGAACCAGCGCAACGCCGCCAAGGAACAATCCGCCGCACCAAAGGACGACGAGGCGCGCCAGGCAGAGGAGGAAGCCCGCCGCAAGGCCGCCGCCGACGTACTGGTGGAGGAGCAGATCGCAAAGGACCTGGCCGCGCGCGCCGCGGGAAAGAAGCACTGGGACGACGACGAGGCGTCGGGTTCGGACGTGGACACGACGGACGAATTGGACCCGGAGGCGGAGCTGGCGGCGTGGCGGCTGCGGGAGCTGAAGAGGGTCAAGCGCGAGCGCGACCGCATCGCCGAGCAGGAGGCCGAGTACGCCGAGCGCGAGAGGCGTCAGAACCTGACGCAGGAGGAGCGCGACGCCGAGGACGCCGACAAGCTCGCGCGGCAGCAGGACGAGAAGGACGCCAAGGGCAAGATGTCGTACCTGCAAAAGTACTACCACAAGGGCGCCTTCTACAGCGAGGAGGCGAAAGCGTACGGGCTCGACAAGCGCGACCTCATGGGCATGCGCATCGCCGACGACGTAAAGGACCGCAGCGCCCTGCCCGAGTACCTCCAAAAGCGCGACATGACGAAGCTGGGCAGGAAGGGCGGGACCAAGTACAAGGATCTCAAGAGCGAGGATACCGGACGGTGGGGCGAGTTCGATGACCGGCGTGGCGGCGGTGGCGACCGAAGGAGAGGAGGCTTCGACAGAAACGATGTTGACGAGCGGTTCCGGCCGGACAATGACCGCGAGGTCAACGGCGCAAACGCTATCCCCCTGGGTGACCGCAAGGCGCCTTCGGGTGGTGCCAGAGACGACCGTGACAGGCATCGCGACGGCGATCGTCGCAGGGGAGACAGGGACGACTATCGCCGTCGGGATCGGTCAAGGTCGAGGTCATCACGCCGCGACGCGCGGGACGACTACAGGGACCGGCGGAAGCGCAGCCCGTCACGCGAGAGAGAGCGCCACGACAGCGACAAGCGGAGGCGATTAGAGTCTAGATAAAAGGGTCGTGGCGTCATTCAAATTGTATTAAGAGCGTATCCTAACCAGGCTCACTACGAGCGATGCTGAATATACCCAAACTCCCAAGTCATACAAATCATACAGGTGCGCTTCAAATCTTCTTGATTTCTACCCGAGCGCGCTCAAACACGCCATGGCTGACCATTGCCCCTGACTGGCCCGCGTCGACCTTGGGAGGGAAGAGCGTCAGTCGGGCGTATGTGCCGGCGCCGCGTCTCTTTGATAGGTAGCCCGGGTTGATCACGAGGACACTCTCGACAACCTGGGATTGTTAGTGGGAATGTCGTTGCGGGGAGCCACGGGACGTACCTTGGCAAACGGAGGCAGAAAACTGGGCGCCACCAGCACATCGGGGCGAACATTGACCATCTCGCCCAGCTTCAGGTAACTGAGATCCAGCATGGCACCCGGCGGGATACCCTCCTCGGTGCCAGTCTTGGGTAGCTTCTGGCGATCCGTAGGCGGGAACAAGGGGAAGAAGTGCCTTTGCTCCAGCAGGTATCTGCTAAGCCTCGACAGCAAGGAAGGATCCGATGGACGGCCGCTGACGAGCTCCTCGTGCCGCAGCTGCCAGAGGATATCCTGCGAAGAGATACCCATCACCATCTCGTTGATGGACAGTGTCATGGGGTTGGTGACGATTTTTGCCGTCTTGGGGAGACCGAGTTCCTTTTTCAAAACTGAGTCCTGGGGCCAGGAGACGTGCTTGTCAATGACGTCGCGTACCGATGGCACGAGGAGAATGGTGATACTAGGATTCGCCGACACGAGACGGTTCAGGGCCGGGGAGAACAGGTACTTGAAGACTGTCGACATCGTGGCCGCATCTGGCTCGATGACGGCTTCCTCGGGGAGATCAAAGTCGCCAGTGGCAATCATTGGGTGCTCGCTATCGATGAACGGGCCCGTCAGCACAAGCGCATCCGCGTATGTGTCGGCGGCTTGGTCGCACAGAGCATGCAGTGGTTCAAAGTCCAGGTTGTCGTCCGCAGTGTACGGCCCAGAAGCGTAGAGGATGTTGAGGGGCGCAGGGTCCGAGTCGGTGTCCATGGCGTCGGGGTCGCCTCGCAGTTTCTCGCGGTGGGCAGCCAATGCGGCCGGCGTCGAAGCTGCGTTCGGCAACAGAGGGACTTCGAGCACCTCCTCCACGACAAACTCGTTGCCCGAGGTGTTGATGCCCTTGAGGGCCACAATCTGGCCAGGGAAGAAGCTGTACCCCTTGTTCCGCATGTTCAGGGGTGCCCGCAGACCTCCGCCCACACGTCTCGACATCTCCAGCACAAGTGACGCTGCGTTCAATTTGCCCTCTGGCGCGTCTGAAGCGATGCGTCCGACGGCAATCACCTCCGTTGTGCTTTGGCTTGCCGCATTGCCAAAGTCTGAGAAATCGAGCTTGTGGTGTCCTTGGATGATGTGCATGAACTCGTCTATCCTGTCGTCGAGGATCTCGGACGCCTCTGACAGCTTCATCGCGAGAGGCTTGTACGTCAACTTCTTTTGGTCTGATGCCGCCGTCAACTTGATGCGGGGTTCCGAGTACGGGCAAATTGGGGGTTCGGGAGCGTCGAGGTGGTCGTTGAGCACTTCGACAGTCTCGCCGGCATTCTGTCGATCGTTGAAGGAGCTCGGTCTGCAGTGGTTAGAGTCTGTGTAAAGAGCAGGCCTGAATCCTTACAGTGACATTGCGTTCAATTGCTCATCCATCTTGGAAGCCCCCTTATAGTCTGGCGAACTCGAGGGAATTTCGGCCTTGACCCGTGACATTGTCGGCGTCTGATGTGTCTTCTTCCGCAGACTGCTTGGCTTGTTCAGCTTCCCTGACCCCGGCGTGCTGGGCACCAGTCCGTCCAGCATGCCAAAGACGTCGCCGCCGCCCCTGCCGGCTCGGGGGGTGCCATGACTGCGCTTCTCGGTCTTTATGTGCGTCTGCTGTCGATTGCTTTTTTCCAATGCGTCCTGAATGTCCTTTTTGAAGTTTCGCACGTGCATGATGTCGGGGTTCATGGCGTCCATGTCCATCTTGATGCAGAAGGACTCCCATTTGTAGAAGAGGTCCTCCGCGGACAGCTCGTGCAGGCGTAATATCGACTGTAGTTCGGAGAGAACATCGGGCTCAAGGCCCTTGTCCCCCGAGGTGAAGAACTGCTTCAATTCCGCTTCTGCCATTCTTTCGTCGGTTCCTGCTATCGTGCGTGTCTTGCTGAGTTGAGCACCGGGAAGTTTGTCGACGGAACATTTAGGTGGGACGCGCCGAGCGCGTCTTGGTGGGATAGCGCGTAAAGTGTATTGGCGGGGCATTACAGTGTGAGATCACCTTGCACTGTCTTCACTCCAACGGCATCCCCCTGCCACAACGTCCTGATCAAATCACTCCGCTCAGTCAGTGGATTTCCGAGTCAATCTCTGGATTCATTGCTGTTTCTAACGCAAGATTTCGAAGCCATGCTTTTCGCTAGCCCACCCGCTCATTCAATACGTTTCTACGAGATGACCATGACCTCAATCAGTGACCCAAGTATCCCGATGCATCCCCTACCACACAATGTTGTTGCGAGCCCATTTCTCCTGACGATCGGCCTCCGGCTGCGCCATGAAATCCTCTGCATCACTCTTCGCCGTCCGAGTTGGGGCAAACTTGATGACGGCCTCCGTGCTGACCTCATACTTAATAGTACCGTCTCCGTGCTTCTCACCGACGTCCGCCATGCCTCCAGTCAGCTGGTCGAGGTAGGAGCGGTAGTTCTCAGATTTGCGGATAGAGCATCTTGTCGACTCTGACTCGGAGTGGGCAGTCAAGGAAGATGCGTCCTTGAAATAGCGCAGGCAGCCGGGGCACTGCAGCTTGGCGTTGTAGTGCGATGCTGCCGACTTCATGTGGCCGATGAGAGCGCCACTGCTGGGAAACGTCTTCCTGTTGTGTTGTCAGTGCCCGTTATCTCGCTCGGCAGGTATGGAAAGGGCTACGGGCCTGCAGGACGGCTGAGGACACTTGAATTTGCGGTTGATTGCGTTGTAGTACTTCCTGGGGTCGAAGAGCGGATGCGATGGGTTGTTGATGTCGTCCACGACTGGCTCGCGTGACTTCTCGTTGCTGGTGTCTGGCTGCGCTGCACCTCGCTGGATACTCTCCAGGCTGTCCTTGACGTCCTTCAGCTCGGGAAAGTCCTTGGGCTTGAAGAAGGACGGATGAGCCATGTAGGCCTTGTCGTCAAAGTCGGACTGCGCGTCAAGGGTGGACTGAGCCTCAAAGGCGGACAGAACGCTGGGGTGTGACACGGGAAAGTAGTCTCCGAACTGAGAGCCGCTGCGCTTCTCGAGCTCATGGGAAAAGGTGAGCTTCTCTACCCGGTTTTGATCAACGTCTGCGCGGCGAATAGCAGGGCACTCGTTGTGTTCTAGGTGTCTCATCCATCCAGCCAACCGGACAAAGGTCTTCTGACAGCCTGGGCAGATGAGGTTCTGCTCCTGTGGATGGGCCTGTTGTCTTTTGGTCACTGTTCTGTGAAAGTCACGACTTCGTTGAAACTCACCTCTAGAAGATGCTTATCCAGAGCCTCTTTGCTGTTGAAGTCGCGGGTGCACAAGGAGCAGTGAATGTGACTTCCCTCAGTCAGCATCTTCATACGCTTGTGTCCCATCAGCTGCTCGAAGCCTCCAAACAGCTTGTTGCAGACGGTACAGAGGACGGCCTCATGAGGGGCCGGCTTGTGGCTTTGAGCCATGCCACTGGTGGCAGACTTGGAGGAGGGTTGGCTTCCAGACATGATTATGGGGGAATGTAGAAGTACTTGTGAGCGATTGGGATGTTCGTAAGAGAGCCGTAGACGGTGGCCGGTGCTGATGCTGAAGGTGAAGGCGGGGGGGCTTTGGTTACGCTCTAGGTGAAATGAAGAAGAAGGATAGTTGTTGAGGACGCTGGTAGGTTTTCTTAGCGAGAGAGGGTTCGCCTGTGTGTTGGGGAAGGAAGAAGGAGGGACGTAGGCGAGAAAGGGCAAGAGCAAGTTTCTCACGGCTCCTTCCCAATGGCTGTGGGGTGAATGCCACCACTTCTTCGACTGCTAGCCAGAGACGAACCAAAGAGTCTGGGGTGGAAATGAAAGTGTGCCACAGAGGTGTTGTAAAGGGACCCTGCTTGTGTGGTTTGAGTGTGAGATGGGCGCCGTGATAGTCGCAATGTATCACGTTGTTTGGGACGGCATCTCCTTGGTCGCTCGTTCAGCTTTATGAAAAGTCACTGGTTGGATGATAAGAGGCCTTCTAGTCATTCTCCTACGAACAAGCAAGGGAGTTGGCCAAGTAGAATCGGTTGGCGATATCGCGGGGACTTCCTCTCAATCCATCATGCTCCAAATGGAATGTCAGAGCCTCGGGTTCAAGCCTGTTTCAGTCTCCTTTCTCAGTTTTAGAGATATTCCAATGCTATGAGGGTGCCAACTATCAGATGGGAAGAAAGACAATTTGCCAAGAGTATTCGTGATGACCCAGCTTTGCTCCACGGGATAATATGTGCACACTCCTGAAGCCCATCCCCTCAGCCTCATCTCGCCAAACTTCATGGACGTATTCAAACAAGAGCGTGAACCAAGTTTGTACTTTGGCTGACGTCTCGAGGATCTTGCCACCTAGAAAACATGAGGCCAACCTAGGTCAACCACACAACGTGAGTTTCAAGGCCGATGCGTTGGTGCTTCACCGGGGAAATCACCCGCTCGAGCATATCAACCCTCTGGTCCGACGGGAAATGAGGAATATCTGAGTGCTCATCTCGGTATCCGACGGACTCATTTTCAAAAGCACTCATTCGCCTCATTCATCAACTCCGTCTAACACCTTGAATTCTGCCACCTCTCCACGCCCCAAACTTGCGCTGGAAATCGACACCTTCACATGCTTCATGACCTTAACCTGTCCACGGGTGATCTTGACGTTGAAGATGCGACTCTACTGTAAGTGTCTTGAACAGCCAAGCTTTGGAATTGCCATGTGTCGTTGGACTGGAATGCTGATGATGCTCGATCTGTCTCTGGTGACTCAGATGTCGCCGTTTGAACCGCTCCCTGGGCCCCGTCAACCTCAGTCAGCTGCAACGGCGAGACAGAGATGTCTGAGACAGTCTGACGTTTCTTTGGCGTGACCTTCATGTCGCGAGTGTAGTGGCCAGGCAAGTCAGCCCCTTGTCACCCAAGGACTCATGAAAGTCGTGGAATCTTTGGCTGCCGCGCCTGGCGCTGAATTCTTCTAGATGGCGGCAATTCTGATGCAGCCATCATGCCAGACATAGGCGAAGTGCAGTTGGACCCTCACACGTCGAGATACGCCACACTGATGGGTCCAAGTCGGCGTGTCATTTGAAACTTGTGCGCCTCACGCCGTGAGTGCCAGATCGCGTCAGTCTACAATACCATTGCATCGAAGACGCTGCAGCACCAGCAGCAGGTGAATTATACAAATAGGACTGGTCACCTCGGCATCGCTCACTAGAGGGCACCTGTTGATCAAGGTCGAAAATCTCTGCCGTCCAGGTCTCCCCACCAGAACAAAGAAACCCATTGCCCACCAGCCCCCGTACTAAGGCGTCTGTGGACTCCGGTCAAAGACGACTCTTACAAACCCCCAGCCACTCGTTCTCACTGTCTCCGCGGACGACGGGCAATCTAGACCGGAATTTGCCAAGCAGCGTATCGCCGTTGGCTAAGGTACTCGTGGCGTTCGTGATCCGCGCCGGCGGCACCGCAGCCCCGGGTTCAAACAGCCACCGGCTCAAGACACACAAACAAAGTCCGCGACCTACCCGCCGAAATTTTCGTTGATGCTAGTCATTGGGTCCCTCAATCTGCTGACTTGGAAGTCTCTCTCTAAAAAGGCGTCGGCCCGCCCCCTTTTCGCTCTCACGATCTGGCCGCGAGGAGAATGAGAAATAGGAGAGGCCGGAAGAGACCCCAGACGAGCCCCTATCCCACCGTACAAATATCACCCTTACGCGAAAACCCCTTTCCACCATGTCTCTCGCGCACAAACTCAAACGGGAAGCAATGGGCTGTCCCGCAACCGAGATGCCTCTCCCCTTACTCCCCCTGGTCTTCTTCGCCCACTTCGCCCAGACAGTCACCGACGTCCTCGCCACCGAAGCCCGCCGGACGACCGTCAACCTCTCCAAGAACTTCGACACGCTCCGCCTCCAGGTCCGCGGGCCGGAGCACACCTTTTCGCCCTTCTCGCGCCTGCCTGCCGAACTCCGCCTCAAGATCTGGGACCATGCCTGCCGGCCCCGGACGTTGCTGGCCACCCACGCGCCGAATCCTGCCCTGCTGTCCGTCAACCGCGAGGCCCGGCACGAGACGCTGAGGCGGTACACCCTCGTCAGGCTCAACACGTGGGGCGATCGGAGGATCTACATTGACTTCCGCCAGGACAGCATTGTCATTGTCGAGGGGAAAGGCGGCGGCGGGTTCCCTGTACGCGGGGCGCGACACGTCATCGTCGTCTGTGAGGATCCTTTCCGCAACCCGGGGTCGTGGTTGAAGTGCCGGTACCGGGCCGGGCTGGACTCCCTGACGCTGGTCCTGAATGGCACAACGACGACCAAGTCCCTCACGCCGCTTCCGCAGATCCAGGAGCTGCACACTCCGGAAGATGTCCAGCAACGGCTGGGATACAGTAAAGAGGAGGCGGAGAGGATAGGAGGGGAGGTCAGAGAGCTGGCGCAGGGATGGGGAAAGACGCAGATCCGCGTGGGGGAGTTTATCTGAGCTGATGGAGACGGAGCGTAATGATTTTATCCGACACGACATCACAATACCCATTCCGTCTGTAGTCACCTTTTTAAATTCGTACATCATTCTAAATCATACAACAAGTCTCACAGCCTGCTCCGTTGGGTGAGATAGACCTGTCCAAGCCTGAGCTGCTCCACTGCCTCCTTGACCATCTCGTCCACAATCTCACCCGCCGGCTTGATTTTATCAATGGCACCGGCAACTTGACCCATCAGATGCGGCGGATCAATGTCGTTGCCGTGCTCAAAGTCAAACTCGATCGGCACCGTGCCCTCGTCGCAGAGCGTCTTAATCTTGTCCGGCTGCGCGTGCCAGTTCCGGATATACTCATTCGTCTTCATCCGCAACGGCCTCCCCGAAAGCACGAGCGTGCGCTCCGTCCCGTCGAACCCGCACGAGACCACCTCCTCCTTGTGCTCCTCGCTACACCCGGCCTCGACACTCGCTACGAACCGCGTGCCAACCCATACCCCTACGGCGCCCTGCATCAGCGAGCTCGCCAGCGACCGGCCGTTGTATATACCGCCCGCAGCAACCACGAGCGCTGGTGAGCCTTTGAGCATCGTGGGCCTGTACCGCCTCGCGACGTCGACGACGGCGGGTATGAGCACCGAGTTGGCCACGTCACCGGTGTGTCCGCCCCCCTCGCCGCCCTGCGCGCAAATGATATCGACGCCCAGGTCAAGCGCCTTCACGGCGTGCTTCGGGTGGCCTACCATATTCATGACGTAGATGCCCGCGGCGTGCAGCTTATCAATGACGTGCTTGGGCGGCACACCCACGGCGCTCACAAACAGCCGCGCGCCGGACTCGATGGTGATGTCGATGAGCTCGTCGAGCTTGCCGCCTGTGTAGTCGTGGTTCGTCTTGCGAGCGTTGCCGCCGACCTGCGGCAGGGCGAGGTCGACGCCAAAGGGAAGGTCCGGGGACCTAAAGTTTTCCTTCATCTCGGCGACGATCTCGCGGAGCTGGTCCGGGGTGTACTGGAAGCCGCCTATGACGCCGAGGCCACCGGCGTTGGAGACCGCCGCGGCGAGGGGCCCGCCGGATGTGCGCGCCATGCCGGCTAGAAGGATCGGGTGTTCGATGCCCAGCAGCTGGGTTATGGGCGTCGTGATGGGGCCAGAGGGTGCCATCCTGTCTGTCTTGTCTCAGGCTTGGTGTTCGAATGTCTCAATCTGTGTCACGGAGGATTCGGTAGTGTTCGGGAAGTGCAGCGTATGGTGACAGAAAATCTACAGGAAACAGCGACAAGCCAAGATCGAAAGGGCATCTTTAATCGACAAGCTTGGTGCTGGTAGTCGAGAGCGTGCCGAAGCACCTAGGTAATCCGGGGTTAGAGTGTGGGGTTTGGGAGCTCTTTTGCGGGGAATCACACCGAGGCAGTTGCCCTGTTGGGACAGCAGCTCGCCCACCCAGCCCCAGCTCCGGCCCCGAGCGGCCTGAAACGGTAGCCACTGCGCATGTGAGCCGGCGATCTTCTATCCCGTTGTGGACGGCTGATGTACACAGCACATTCACAATGTCATTGGCACGGAAGCGACTGGCGCGAGCCAAAGTCTTGGTCAGAATGCGCGCTGCGCCATGCACCGCTCTATTGAAATGCTGCCCTCATTTCTCTGCATTGGTATCGTAATGGCATGATCATCGTTGGCGTCGCCCGACTGTTATACAATAGGCAACTCGCGAGCTCCCGTACGCCTTGTCTACGTGCTCGTTGAGCTATCGGAAGCTCGGTAGACGTGCCGGGACGAATTCCTCGGTCCGTATGTACTGCTCTTGCGTAGTGGACCGAATGAGCGGCGCGTCGTCGCCGTGCGTAGATAATGGCGGCGATCTGTGGGTCGGGGCGTCTGACATGTCTCCCACCTCATCGACTTTGGCGTCCGACTTCCCCTCGGACGTTGGCCCCTCGGAGCCGGCGTCATGCAGGCCCCGTTCTGATGCAAGCTGCAGCGCCGCCTGTCGCTTGCGTTCCACCTCGTCGTCTTCCTCTCTCCGGATGCGCTCTTCTTCCATCTGCAGCTCCTGCATCGAGGCCTCCATTGAGGGCGCCACTGGTGTATCCGGTGTCGTGGGTCCACTTGTCGAGCTCCTCCTCACGCTCGGACTGAGCATGGAATGGCTCGAGTCAATCGTCGCTCTCGACACCGTTCGAGACATTGGCCGTCCGTCGGCCCGCCGTTTGCCCTTGCTGCCCTTTGTCCTGCTACTGCTGCGGTCGTCTCGGACCTTATCCAGGACCATAAACTCGTCGTCTAGCGGCACGGCATCTTCCTCGCCTTCGCCGTCGCTGGGGAACAAATCACCCCGAGACCGGTACGAGTCTGACGAGACCCCTGACCCCGTAGTCCCGCTGCGATTTCTAGTCTTGGCGGTCCGGCTCTGGAAAACGTCGTCGTCCGAGTCGTTTGCGAGGAGAGGTTCCGTCTCGCCCATGCCCACCTCGTCGTGCTGCCGCGGGTGATCTTGCAAGTCCGCCGCGCTTGGCTTGTAGCGAAGCGTCTTACCCAGCTTCCACGGCAGCTTGCCCAGGAACCCTATCGGCTGCGTGCTAGGGATGACGGTCGGGTCGGATTCCAACGCCTTGCTTCCTCTGCCTCGTGTGCCGTAGCTCATTCCGCGTTTTCTCTTGGGCTGATCCTGCACCTCGCCCGTGTTCTTTCGCGGCTGAGACCCCGTGCCTGCGAGAAGACGATCCCAGTCGTCGTTGCCCCAGCCGCCCAGGAATCCGCCGTCCTGGTCCTCGGCATACCAGTCGTCGTAAAAGTCGAAGCTGTATTCCGCCCGACCGCCCGCGCGATCTCGTTCCCGTTTCCTCCTAGCCCGCTCTTCGCGGTCGCCGAGACAGGGATTGGCGCATTGCTCCAGTGAGGTGGCGAGGGAGGCTAGACATGGATTGATGTAGTGATGCTGGAAGCTCCAGATTCCAGCGGCCGCATTCTCCGTCACCTCTCCGGCGTTGTGGGAGATTTGATTCCATCGCTGGCGCAGCCGCGGGTCCTCCAAGAAGGCCATGTTGGCGATGGCTGCAAGGTCTCAAGGGATGACGTCGCGGGCATAAGAAGGGAGTGGAGTGGATATACACAATCGCGCGGCCTCGACCTGGGTGGGCAGTGCAATGTCGAGGCCTCGTAGGTGCGATCGAGTGCGGCGATGGACAGATCAAGGGCGAGCGAAAAGTCGAAAGTTGAAGGGAGCCATGGGACGTGGATTGGGCGAGTAGCAGTTGGTTTCAAGTGCGCCGGAAACAAAACGCAGCCTCACCTCAGCTGTCAAAAAGTTGGGCTCAACATTCCACTAGTTGCAGGCAGACAGGTTTGGGGGGTTCGCTGCAGCTGCGGGTGCGGGTGCGGGTGCGGGTGCTGATGCGAGTGGACTTTGGATTGTCAAGGTCCATGGTGCGTGCGTTTCCGGCCATCGGCACTGTTTGTGGCTGGTGAGAGCCCTGAGGGGGACTTTCTGAAGCCTGAAGGTGCGGCTTGGGGTGGGATTGACTTTGTGGATCCGGGGAAATTGCAGAGTTTCCGCCAGGTTGCTGACCAACTGTGGCTAAGCTCTATTGTGACCCCTGGAGATCGACGTCACTCCTTCAAGGTTGCGGAATGCTTCGTCATTTTTGAACGAGTCCTTGGGATTTGAGTTTAGGGTACAGTCCCCGAGACTCGGTCAACTCTATAAAGTACAAGCACGTGGAGATTTGCTTGTATTCCGAACCACTTGCTACAGACGCCCAAACATGGCTAATCGAATCAGACAGAGCTTGCCAGGGACCATGATCAACTCGATCCCTGCGCTTGTTCGCTTGTAGCAGTCCTTTTCCATCAAACCAACACAATGCCCTGTGCCCATCGAGATATGTCAAAATGTACTAGGCGGTGACCAAAGAATGCGTGCAGTCGCACAAAGGTGCCCTAAGTGAATGCTGACACCAGCGCATTCAACTTTGCCTGGCAGAACTGTGAAACACGTGAAAGAACGTGGCTCGTTTTCTGCTTGAGCGATGCCCGCTTCTTCTTCTTCTGCTGTGTCGGCAAAAATGCAGTCGTCTCGCTGTGGGACTCGGGGTTGTCCGCAGGAGTAGCCCCCAAATTGCTCTGTCCGGATTCCTAATGACCGTTCGTCGCGGCTTGGGGTGCTGGTGGTCTCTCCGGACCGTAGGGCCTGGGCGGTTCTGGCTCCCCCGGTTGAGGCTCCTCCTCCGTGTCGTCGTCAAACTCGCTCGGATCCTCCTCGCCTTCCTCCTCGTCCGAGTAGTCGCTGCCGTCGCCGTCCAGGTGGCCGTTGCTGTCCGAGTAGCAGCTCTCCAGCGTCGCCGCCATTCCAGGCGGGACCTTGCGGCCCTGCTGTTGCATCTGCTCAATGATGCTCCTCAGCTTCTCGGCTCTCTTGGTCGCCTCGGCGGCTTTTTTGCGCCAGTCCTCGCGCTCCTCAGCCATGCGGATGATGTTGGCATTCGTGGCCTCGTGCTTGCGCTTCATGGTCTCGTTCTCCTTTTCCAAGCGCTTCGTCTTCTTGGACATGTCCTCCATTTCCTTCCGAAATGTCAGAAACAGATCATTACTGTTATTAAGCGTGTCCTCAACCTTGATCTGTCAGCAAAGCTCAGCCTAACCTCTGCACTCGACGTTTTGTAGTCATACCTGCTTGAACTTATCAACGTAGACATTGAGTTGATTCCGGAGCTCCGTCTCAGTCTTTGTAAAAGTCTGAACCTGAGCTTGGAGATTCCGCGCTCTTGTCGACTCGGCCTCGGCGAGCTTCTTCTCTCGTTCATAGCGCGCCATATTGTATTGCACCTCCAGCTCCTTGGTGCGCATCGTGGAGTGGAAGTGCAATTCGCGCAACTCGTACTGCTCGATGAAGGATTTGAACCGGTTTTTGAACCTGGGGGAGAGTTAGTCCTGGTCCATGTGACAGCGGGCGAGGGCACGTACAAGGTGTCGACGCTCATGTCCACAACCTGCTTCCGCGGATGATCCTTTTCTTCTTGAATTCCCTCCAACTTGGCTAGCAAGGCCGCATGCTTCTCGTCGTAAGCCGAGCTGTTGTGCTTCAGGTTGTCCTGGAGGGTCTTGTTCTCGTTCTACACAAGGTCAACCGTGCCCCGTCCGCTGGTGAGAGGACCGCAAACCTTGTACTTGTTGTTGTCCCGTTGCAGTTCGCGACAGAGCTTCTCGAGCTTCTCCTTGAGGCCGACCGTCTTGCTAAGCTCGGTGCGATTCGCATCCTTTTCCTTCTGCAGGGCGTCCCCGCGTTTCTTGTTCTTCTGGTTCTCTCGCTCAACGCGGCGCATGTCGGCTAACAGTTCGCTGGACCGACGGGTAAGGTGTTCAATCTTTTGCAAGTCGCTCATCTTTGCCACTTGTTGGGCCAAATCGCGGTTCGCACGCTTGACCTCGCGCTCTGTGGGGTGGTGTTAGCCCGGACACTCCTCATCATGTTTGTCTCCGACGCAATTCCCTGCACGAAATGACCCTGCCCTGCTCCAGGCCCTCTGACCGTGGCTCTCGCAGGCTTCGACAATCCTCCATACATATGGGAGCCGATGCTCACGCGACATACTGAGTTCGGCCCACCCGGGAGGGGTAAGGGTATCATGGGAGGCGGTACGCACCAATCTCAGCTTCCTGATCCTTCTCTCCAGCTGATTCTTGCTCTAGCTGCGAGATGCGTTGCGCGAGTAGCTTTGCAGACTCGTTGGAGTCGACCGCCTTCTTCTGCTTTCCCTTCTTCAGAGACGCCGCCGGCGGGTGGGCGTGACCATCTTGACCGTTGGACATCTCGGCGTCGCCCTGGCTGGGGGGCATCTACTCGGCGGCAGGAGGGGGGGCAGTGGTGTGTTCCTTGCGGCCTTGTCGTCACCGACGAATTCGCATCCGTGTTCGATCGATCGAGCGGGTCGGTGTCGCAAAATCAAGCGGGTGTCGAGTCGTGTTCCCCCGCGGCAGTGCCACCGGGATGTTCAGAGCAGCAGTCGGTTCGTGTGCTCTTATCGCTTTCCCCTTCATCGACCTCCTTTGTAGATTCTCAAGGTTGGACAGAAAGACGGGCTAGAGAAAGGTAGCGTGGTCTGGTGGTTCAAGCGTGCGCATTAGAAATGCCACTGTACATGGGAAAAACGAGTGGAGGAGACTTGCTGCAGGGCCTCGTACCCGAACAAGATGTCGAGTACCTCTTGGGGGTCTCGGCCGACGAAGCCAACAACTCGGTTAAGCGGTCCCCGGTAAGCGTAGCGGTTAATCGATACGGCTACCGATATTGGGTTGAGTTTGGGAGGGAAAAAAAATACCAATTGCCCACGATCCCACTGGTCGCCTTTGGTATCGCGGTTTCGTTGGCAGCGTGGAAGGGAGGAGAATAAAGTGCACCCGGAGAAGGGCCACGAGGTACTTGCCTAGCGGACAGCGTCCCAATCTACCGGGCGGCGTCGCTGTTGTCAGTTGCACCGTGTTAGCTGCTCGTTAATGCGTTACGCAGGCCCACTGACCCTGTAGTGCCCCGGAGAGCGTTTTGATGAATATGAACCCCACATGCGCTGTGTGATGACGAATAGCGGCGGAGCAGCGCCGGCGACGCCTAAAAATTTCCAGCGCTCCAAGTCAGCTGGCGCTGCGAATTGCCTCCTACGCTCCACATTGGCTCCTTCTGAGTTGTAGGCCGTCCAGTCATTCTTGGAACGAAGCTCTCCCTCCTTCCCGACTATGAGGCCCGTCTGATCCTCTGCAAGCCATCCTCTGCCATCCTTTCAAAATGTTGCGCAACGCCGTCAGCACGGCCAAGAAAGCCGTGACAGAGCTCTCTCAGTATCCCAAGCCTGGCGACAAGCTCCATGGCTTCACATTGCTGAGGACGAAGCACGTGCCCGAGCTGGAGCTGACTGCTCTTCACCTACAACACGACAAGACCGGGGCAGACTACCTGCACATCGCCCGCGACGACAGCAACAATGTCTTCTCGATCGGCTTCAAGACCAACCCTCCCGACGACACCGGTGTGCCCCATATCCTGGAGCACACCACGCTGTGCGGTAGTCAGAGGTATGGTTGTGGCTCTTGTGCCTTCAATGCCTTTCCTTGCTGACCCAAACCCCAGATACCCTATCCGCGACCCCTTCTTCAAGATGTTGCCGAGGACTCTGTCCAACTTCATGAACGCCTTCACGGCCTCGGACCACACCTTTTACCCATTTGCGACCACGAACTCGCAGGATTTCAAGAACCTCATGTCGGTATACATGGATGCGACGCTGCATCCTCTGCTGAAGGAGTCTGACTACACCCAGGAGGGATGGCGGATTGGACCGGAGAACCCGCAGGCAGCCGAGGGTGAGGAGAGCGATCTCGTCTTCAAGGGAGTCGTGTACAACGAGATGAAGGGCCAGATGTCGGACGCCGGTTACCTGTTCTACATTCGATTCCAGGATCACATCTTCCCCGATATCAATAACTCTGGTGGTGATCCACAGAAGATTACCGACCTGACGTACGAGCAGCTGCGTACGTTCCACGCTGAGCACTACCACCCGAGTAACGCGAAGCTCTTCACGTACGGAGACATGCCCCTATCGGACCACCTGCAGGAGGTCAACGCCCAGCTCAGCGCCTTCGAGAGGATACAAGAGGACAAGACTATCCACCAACCAATCACCCTGGCTGCTGGGCCCAGAGACGTCACCGTAAAGGGTCCTCTCGATCCACTGGTGGACCCCGACAGGCAGTACAAGACGTCTGTCTCCTGGATCATGGGAGATTCGTCCGACGTCGTCGAGTCCTTCTCCCTGGCGCTGCTCTCTACTCTTTTGATGGACGGCTACGGATCTCCTCTATACCGTGGGCTGATCGAGGCTGGCCTCGGCACAGACTTTAGTCCCAACGCCGGCTACGACAGCTCCGCAAAGCTGGGCATCTTCTCCATCGGATTGACTGGCGTTCAGGAGGCCGATGTGCCCAAGCTCAAGTCCGAGGTCCAGCGCATCCTCCTGGAGGTCCGTCAAAAGGGGTTCGACAGAACAAAGATTGATGGATCTCTCCACCAGCTGGAGCTGGCTCTGAAGCACAAGACAGCCAACTTTGGCATGTCCATGCTCCACAGACTCAAGCCCAAGTGGTTCACGGGTGTCGACCCCTTCGACTCACTAGCGTGGAACGACACTATTTCAGCCTTTGAAACCGAACTCGCCAAAGGCGGGTATCTGGAAAGCCTGATTGACAAGTACTTGTTGAACGACAACACCTTGTCCTTTACCATGTCGCCGTCAACCACCTTTAGCGAAGACCTCGCTCGCGAGGAGAAGGAGAGGCTGGCCTCAAAGATCCAGCAAGCATCCCAGGAAGCCGGTGGTGACGCGGCGGCTCGCAAGAAGTTTGAGCAGCGCGAATTAGACCTTCTCGTCGAGCAGGGCAAGTCGAACACGGAAGACCTGAGCTGTCTGCCTACGGTGCACGTCAAGGACATCCCCCGAAGCAAGGAGCCCGTGGTTGTCCGCGACGAGACCGCCAACGGCGTAAAGATCCAGTGGCGCGAGGCCCCGACAAATGGCCTGACCTACTTCAGAGCCATCAACAGCCTGGAAAACCTTCCCGACGAGCTCAGAGAGTTGATTCCCCTCTTCTCCGACAGCATCATGCGCCTCGGCACTAAGGACATGTCCATGGAGCAGCTCGAGGATTTGATCAAGCTGAAGACAGGAGGCGTGTCCGTGGGCTACCACTCGACGCCCTCCCCCACCGACTTTCACCAAGCGAGCGAGGGTCTGATATTTACGGGTATGGCCCTGGACAGGAATGTCCCCGTCATGTTTGATATTCTGCGCAAGCTTGTACAAGACACGGATTTCGACAGCCGGGAGGCCGCCCTACGCATCAGACAGCTCCTTCAGGCCTCTGCCGACGGTGTGGTCAACGACATTGCCTCATCCGGCCACCAGTACGCCCGCGGCTTCGCGGAAGCTGGGCTTACCCGGAACGCCTGGTTCAGACAGCAGATCGGCGGTCTCTCGCAGGTCAAGCTCGTCACGTCGCTTGCCAATCGTCCCGAAACGGATGGTCTGGTGGATGTCATTGACAAACTCAAACAAATCCAGAAAATCGCGCTCGCCGGTGGTAACTTCCGCACAGCACTCACTTGCGGGGCAGAGAGCACGGGCGCCAACCTGAACGCCCTGACTAGCTTCATGTCGACCCTTCCCCAGGATCTGCCCTTGCCGTCGGCCTCCATACCCGCCACGCTGCAGAAGAACATCAAGTCCTTCTTCCCTTTGCCATACCAGGTTTATTACGGTTCTCTGGCGGTGCCCACCGTTTCGTACACGTCCGCGGACGGAGCGCCGTTGCAGATCTTGGCGCAGCTCCTCACTCACAAGCACCTCCACCACGAGATCCGTGAGAAGGGTGGCGCCTACGGCGGTGGAGCGTACTCGAGGGGATTGGACGGTCTGTTTGGATTCTACTCCTACCGTGACCCCAACCCCCAGAACACTCTCTCCATCATGCGCAACGCTGGTCAGTGGGCCAGGGACAAGGCATGGGCTGATCGCGATCTCGAGGAGGCCAAGATCTCCGTGTTCCAGGGCGTCGATGCTCCTCAGTCAGTCAACTCGGAGGGCATGGGCAGATTCCTGTCTGGCATCACGGAAGAGATGAAGCAGAAGCGCCGCGAGCAACTGCTCGACGTTTCCAAGGACCAAGTGCGCGAGGTTGCCCAGAAGTACATTGTCGACGCTCTCGAGAAGGAGGAGGAGAGAGTAGCCTTCTTGGGCGAGAAGCGCGCGTGGGTGGACGGCACCTGGAAAATTCACGAAATGGACATCAACGGCGCCGAATAAGCCACGCCGCGACCGGCTTGTACCATAGAGACCGCAGAAAGGTGAACCTTTTGGTCAAATCTGTAACCATAACTGTACAGCACTCATGTGTAACATTATACCCAACTCTTGAATAGAAGCAGCTGTATGAGGTCCTTTCTTCTTCTTCTCTATACACGGACGCGTTCAGATACGATACGTCTTCCTGCCAATCTCAATGGCTTGGAGACCACTAGACAACGCAAGATCAAGAAGATGAGCCAGGGTAGCCCGTACACTGTACGGACTAACCGGCCAGGCTCGTGCTATCAGACCCGACATCCTCAGCTTTGGATCGTTGGACTAAGGCGCAGAGTACATGCAACGTCGTCAAAGCCCGGTGGTGAGCACGCGGCGAGAGCCAATCAAGTGCGACCAATTAGAAGCCAGCAAATCCAGGCCGAGTGACAAAACGGGAGATGGCCCCAGAGACAGCGCCCCGCATACGTCACCTCCTAGGCACAGCGCCACAAATGCCTCGAGAATCTGGCCAAGTAGTACATGGTAGGCTTCATGGGCTTCAGCATCGGCAGTGCGGCTCGCGAGAGCGGTCGCGAGAGGCCCTGAGCCAAAGAAGGCTTGGGGATGCCGAGGGCCATACCGAGTGGACATCTGACGGGAGGCAGCCCAGGAACAATTCGGGGTTGGGAGCAGTGTGTGTGTGTGGGAGAGGCACATGCTTCTACACCTTTCGTCCCAAGTGAGCGGCCGTCGGGGACAGACAGAGTGCCATCGACAGTCAGCGATTTGTGACAGAAGCTCAACCGGGCCGTTACGGAGTGAGTGAGCTGCTTGGGGAAAGAGTGCATGGAAAATCAGGCTAATTATGCTAACCGTCCGAGTGGACATGCGTTGAGGGAATTTTCTCTGGGTGGTGGGTGTTGGTGATGACAAGCGAGCGAGGCCGTGGGCGGTGGCGGCGGTCTAGACGGACAAGTCTCGTTACTTTCTGCCAACACGGGGAGATTTTCCGTTCTCAAGCAACCTGCATGCCGAGCTGTTCTCTCAGACCGAGCTGTTCTCTCAGACGAGGGAATCACGAAGGAGACACGACGTGACTGTAGGAGTCGGCGTTTGAAACGGACAGTTAGGGTTGAATCGTCCATCATACCCACATCACCGTTCAACGCCGGCAAACTTGGAAGAATCACCGGGTCCTAGCTGCGACTAGCCGCGAAGTTGACAGCAGCGAAAAAGCTAAAGCTAGTGAAAGCTGGGGCAGGATGGAACCGGAGGGGCGCGAGGATGACAGCGAGACGACCGCCGCATAGACTGGGCATCTGGAAGACGCGCAAAGTTGCGGTCTGAAAATTATCGATCTGTCAGCGCGATCGGTGATGGGAGATCCGTTAGCAATCGAGGCACGCGAGGCCGAGGAGTGTGGCTGGACACAGCACGCGGTCCTGCATGGATTGACGGGGAGACAAGATGATCAGAGACGGTCAAAAGAGGCATTGACTGGGCCACTGGCACATGGAACAGGGAACATGGGGAGCAGCTGGTGGTGGTGGTGGACTGCGGTGAATCGTGATGCATGGCAGATGGAGCTGCAAGCAAGCAGAGCAGCTGTAGGACCTGCGACGGGACGAATTTGTAATGGTGGATGATTTTGCCAACCACAGCCAACCCTCCAAGTTGAGGCCTTCCACATCCACCCACTGTGAGAGACATCCACTGCGGTACCTTGTTCTGCATGTTCCGGTGTCTGAGCTGCAAGGGTGACGGGAAGATGTACTCCGTACATGACCTCACGCTGAAGAATGAGCAAACAGTGGCGGGATCCAAGGTATCCAGACTCCAGAGCTTCAAGGTTGGCAGTATCCATACCGGGCCTCCTGCTGATGGCTCTGGACTAGGGTGGGCCGGGTACAATTCGGAACCTGAGAGGAGTCATCAGAGTCTTTTGCTTTTCGGACTTGGGTTGAGAACTTGAGATTACCCAGCTTCAGGCCGTCGTTGTTTGAATGGGACGGATATTGAAACTGGGTACGACGGGTACGACGGGTACTTACGCAGAGGGGACGGGACCTGGCGGGCCAGCATCATTATTAGGGAGGCGGCTTGAACCTTGGCCGGGAAAGCTTGGGACGTGTCCTGGCTTGTAGGTGCAAGCTGCAGGCATTGTCGCAGCGCAACGTAGAGAGCGTGTAAAAATTTGAAAGAATTGTGGGTAGGTTGCTGTTGTGCGCTCGAGGCCTGAGGAGCGTGTGTGTGTGGCCAACCACCCTCTCGGATCCACTATTAAGAGTACCAGAAAGGACCCGAGGCGAAGGCAGACGAAACCTGAACCCTCTCGCCATCGTAATAAAAAACAGACACCCCCCCGGCCACACGCTTGGTTCCTGGAACACCAACCCAAGGTTCATTGTCAACCCACACCACGCAACAGCTCCCGCTATTCGCAACTACTGTAATTGTTATACAGATACAACTGCCTGGACTCTGGTTTCGCCCTTCGTCCGGTTTCTTTGTCTCTGGTGAGTCCAGTCCTGACTGTTTTTTAAACGGAACCACGCGGTAGCGCAACTTCCCGAGAACACTGCCTTGTCACATGGCTTCGTCATTGCCAGCTCGCATCGCCATTTACCTACACACTCATTTTGCGGCTTGCCCAAACACCAAAAAATAAATCGCTCTCACAACTCCTACCTGTTTCCCCCTTTCCGTATACCACAGCACAAGGACGCATAAAACGCTCATACAGGGAATCCTTTGCTAACCAGGCCATTGTCTTCTTCCCTTTCAGATCTTGTATAAAGATCGCCCCCCCTTTCACCGCCAGACTTAGCCTTTGGTCAATTCAAAGGCAACACAGCCCACCACGGCTTCTCTGGCCGTGAGCTTTGTCAGTGACCAAGATTTCAGCGTACGAAAGACTCGACACATCGTCAACACCATCCCGCCTCCACCACCTGCAGTCGTCTAAGCAAAAGCTCGAGTTCTTTCTCTTTGACGGTTTGCTTCACCAGACGCCCCCGTCTTCTCCCACCCCCAACCAGCTGCCGCATAAGACGGGCTCTGCAGCTCTTCCTCTCGCCGAGGGGGAGTCGAGAAGACCTCGTCAGATCACTGAGGGATCTGTCTGCTACCGCTTTCGACCACCCTAGGACTCTCGTGTTGTTCTAGGTTTTCAACTATCAACCCATCACAAAACTAGGAAAAACTTGCTCTCAAAGCTAGTTTTGCCCACGCGTCGAAGCACCAGACCGACACCCACCGCCTTCCCACCCAACCCACAAACTCTCTCCAAACCACAAACCACCAAACCCCGTCAACCGCTTGGGATATGGTTATGGCAACAGCCGCGATCGAGCACTTTGCACCAGCTACTATCAATTATGCTAGTACCTACCATCAACCAGTCTTGAAGACTTCGCATTTTGTCGATCACCACGTCAAACATGGAGTCATCAACCCCAAACAGCTGATCGGCGATGCTCTCCGCCAGCGCGTCGAGAGCATCGACCATGAGATTTGTGAACCAGGCGACGAGGACACCTTCTTCGTCGGTGATCTCGGCGAGGTCTACCGCCAGCACATGCGCTGGAAGCTGAACCTGCCGCGCGTCAAGCCCTTTTATGGTGAGTCAATCATGCCGTGTGGATCGAGCTACCGTGACTAACAGAAGCAGCCGTCAAGTGCAACCCGGACCCCAAGGTCCTGCAGCTCCTCTCCGCCCTCGGCACCGGCTTCGACTGCGCCTCCAAGACGGAGATTGACCAGGTCCTTAGCATGGGTACCGCTCCCGAGCGCATCATCTACGCCCAGCCCTGCAAGACCAACTCGTACGTCCGCTACGTCAAGGCCATGGGTGTAAAGCAGATGACCTTTGACAACGCCGACGAGCTGCGCAAGATTGCCAAGCTCTTCCCCGAGGCCGAGCTGTTCCTCCGTATCATGACCGACGACGAATCGAGCCTGTGCCGCCTCAGCATGAAGTTCGGTGCCGCCAAGGAAGCCACCAACGAGCTCCTCGGCGTCGCCAAGGACCTCGGCCTCAACGTCGTCGGCGTCAGCTTCCACGTCGGCTCCGGCGCCTCCGACCCCATGGCCTTTTACAAAGCCGTCTATGACGCCTACGAGGTCTTTGAGCAAGGTCGCGCCTACGGCTTCGAGATGAAGACGCTCGACATTGGCGGCGGTTTCTGCGGCGACACCTTTGAGGACATGGCCACCGTCCTCCGCGGCGCCCTCGACGAGTACTTTCCCGTGAGCAGCAATGTCAACATCATTGCCGAGCCCGGTCGCTACTACGTCTCCGCGGCCTTCACCATTGCCTGCAATATCATTGCCCGCCGCACCGTCGAGGACCCCACTCTCAACGAGAAGCGCTACATGGTCTACGTCAACGACGGCCTCTACGGCAACTTCTCGAGCATCATGTTCGACCACCAGCACCCGGTCGCCAAGGTCCTTCGCGCCGGGCCCTCGACCATGTACGACACCAGCGCCGCCAACGCATGCCCCGACGGCGAGGGCATCCGCTACTCCATCTGGGGCCCCACCTGCGACGGCATTGACCGCATCACCGAGACCATATCGTTTGAGCATGAACTCGACGTCGGCGACTGGCTCTACTTTGAGGACATGGGCGCTTACACCAAGTGCTCCGCCACCAAGTTCAACGGCTTCCCCAACGAGCACGACGTCCTCTACGTTTGCAGCGAGCCCGGCGCCAAGGCTCTACTCGACTTGTGAGAGCCCATGGGTACAGCTTGGAGATTTTGTTTGCTCATTTTGAAATTCAATCATGAGAAAAAGGGAGAAAAGGAAACCGAAAAAAATAATAGATTTTGAGGGAAAAAAGACCCCCGGCCCAACAGCACGCGTTGTAGAAATGCAGTCGTTCACTTGATAGGGTCTCTTCATAGTCGCCTCGCTTTCCAGTCTACTAGAACATGGTTGCGAATAATACAGTTTTGATCCAGGGCCAAAAATTTCCCGTAGCTGTCCATCTCTGTCTAACCTCTATTACTCAATGATCAATGATGCGGCCGGCAACACAACCCGAAGCCCCCTGACTCTTTTTTTTGCGGGCAGCAGCAACAAACCTGCCGGCCACTCATGCAACGTCGACGTCAGGACGAGGCCCAAGAGGCTCATGCAAGGTACCGCGGCGTTGACTGCACTGCTTCCCTCACCGCACTCGCGCTCGCGCCTTAGCTGCAGCAACGATCGGATCCAAGTATGCAGGGATGCCCCCTCGAGTCTTTGTCGAACGTCAGTCTTTGTCACCACGTAGATACTGCAAGTCGTGGATTGTTCATTTTCATTACTGCTTATTCGATGCCCGTCGCCGGTAATACTCTTCTACTCGGTGGCCAGCACACGCTACGAACCCGCATCAGGAAGGGCATCATGGTTGATTGACCCCCATCAGTTTCCGCCTTTGCTTACGTCGTATCGTGATGGGGCAACCCCAAAGCTTCTCTTGCTCTCTGTCTCTGTCTAAGCTGCGCCATTAAATGCCAAAAAATAAAGTCGTGGGACGCTTTAAGAGTATTTTGTTTTTTGCACCATGCGATCCATCCGCCTTTCGTGATTCCCTTTTTCAGACCCCGGTCGTTACGTTAATATCCTTCAATACCCGCCCCAAACTCATCTCCCATTCATGAACCTTGTGCCTCATCCGACTTCATGCTTGTCCTGTCATCTAATTAACCACTTGGCGGAGAGTATTCGTCTGTACGTTGTGTGTGATGCGCTGGCGCTTCTTTTTCGAATGGTTTACGTAGCCTTTTCAGGATGGATGATGCTCCGTGCCGTGGCTTCATCGTAACCAATGACATTTGTCAGGTAGGACATCCTAGAACAGGTCAGTACGAATCCAGTACCTCGATACTATGGCACTCACTTGTCATTGTCGACCTCGCTCCATTTGAGGTCCTCGAATCTCTGTTGGCAGTCCATCCACGCCATCGCCCGCGCCTTTGGCTGGATCTTCTTGACGGTAAACTTGAATCTGCCCGTGACGGGGCGATGGTCGGATACGCGGACTTCGTGTCGCTTGTAATCCACCTGCTTGATCCTGCTGCCGCCTCGATAAAGGAGTCGATCGCACCACGCCGGCGAGCGCTTCTTCTCGCTCGTGTCGTAATTGTCTGTTCCAACGTCATACTTGTACGTCGGCGCAAAGGTGATTGGCATTTCCTCAAATGCACGGAGCTTAAAGGCAGGGTTTCGCCGCCGGGCCACGAGAAGTTGGTCTCGCTCGAGAAGCTTGGCGAGATTGTTCTGCTTCACTGCAATGACAACCGTGTCGCGCGACATGGTGTCGATGCGGTAGTTCAAGTCACCGTTGAGCAGACACAGCTCGTGGTCCAAAATCATGGTGCCGTCTCCGCCACCGACGTAGCTGTCGAGACGAGCGTTGGGATCTCGCTCGGGCGGCAGGATTTGGGCTTCGAGAATGGCGGCGACGTCGTTGTGGCGACTGTTGGCCTGCGACTGGCCTGCTGCCAAGTGACAGTTGATGAAGCACAGTGACGAGTCGTCCACCATGAACCGCACGACGATGGCGCCCTTGTTGCCGTGAAGACCGCCCATGCCTCGCTTGACTTCTGCTGCACTGAGGTTCTGGATACGATCTCTAAGCGTCGACTTGACAAAGATGCAAGTGAACAACCCAACAAGCGTGGCAGTGTGGAGCAGATGATACAGGCAGTCCGGAGGCATGTAGTCATCGAGACTCTTGAGGAGAAAATCTCTCCAGTCGCGATACTGATGACTCATGTGCTCCTGATCTGAGCCCTCCTTCTTCTTCACCTTTAGGAAGCGTTCTACTCATGTTAGCATTGATTCTTGCTGGGAGAAACGGGTAACATACTGGCTGTTGCGGTTTTGTCTTCCAGATCCACGAGCTCCTGGAATCCAAAGATGAGAATATCCGGCGAGCTGTTGGAAGTAAGCAGGCTTTTGATGAACTCGGCATCTTCTTGTGCGTATCGCAAACTGTGAGGTGTTGAGGCGCCCGCGTTCCAAGTCATGCACAGCACCTTGAGATCTTGGAACTCGCAATACTGCGTGTCCATGGCCTTCATCTCCGTCTCGTGCCAGTCGTCCTGCAGTAGGCCATCCCAAACACGGACCATGTTGTCGGCGCCGAGAGAGATGACCTGGTGGCGATCCAGCCTATAACAACTCGACGGGTCCGAGACGAGCTTCACGACAGGGTTTTTCTCGTGAGCCTGCCAGTCTTTCTTTTGAGCCCATGGCGTTGGCTCCATATCATAGACACCAATCTTGCCGGTGTTGAAGCCCGCCCAGAGGTGATCGCCAACCCCTGCAAGCGTGTTGATCTTCCACGAACTCAAGTTGACGATGCCAAGGCAGGTGAAGTCCTGTGTGCTGTAAATGGACACTTTACCATCGGCGTGACCGAAAAAGACCTTGTTCGGCTGCGACCGCACTTCGGTTCCCGAAGTCACCTCGCCCGCTGTGTCCTGAACCAGGGCGCGGACCAACACTTGGAACTGGATTTGTCCGTCCGACGATGGGGCAAACACGCGAATCTCCTTGCCCGTCGCGTGCCACAACTTGTCTCCGACAACCACTGAGAATGAATGGCCCTTGGGTAGGCGGAAGGCTTGGTGGGGGTTGTTGGTCAGGTTCGGCGTACCGCTCTCTTCATCTGGGGCCCAAACGAGTAAGCCGCCATTCTCATCCAACGACCACATCTCGTTGAAGTGGCGGTAGATCTTGACAACTTCGTGCCGGCCGTGAGCCCCTGGCTTATTCGCAGCCACGCTTTGCGTTGCAATATCGGCTTCCATCAGTTCGCCAAAGTTGTTTCCAATCCACAGTCTCTTTCCTTCCTCGTCCACATTCAGGCCGGGCTTGAAGGCCACGGTTGTAGCCTTGATTCCTTCGCCGTGGGCAAAACTCATCAATAATTCACCATCCCGAAGGTTCCACACCCGTGTCAAGTGGCCAGTCGTGCAGATGAGATCGCCGCACACGTCAAACGTTCGCGGATCGTATTTGGTCTGTATTTCGTGCATACCCTGTTTGATATAGGGCGGCCGCCGGTTGACATTGGCAGGGTCCGGGAAGTTTGGTATGTTGCCGTTGATCTCGACCTTTGATGTATTGCTGGAGGGAATCAGAGATACGGTCGGCTCGGCTGGCTGCGGTTGCGCAGGCTGAGCGTGCTGGACCGGTTGGGGCGGTTGAGGAGGCGGCGGGCGCGGCGCAGGTCTCTCTGACGTCCGCTCTGTCACCGTATTCGCACGTCCCGGTAGCCGTGATGGCGGCGGAAGATGTGTTGTTGTCGGAGTCGAAACGATTCGTTTGGGCGGGGGCTGGAAGTCAACGGAGTGGCTGACGGAGTGGCTGACGATATGGGTGTTGACGCCCGCTCTTGGAGGACGCAGAGGCGGTTTCATCGTCACGGGCGGTCGCGGCGGAGGCTCCGCAACGGTCTGCGGCCTCGCGGGAAGAGCGGGTACATTGGGCCGGTCGCCCGTGATCTGCGGAGTGATCTGACCCTTGATGAAACCATTCGTTTCCTGCTCCCGCTGGTTTCTCTTGGTCACGATTGAGTGATGGACGGGCGGCGGTGCGAATCCAACATCCAGCGGTCTGCCTCTCTGAGGCGGCGGTGGTTCCGTCTGTGTGGCGAGCGCTTTCGGTCTCGTGGGGAGTGTCGGAGGGGTCGGGTCGTGGATACTTTCGGGGCTTCCAGGTGGGCTACTGAACGGAGATGTCTCATCCCTGAGTTTTCCCCTGATTTCAGCAGCGCCGATTTGATGGTCTGCGTAGTAAGGGGCCTTTGGCTGGTCTCGCATCGACGGCTTTTCGGCACGGTTGATTGGCGGGGGCAGAGCAGGCTTGTTATCCCTCCGTATCTCGACAGATCTTCTCGGGGGCGGTGGTGAAGGTGGTTGTGAAGCAGATAACCTTGGTGACCGTCGGGGATCGAGCGAAGGGGTGTGTGGCCGACTTGGGATCTTAAAGGCCCGCGAAGTGGTTGGCGTGGTGGGTGTGGAAGAGCCAGAGTCGGCGGCGTTCAAAAAAGCTGACGTCTCAGCGATGGTGAATCTCGAGATGGAGTTCTTGGGTGGTGACTGAGGCGGCTCTACCAGGACCGAAGGAGCTTTCACCGGCTCAGGTTTCAAGGTAGGAGGGACACCTAGGGAGCGGCCGGGTGAGCGAGGGACGGGCTCGTGCAGAGGAGGTGGGAGTGACGGTCCCGAGATGCTCGCGCGCTCACGGGGTCTCGGGGGGATTGGGAGGCTTTCGGAGGAGGCTTTCGCATCTCGAAGGAACTCGGGCTTCGGGGCCGGAGAGATGGTTCGTGGTGGGGAGGGACCAGGCGCGGCGGCGGATTCACCATTCTTGTTCATGTTCTCGAACTTGGCCCTCAGCGACGAAACGGGTTTCTGGAAAGTAGTTCAGCATGGCAACGGAGCGCCGGACACGGGCAGCGTACAAGTGATGAGCCATCAGGCCCATTCTGAGCGGGAGGAGCCATGGTTGTAGCAGAGACGACAGCGGGAGCCCAGGGTGCCGATGCCCATTACACCCACGTCTGCAAGTGTATCCTCATGAGCCCTTCAACGGCGTGCCTTTTTCGAGGACTACCGCCGGCTTAGCCAAGCAGAGGACGTCGCTGGTTGTGGTATGACGAGATCGAGGGTCGCAAGGATGCGTAAGCGGGCGTGGGAGTTTGTTGCGCGCGTGTGATGGGAGAGATTCTGACAACTGTGATGGACGGCCGTGCAAGAGGGCTGAGCAGCATAATGATGCTGGGCGGTTGTTTCGAAGCTACTGAGATGCGAGAGGGAGCATGGCCAGGTTGAAAGGGCGGTCGTCACGATGGGCGCGCTGGGAAGTGAAAGAAAGCTTCGGGCGTTTTTTCTGGAGCGGTGGCAGCAAGGTACGGGAGGTTGTGATTGACGAGGAAGTGGCATTGCAATGGCCCCTTGGAGCAATAAGATTCCCAGCCGTAGCCGTTTTGCTGGGACGGCAGTGTGTGGATGGTGTACCTGATTTGCCGGTACCTGGGTTGGCGCACCAGTCTGGGTGACGGAGCGAAGTACCGTTCTCCGAGATGAGGCAGGGCAGGCCGCAGGGGAGGTGAGGGGAGGGAAAGGGAAACGTGTGCTAGGCACGTAGGCCGCAGTAGTGCTTTGCGGCGCCGTGCACAGGAGCACGAAGTAGGGTGGTGACTGACACTGACAGAGGAGGGGGAGGTAGCGGTACGTGGTGGCATGTACGTAAGGTTTGAGGGGACTCGCCATCCAAACACTGCCGTCAATTACGACTTGCGCTGCGACGTGCCTGTCCCGCCGCAGCATTGTGGCCCGTCTGGGTTTAGCAGTCCCCGTAATGACATATGGCCCTGCCAAGCCGTGTCTCCATTTCTGCCAGCCTCAACATTTGGGCCAGGGTTGAGAGCCCAGTTGCGGGACTCTGGGCGACCCCAAGAGAGAATCTGAAAGATACGGAGGCTCTCAGCCACAACCACGACGTGACCACCTGGAGGTACTTTTGCATATGTACCTCGCGGCTGGGGATACCAGGGTCGCCGCCGTTGGCCTTGGTTCCTGAGGAACTTCAAGGTTGGACACTAGTTGTTCCGTAATTAGGTGAATCCACAGCCTGATCTGCCGTTGAGCCCCCCCCCTGTAAACTACGTCCCTCAGTGCCTCAAGGGCTCGCGGTCTTCGAGTCCGGCACACCTGTCTCGTGCCTGGGGTCTGGGACTACCTACGTTCCTATCATTGCTTACCTCAGCTTGAAGCGAGCCGTTGCCGACTAACCTCTTGCAGTCTTTCGGGGTCCACAGCTCGCGTGCACGGTGCAGAAGGCCAAGCCATCGGGGATTCTCGAGCTCCACCATCAGACCATCCCACTTTCTACAGTGCGCCCTCAGTGGCAGCTTGCGCTCCGATCGACCGGGTTCACATCGTCCTCGAGCTACCCGACAGGGCTACCTTTTTTTTTTCCATTCCTTCTTGTTCATTCCGGTCTGGACTGAACAACTTTCAATTGCCTCATCCTGCAAATCGTCCGTCCATTTCTCAAACCCTCACATCCCACCGCAAACATGAACACGGTAAGTTACTCCTCGACCGTCGCACATGGTTTCAAGTTCTTGCCTGACATCAAGCCTGATCCTAGGTCAAATCATTCTGGTAAGCTTGACTCGTCGCAAACCGCTCTCGTCGTTGATCAAAACTGATACCCTTCGTCTCGCAGGCTCGGATGGGGCTCCCTCTGCGCAGGTACGTGGTCACCTGGTCCTCCCCTCCCCGTCGCGGAAGCCTAGCTAATACCGTGTCGCATTACAGCCGGCGGAGCTGCCTACTACTTTGCCAAGCAGAGCATCAACGCCGATCGTGCTGCTCGCTTTGAGGAGCAGCGCCAGAAGAAGATGATTGTCCAGTCTCTTGAGTACGGCGACAACGTTCCCACTCAGCCCGGTTCCGCGACGACCATGGGTGGTGATGCGCGCACCGACACCGCCGGCTCGCCCAGCCAGGAGTCTAGCTCCGATCCCGCCCCGACCCGCCACGCCCCGGCGACCGAATCGCAGAGAGTGACGGAGAAGAGTAAATACGAGAGTAGTACGCCATTCAAGAGTCCAAAGGGAGATCGATTCTCATAGCTACGGGATAAGAGTGGTGGATGGACCTCGATCGGCCCCGAGCTCATGTAGTATAATTGTTTGCTTGGCCGAATCTGGTCGTACATTGTATCATTGAGGACGACACGAAGAAACGATGCCCTATTTTCGCGTTTGAATTTCGGGGCAATACGTCGCGGTGGTGTTTTGTGTAAAAGCGGTGTGTACCTTGAGCCTCGGGGAGAAACAGCTTGTCAATGATTCATTAATATATCCAAAGCCCACATCATTGTATATCCGTCTGTGAATCGACAGGAGTATCACCTTCGGCAACAAAATGACAGTTCTTGAGTCGTTCAACACACGCCTACAGGTGAATGCCCTGCCTCCGTAACATGTGCACACTAACCTCAACCCGGAATATCTCAACCTCCTGGGCTTCAAGCATGAGGTGGCTGATCGGCGCAAACCGCTTAAAGGCAAGCCAACCGTTCGCACTGGGCAGATGGGTCCTTTCGGAAGATGCCGCAGAACCCCCGATTCTCCTCCAGCCTCAACCTGAGCTAAGCCACTTTCGCCGTAAGCACCCAGCTGTGGCGGCCGTTGCAGCTTGTGGTGGCGGGTTGTTTTGCTCCTGGCAGCTCAAGCTCGACGTCGACATCCCACCTCACCACACCTTTCGCCCAACTTTCTCACTGTCCGCCTGCTTTTCCAAACCCCAACCCAATCGGCAGGCATGCGAAGTGGAACACAATGGCGAACCCTGAGCTAGCGATAGCCAAGGCCTCTTTCAGTGCCATCCTCTTCCGCAAAGAGCCTGTCTCTCTCACCCGGCCCGAGATCGAGAGCTTCCACACCCTCCTCCACGACGCGATACACCAGTGCTCGCCGGCCAACGTTCAGGTTTGACGCCCTCCAACGGCCTCTCCACTATGTCGCTATTCTTTCTCTTCCCACCGTGTGCGCTTCTCTGTATGTTGCAGGTCGACTAAACTCCTGCTGCCTCTCTCTAGAAATGCAAGCGCTGGATCCTCAAGAACCTGATCTCCTCCCCAGCGCGCGTCAGCGCCGTCGGCAAATACCTGGCCGCCCTCTCCAATTCCCTTCCCGATGATGCAAAGACGAAGCCCTCTACGCGGAGGAAGCGTCTGCACGTCCTGTACATCATCAACGACGTGCTCTACCACGTCGCCGTGCGGGATCAGGACGCGCGCTTCGCGACCGCCCTGGAGGCCAGCCTGACACCCCTGCTCCACGGCGCCGCCAAGTTTCGAAACTGCCCCAAACACGCAAAGAAGCTGGAGGAGCTTCTGGCGCTGTGGGAGAAGCACAACTTCTTCTCCGCGACCGTCATCAATGACCTTCGCGAGACCGTCAAAGAAGCGCCCCATGGCGGCAAGGTGTCAAAGGGAGGACAGGACCAGACGGGGTCGAATCTCAGCTCAAGGCCCACCAAAGATGCGCCCTACATGATCCCCTCGATCCATGGCGACCCCAACACACCCTGGTTCGATCTACCGGCCGCGAATTGGCTGCCGCACCTCACACCGAACTCGACGAAGCCCATGAACCCAGACATGATCAAACCACTGCAGCTCGCCCCAGGCCCGGCGGACAAGGCCCTCGCCAAGGCGGTCAAAGACTTGCTCGCCGACGTCGAGAGGCTTTACAACCCAGGCGCGCCCCCTCAGGACGAGCAATTGCAGCACACAGACCTCAGCGAGATGGGCGAGCGCGTCGTTCTAGACGAGATCACGGGCGAGGTCGTAGACGGGGAGACGTACTACGGGTGGTCCCGCAGATTCTGCGAGAAGATGAAGCAGCGGAGGAGGAAGACCAAGGCTGGAGGAGCCGATCGCGGCCGTGAGCGATCCGACTCCAGGAGCCGTTCTAGGAGCTTCTCCCGTGGCCGATCCAGCAGGAGCGACTCTCCGCCAGCCTTGAAACGACGCAGACTCTCGCCGGACTCGCGGACTCCCAGCCGCAGTCGGAGCCGGGACCGCCGCCGTAGCCCTGAGCGCGGCGGTCGTTACGATTCTAGAGATTACAGCAGGTCGCGGTCGAGGTCGAGGTCGCGTCCTCGGTACAGGTCGCGGTCAGGGTCGCGCGATCGGAGCCCAGCGAGACATAGGGGCCGCGCCAACGCGAGCAGGTCACCGCTACCCCCGCCTGACCGAGACAATCGGCACAACCCAGACTTCGGATCCGGCCACACCACCGGCTGGGGACAGCCGCACCATCATCAGCCGCCTCCGCCGCCGCCTCCCCCCAGCTACAACTCCCCACAAACGCAAGCCTTTCCGCCGTATCCTCCGCCACCACCACAAGCGGCCGGCGGCTTCGGTCACTTTCCAGCACCGCCGCCCCCTCCTCAAGGCTATCAGGGCCAATGGCCGCCGCCGCCCCCTCCTCCCTCACACAGCTGGGCTCCTCCGCCGCCAGGCCCTGGCGTCCCGCCTCCGCACATGGGCGGGTGGGTGGCACCCCCGCCTCCACCACCGCAGCAGTTGCATCATCAGTATCAGCAGTTCGGACGAGGCAATGGCGGGTATCGTGGACGTGGGGGAAGGGGCGGAGGCTACGATCGCGGCAGAGGCGGATGGTAAAACCCCTGTCTAGCCAATGACTTTAGACCTGTAGATTAGCCAAAATACACGCAATGAACGATGCACTTTGTGTTTCCCATTTCATTCACATGAGCCTGCAGCGATGCTCAAGTCGTTTACGATGCCCGTTTTGTTACCCAAGTCTAATGTTGTGGCGAATCACGCCTGTACTCATTCATCGTCCAAGACAGGAACCAAGGAGGTGACCTCCCTCGATTTCTCGCGCTCTTCGTCCGTTCCTGCTCCCGATCCCGCTCGGGTTGAAGATTGGAGAGTAGGTAGCTGCTCATGAAGGAGGGAGCCGCGCGGAAAAAGAAAAAGGAAGCTTCATCTCCCAAGATTTTGCCCCTGGTACGCCGATCCTATCTTTCTCGTCGTTCGCCTTCTTGTGCTTTCCTTTCCTCTCTTCCCCACACAAACCGTTTTTTTTTCCGATCCCCTCACACCACTCCTCCTATCTTCACCCCAAAACGGCGGGCGGGGAGACAACTCATCCCGAGTCTGCATCCACGCGTAATAGAGAAGAGAAAACAAAGAAGTGACATCATGAAAATTAAGTATGTTCCCGGGGGCAGCGAGACCCCATCCCTAGAGCACGGAGCCTTCTTTTCCTCTGCCCAAAGTCGTTTCCTGGTTGATCCTCTGAATCATCCTTCCAGCATACAACTCATCCATGAGTTTCCCCTTTTTAAACCCCCCTCAACCGGTTGAAGGCGTATCATTCAGTGATGTCAGTCCCCGTCATGACTCCTCATCCGCCTCGGCCTTCTCTTCGCCGTTCTCTTCCGCCTCCTAGGATATCACGTTAATCAATGTTCCAAAAGGTAAAGCCAGCGCGCTGCAAGCTCGATCAAAAGGGAGTAAGAGACGACTGCCAGAAGCTGTGCAAAGGCACGCCGAGCAGGGGCAAATGACAAAGTAAAATCATGCGTGACTGTGGGCTGATCCTACCGAGTCTTGTTGCTCATGCCGACGATCCCTGCGGTCGCCATCCTGCAGCTTGAGAGAGTCTAGTCGCTTCTGGTTGTCTTCGGTGCCGTCAACTTCGTCGACGCGGGATAGAGACCCGGCGTGGGCTCTGCCCGCGGTCGGTGCGCCGTTTGCCGAACGCCTTTGCTCGGCCTGGTCTGAAATTGAAGCCCATTTCCTCTCGCGCAAGGCTTCTCTGGCCGCGGCGCTGTTTTGTTGCTCGGTGTAGTCGTGAGAGCAATCATCAAAGAGTTGGGGATTAATTTCCATGAACAGCTTCATGGCATTGTAAACCATGCCGTGAATGGTGCTTTTAATGGTTAGCGGGTCTACAATCGTCGTCTGCGGTGGTACTCACCGATTCCAGTGGCCCTTGGAGTTTTCATAAAGCGGCGCAAACATGATGGGGAGGATGATCTCGACGTTGTCGCTGACCAAGTTGCAAAAGTACTCGTTGTTCCAGAAATAGAGCGCTCGCTCTGCCACCTGGAAATGGGGACTGGCGACAGACTTGGCAAGCTGGTGGAACAGCGGTTCCTGAACTTTGGCGAATTCGGCGGGGTCCATGACTTCGAAGATGTCTTCGACCTCGTTAAGGAACATAACCTCTTTTGTGCTGTTGACCTTGGGCCAGTATCGCAACAGGCCAAGCACAACCTACAGACGTTAGTGTGGATCATGACAATATCGTCAAGCAACTCACCTCTTCCGTCAGCGACGCGTCCTTTTCCAGGAACTGGACGATGCAGTATGCCAGCTGAGGGTGGTACATGCTCAGACTCTTGACTTTGTGCAATGGTATCAACACCCTTGTCAAGAACGTCTTGTGCTCCTCCTTCAGCGGCAAGGCAAAACCGTTGATGATGGACCCCAGAATCTCCAACAGTTCGGCGATGCCATTGAATCTCTCCGTCTCATAGGTGAATTGGAAGAAAACGTTGTTGATGGAGCGGCGGATGAAAGATCGCAGGTTAAGGAATTTGCCATAGATTCGGTGGAGAGTCGTCTTGAGGAAGTCCCTCTCGCGCGGGTCCTCGGAATCGAAGAGCTCGAGTAGCTGGAGGACGAAGCTGTGATCAATGTATGCTTTGGCAATGTTGGTATTGAAGTCTTGGCTCTCGATGAATCGGAGGAAGAACTCGTAGACGACCTGGATATGCGGCCATGCAACCTCCAAGACGGGTTCGTCTTCCTCGGGATCGAATGCTTCGCCCTGGGGGTTCATCGGCGGAGGAATGGGTCGGAAGAGGTTCTTGGCAAACATCTCGACCACTCTGGGGTACATGGGTTCCGTAATGACTTGGCGGTTGTTAGCAACGTAGTCGAGCAGCTCGTGGAGCGCCAGCCGCTTGATCTCCTTGGATTTCATGTCGCCGCTGGCATCGTTGAAGTCAAAAATAACATTGCACTGGTCAATCTTTTGCATAAACAGCTCCTGGCGGCGGTTAGGGGGCACTTCGTGGAAGCCGGGAAGCTTCTCGAGCTCGCGGTGGGCAGATATGTCGAATCTCGAAGAGTGCTGTCGCTTGGGTGTTCTGAGACCCTCGGGAACGTCTTTGGGAGTCTGGTGGAGGCGGTCGAACATGAGTGACTTGGTGCCCGCCTTGGGAGGCGCGAGATCGTGCGGCATGGTCTCAGCTGCACCGGGAGGTGGGACATGCTGGGGACATCATTAGCGTTATCGAAAGGCGTATCCCACGAATGGGTCTCTTACCGGAGCACTGGGGCTGATGATGACGGTCGGCGGCAAAGTTCCATGACGGCCTGGAGAACCTCCACCGTTAGCACCTTGGGCTGCCCCCGCAGAGCTGAAGCGGTCCGGAACGGCACCTTGCTGGTTGCTCAATGGAGACGGCTGGTTCGCGGTGCCGTGCTCTCCGCCGGCGTTGTTAGGAGGCAGGGGCTTGTTACGGGCATCGGCGAGGTTCGTGGTGGAGGACGACGGTGTCGGGTTGGGTGACTGGTTGGCATCTCGGCCCGAACCTCCACCAGACGGGGATGCGGTGCCATCTTTGGCGTCTTTATTCTTCTTAGGCTTATTGGGGTCTTTGCCGCGCGAGAGCTGAGCATGCTGGGTTGTCAATATCGTGTTCAGCAGTGGGATTGGGCTCAGGGGTCGGGTATTGGCGGAGAACTCACCACCCTCTGGCTGAAGCGCTTCATTGTGGACGTCACTGTAGTGTCCCTCTCCGTGGGGCTTCAAACTCGCCCGACTCGACAGCTGCAACTAAAGACAGTAGAACGCAATGGACGCAGGTCCGATGGAGCAAGATATGGAGGAGCGCAGGGCGGTCGGTCGAGGTCCTCTGGAGGATGCAGTGGGTAGAGTATCGGCCGGGTCGAGACAATTCTGTCCCGTCGTCGAACGTGGGCAGGGCAGGTGATGCGGGTGGATTGGCAGACGACCCAGGCGATGACTGCGCAGTGAATGAAGGGTGGTGCGAAGGCGCGGGCGGAGTCTAGGTTGTAGCGAGCGCGTCGGCAGGTCGATGTCGATGTGATGATGAAAGGAGGGCGTCGCTCGGCGAGGACTGGGGTTGGGTTGTAAGGATGGCGTCGCTTCGAGATGCGAAGAGCAGGGGGAAGCTAGAGGCGAGGATTGGCGGGTGAGTCGCGACAAAGTAACGACACATCAAAATTGGCAGATGAAGGAAGCGATCGGGCAGCGAAACAAGAGAGCCAGACGCGAGAGGTTCAAGGTGGATGGGGGAATCTCTATCTCTGGATCGTCGGTAAAGCTGAAGTTGTTTGCGGGGCCCAGGTGTAAAGTGTGAGACGACGACGCGGGACCAGAAAGCAGGCCTCCCCTAGCGTGCTAGCGGCGGTGGAAATATCAAGGTAAAGAGCGAGAGAGAGGTATGGGCGCCGAGTTGTCTGGTCCTCGACAGCTGGAGACGGCCCAGTGATGCGCGGCAGCCAGCCAAGAACAGGCCTTGACACGGGGAGGGCTTTTGACGCGAGGTTGGGGTTGGAATTCGAGGATGGAAGGTTTAGATTAGGCAAATTTGACAGTTTGTCGAAGACAGGATGGGTTTGGAAGAAGAAGTAGAAGAAGAAGTGGTGTTGAAAGTGCGCATTGGGACTCAAGAGAGACACGCAGTCGGTATATGGTGCTGTAAGAGGGGACGACGAGGTTGACGAGTGGAGATCGAGGCTATGGACAGTGGAATGTCTGGTCTGGTGCTTCTACATCACTGCGGCAAGGAGGATAGGCACCCTACTGTGTAGGAATTGGGTGGGAACGGCGGGTGGGTTTTGGGCTGTTGTACTGGATACTGGCGCTGCGAGGACCACAACAGGGACACAGAAGCAGCAGGAGGTAGGTAGCAGCAGTAGCAGCATCAGCGTGCAGGTGCTGCCGGTAAATGCAGCTGCTTTCGACTGGCAACAGCTGGTGAATGGGCCGTGGCATTGTGCACGGATCTTTCAGGCATTAGGTAAGATAAGTCGCCCTCCTCTGGTTGGACAGCTTGGGGTGCTGCAGCAGCTGCTTCTTGGCCTTCGACGATTGTGACTGGTTGAGCGGGAGCTGGACCCTAGAGCTCAATTTCTCCTGACGGCTGTAGTGTTGTTCCGGAGGATTTGACGGGTCCGGGTCGGGTCACTGCACCAGCGGTTTTCCCTGGCCCCCACAGACCATCTCCACAATGGATGGAAGGTGATGACAGCACACAGCCAAACCGTGCAGCGCAATTGAAGAAAAGGGTCTCGTCTCTTTTGCTCCGTGCCACGAAAGGTGGACACACACTGTGATAACATCACCGTTTACACGTTGCAAGTCACCTGTGAGCCCTTGCAGGGACCTCTCCTTGGGACTCATCCCGCGCCATGGGTCCAAGCTGCCTCAGAAACAATCGTCGCCCAGTTCTCCGGGAACAAGTGATCAACATTGGACGAAAGGGCCAGCTGAGGGATCTGAAACGCGAATACGTCCGTTTCCATTCCTGTGAGACTAGGAATCGCTGTCAATAGAGTCGATGGGGTTCTTGGTGGGAGAATGTCGCCCGTCTCTCACGTCCTTATCTGTGTCTGAGACGAGATCCATCTGAAGTGAGTCTCCTCAGCCAGGTGCGTTTCTCGTAATACATGTGGTGTTCAAGAGAAAGCTTCATGACGGCTTTTCGTAAATTTTGGCTCAGGGGAACCCATTGCCATTGCCATTGCATGAGCTATACAGTGCAGGGACTCCATTCCGCCCAGAGCATCAGCTGAAATGCTGTGACCCTTCGGTACGGGCTGCACTTCGCACCGTGCATCAATTCTATCTCAGTCGCTCGGAACAGCATCAAAATTCCAGTGACGGCGCCAAAGCGACCAAAACGGCACTGGCCTAGACTTCAGTCTCGCCAAGAAGTTTCCTCCAAGACACTTTCACTACACAGTCTCCTACGGGTTCCAAGCCAATCGGTTGGTTCTGACTGGCAATTGGCCAACTAACTCCGAACCTCAACCCAAGTCTATTCAACGTGCAAGCCGTCGCCATGGACACCGAGGACGAGCCTGTCAATGATGAGTTGGCGGAAGAGGGCGTCGCCAGCCATGTTGACCCGAAAAAGACGGCCGGTGGCCCATCAGTGTCCCACAAAGACAGCAACTCAGCACCCCGGTTCCCGATCCCCAAGAGAACCATGGGCGCTGTCGAAATTCCCATGATTGTCATGAACCTAGATCGGACAGAAAAGGCGTTTGGTAACATCTCGTCTTTCCAGAATGTGCGTCGCGGCATCCTCCCGGGTCTCTGTCGGGTACTGACGCCATGTCCAGATCCTTGACAGTGAGCGCAACACAATTCCATTCTATCTCAACCCAGAGAGCCCTTTCCGCAGACCCATCATGTCTCACAGTGCTACGAGCCACAATGTGGTTTTGAAGGTCACGGTCCCGAAGCGGACCGGCAGGAAAAGGAAGAGGGGGACGGACGGGCCGTGGGAAGGTGAAGTCGAGATGCGAGATGTGCCCAGGGCCAGCCCGACAGCGGAGGCGATTTATTCCAGGTCAAGGCTGGACAACCCAAAGCTCCTGCGACGGAAAATGCAAGACAACGTCGAAAGTTACCATGTAGAAGCCGTCGGCGTCATCAAACACACCCACCGCTTCCGAGGTGAGCACGTTCGTCTGGACACGCCGGGCTCTACTGACGAGATATAGGTATGGCGGATTTCCATTGGGGTCTCGAGCAGTCCCCTTTCATTTCGAGGTTCATGAACCAGGTCATGCCTGGCGACAGTAAGTCAAACTCCAGTGCCAAATGAACCGCATCTAACCTGCCGCAGTCACCCAGATGAGAAACTTCAAGTTCATCGACGGTGTGGACAAGGGGCCAAACGTCGACATCATACCGCCGCCGGTATGGACGCCTATGACGCTTCCCTTCATTTACAACTATTCCCAAAACCCCTACGTCCGCACAGAGCTCGACCAGGCAGGCCAGACCCAGCTCATCAACACCCAGCTGCCCACCCTCATCGGCTACTTTCTTAAAGCAGACCAGTACCCCATCCCGGCTGGCCCGCAGACCCCTTATGACGGGTCCGACGAGGAGGTCACCCACTGCATAGCCCGCATGCAGGAGGCGATGAACGAGCGGCCCATCTGGACGCGCCGATCTCTGATGAACAAGCTCGGGTCTATCGTCCGTAACGCCAACGTTATGAAGCGTTGCGTCGGCTATGTCGGCTACCAATTCCGCGGCGGGCCCTGGCGCGATGCAATCATCAAGTACGGCATCGACCCGCGCAACGACCCGGCCTTCCGGACCTACCAGACGATGATATTCAACATGCGCAAGCTCCAGGCTGGTCACATTGGCGAGACATGGCACGCTATCCGCAGCCTGCGCACCGAACAGCGCCAGCCCCAGGGCGACAACCACGAGTCCCACGTCTTTGACGGCAAGTCCTACTGGACCGACGGCAAGGTCTGGCAGATTTGCGACATTACAGATCCCCTGATTGCAAACATCTTCGCTACCGCGCCGCAGCGTCCCGAGGTCGACATCTACAACAGCGGCTGGTACCATCAGGGCACTTGGGCCAAGGTGAAGGGCATCATGAAGACCAAAATGATTGCGATTCAGTTTGGGCGCAAGCTCAAGGACGAGGACTTTGCAGGCATCTATGAAGTGCGCGACACGACGCCGCCTCCGGGAGCCTCGAGCGTCCACGTGCCGCTCCCCGACCTGGAGCTCACCGATGCCGAGAAGCGCGTGCTGTACGGCCGACGGTTCAAGGAGCCAAAGAAGAAACGCAAGGGCACCGCCTACCGCGTCACAAAGTCGAACGGGCCGCGGGGCGTCGCAGCCGCGGCGGCGGCGGGCCGCGCTGCCGGGAAAGAGGACGAGCTCATGTCTGGTGCGGAGGACAGCCTTGATGAGGATGACAGCGAGGGAGACGACGATGATGATGACGATGGCGAGTACGGTCCCGAGGAGCGCGTCTACGCACCCGTACCTGGGCTTGATGAGGGTATGGAGCGAGAGGAGGAGGAGGAGGGGCTCGAGGAGGAGTACGGTGATGAGGACGAAGACGGAGAGGGCTACGGTTACGATGACGACGGCGAAGGCTACGATGAGACGCTCGTCTACGGCGATACCGGCGAGCGGCGTGATGTTGAGTTTGCAGATGAACAGCCCGGCGAGACGGATGTGGATGCGGCGTACCCCTCGGCAGTCCTGCCTTGATGGGTCGTTGAAAAGAGGGGCAGGCCGCTGTCAGTAACACGGTGAGCCTTTGCGGCCCCAAGATCATCACAGTAGACAATTGGCTCGAAGTAGAAGCCGAGTTTCACTGGCATCAAATCGTTTCGTATTATGCACTCGTTTATAAACTACACCGAAACCCCCGTCCTCGGACATCGTTCCGCGCCCGTACCCTACGCCACCATGCTCCGCTGAACCAACTCGCCCAAGCTTGAGACAAATGGTAAAAAAACGGAGAATTACCAAGCCAAACTAACTCGGCGACGAAGAATCTCGCCTCCACGAACGTATGCGTAGGACAAACTGTGGACCTCACTGGACTCTAAGCACCTTGGTCTTGTTCTCCTTCTGCTGGCGCATGCCCTCGACCCACGCGGCCGTCTCCCGGAGCGCCCGCCGGGGATCCTTCTTGCGCTTCAGCAGGAACCCCTGGATCTCGGCGGGGCTGAAGAGGCCGTTGGGGATCAGCTCGCTAAACTCGTCGGCGATGCGTCCCAGCTCCTCGGCGTCGAAATGGTGGCGCTTCTTGTCGGCCTCTGCCGCCGCCTCGGCGACCTCTGGCGATGATGGTGGTGGTGGTGCTGAAAGCTTCTCTGACGGCGGGGAGGCGAAAGAAGACTGCGCCGAGGAGGGAGTCGACGACGACGAAGACGAGGCCGTCGACGAAGAAGAGAATGCACTGCCGTTGCCGTTCACTACGATGGGCGGCGCAGGGTTCGTAGGCGGCGCTACGTGCCCGTCGACGCGCTTCGCGGGGCTCGCCTCGTCGGCCTCGTACATGCGCTGGAAGAGCTCCGTCGCCTGGCCCGGCGTGGCGTTCGTGAAGCCGACCTGCAGGTCGACGCGGCCCGGGCGAATGAGGGCCTCGTCGAGGGATTCTGGCTTATTGGTCGTCATGACGAGGATGCGGCCCTCCTGCGAGGCGACGCCGTCGATGGCGTTGAGGAGGCCCGAGAGGGAGATGCCCTTCTTGTCGTCCTTGACTTCCTTTTTGAGGGCGCGAGCGAGGTCGGAGACTTTCCAGTCGTCCTTGTTTGTGGTGGTGGCCGTTGCCTTTTTGCTCTTTTCGTCCTTTCCGCCATCCTTGTCGGCTTTGTTGTCGCCGTCTTTGGTACCGCGGGGGGGAGCGGCGGCGGCGTCGCTCTCTTCTTCGACACGGGCGAGACCTGCGGTGTCAATATCTTCCAGAAGCACAACGCAGCGGCGGGGCAGGGAGTTGAACAAAGTTCCGAGGTCCTCCTCCGTCAGGGTGGGCTCGAGTAGGGAAATGACAAAGATGTCGAGGCCAAAGACGCCGGCGAGCGCAAACGACAGCGAGGTCTTGCCGGTGCCGGGGGGTCCGTAGAAGAGGTACCCCCGACGCAGCGGGATGCCGCGGTTGGCGTACCAGCGGGGTGTAGCTGGATGAAGGTACTCGTTCATGTCGGCGAGGACCTGGCCCTTTTGCTTCGGGTCGAGGACGACGGTCCGCATAGGCCGGACGGGCCGGTTGGCGACCTGGCTCCAGTTGTAACGGCCGCCGTACCGGCGCATCGGCGCGGGGCTGGGCCGCTTGATAGTCGTGCGGGCGTAGTGGTCCTGATAGTAGAACTCCTTGACGAAGCGGAGCAGCTCCTTGATGGGCTCCGGGCTCCGGCCGAAGCACGATACGATGAGGTCCTCTTCCTTTCTAAAGGTTCCGTAGTTTGCCTCGCCGTCGAAGACGGATTGCTGCTTTCTGTGGAGCCTAAAGTAGCGGCTTTTGTACCAGAAGCCGTGGACACCAACAGCAGGGACGTATCGCGGGGGCTATTCATTGTTAGTAGCGTCTTTCAACTCAAGATGAAGGAGACTTACAGCTTTGGCTTCTTGGTTGGAAAAGTTGAGAAACTCGGTCGCGCCGCTGCCACTCCCGGCAATAGTCCTCGTCTGCAGGGCCTCGAGCTCTTCCTCCTCCTCCCACGCCGTCTTACTCACAGTCTCGGCGGTCAGAGAACGAGAACTCGCCATCAGCGGCTGAAGTGCTAACCACTTCATCATGTGTGTGTAAATCTCGTCCGTGCTTGAGATGTGAATGGAGCTCATAAAGTTGTCCTGGACGAGTCGGAAGACTGCGCCGTATGCTTGGCGGACGACCCGGTTAGCAGCCCAGAAGAAGCCCGCCAGAGTCAGGATCAGTGTCGGGTCGATTCCCAGATTGGAACCGATCATCTGGTATAAGAGCATCAGGGAGCGGACGACGGGGTTGAACTGCCCACCCAGCATTGGCAGCAGGCTCTCCATCATCTTGTTGTTGCCGGAGTAGCCTCTTCCGCCAGTCATGTTCTCCGCCATGGCGGTCAAATTGCCTTTCCAGAGGGTTGAAAAGTCCATCTTGCCCAGTTCTATCATGGCGATGGGTAGCAATGAGGAGTCGGTTGAGCAGATGGATAGATGGAGACGCCTGCTTGTTTATATACATCAACAGAGACGCACGCCCATAAGGCAGAAGCAGTGAAATTGTGGGTTCAAAAAGATCAGATGAAGTTGAAGAGGCAACCCGATGAGAACGAGCCGCGTTCCTGGTTAGGCTACCGGTGCCTTTGTGCCTAATAGTAAACAGAGCACAAGGGCAAAGTACTGTGCATTAAGAGACCAGCTAAGAGATTACGCCTCCGTAGCCTCGCAGTCAACTCTGCACTTGCCTGAAGTCGGATTCCGAGACGGCGGAGGTGAGGCGAAAACAGCAAGTAAGCAGAGCTGCCTGGGGTGGCGAACGAAGCCACGACCTTTGCCATGAGCGCGGCAGCATGATTTCAGAACTAAGTGGACATTGCGGCTTCTGCGATTGCAACGTTGGATGGCTCCAGCCAGGTGACTGCAATAGAGACCGAAAGAGTGAAAGAGTGTGAGGGGAGCGTACGTGGATGCGTCAACGTCATCAGCAGTTCGCTGGAACTAAGGTACCGTAAGCCTGCCTGTCATGCTCGGGATGGAAATCGGTTGGTCTAGCGCGGTAGACCAAAGGTGATCCTCGTTCACGGCAGGCAGTGAAAGGAAAACCACCTGCAGTCAAGGTTGCACTTGCGCTTGCAAGGCCGCATGTGAGTCATGGGATCTAGATCTCCCAAGACTGAGACGCGGCATCCTGGTAACTGCAACGACTGTTCGTAAGGGTTGGGATGACAAAAGGTTGGCTCCGAGGGACTGCCCAGTTCAGGACCGAGTTGCAGTATCGTGTGTCTTTGTCGACGCTAAGAGGGGGCGAAAGACATGCAGAGAAGTTGAGGACTCGACGCTGAGTGGGTGCAGCACCCGAGAGACTAACGCCCGCGCTGTGACGGGCTCGAGGCCGCCACCGCAGTTCCTTGCCCGTGTGGCTCAGGGCACTGGGCCGCTTCTGGCCGCCACTCCAAACTTCAGCTGGTGAAGGCCTTTGGCAAGTGCCGTCTTACCCGTGTAACGGTATCCACACCGGCCGACCCTGTCGGAGATGATCCACTTTACTCGGTGCCGATGGCTACTGCATCCGGTCCAGGCTTTGTCGGCCTTCCGGCTGCCCGATGATGGATCAACTGGTATGAATGATGTTCAATGAGGGTGCAAATTCGCAAACTGCAAACAAGCCCAACTTAAATTCGACTGTTTTAGAGATCTCAGTCCTTTGAAGTATGCAATGGTTAAACTTTTTTGTGGCACGCTCAGCACCTTCAAGACGTACTTTGCGTTCGCTGGCTCATGTGCTGGGAAACGATGCATTAATGGAAATGGATGCGCGCGAAGCCTTATTCGTCCAGAGTACTTGATAAGGGCCGAACAAGCCCTCCGCAATCCATGTTGGGACACCTCATCACATTAAACGGGCAGAATCGAGGTGACGCCGGCGCCATCTCTCATGGCCATGCGTTAAAAGCATCAGTATGTAATTGAAGGGGCGGCGTTCCCAATGTTTATCTTCCGTCGTTGGTTCTACTAGCAAAAGTAGTGGTCCAAAGGCCTCCCGATGCCAAAACAAATCGTCCTTCTCAATTCCTCTGCTCACTCTTGCTCGCTCAGTCCGTGAGCATAATTCGTTCGAGCTAGCGATACTTCTCCGCTACCTCCCATTCAATTGAGATGACACTGCAGAATACATATTTTGCTGGCCCCCTCGTTCATGCCAGCCCGGGCGCAGGGCATGTCGCAGTCGAAATCCTTGTACGAGTCGCTGGCGCCGTTGGCGTCGTTGCAGTTATGACAGGCCGCGATGCTGGGTTTTCCATACTTGCGCGCCGGGTTCTCGCTGATCGGCTCCATCGACTGGGCGCCGACGATGCCGATGGCGAGGAGGGAGGTGGTGAACTTCATATTGATCAAAGTGGAAGAGGGTGCGTCAAAATAGAGTTGTCTAGGTTTTTAGGCTAGAGAGCTGCCCGTGCTGAGGCAGGATGACAAGATCTCTCGGAGCAATCGTGGGCAGTGTACCTGAATGACGGTTTTTGGCCATCGACGAGGGTCGTTGGTTTAACAAGGATTGACTAAACAGTCGAAAACGATGAGACTGCTTCCATGATCGTTTCAGCCAGAGATGCCTTGGACAGGCGTCTCTGATATTCCAGCCCGCATCCGAAAGTGCTTGGACTGCTCTCTATCAATGCTAGTCGTCTAGAATGTCCTTTAATCTGAATCTTCATCACTGTAGTCGCCCTCACTATCGTCGTCTTCATCATCATCAAACTCGTCATCTTCGTCTTCTTCAAGCTCCTCCTCATCCTCGTCACCCTTCAAGCCATAATCGTCGTGGAAGAAGGCAAGCTGCTGGACATCCGTCTTGTAGCCCATCTCCTTGAACGCCTTTTCAATGTTCTGTCACACCATGTCAGCCTATGTAAGATGGCAATTGCATCGTAAAGACATACCTCTTGAAAGATCGGAGCGCAGGTAATAACAACGTTGCTCTTGCCCGGCTCGAAGACAGGCAGGACGAGCTCCTTCAGCACTGTCTTGATCTGCTCATCCGTCACGTCGCGGACATCCCTCATGACCTTCTTGTGCCAGTCCAGTGGCAGGCTCCGCACGACACCGAGCATGAAATTCTGCGCCGCGGACGATGCCATTGTTGCCTGTTCGTCCGCGAATTGGACGACAACCTGGCTGATGGCGCCCTCCTTGAGGTGGCGGTCAATCTCGACCTCACCCTCGGCGATTTTGCGAATCGTCTCACGCGACACCGCAAACGCCTTGCTGGCGTCCGGCGAGCGGTATACCTTGTACTGGATCACGCCGGCGTCCAGCTCGCGGCCAAAGTACGAGCCGTACGCCAGACCCTGGCCGCGAACGGAATTCCAAAGGGGGCCTTCGGTGGTTTCGAGGTAGCCAATCGCCACCATGATGGCAGGGAGCCTGGGATCGTCAAAGGACGTGATGCCCTTGGCTGTGCTGACGCCGTAGGAGCTCTCGGCTGTGGTCATGGGTACGATGATGGCGCCAACAATTCCGGGGTTCTGGCCCTCCTTTGTGAGCAAGGTATGCGGCTTGATGATGGGAAGAAGTTCGTTGGAACCCTTGAGGTTGTTGCTCAGGATATCCCAGGCCGCCACAGGCTCGGGCAGGCGGGCGACATCAGCCGTGACGAGGATGCGCACGTTGTTCGAGGTGAAGAGCGACTTGCGCAACTGCTCAAACCAGGAGAGGACCTTTTCCGGGTCGGAAGCAATAAGCTTCTTGAGGCGACGCAGGTAGATTGCTCTCACGAGTGCCCGCTTGGCAACCGAATAGGACTCCTTCTTCATGTGGATAGACATGTCGATTTCAGATGCCATTGATTTACCGTCACGCTTCAGCTCGGGGATATCGGCCAAATGCTTCTGGACGCCCGCCTTGAGGCGCTGGATGTCGAAAACGCTGTCAAACATCATGGTGCGGATCCAGTTAATGACGGTGGAGTACTTTGCGGGCTCGATCTGGAACTGGATCATGACGCCGTCGGGATCGCCATAGTCTCTTGTAGAGCGCAGACCATAGCTAATGGTGTCCTGCTCCAACTCCATGACGACCTGTTCGAAGCCAATCTTCTCTCCATCGCGCATGATGGGAGTGTTGAAGAAGTTGTCGTTGAAGATGGGCAGCAACGGTTTTAGCTCGATCGGCACCTGCGATGTGCCGAGGTAGACCGTCAGGTGCACGAAGTTGGTCGGCACACTCTCGAACTGGATAAAGAGGTGGTCTTGTCCCTGCTTGGCGCTGTCAATGACCTTTTGCGCCGCATTGTCGATAAGACCGAGGCTCTTGGCCTTTCCAGACCTCGCCGTTTCGGACTCGATGAAGTGGATCGACTCGGTACCCGGGACAGCCCACTGGTCGATCACGGAGGCCGGGATAGGCTCGTCGTTCTTGGCCTTGGCAGCCTCGAGGCGCTTCTTGAGGTCAGCCAGGCCCTCGGCGCCGAGCTCCTCCTTTCTCTTCACCAGTCTCGCTTCCTCTTCGGCCTTCTGCTTCTTTGCCAGCTCGTGGGATGGCTTGCCGAGAATGGAGACGTGGGGAGCATCGGAAAGCCACTTGCGCAAAAAGTCCCTCCATTGGCCATCGGTCCACTTCTCAAGCTCCTCGTACTCGGACAACGACTCCAAGTCCTTGAGCGTGGAGCCATCGCGTTGACCAAAGAGATAGTCCGTGATGATGTTGCTGGAGTAAAAGCCCTCAGACTCCTCGGCCTGGAACTTGACTTGAAGGCGTTCGCGGTGGATGCATGAGGTCAGGTACGTCATGTCCAAGGGCTTCGATGCCACCTCCTTCAGCAGATCGACCAGCCGCTTCTCGACAAACTCCAGCTTGTCCGTCTCGACACCAGTCGGCTGGAACCAGATGACGGAGTTGGGCCTGGCATCCCACCAGTATGATACGGAGCTCGCAAGCTCCTCCTTTTCTACAATGACGTTCTCGAGAATTGACACGGAAGAACCGCAAAGATAGGTTAGCAACACGTTGAGTGCAGATGTTTCGATGGTGTTGGTGCAGTTGGGGCCGTAGAAAGCTACAGTGATCTCACCGACGGATTCGTCCTCTTCAGGGAACTCGGCCGTCGTAATGATGGTCTCCTTGAGCGCCGGGGGCTGTGCTGAGTCGATCCAAGGTCTACAAACTCACGTCAGCATGGTGTAGCGAAGCCTGAAGGAGCAAATCACCTTTTGAAGGGGGAGTCCAGGGGCGGAAGGTCGTCCTTGATGCTCTCCTCGAACTCGTCGAGAATCTGCAGCAGGTCGTTGTGATCCGCTTCGCCGATGATGACCACGGCTAGGTTGCGGGGCTGGTACATGTCACGGTGGAACTGTCGAATGCGATCGGGTGTCAAAACCCGGAGAGCCTCGGTCATACCCCCGGTCTCGTATCGGAAGCCCACGTTTTCGGGATACAGCAGTCGGCGGGCGCGAAGGTCCATGATCTCGGCGCTCTTGAACTGGACAGCCTGCATCTCCGAGTAAACCACACCTGCATCGTTGCCTTCCCCGTCAATGTGGTGTACTTCGGTGATGCATGCCTCGTCCGTGATGACGGGCACGATGACGTGCTCGAGATAAACTGGCAGGATCTGGGAGAACCCTTCCCAGCCAGCGCTCTCCAGCGTGTACGCAGTGTGATCTGTCGCAGTCCAGGCGTTCGTTCCAGAATAGGCTCGCGAGGCCAGCTTGTCGAGAAGCCCCTTGTAGCGGTAGTTCTTGGAGCCCATGAACACCAGATGCTCGAGGGTGTGAGGGGCTCCCGAGTCGTCAAATATCTCGGTTGCGAGAGTGAAGTAGCCGTTGGTCTTGGGACCCTTACGGTCGGCCACAATTACCTGCATGCCGCTCCTCTCCGAGACATACTGGCTGATTTGGCAAGGAGCGTAATCTGTCTTGAAGCTTTGGACCTTGCGGAACCGCGGCTGCGGCTTGGGTTGCTCCTCGGGTGACATGATGTGTGACTTTTCTCTAAACAAGCTCTGGAAAGATCTGAGAAAAAGGGTCAGCTTGGCGTTCTGTTGCTTGGTGTCTTAGTCGGAGACGTGTGTAGGAAGTAGGCCATCTTCTGGAGGCATAGGAAGCACAGATGAGAATGGGCATAAGGGTAGGGGTTTGAAGGAGTCATCAGCAAATAGTTTCGGACAAGGGGAGGCGAGCCACAGTGAAAGCCGCTGAACAGTGTAATACAAGTCCCATGATGGGAGCTGAATCTCTTCACCCGACGATAGCAATGGCCCCCAACTGACTAATGAAAAAGGAAGGGAATGATAACCAGACAACGGGTAGATACAGAAGTTTGTACGACGAACAGCCATGTGTCCGCGAACACTGGCAACACACCCGGTCGGACTTGATAAAGGACATACCCAATCCCGCTAGAGAAGATGTACCCGTGATAGGGGACAAGACAAGCCGCCAAAAGCGCAACGGCTAGGGCGAGCGTCACTTGACTGGCTCCAATTTTCAACATGTTGACGTGTCTGACACGGCAAGGATGCGCTCGGATGGTTGGGCTGAGCAAATTGTATAAAGCTCGCAGCCTTGAAGTGGTGTAGTGAATGCGCCATCGTAGCCAAATACAGGACAGACGAAGAAGAGGAGAGAAGCAGAATAACAAGAGCCAATCGGGGAATTCACTTGTGCGAAGAAGGCTTGGGAAGGAATAATGAGTGAGACGGGAGAAAAGGCGCAGCAGCTTACTGTACAGAAACAGGCCTTGCCAGCCTGATGGACCGAGATGAAGAAGACCAATGAGGCTTCCCGAGGCGTGTTGGCCAGCCCGTGATAGGGAACGATGTAGCGGTTACCTGACCGCCGACACGAGATGCTGACTGAAGGATGGAGGGGGTATCAACAGCACGAAACCGAGCCGATTCTGAGGCTTACATGCGGTCCGCGGGGGTTGGTATGTATACTTTGGCTCCCCGTTGCGCTGTGGTTTCCGAGTTACCGCAGGTCTGTTGATTCGTCGCGAGAGATGTCGCCGACCGTACAATGAGCGCACTGGTCCGTCTGCCCCTCCAAAGTCCAGGGCAAGGGACCAGTGGAGTTTATCTTTATTTTCTGATTCTCGCAAGTCATCGGCAGGATGACGGCTCCCGATTGGTCCCTTGCCGCGGGAGAATATGCCGGACCAAGCGCCAGCCGCTCGGCACAAAGTCGGATCAGATGGGCGGTACGTACCGGCGCCGACATTCAATTGTGACGTGGGTGCTTTCGGGACAGCTATGCAATCGAATGTCACAATTGCCCGTAGCTCGTCGCCCTGTTTTATGCGACATCGCTCTTGGACGAGGCAAAGTCCTCCTGTCGCCCATTGCTTGGCTACATTTTGGAAGAATCCCGCAGTTTATGAACTGTAGGCGACCGCCGTATTCCATTCCTGCCGGACCGTCCTGACTTCTGGCGCCATCACGCCGACCGGAACGGCCTTGCGATATCGAGAGCTCCGAGAAGACACGACGCGCGCATGGCCGTCGACACAGACAAGACTGCCTCCGCGCAGCTAGGAGAGGCCGTGGTCGCCTTTGCGCTCGAGGGGCACTTCCCCGATGAGCAGGTGTCGTCGCTGTCGCTGTCTTCTTCTGACTTGTCGCCTGCGATCGATGCGCTGGAAAGAGCCAAGGGCGATTTGGAGGTATGCGAGGTCCATGGTGAGCGATGACAGCCTGTCAGCTGACGTATGCGCAGTCCGAAATTCACACAATAAACGAGGAGACCAAGGGCGACGTCAGCTCGTGGGTGCACAATGCGAAAACGCTCCAAGAAGACATACTGCGATCCAAGAGGCTAGCGGATGACATCGTGCGGCAATCGGAAGCACCGCAGATTTCAGGAAAGGCGATACAAGATGCAGAGGACCATATACAGTTTCTCGAGAAGGAGGTGCTATATACGAACCAGCTGCACGAAGCCCTCAGGGGCATTCAGCATGTGAACGAGCTTCTGGGGGAGGTTGAGCAAGCGATGAACGAGCGGCGCATCATCGACTCGCTGCGGTGGTTGGAGAGTAGGGAGCCGTGGTCATGCACCAGGAGGCCCAAGGGCTAACGTCGTGCAGAATCTTGGACGGAGCTCGATGCTGTCCCAGTCAACAAGAAGGCATGCCGAATCATGAGGCTCCTCGACGTGAGAGCTTTTGAGCTGAAGTCACATGTCCACGACGTTTTCGACCATGTCTGGGCATCGCTTGTTCACACGGATCTCGAAGCTGGCTCTCTGGCAATTTACAACAAATTAGATGGTACTTGGCATCCTTTCATTTGGATGTCGCGGATACTGATGGGACGCAGACGAGCAAATGACACTATCAGAAGCCATCATTGGTCTCCAAGCCTACAAAGAGGTTGAAGACCGAATGTCCAAGCTGTGGCACAGTATTGACAAGGCCATTGTGTTCCCACGCATGAACGCTCAAGCTTCACCACTGCCTTCTATTCGCGAGACTGAAGTATGTCCCAATCATGATATTGTGGGCCGGTGACTAACACCCTGTAGAATGTGATTGAACTGCATGGCCAAGCCGGGAGGTCCATTGACGAGCTCTTTGTGGATCTCCAAAAGGTGGTCGAGTTCCTGGCCAAGAGGCTGACACCTGATCTCCTAATGTTCTTCAGCCCCATTATGATGAGCGACCTAGTACCGAGGCTCATCTCAGTCTGGCTCAACTCGGAAGTCCCTTCGACGTTGAAGGACCTTGACAGGTTTCAGGCCGTCATCGAATCCGCGCGAAGCTTTTGCGAGGTCCTTGAAAACAACGGCTTCACTGGATTCACAGAGCTTAAGGAATGGGTTGGTAGCGCGCCGTCGATATGGCTCGCCAAGTGCAGAGAAACGGCCCTCGATTCGGTGAGGGTCCAAATGTCAAACGGTTTGTTGCCCCACGTGTGCCTCCCGACTACAAGGCTGACGTAATGTAGGCCTCGGCGCTTCGAAACAAGTGGAAAAGGTGGAAAAACAAATGGTTTCTCGTTCGGAAGGCAAGGAATTGACGGCAAATGGCGTAGCCGGTACCGTCACAGAGGATGACTGGGGTGCGGCATGGGGAGTCGATGATGACCAAGAGCCATCCGAGGCCAAGGACGACACCCAGGTGGAAGATGATGGTGCCGATGCCTGGGGGTGGAATGATGACGAACAAACCTCGGAGATCACACAAGAGGTGGAAAAGCCAGCAGGCGAGGAAGACGACACAGCCGACGCGTGGGGTTGGGGAGACGACGACGCGACTGAACAAATGGAGCCAGAGTCAAAGCCTCAACCACCAAAGACGCAAACGAAAAAGCAAAAGACGGCGCCTGCTGAGCCAGATGAGAGCAGAGAGATGGTTCTGAAGGAGACCTATCACATTTCCTCCATGCCAGAGCCGGTACTGAAGCTTATCCTGGCCATCCTGGAAGACGGCGCGGCTCTAACACAACCCGAGTATGTCGTGATCCTTACCAACTCGGCGTCCCTAACATTCGCAGGTATGAGAACAGCCCTGTGGCAGCCGCCGCCCCGGGTCTTTTCAGTTTGCCGACGTTCGCATTAGCCATGTTTCGGGCAGTCTCGCCGCATTACTACTCACTGGACATTGGCGGCAACATGTTCGTATTGGCCCCAAAGGCATCCTTTGCAAGCTGACCAATGTCAAGGTTTCTCTACAACGATGCCATGTACCTGTCCGAGAAGCTGGCAGGTTTGGCATCAACGTGGAAGTCGCGCGAGGACCTGACCGCACGCGCCCAGAACATGCTGCGCATAGATAACGACATCAAGAGCCTGCAGAACTTTGCCACGCGCGCATACACTAACGAGCTCGGGGTGCAGAAAACGGTGCTGAGGGATTTGCTAGGAGGTAAGTCAGGTTCTAGCCTGGGCTGAAGCGCTCGCGGCAGTCCGACGGCAGGGGCTAACGCAGACGCACAGGCGATCAAAGTCTCATGCAGCAGGATGAATTGGACAGTTGCGTGGACTCGGCACTAGCACGAGTTAGATCCATGGCGGTGACATGGGAATTGATTCTGGCACGTTCGGTGTGGTACCAGGCGGTGGGGTCGCTCTTGGATGCCCTGTCGTCCAAGATTATCAGCGATGTCATGGACGCGTCGTCCATCGGACAGGACGACGCGTACGGGATCGCCAAGCTCATTGCCAAAGTTACGGAGCTGGACGACCTCTTTCTCCCATCGCGGTCCACGGCGGCGACGGCAGCGGCTCATGGGCAGCAGGTGTCCAGCGGCGCGGACGAGATTCCGACGACGGCGCAGTACGTGGCCACGTGGCTCCGTCTCAAGTACCTGAGCGAGGTGCTCCAATCCAACCTCAATGAGGTCAAGTACCTCTGGTGCGACAGCGAGCTCAGCCTGTACTTTTCGGCGGACGAGGTCGTGGACCTTATCGAAGCTAGCTTCGACGCTAACCCGCGGATGAGGGAGACCATCCGGGCGATTCGGGAGACCCCAAGCCCCGTGCACGGCTAAGGGGGAACACCGGACGGTTGAGCCGGAGGGCCCAGGCGGACGCCGCAAGAGCCGGGGCGAGACGATGTGGGATGGTTCCCCTGGAGAGGCAAGGAAGGCGAAAAAATCTTTTTTTTCCAACACCAAGAAGGATAACAGACATGTAGCGTTTCTGGTGTATTGTCAAATTTCAAGGTGCTACAGCGAAATATGCCCTCCACTATCAAGAGTCACTACCTCACCCCCGCCCCACCCCCCCCCCCTCCGCCTTCTCGCCCCTCCGCCACCCCCCCCCACCCCCCCCGCCCCCCCCCCTCCCTCCGCCCCGCCGCCCCCCCCCCCCCCCCCCCCCCCCCCCCGCTTCAAGTGCCCCTCCCCCCCCCCCCCCCCCCCCCCCCTTTTCGATTCTCCTCCCCTCCTAATCCAACCCACAACGGGCAGCACCCTACTCATTCTAAGACCACGCCCGTCCACCATCATCACTAGCACCCCCTCCCCTTGCTTCGACATTTCGTTTCTTCCCCACACGCACACCCTCCCCCTTGGAGCAGCTCACAGTCTCCACATTCTCCAACGCCCGACGCTGAACCCTGTCAGTCTCGGCACCGTCCACCCCAAATCTCCACCTTACCCCAATTTCTGGAAATATTTTTTTGGCCCATTTTCTTTCTCACATTTTCTGTGATTTCCCCCCCCTTCCCAATGGTTTATTTTCTATTTTTAAACTTTTTGTTGAACCATCGGCGTGGCAATGAGCGACTGTCACCGAATCGTGCCTGATCATCGTTCCTCAATCTGAAAGCCGGGGGGCTCAAACCCTGGCCATCCGCGCAAAGTCCATCGTAATCGCCGAGGGAGCCTGGTATCGTAGCGTTGCATTTGCAATCCCCTCCCCCCAGTGCACCCCCCATGCCAACGTCGCATTTCTCATCATCTTTCTTCTTCTTCCCCGTCGATCACGATCTAGAACGTCTTGCCCCCCTTGCCACTTTTCTTCTCAGCAAGACAAGCTTCCATCAGCAACAGCAACAGCAGCAGCAGCAGCGACAGCAGAAAAAAGACCCCGATGGAAAAGAAAAGAAGAGAAAATTTCGCACCATTAAATTGGCTTTTTACACGCAAACCCTGTTTTACTCCAGGTTCACGACACTCCTTTCCCGGAGCAGTTCTTCCCCCTGGGCCCCAAACTATCTTCAATTCAGTTTTGCATTTTCTGCCTCCCCCCCCCCCTTATTTCTTCAACCTCGTGCCCCTCCACCTCGACAGGAGAAGCACAAGGGAAAGCCACGGGGATGGTGCATAAACAAATCGTTCCATGCATATGCTTTCTTGGCTGCTGCTGCTGCTGCTGCTCGCGCAGCTGCTGGGCGAAGAGAGGGGGGAAATAGGCCCCGAGGGCAACGCAACCCTCGAGCGGATTGCTGCTGATCTTCGCTGCTCGTCAACATCCCTACCCTGTCGAACCCACGCCCTTCCTCCGGGTTCGTCGGTGCGACGCCCAATCCTAGGCATCCCAGCCCGCATCGTCGCATTCTCCTTCGCGTCCGCTGTCCAAATAGCGAAGCTTTGTTCACTCCCATCGTTCAACGTAGGACGTTTCCTTCCGAACGCAAATGCCCTCTCGTGTCAAACTACATTGCGATACCTTGAACTCTGCTGCGCTGGACCGTGCCGTGGCACACCGTGACACCGACCAGCCAGGCAAGACCTCCTTCTCCGCACCAGTTTTGCTTCGTCCCGTCCAACTTCAACGGCTCCCCTCCATCCTCCCTTCTCCCTTCCCTTCCCTCCCCGCCCTCTCCCTTCGCCCTCCTCTCCGCACGCAACCACCTCCGTCTGGTCTATTTCATCCAGCCACAACTCTGACAGTGACCTGCTGAATCACATCCCTCCACTCTCCTCCCCCTATCAGTCCGAGCATGTGCAAGCCAAGCAGAAGGGATCCTGCCTGCCTGGTTTTTTTTTTTTGCCATCCTTCGGAGCCTTCTCCGGATGCACCTCCGGAAGACACGGCTAAATCGGATAAGACTGAGGCCAAAGGAAAAAAGGGAACAATAAAAACCAAGCAGCACCCAAACGATTTCGATTCCACCATTGGCCAATTGTGTCCTTCTGCGTGGACAACTCCACCACCACCCACCCCCTTTGGCCACGTTCTATTCTTGCCGACAATGCCGTAGTCAGTTGTACCTTTTTCATCCCCCCCCCCCCCCCCACCCCCCCCCCCCCCCTTTGGCCCCGTTCTATTCTTGCCGACAATGCCGTAGTCAGTTGTACCTTTTTCATCCCCCCCCCCCCCAGACACACCCGGCCCGAAGACTCCCAGTCTCTCCATTCCGTCCTCCCGGATCCTTGGTTCTCTCACGCAGCCAACCCTTGTCCCTAGTTTGGTACCTAATCCTACCCTGAAAAGTGAAGATGGAGAAAAAAAAACACCACGACGCCTCTCTATACATGAGACAAATTCTCTGGTTGTGGAAATTTGGCGTGCGACACCACACCACGCCCCTTGCACGGGGGAGGGGGGGAAAAAAAAAAGAAGGAGAGCAAAAACCCCATCATTAGTACGGAGATTGCATGTGTTACACCATCCAAACCCAAGGGAAATTTCCACCAGATTCCTCCCCCCCCCTCCCCCTCCCCCTCCTGCACCCCGGATCACCCAAGACACACATACTATGGTACACACACCCAGCAACCATGACCCATCCACTGGAGGACTCTCTGGAATTCTGAAGGAGAGCAGCAGGCTGCAACAAATCATCAAACCACCCGACCCCTTCAACATGCTGCATTAGGTGGCGGTCTCTAAGGAACGGAAGTCTGGAGAGAGCTTGAGCACGGGACACACACATACATACACTCACACACACACGCATATACGCTCCGCCTGCCATCCGGCCCGGCCGCAGAATCCCCACCCCGTTCGCAATTCCCACTACAAAGGTGACAGAGAGCGAAAAAAGAAAAAAATGAAGCCCCCAAAGTTTAATGTCCACCTGTCACCCCTCCCTTCCCCCCACCAAAAAGAAACAAAAAAAAAAGTTCACAGAATTGGCTGTAACTCATCTGATATCGATTCATTCCTCGAACCAAACCCCCCCCCTCGCTCGGCCTGCTGTCTTTTTTTATTTTTTTTTACAGATAACTTTTCCATCCATCTCCTCCCGAGCGTATACGTATTCGCAAACAGTACCTACCAAGCCTAACTACCTAAATGGGAAGTCCTGCCACGGCCAACTCTGCGACACGTCCGCCGAACGACCGACCCTCCTTCCCAACTCATACAAACAACCACCCGACTCTTTGTACCCCATCGGGTTTAAACATCTTTCCAAAGATCTGCCAAACTCACCTTTTGCCCACGGACCCTTTGGACAAAACCCCCAAAAAGAGTAAGAAAAAAAAAAAAAAAGAAAAAAAAAAAGCGAGAGACAATTCGCCAAGCCCATTACGGCATAGCAAGACCAGAAAAGATACCATGACCCTTGCGGGATATAAACTTTGGAAATTTAGACAAGGAACGGTCTTACATTGCCTTTTGTACACCAGGTTCACGGTTCACGCCCTGTTCCGTACGGCATCGACCGTGCCACATGTCAAACCCCCCGGGCCGGGTCCAAATAGTGTAGACAACAGCATGATCATCAGGCTAATCGTTGGTGGTGGTACGAGCTGCTCCGTGAGCTCTCCCAAGTACTGATGCAGTACCTATGAAATACCGGCTGCCTTTCCTACAGACATTCCCTCGGCACCACACCGTTCGTCTGCCCTTGGCCCAAAGCAACCAAACAAGAATTCCCCGCCGGGTCCATCCATTCCAGATGATTATGCTTCATATCAATGCTAAAATCCAAACCATGCCAATCCCCGCTTGCGGACCCTCCAGGCCCTCCGTTGTCCCCATTTCCCACATTCCCAGGGCAGCAAGTGTCCGTCACGATTCCTCCCCGATGATCAGAGAAACTCATCTCACAAACCGGCCCCAGGTGATGCAAATGTGCGAAGAGTGAGTAGTAACGTCTTCCCCCGTCGTGTACTGTGGTCCTCTCAATTCGTGAGAAACAAAAAGAAACTTTTTTTCCTATAGTCTTTTCTCGACTCTTGGTTTCATCATGTCGGATTGATCCCAGTTCTATGATATTCCTGTCCCTTCCTGACATGTGGTATATGCTGTGTCCATTCCCGTTCATGTCGACGCCCCGGCCATCTGGCTCTCGGGGGTGACGGTATGCCCTTGTTCGCCATCCCAATGAATAATCCCATGAACAAATGAAAAAAAAAAAAAAGGCCCTTGGTATCCCTAGAAAAAACCCTCGTGTCCTTCAAGGAGAGCGGGTAAAGCGAAAGAAAAATAGTCGTAGACTACACCAGGAAGTTCTCATCCATGCCAATAGTACGCCGCAGTCGAATGCCAAAGGGGTTGGGGGGTATTGATAGCATATTAGATCCAAAAAACGGGCGCGCTGAGAATTCTGTCTTTTGGGTTCGGCCGTGTCGTTTCGCCCCAGGGGTACTCGAGCCCCCCGGGCATATGTCGTTAAATCTCTGTCGATACTGATACAAAACTTGGGGAATAAAAAAGAAACAAATTTATGCCAAGAAGCGAAGGTGGTGAGGCCTCAGCATGGTACAGAGAGGACGGCCGTGTTCAGCCGTCTTAGGTCGCCTTTTCCATGCTTGACTTGGGGCTAATGTTGTTGGATCGAGTGCCGAACGTGTTGAAGACTCGCCCGACTCCGCGGGGTTTGCTGATGCCCGTGGACTCGAGTTCCTCGCCCTTTGTGATTAGAATGGTCTGGACGGAGTTGATGTTGACGCGGCAAAAGAGGGTAGAGAAGAGATACTGTTCGCCGTTGTGGTCAAAGAGGGGGAGGGTGCGGTAGCCACGCTTGAGGCCGTTGAGCTTGGCAGTGTGCGTCGCCACGGGTTGGCGGTCGTTGTAGCTCTCACCATTGTGAGAGAGCTTGACCGACCAGCGAATAAAGATGAGTTCGGGGAACTTGGTCGTAACCTTGAAGGTAAACTTGCCATCAAAGATTGGGTTGAAGCCGTTCTCCCGAATCACGCGGGTGCGGAACTTGAGGGGCGTGTCCGAAACCGATGCCTCGCCATCCGCGTCTCTCTTATCCCTCTTGTCGTTGGAGTGGAACACCTCCACCTCGACATAAGGGTCGACCGTCTTGTTGTTGGGCATGCCGTTGGGGCGCATGAGCTGCTGGGCCGAGATGACATCAACGGTGAAGGTGACCTCCTGGCGCTCCCGAAGGCCTTCCCATCCGGGGGGCATCACCTTGATCTCGCGCAGCTCGGTCGGCTTCAAGACGTAGCCGGATCTGTCGGTGCCGCTCTCGTACATGGCCTGATTGAGCTGCATGCCGAGATCGAACGTCTGCCAGTTGAGTGCAGCCATCTGCACGCCCTTGCGCCAGTAGGCGATTGGGGTAAAGTTGTTGGACGTGATTCGGGTGCGGTCGGGGTAAACGCGCATGAGGTATCGCATGTTGTGGAGCTCAATGGCTCTCTTCTCCTCCGTGGACTTGCTGTTTCTCATGAAACTCGACTCCATGAAGGAGAAGATGTGGTTGTACGCCTTGGCCTCGGTGGCGTCGAATCCACCAAACTTGACGCCGGCACAGTACACGCCTAAATCTCCTAGGACCTTGACCGTCTTGTTTGACGACCGCCTAGGGGGCACACGCTCGCCGGCGCTGTCGTTGTCGCTTGTGCTGCTGCTCAGGGCGTCCTGGACCTCGCCCTCGGTGATGGTGTTGACACGGCTTTTGCTGACGAGGCGGCGGGAAGAGTGGCTCGGGCTCAGAATCGGGCTCTGAGGCAGCGACTGGGAGGGGACAATGCTGTTATCCAACTGAACCGGCTTAGGGTACGGGGAGCTCAGGCTGTTGCCGCGTCGGCGACCAGTCGACTCGGCTGGCTTGGTAGGCTCCGGAGATGGCTGCGGGCGCTTGACCTTGATGAGTACTCGCTCCTTGAGCTGCTCGGGAGACGGGAATTTGTCAGAGGACGGGTCCAGGGGCTCGGTTACGAGACGAGCGCCAAAGGTCTCTTTTATGATACGAGCCATCTCAGCCTGTTGCGCGGGATTGCAGTGAACCTCAAGGGAGATCCAGAGAGGGTACTTGGTCTTGACAAAGGCGTACTTGTTGATCGTGGTCATGGTCTCCTGGAAGCTAATCGACGTCGTGAGTGTGCGGCCGTGGTTTACCGTGGGGTTGCCATCCGGTCCATCCCAACAATCAACCTCTACACAACGGCACCCACGCGCAAGCGCCGAAATGTAGCCCTCAACGCTGGATAAACCGGCAACTTGTCGGCCCATCAGGTAGGTGTTGTGAGAGCTGGAGACAAAGTACTCGTTCAATGGACGGTCCAGGGTGTACTCCTTGGGCTCCTTGCGGACCGGCAGGTTGTAGGTCGAGGTGAGGTATGCGGCAAAGGCAGCGTCGCCCATCCTAGGGCCCTCGGCCTGCGTCCACTCGAGTTTGTCGGCATCCCTGGGCCTGAACTTGCGAGCGAACTTGCTGTATAAAGCTTCCCAGCCCGGAAGGTCAGCATCAACGTTTTCACCCTGGTCGTCCCGCAAAAATTTAAGAAACTCCGTGACAGTGAGGCCGGCCTCTGGGTTCGCCGCGATCTGGTGGTAGATTTGTCGAATGTCCTCACGCCGTTTCATGAAACCCACAAAGGTCTGGAATTCAAAGAAGTTCAGGCGACCCGTGACCGTGGCATCAGCCGCGTAGAATGTAGCGAGCAACTGGCCAGGCGAGGCATGAATGTGGAGATTCCGGCAAACCCGCTGGACTCCTTCAAAATCAATGTCGCCGTCGTCGAGAGACAGGGGCTTCTCACCACCCTGCTTCGTCATCTCATGGAGCCAGTAGTCGCGAATGGCCCGATCGTTGAAGGCCATCAGAGACGCCATGAGATCTTGTCGGTGCTTGGAGATGGCCTCGAGAGTAGTCACCCAGTTGTAAAAGGTGCTGGCGTCATCGGCGACCAGGTGCATCATCTTGGTCTTGGACTTGTCAGGCACGGCGTACATGATGGAGAACCATCGGGACTCTTCGGATTCCGGCACACCGTAATCGATGCGGTATTGTCGAATGTCGGAACCGGTCCTAATCTCCTTGATGTCGTCAATATACAGGCACTTGTGGGGCCTGTTCTTATCCCAGGAGATCTTGGCTGCGTCGGGCTCCAGAACCAGGATGAAACGCTTCTTCCAGTTCTTCTTTGAGACCTTCCTAATCCAGGTGCCCTTGAGCAGCTGGAAGGGAATGACGGGGCCGGCGGTGGTGTTCGAAGGTGAGGTGGAGCCGGCCAGAGATGCGGTGGTGCTATTCGAGGACGACTCCCTGAGAGCCCCGTCCTGACCACCAGTCAATGACCGGAAATCGTCCATCTCATCGATGATCTCATCGTCAGAGTCGCTATACGCGGCAAGGTCGGGCGGGGCCGTGGTATTGCTGTCACTCCTTCGACGGAGCATACCGGGGCCGACGCTGCCGTCACGGCTGTTTGGGGCAGCGGAGGATGTTCTGCGGCGGGCGAATCTCGCCGTGGCTCGGTTCGACAGACGCCGAATGATGTTGTTACTTTTGCTGACGGCCTCGGACATGGCACTGGGGCTGCCGACGAGTGTCTGTCCGAGTGAATTATCACTCGTTTTCCTCGAGATGACCGACTCTGGCAGCGAGAAGGAGCCCGCCGAGAATTGGTCATCCACGAGCTCACGCCCCCGGTGCTCGGGGGAGGCCTGAAGTGAGCTGTTGCTCGTCATGACGGCGGTCTCTGGAGACATGACGGGCGAGCCCTGTTGTGAACTTGAGGCCACGGAGGAGGCGCTTATCGTCGAAGCTGGCATGGTAGATTGTTGCTGTTGCTGTTGCTGTTGCTGTACGTGTTGTAGGTGAATATTCGAGGGGAGGTTCGTCTGCACATGGCTTGGGCGTGTGCGCCTGAACTGAGTAGACTGAGGTGGCATGGTAGGTTTGGAAAGGGGTAGAGGTGTTGGCAACTGAGTTGAAGTAGAAGTAGGGGGCATGGTGAGTCGTGGGGGTAGCCTTCGCTACATGCGGGTTTGGAGAGGTCCCCGCGGCGAGATCCTAGGTGGATGATCTGGCGTTTTTATGAAGAAGTAGTAGCTGCTTGAGACGGCATCCTCGTAGAGTGTGGTCGTGTGGAACGGCCCGTAGAGGGATAGAGAATGCGGGGGATGCGTGGGAGAGGTCGATCCTGAGATATGGAGGTGGGCGTTCCACACACACGGGGCTATCTGGCAGCAAGGGTTGCTCCAAGAAGGCAGCAGCAGCCGCGGGGAGAACTGATGATCTCTGCTGCAGAGCTGTGTAGGTCGCCGCGCAGTGCGATGCGATGCGGCGCACCAGAGGTCCTGACAGACCACACGGATGGTAAGGTATGGCGCGGGTAGTTCGTACTGGTACACTGCAGGCGGACCAGTAGTCAGGCGTGGGCGTGGCAGGGCGGACGAGAAGGGTCGGACTGGGCCAATCGTGAGCGCAGGTGTCCGCCGTGTCGTCTTGGAGTTCCTGCCTCTGGGTTTGGGGGGTTGCTCGACAGTGTACGGGCTTGCGCAGTTGCTGCGATGGCTCACGGCAAAAAGGGCGAACGTGATGTGGCAGGTGTTGTATGCAAGTGGCTGATTTGGGCCTATTTCCAGGTTGGGGTCGACGGGACCGACAGCATTGGCAAGCCGCTATGCAATGATCCCGCAGCGGAAGCTCGTTCGTTTTTTCTTCTGACACCTTGCTTACTTCTGCCAGCTGGTTGGAGGTCCGGTTCCAGTCCCAGGTCGCGCAGGCTCGTGTCCGGCAGAGAATCGAACGTGGATCGGGTGGGAGGTGGTTCGGCGCAACGAGACAAGTCTTGGGGTTTCCTCGGGAGGGTGCGCACGGCGCAACACGCGAAGCGACAGTTGCGGATGAGTCAGTGGGAAGATTACTCGGCTCTGTTGAACAAAATGAGTTTCTCTCAAAGAAAATTTGTCTGGACGACCTGGATTTCTTGGCGAGTAGTGCGTGTGAGTGTGTGCGTGTGTGTACGTGTGAAGAAGAAGGGCTGTGGTCTGTTGTTATGTAGTTGAGCAGCAGCAAAGACGTGTTGCAGGTCAGACGTCGTTGGTGGTGGTGGTGGTGGTGGTGGTGGTGGGTGTAGTAGGAGCGCGATGCGTGTGAGACTGGCTGGCAGACGGTCAAGACGGAAGGTGTGTGGTGGCCAGTCAAGTCTTATGTGGGCGGGAGTGGTAGCTGGGGCCCGGGAAATTATGAGTAGACGGAGCGGGAAGGAGGCATAGCCAAGAGCTTTATTTTGCAGTAAGGGCAAAGACCAGCGCAAATAATGTCAGGGTCAGGAGAGGGTGGAAACGAAGGGAAACGAGCAAGAGTACGGGGACCAAGAGGTGTGTGTACTCCGTACCGAGTAGGCGTAAGGTACCTAGGCGTGGGTGGTGTTGGGCAAGGTTGAGCAGGGTACAAAGTAGAGCGGACAGGTGTAGAAAGGTAGAGGCACCGAGGGGAGTATGGCGTTGAGTGACTTGACAGGGCTCTCTGAAAGAGAAAGAGACTAAGAAAGACTCAGTCAGTTAGAGAGACAGAGACAGCGACAGAGAGAGACACATACACACACACACTCTCTCTCTCCTCTAAGCAGCAGCGTGTGTGTGTGTGTGTGGTTGCAGGGGAGGTGTGGAGGTGAAACGGGAGCGAGCCAAGATGGGCGCCCAGATGGATGGGTAGGAATAGAGTAGCGTACATGGCGTGGTCAAGTACCTCCCAGTAGCGGAGTGTACGGCGAGGTACCGAGGTACAACGCACACGCCGGGCGGGAGACAGAAGGTGGATGGGCGCAGGAGTGTGGGCGCAGGGGCGTGTCGTACCTGATGGTGTAAGGCGAGAGACGCCGGGGGGAGGAGTCGTGACCAGACCTTAGTATGGGCAAGACACACAGCATTGGTGGAAGCCCCAAAGGTTCGTGGGTAATGAGGAGGATCGGACGAGGAATGCGAAAGAAGGATACGCGCACCAGCGGGCCAAGGGGAGGCCCCCTCTTCAGAAGTTCAGAGTGCAAGGTACCTTACTCTACGTAGCGGGACAAGGTCTCACTCAAGGTTCCTTCCCCTTACCCATTCGCCTTAGCTACCGGCTGCTGCCAGGGCAAGGTCACTACCCAGGTACTGTGTTCGTAGCAGAAGCGAAAGAGCCCTACAGAGACGGAGACAGAGAAATAAAAATAATAAAAAAAGCGGACACCAAGGAACGAAGGCAAAGGCAGAATGGGGGAAATGGAAGGGCGACGGGGCGTGAGCTGGGAGACGGAGCTAAGCTCCTCGAAGCAGAGTACGTATCTTTGATCTCGAGGTACGTATCCTCAAGGCCAGCCTCACCACATCCGTCCCGTCACTTCATCCATCCGTCACCTCCACCTGTCTTTGCAGTGTCTCTCTTGTGGCATCTTTCTCAATCTCGCTCTATATGTTTGTGTATCTGTACGCCTCTCCACGAATCCTCCGAGGCCTCCCTGGAGGTGGTTGTCCTCTTGTTTCCATTCTTCTCCTAAAATTGGACTCTCGGGAAAGCGGAGGCACGTGCTGGGCTGATGGCGATACTGCCCGGCTGGGCTGGAATTGAGGGGCGGCTCCGGAAGGGGGGGAAATGGATAGGGAAAAGGGTCAAAAAAAAAAAAAAAAAGAGAGGTACAGTCATACAGAGTGAGGTAGCGCGCAGGGCCGACATGGAGACGCTGGGCGTCACTTTGCAATCGCGCGGTTTGAATGGGACATCAAAATGGGACAAGAAAGTCTCCTCCCCCAGTGAGTACGTACCTGGGCTTGCTGGTGCCCTGGCCCTGGGACGACCTACTTCGTGCCTTGGGTACCTGGGGCAAGGCCGCAAGGTGGAAGAGAAAAGTCCCGACAGGGAGCAGCAGAGTGGCAGGGAAAGGGCACGAAATTGAGCAAAAGGGCTGCACCGCTGCAGGGCAGAGAGTTCGACGACACCCGGTGCGCCGTGTACCAGCAGCAGCAGCAGCAGCAGCAGAAAGGCCATGCGCAGAAGATGGGGACCTGAGAAAGGAGCCTTGAGCCGGGGACTAGGGGAAACAGAGAGAGAGAGAGAGGCAGAGGCAGACAAGTCAAAAGATAGAGCATAGGGTGTGTCGTCATGTAGAGGATGCAAAAAGGGGGTGTGGCATTAAAATGATGAACGAATGAATGGACGGACGGGCCTGGGAGAAAGAGAGGGCAAACAGGGAGACGCCGAAGCAGACGGGGGCCACCGGTCCTCCCACCAGCCCAAAAAAAAAAACAAAAACCCAAGAAGACAGGACAAAAAAAATCCAAGAGCAGCAGCTAAAAAAAAAAACCCCTCCCAGAGCATGGAGGACATGACATGGCCCATGACAACGAGCAGGGGACATGGCATTCCATTCTCTGCGATACGGAGTACGTACCTTTCCCATATCCCCCCCTTTCCCGGGCTCTGTCATGGGCAAGCCGCAAAATGGGCTCTGGGGAAACCCAAGGGAGGCCTGATGTAGAAGGAAAAAGAACAATTCCAATCCCAGGAACCGCTGCTGCTCTGCTTCCTGGCCGCTCTCTTCCGTCCTGAGGTAATGTAGGTAAGGATCAAGGTCCGTCCAGACGACGGCGTTCAAGGTACTGTACCGGCCGGGTACAACGCCATGTGCACCGCTCTCGACCAGAACAGGGGTCCCGCTGGCATGGAAAAGGAGGGAGGGTGTGGGAGATGGATGACTCCTCTCTCTGCCTCTGTCTCTGTCCCTCTATGGCTTTCACACACATACAGTTGGAATGTCTTGTGTGTCCTCCGAGACCAGCACCTGGGGAACAGCCAGAAGCAACGCCAGCAGCACTGAACACACAAGCCTCGACCCATTCACTCACCCTCGCTCTCCATCTCTCTCTCTCGCGCGCGCGCCTGTGGCATAGCCGTCGCTGCGCATCCCTCCACACTTCCACCTCATTTGCCCCCCCTCATGAGCTGCGTGCCCACCGTCTTGTCTTGCCCTGCCCGTTGGATCACCAATGATACCCGTTTGACGGAATAACCTCCTCGTCCCGTCTTTGGTATCCTGAAAATCTTCCTCCCGAACAACAGGATTTTGCAACACACCACGGCAAGAATAACCTCGACGGTTGCCTTGTCTTGTACTCCCGGGTTCGCAACGTCAGATGCAGCATGGCAGCATTCCCGTCCTGCCCGCCTTACGTTGACCTTGTCGGATGTCCTGCCATGCTCTGCCCTGTCTCGTGCAACCACATAGATGACTGCGGCTGCTGCTGCGGAGTGTATCCATGTTGCATACAGCATTGGCGGCACCATATTATCGCACTTTCAAGTTGGCGTGTAAAAGATGACGGCAGCCAACCATGCACTCATCCGGGTCCTGCGAGACTCGAAACTTCCGTCTTCCTTGCCATCAAAAAGATGTCCTCCGTGCGCCGTGCGGCATGCGGCGTGCGGCGGCCGCGGCGGACGAGGTACACCTCGGCGCCCATGGCCAAGTACCACTCAAGGTTCCGGCCTTTACTGCTGAGGCGACAATGTACCTGCGTCAAGCGTTGGAAAAGATGACACTGGACAGTAGTGTCCTCTGCCATGCGTACCTTGCGCCCTCTGGGGAGATGAGAGCCAATGCTCGGACACCTCAACAAGGCTCAAGGGACCACATGGTTGAGCAAAGGAAGGAAAGCGCCAGCGTGCCAGGTCAAGTACATTTCTGAAGCAGTGCTATAACGCATCTGCACAAGAAAACCTGTCTTTCCGCGGTGTGTATACGCAGGCCATCGCCTGGCAAAGGGCATGCCTTTCTCGGCTACCAGACTTGGTCCGCCCTCCGAGGAATAGGATGAAGGTGGCATCAACAGGGACCTGGGGGAGGCATGGATTTGTGGCTGGACGAAAGGGCCTGTGAGGTCAGTCTGACATGATGATCCCATGTTTGTCGTCCGCTAAAACTAGGTGCCGAGGAACCGTAATTGGTGTCTTGTTTCCCCCAGACTCCATTACGTCGACGCCCTTTCTGCACGCGCCATGGCATGGTCGCTTTGATGGGTTGTGCTCTGCGACCTGGTGCTTGCCATTGCTCATTGCCATCGCTCGCTCATCCATCGCCCGTACCGTCCTATCTGGACCACAGCTGCTTCGTGCCCTCGTCTTGGGTGACGAAACGTTAATGCGATACGTGTCACCCAATTTCCCGTCCTCTCTGGCTTTCCTCGCCTTGCTGGTCCGGCACCTATTCAGGACATGTGTTACTCGTCTGATTTTGGCATTTTTCTCGCGTGCCGAACCACCGCTCTTCTGCCACTATCCTCATCCTCGTCACCTACAGGGAACCTCGAGCTTTCGTCCCAGCAACTCACCCTTTTGTGATGTCCAGCTGACCTCAGCCTTTCTCCAGCTGTAACAAAGTCAAATTTTACGCAACTTTGTCCAAAGACTCGGCCATCCGGGGATTTGCTCATTTCGTCGCGGGATCGGCGGTTGATTGCTGCTCATCAACAGTCCACGGACCTGGTAGACCCGGTTGCCTTCCAATGTTGATGTCTCCGATTGCTCCAAAGTGATGTTGGCCGATGCTGTTCGCAGGTTGCTGGTCTCCTCAGATGCAGCGGGCACAGCTGGCTTCCTGCGAGCAGTACGCACATTCCGCGCCGGAAAGATACAGCTGGCCTGCACCACCCGCACTCGGACGGCATGGTCAGCCGGTCGTCGCATGCAGCCGTGGGGGGCGTGAGTGGCATACCCAAAGCCTACTGCTGTAGTCGTCGAGTGGCCAATGGAAACTCCCGAGGCACCGTTGCCACCATCGAGTGGCCGTTGTCGAGATACAAACTCGCCGCAAGCCAGTCGGATACGCTTTCACCAGTCCTTCTCCAGTGATGATAACGCTATTCTGCCCATGACTGGCCCTCATCTCCATCCTTGAACCATTCCGTCTCGATCCTAAGATGCCGTCTGCGACGCTCAGTGCTGAGCACCGTTGGACAAGGGTTCTCCTCCGAAAGCGCCGCAACCAGTCGAGTTGACCTGTTTTTACTCTCCGACACTCAGCGGTGATCCACGCCCCCGTGTGGTCTGCCTCATCCTTTCATTACATCAGCACATATTTACCCTTCTCCACTGCATTGTTCCTGTCCGGATCAAAACGTATGGGTATAACGTCTGCAAGGTGAATACTAGAAAGCAAAGCGGTGATCGGTAGCTACCTATGATTAACCAGCCAGCAGAGCACCCCGTTCGACACACGCTCCGGCGAAACTAACATTGTCTTCCGTGTCAGAGTCCTGCCTTGGTCTACTCAAACCCGTAGCCTGGAAGCGCCGGGACTACAGACTACAGTCGCGGGAACGACGGAAGAGACCCCTTGGGGCTTCTCGTCGCGGCGTGTGCGGATACGTAACGGTCAGTTGCAAGATGTTCGCCTCTGCAGCCAGGTCCTGTGCCGGCTACTGCAAATACGCAGACGGAGGACACCCAGGACCTTGAGACGACCAAGCAGAACTCTAATTGTTCACTTGTGTTGCATCCTGTGGCAGTAGCGTGTGGCTGATGGTCGCCGACCGTGGCACACGGCGAGAGACGCACCATGAAGAAATGAGAAAGGGCCCTGATCATCTGCGAGTCCGAGCGGCCGTTTGATTGGTGTTCCCCTACCGTCAAACCAAGCTCGCTCGTTCTTGACCCCCTCGACCAAAGATAGCAACGAGTCGTCGAGGAGAGAGGCCCTGACATGCCCCGTTGCGAGACGGTGAGACCTGATCAACAGGGCCGCTCCAGGGGTGCCATCGCAGCCTCCGGCCGCCACCATGGGATTCCACCGATCAACATGGGATTATGAATAGTACTGGGAATTCGACAGCAGATCGCTGTCCACTGGCGCTGGTGGGTAGTGGTCGCAAGTTCGGGCGGTTTTGCTTCATCCTCCCCACGAGCCTCCATTCCTTTCGTGAGTCACGACCGTTTCTATTTCTTTTTATGGCGCTGGGGGAAAAAAAAAAGGGTGTTTGTCGATGCGTCAACGGCCCTTTTTGCCAACCGACCCCATGGACGTTCATCCTGCGAGAACAGGGGGCAAATTTAACGCGCAGCTGCTCAATCCGCCCTGTTGGGACTGTCTGTCGGGCATTCTCCCCATCTTGGCTCCATACATGCGTGATCCATCGCAATGGATAGCCATCGCCCGGCCGCCGTGTGATCTGGATGTGCTGCAACGTGCTGCGCAATGCGTACGGGAACTGGTCACCAAACCTACTGAGCAGCCGAAACAACTCCTGTGGCCCAAATGAAGACGAGAGGAAGCCCAGAGTACGCATGCCGAATGGACCCCAAATTTTCAAGGCTTTGCTGCGTCCTACCTTGCCATTCCAACCCTCATCCTTGGCGAATATTCATCATGAGTGACGTGGCAGCAGCACGAGGTAAACAATGGCTGGCTGACATGAAGCCAAATCCGCCCAACGTCGGGAAACAAGAAGGCAATCTGGTTTATCACGCAGTCGGTCTCCATGTCGTCGGTTAAGACGTCAATGTTGTCCTCAGCTGAAGGCGGCTGGGGCGATTGACTCACTGCCACATCAAGGCTGCGCAATGCCTTCGTCACAATCGCTCGTTCTCGGTCAGACGCAGCCGGAACCGTGAGGGGAGAGTGTGTAGCTAGGTACAAGACATCGCCGTTGATACTGTGATTCGCTGAAATGTCATGTAGCAGAAGAGCCGAGCTGCAAGCTTGCTAGGGAATCGTGGATGCGTAGGAATGCGAGCCGTGGTGTAACATCGCACAGAGAACTCCAGTAAGGGAATGAGGCTGACAAGCTCGTTCTGACTCTTCTCTCTCTGTGTATTGTAATGTGAAGACCTCAAATGTTCGCAAGTTGGGGGGGGAATTTTAGCAACAAACGGCCACAGCCAGGCCACCAGGGTTAGAGCTTCCTCTATCATTGACTCTGAAAGCCTCGTGTTGTGCCGCAGTCATCTTGGTGTGACAGCCACATCTGAGGGGTTGAACGACTAGAGCAGGGCAAGCCACGCTTATTCTTCCGAGAGTGGGCGACGGACCGCCACCAGCAAGGAAGATCAGCACGCGCTGCTTGACAGTCCGACTGCCCGTGGAGGCGGCGCCGAAGCCATTGGTGCCAAACGCATAAAAAAATGGCGAATCGGTACAAAGGTCATCATACTGCGTTTGCGTACCCGGCCGGTGGATATTGTCTTGGTTGCCTCAGCACGACCTTGGCTGTGGATAACATTATCATTTCTCTGAGCTGGTAGCAAGGCCGTTGCGGCTGTTCGGACCTCAAGCGAGAGCTGGGCAAGCAGTTGATGGTTGTGCTAGTTGCGAGGAGCTCTGGGCGTGTCTCTCATCGCATTCTTCGAATCAAACCTCGGCCAGCGCTGCAAAGGGAGGGGTGTGTGGCTATCCGAGCCAGCGCTCCTGATTCAAAGGGCAAGATGTCGAAGGACCATCACGAATGAGTGCAAGTACCCATCCCGTACCGACACTGCTTTGGACTGCTTCGGACATCGAAGCCCGCTTTGCCGAGACTTGACAGGTCCCGTCAGATGGCTTACCGTATGCCGTCTTGTCTTTGCCCATCACTCTGCATTGTAGACTTTTCTTAACCTATGTTGTGTTGCTGACGCGACCCCTCCATCCAACTCCGCAAACCTGCCCTCCCTTGAGAGTATTAGCCTGTCGAGGTGAGACTTGGGGGGATGTCCTCTTGTGGACACCACCAATAACGCAACGGAGCTGCAGCATCGCATCTGGGAACTACCATATGCAGCCTTGTCCGCGGCCCCCTGTTCACCATGCAACTCCGCATCATCGGCGCCGGAGGGGCGTCACCTGAGCAAAGGGGATTGGTCAACTGGCGCTGGATGACTCCTGCGAGGGCGGGTACACACATCTCGCAGCAAATCTGCTGTTTCTGATGCGCTGCTGAATTTGTTGCGTTGCTGGCGTGTCTGAGGCGCGTCTTGGTTACCCTGCCCTGATGCGATACGTCGATCAAGACACGCTGGCTGCGCTGTAAAAGGATTACAGCCAACGAGCTGGCCTGGTGCGTCTTGCAGATGACTGTCTTGCGGCGATGGCGCCGTCGTCGTCCTTCACTGCCTCGTGTCTTGAGCCTTGGCTGCGCTCTACCATGCTTCCCTCCAATAAGCATAATATGGAGGTCAACAAGAAACCGTCCACAGCCGATCAAAAGGTGTTGAGTCGGAAGCTGCGGCGCTAGCACCGCGTCCGTCGGGCTCCTGTGCGGCGGGCATGTCTTGCTAATCCGGGGGACCGACCTGCTGCGGGGTTCAAAGAAACCGCGGGCCACCAGGGGCGTGGTCAGGGAGTGCCGAGTGTCTTTCAACTGCATTTTGGCTGGATGAACGCTGAGAAGTGCATCACACCGACATTTGGTTTCGTGAAGGAGGCAGGTCATGTGGTGGTCCCTGTCAACATGCCTAAGCAGCCATTTATCCGTACAGCACGATGGTATGCAGCAATCAACCGCTTCGCAACGAGAGACGCGACCCGATGGCCTTGACAACAGCCAGACTCCAATGGATGAGCCAGCAAACGCTGCCCTGTTCCAATCCTCAAGCCGTCGAAACTTCGGCAGATGCGCTGCTGCACGATGCAGCCAACGCCAGCATCATGTATGTCATTGGCACCTTTTTAGCCTGGTCTATCGTGCCGTGCTGCGCATGCCAAACCTGCGATGATGATGAGATGAACGCGGGTTAGACCGGGTTGCGGTGAGGTGTACGAAGTAGTGCAAGCATGCAACAAGCATGCAATTGTGATCTTATCTCCCGCTGAGCCGGTAACCGTCTTTTCCGATCAACCGCCCAACCGCCAGGTAACGAAACCCACCCGGCCGAGGAGTGGTAGCCGCCGGAGGGTTCCTTAATTGCGAATGATATTGAGAACGACGACACCTTAGCCACGCAACATTCCCTGTCTGCGCTGCGTTTGCGCAGGCCTGTCGACTCGTTGCTTTGCGCTTTCCGCATTACTTCTCCATCGTCCGTGTTTGATGTGCAGACTGGCGTTGCGACTTTAATGTCAGTCGGCCACGGTTGAGAGACAAGGTGAGCTCAATCGGCCGAGACGACTACCCCTGACGGGCCACCCACCTAGTGCCTGGGCCTCTAACGTCCCCGAGCGCAAACAACCAAGTCTCGTACAGCAGACCGGGTGTCGGAGTCATTCAATTTTGAGCCTCGTCTTCTTCCGTTAGGGGTCCTTGTCATGTGCGGTTTTGTGGACTCGAGCGTGACTGGGACACGGTATAGTGGTGTCTCGTGGACGATGCCCCCTTTCCCGGAGTTTGACTCCGTATCCAAGGGTGCGGATCGCGGGCGGTAGACTCTTCACGTCCTTATTTGGCGCCGAGACAGAGGGTCGGCTCAGTCAGGTACGCGTGGTTGAGGCATGGGAATGATAGGCACGGTGAGCAAAGGAGGGTCAATACGGCAGAGATCCGGGAGGGCATGATGCGCCGATCTTGTCTGTGAAGGTCGGTGTTGTTGACGAAGAGTCGCACCGTCGCCAGATTCCAGGTGTCCGGTCGGATGAAGGGGAGATGCTGGTTGGTCGATTCCCTGGTGATGCTTTTTTGGCCCCTGCACTGGGTGCTTCTCACCGCCGCCACGTTCGGAACAGAGCCTCTCATAGGTGGTTAATGACTCGGTACGCCGTTGGTGGAAGTGTCGTGACTGTGTGCAGCGGTGACCACATCGTTGGTGGGAGAGCGTGGGATATCGTCGAGCGCCTCTGGCAACGAAGCGTTGGACAGCGACTGGCTGGTAACGAGGCGGTAGACAAGCGGCCAGCAAGTCACAGTCGCAAAGGGGCGGAAATAAGGACGGGGGAAGCAGTCATCGTTGGGCTCCCATTGGGTAAAGGCCTCTGGGGTGACGTCGTTTTCTCGAAGCCGGTTCGAAGCTTGAAGACGCGTCAAAGGGCACACAGGAACCCCAATCTCGGGCAGCGACAAGTTGAGGCGGACCAGGGGGGAACAAGGGAAAGGCACAAAGGGATCCGCAATCTGGGCCACTGGTTTCTGGGTATCCGGTGCTGAGGAGAATCCCGGGCCCATGAGCAAGCACGAGCAAGCAGCCCTGCGCTGCACCGAACCGCTGCCGAAGGGGCCCCTCCCCCGTCGGGGTGGTGGTCGAGGGTCCCTTGTCGTTGGGTGGTGTTTCGTTCTTGGGTGCCGTCATCGCGGTCGGGGGAGAGGTTGCAATCTGGCTGGCAGTCTGCCAGTCTGCACAGAAAGAGGAGAGTGGGTGAGTGGTCCCGGCGTGGATTAGGTAAGGTAACCGAGATGGTCTTACCTAAGCTCATCATCCACTATACCTAGGTAGTATGTGCGTGGAAGGAAGCACACAGCAAAGTACCGGTACCTAGCCACGGCAGGCCGCAGACGTAACGAACTCAGCAACCGCCAAGGTAAGGACCCCCCCTCCTTCCCGCGTAGTCGATGCCGGGCTTCACATCACTCCTTGGTGTAAGCGCGACATGAGATGCCTTGGTCAGAGGAAGGAACAATCTGAGTGGTGTTTCCCGTGTGGATGGGAACGGCAACGGCTGTCTCTTTCCCGCCCATGCGGCGCGATGCGAGCGGTGTGGTGTCCAAGGCACCTACCTCCCTTTGGTCTGCGGAGTGTGGACTGTGCTTGCTCAAGCTCGTGAAAGCAGCAACGTCCATTGCGACTTTGAGACTGAGAATTACATCAAGTACAGAGCGTGACGGCGCCGCCGAAGTTGCCCATCTCGACAACAGGGGTGAGCCGATGGGCCTTCGACATGGGGGCGCGGGGGCATGCGACACGCCGCATGCCGCACACCGCACGCAAGAGAAGCAGAACCCAACGTCTTTGCTCGCGCCGCAACAATCATTTGGGGCCCTGGGCTCTATCTTTGGCAGCCATTACGGACTACTCCCGTACCCATTGGCTCCCGTACCTATTAAAAATTCCCAGAATGGGGTCACGAGGGGCCTTTCCAAACACAACCACCCCAGTCGCCTTACCCTTCACATTCTCGCCCTTTTTCCTCTCTTTTCACGACAAATCGGACGCCGACAAGGCAGCAAATATCCCGCCCTCCCAACCTTGTCCGTCTGCCAACTTGCCTTTCCCTCGCCCTTTGGCCAAACGCGCACGCACTCGCATACTCGCACATTCGCCCGCCCATTTTTCTCCCTCGTCCCAATCACCAGGGTAGGGGATGAGGGGGGTGGCATATCGTATCTCTAAATCGAGGCCATGAACCCCCCCTGCTCTCTTCCAAATACCTGCTCATTCCGCTCGTCTAGTTGGATACTCCTCGTCGCTGCTGTCGGAGGGGTGCTCATATGGGCTCGAATGCATCTCGGGCCCAGGCAAAGGGAGAGGAATGGGAAGGTATCATGAGAGAATGCAGTCTGCGAATGGTCATCCATTTGTCACCCTGGCCTTTGACCTCAGGACTCATCACTCGCCCCCAATCTACGCCATGCCACGCCACGCCATGCCATGCCATGCTATGCGATGTTGCTTCGCAGCTTCAGTCTTCTCCCTATTGAGCAGAAGCGAGGCCGACGAGGTTGCCCGCGCGCCAGCGCAGGAGGCCCAACCCAAGGCCCTAACAGTGCATGTCTCTGTCACGACCACTTTTGGCGTGTTAGTCGGGGTGAATGATGCCCGAGAAAATGGCGCGGTCCTCACGCCCGTCCTCCTTTGGACCGCTCCAGATCACAACTGTTGGCATTTTGGGGGGCGACAGCCGCTCCAAAGTCAATTGAAATCATGCTTTTGAGCCGAACATTTGTAAATGCTCACGGCCGAAATGGTCAGACGAGAGATGTCGCCGTCGCCATGGTGGTCTTTCTTCCCTTCTCTTGAAGCACACGCCTCCCCCTCCTTGCGCCGACCTCATCTTGGACTGTCCATGGACCCGAGAGTCATTATCGGGCATTTGACAGCTGAGGTGCGCGCCATTTTCATCTCCTCTGTCGCAGCTTGGGCAATCTGGGGTCTCACATTGCGAGCATCCCCCTCTGCGGCTCGGCGCTTGCTCCGTGTGCCACTGGGGCTGCCCTAAGCGGAGCAAGCAAGTACCGTATTCTATTTTGGCTAAGCCTGTCAAGTTTGCCTTTTTTTTTTTCTCCCCTTCTTCTTTTTTTGGACTACTATGGATTTTTCTTGAGTTATGTCAGTCTTTTTCGGCCCCTCCCATTCCTTAGACCTGCCCCCGTCGCACCGCCAGCGCCATGTCTGGTGTGGGGGATGGTCCATGGACCACACACGTGCTCCTCCCCTGGTTGTGACAATGCGCTACTGACAAGGAGATATAGACATGTCCTCGGAAGTTACCAGGCTGTGCCACTCGAAATCTACCAACCGCAATCGTGGAAATGCTGGAGCCTGGAGAGATGGAGTTGCACCAGAGCCCGCGGATACGGGTACAGTCTCATCGGTTGCCAACCAACAAAGCACCCCCGGCCCCCTCAGCCCTTGGCCCTCGTCTACGGAGCACTCGTACTCTGTATCATACAATGTAGTCTGTACTCTGTACGGATACAACAATCCCCTTCATGAATGGACATGTGGACTTGTGGTCCACATAGAGACAGCACACTCGCTTCGGTTGCCGATTTTGGCTGCACATAGTACCCAGTATCGGCCACGGCACGATTGGCAGACTCGACAGTTTCATCCGCCCGTCGCCAAGAATGACGGCAGGATAAATCCGCAAGCAATGAGACTAGCTACGAGGCAAAAATCAAAATTATAAACAAGTCTGGTTAATGGCCGCGAATCCGGCGGGGAGGTGGCTTGGTTGGGTTCAGAGCACCAACCAACAAACCGAACAACGCCGAGTTCCTGTTTCTTCTGCCCTATTCACAGTCCCGTCATTGTCTCGGGTTTTCGACCCGCGTTTACTCCAATTTGCCATGGATTGACCTCATCCCGTTCGGCGATCTGTCTGTGGTCGCCCTGACCTCGGCCACGCTGTCGCTTTGCTGGCTGCTTCGGGGAACGTTCTCCGTCCCTCACGATGCCGACTTGCCGTACCAAGCCTCATGATTCTCGCAAGAGCCAAGGCAAGACGGGGGCATGGTCGCGCGGGTGCTGCCCGCTTGCCCGCCAACTCGCTTCAGCCGCCACTTGGAGTCTTGAACACGACCCTAGTCGGAAGGGACTGCACGGCTCACCTGCCGTCGGTCGGCACGAGTGGTTCTCCATTGTCTGGGTTTGTTCGGCGCCCCTGCCCTGCCCTACTCCATACCATAGGCGTGTAAGTACAGCACGTCTTTGATTCAGACAACCGTTGAGTTTCGTCCCCCCCGGCTGGTCTCGTATCATCAGCCGATCAGCCGCAGCCACCCAGCACCACAACCGCAACCGCGCACACCCTAATTATACGGATACAGTACCTGGCTACGAGAAATCCGGGACCCAAGGTTATCGCCGCTCGGCCGGGTAGAGTACCTAGAGGCACTTTTGGCATGCACCATTGCGAAAGCCAAGCTTTCCAGTCCTGCTAACCCTTGGCACATTTTGCGCGGACGAGAAAGAAAGCGGTGTCTCTTTTCTCGTTGCTGTCGACTCTCAGACCCTGTTGGTCCCCACGCGGGATAGCACTCTGTCGAGGGAACCAACTAGGGTTCTAGTTAGCTAGCTTATGGAGCTGCTGATCGTAACCGGCGAGCGAGCTATACGGCATCGATGTCGGTGACACGAGACTGCAGGCTCGCAAGTCGTCGAGAGCAATCTCAATCTCCTGTCAGCTGATCCAAGACAATCTGATATGTATTTGCTGCGAATCAATTTTCAGTCCTGGGCGTTTCACGTGCGGGCCGAATCCACCATCTGAGAAGCTCAAGAGGCGAGATTTGAGCCAAGAAACTAGGGCGGAGGAGATCAAGCGGCCGAGAGACAGACACAGAGACACTGCTTGACTGCATCGCATGATGGACGGCGGATCCGAGTGGTTCCCGAACGCATTTGATTCGGTTGCCTTACAAGACCGGCAGCAAGGCATTGCCTGCTCGGGACAGCAAACAAAAGTTCAACTGTCGGATGGATCTGTCCTGGATTCGCATGCCTCACAATCCATGGAAGCTGTCTTGTCCGTCTTGCTTTGAGTGATCGGCGCACATTGAGCATGATGACCAACAGTCTTTGCATCTCGCGGGTGGGTTGAACAGTCTCCCTCCGAGTACTCCATACTTGGACTCTTTTCTCTTCGAGTCCCCTCTCTATGGAGCCACCAGTCGTCGTCGATGATTGCCATGGCAAGCCTTGTCGTTCATCTTTGTCCATCGTGATCACGAAAGGCTCCATCTTAGAGTTGTTTCCACCAAACCTTGTTGCCAGGGCCAGCTTCTCGTCTCCTTAGTCGCTGTGGCTTTTTGGGGTGTTATTGTTCTTCCTCGTATCCGACCGTCTCGGTGAAGTCTACCTTGGAAACCCTAAAGGATAAGTCTCGTATGCGGCTTACTGATCAGCTTTCCTGGGAAAAGGTTCTCTCATCTTATCTGGAGGGGTTGGTTCCAAGGTTGAGCTGTCCAAAGAGAGAAGTCCCCTGTTTGTGCCTCGTCATTTGGGTTGGTTCCTTACGGTTGGTTCGTCATGCCCCTTGTGCCTCTTGAATACATGTTCTTACCATCAAACGTTGGGGGGAAAGGCCGCGGGGTCCTGCCAGACTGAGGCCTCGGAATGTTTGCTCGCATCATTGTGGCCCAGTTCCTGGTTGTTCTTTCCTGGCGCGGTTCCTAACGCCCTTGCCTTATTAGGGTAAGAGGACGTTTCGATCAGGCACGGCCAAGGACAGCAAGCACAGCAAGCAAGCACGGTGCCCTGATGCCTATAGGTACCTTCCCAGTGGTTGCGCTTCTTTGGCTGACAATGCAAGGTCCAGTCGGGTGTCCAAGTTCTTCCTTGCTGGGTATCCAAGGCATGGATCCGATGCTTTCTCCCGGCTGAGCCTCACCAAGGTAAGAAGCAACAACATGAACAGACGTAGTAAGGTACCCTGGAGGAAAGAAGCTGTTTGGTTGAACGTTCAATGGCTTCACCCATGACGGCAACATCATCACTGGCGCCAAAACATGCTAGGTTGCTTTGCTTTTTGGATCCCGTCACCTTCTCGCCGTGCAGCCGGGACTTTGGTCTCTTCCGGAAACACACTGGAAATAGCTTCTTCTCAACCTGCAACGTTCCTCCAACCCACCCTGACACCACACGCACTTCAATTACGCGGTCTTCCATTGCCCCCCCCCCCCCCCCCCCCCCGCGGTGTGTTTTGCTTCTCCCGAAACCACACCAAAAAAAGCTTCTCTACCCCCCTCACGCCCCCCCCCCACCCCCCCCACCCCCCCCCCCTCTCATTTCCCCGGTTTCCCCCTCCCCCCCCCCCCCCCCCCAAAAAAAAGGATACCGCCGGTTTCCTCCTCGAGGCTTGGTCGTCGTCGATATGACGTCCCTCGCTTGCACTCCCAACAGTGTCAGACGCAGTGGTTCAGATGGCTGCCGGCAAGACGTTGCACAAAGTACGGAGAGCACCACCATGCATCTGGCAACCTCCCCATCGCCATTTGGCCAACGCATCCATGCTACAAATCCCACCCAGTTGTCCGCAGACACACAACACACGAGACATTTCCACGCTCTCACAGTCAATGAAATGGGCGCGGGGGACCACCTTGCCCATGCATCACTGCACCCATCTTGAGAGGGTCTGGTTGGAGAAAGTCCCAGCCGGCCTATCGGGATGCCACCGTAACCTTGGGCGACGCACCCACGCCTCAGGTCTCACGCGCACTCTCAGCTTTCCCTGGGTCGCCTGGCGGGGAGTTCTTCTAGCGAAATTCTGCCGTCCTCCCTCCTTCTCTCTCCAGGCCGGCAACGAGCCTACAGCGATTGCTACGGCTTCAAACACATTGTTCAGCAAATACGGTGCTTTCAGTTCTCGCCGATGAGATCGACCAAGCTCATTGATCCTACCGACGTTGTACGGATGCAAGCTCACGTGCGGCGCACATCACTTGCGGGAAGACCCGTTGTCTGCTTACTCCGAACTGCGAAGGGCGGGACTTGGCCATGGCCTGCCACGAGCAGTGACAGTGCACACAATAGGAACTCTAGCCGCATCACAATCAAGCCATCCGATGGCTCTCTGAACGGACTGTGCCGACCCCTCGAGCCAGCCAGCCTTGTCATGGCACCAGCATTGGTCGTACATGGAAAGTGACTGACATGACGATGCACGTCTTGTCTGCTGTCCACGCCGTACCGGCGCCATTGTGTCTTTGGGAAATTTAGCTGCAGCCCGATTCTTTCACCACTCAGATGCGACGCCGTCACCTTGTCAGACACACCCGCCTGCGGGCTTTTCGCATGTCTCTGTGATGGCTGGCCGGTCACTGGAAGCCCCCCTTTGCCGAACAAATGACACCAAGACCAAGGGGTTGCCGCCATATCCTCGACGACATTGCAATTTCACCCCGCTCGCTCTAGATTTTTGCAAGCCTCTGCCAACCATGCGAGCAAGAGTATCCGTAAGAGTACCTACGACGCGACACTGCGCGAGAAACGAACACTCCTTCACCCTGTCCAGGTACCGAAAATATCAAACGAACCCGTCCCTGTCAGATCATTCCGGCTTGAGCCTCCGGTGAGGGATGATCCCTCCAGAGGCTCACAACTTCCCAACCACACGGTGGTGTATGCGCACGATCATTTGCAGCGGGCCTTTTCCTCCTTGTCTTTGGTTTTCTCCATCTTCTTCTCTCCCTGTCTCTCC